GAATTTTTCATGCTTTACGATTAGCAATTAAATAATTCATCTCGTCATCATTGGGAGTAAAAACGCTTTTGCTGTGCACGCACGGAAATGCGCGCATACTATATCGTCGTAGCGGTTTATTTACATTATCGAGGCAACATCGGTCCAGAGCGAATGAGAGAGAAAAAGAGCACGTTATAATCAATAAATCATCGCATTCCAAAAAGGCTCACGGTCATTTTTGTCAAATAGCAGATGTAGACATGAAATTCGATACTGCGCCATCTATACCTTATTCCAATATTTTTTCCAGCCTACGTTGCGACACAGCGTTTTCATGTTTCACATCGACGGTATTATAAAAATAACATCGTTCAACAGATAACCGCAAGTACGAAAACTAATTTTCATTTGTTTACCTTAATAAGGATGTAAATTAAAAAAAAAAAAATATCTGTATAAATTCTCATCTTAATTAAAAATGAGTTATCCCGATTCCGCATGCAACAAAACAGTTGTAAATATTATTCATTCTTAGGCTATCGCACGAATCGAAAGAGGCGAAAGCGACGAGCTGCGATCGTATCGCAAACACAGCACATTCACTTACACAGACACATACACGAAAAAGTCCGTACTTTGATTATTTCCTGACGCGTTGAAATAATAGATATTTATTTTTATCCGAGTGAAGAATCGATAAATATTCTCTCGCTGGCTGGTCTCGTGGCACCTCTTTTTTTCTTTTTTCTTCTTCTTTTCATCAACATTTATATACAAAGCGTCAAATAAAAAGTCCGCATTGGACAGGAAACGAGGCCTGGCTTTTGAATAATTATTATTATTGAAAGTTTTATGTACGAGTGCAAAGTCGAGATAATATCGAGATGCATAAGCCAGCGAGTAAGTAGCTCATCATTCGCTTTGGATTATAAATACATTTTAGATTTAATGCGCCGCGCTCGTCAATATGATTATGATTATTAACGTCGGTGTGCTGCTGCCGCTGCCGTTGCTGTTATATAGCATGCCGAGTCGCGCGCGAGAGACAAATATATAGCTATTATACAGACTTGGCCGAGTCAACAAACAGTCAGTTCATTTTCTCTTTTTTATTCTCTTTTCCTACATAGGATGTCGCACACATACAGTATATATAATAAACTCTTTTTGTGAAAACACGAGGCGAATGTGTACGCATAATATACATGTGTGTGCACAGCATCTTCAGATGCAAGTGCTTCGCTGCTCACACGTGGATAAATAAATGTTAAATTTGCTCGATTACAAGCGTTGCAGGTGTGTCGTTTTTTTAACCGAGCGCAGTGCCAAATTTTTCGTTTCGAACAAATGAAAAATAGCCGGAATAACGAAGTATAATGACCAGTAGACAGAGCAAAAAAGGCAGCGTACGAGCTCGCGAGCGCGATGTAAATGAAAATCAAGCTCCTCGTGCCGTATATATACATTAAAACAAATAACCGTCCATCAGGCAAAATATATATTATGTGCGTACATACGTACGCAGGCATGCCGGGCGAGTGTCGAAGCCTGGGAGGGGGACAATAAAGAAAAGCGTGCGTATCCTTTCCCAATGTAATTCCAGATATGTATACACTCACACTAACGCGCAGCCGAGCGTAGCACCGTATACACACATGCATAGCAGATTTATATATATATGTATATACATGAACGTGCTCGACGACGACGGCGGACTTGAGGTGGTGCGGTAAAGGCAGTGAGTTGAGCGAGCGTTAAGGGGAAAGTGCGGGGAGGGGTTGCGGGAGCAGCCGAGTTGCGAGGGAGACACAAACACGAACACGAGTTTGACTCGAGCGCGCGCGCGCACACACACACACACACACACACAGACGATGGCGTGTATGTACGGCTACGGGCTGGCATGCACTCTATAGCACATGAACGTGCTCTCGGGTATGTCTATATGAGCCCGAACTCGAGAGAGTTGGGGCTTGATTTAATCACGAGTAAGAGAGAGCATTATTTTCTTGTCGAGGCTTTTCCGTTTTTGGTTTTAGCTAATTTTCTTCACTTCTCTTTTTTCTTCTTCACATTTTCTAACGTAATAATCAAAACTATGACAACTTTTAGCACTATTATGTACAGATCAAATGTTTTTATATTAAGATGATTTGACTCGATGCCACCAGCATCGTTCTTGGCTGCTGTATACATTTTTTTCGTGAAATCTAAGCCCATAAATGAAAAGGGATGAATTAAAATCTCTCGGTATATTCTCATTAAAATAATGAGGTGCCTTTTTAACCACAGCATTTATCGTTTACGTTTTGGTACTTTATGAAAAAACACACGTATAACATAAACGATGATTTCGTGTAAAAATATTTTCATGTTCCGAAACAAACTAGTTTTTTAAATTTTATTATTATTTTTTTTTTTAATGAAAATCGAGAATATTACTATACTAGTGAATAAAATTCAGATTAACACTCGTGTACAGTTGAGTTGGGTGCACGACCAAGCCAAGGTAAAGTATGTACATCGAGATTTTATACGATATGTATATCTGCCGGAGAACAATAAGTATTCCGTTGGATTTCTTTACTAACGGTATAAATTTTTGAGTCAAGAAATGAAATTAAATCATTACGTATAGACATTTTTCGACTGTAAGTTCACCAAAAATCGCGTGGCAAAATTTTTATATGCCTCATAATGAAATAATATTAATCAATTCTAAATTATTACGCTATATTCGAAAATAGCTCTGATGCGCGTTTGTGCACAAATCGCGAGAGATTTGTAGAGCGGAAAGTTAATCCGAAAACGTTAAAACTTTGTTTTGTCAGAAAACAATAAAAAGGGAATATATATCGCAACAACGCGAGGGATAGGCTGTTAAAAGTCGATAAAGCACTTTTATTTTCGTATCTATGTGGCGTACACGCCAGTCGGCCTGCCACGCTACGTACAAAAGCCAGTATACACATACACATATACATAATACACAAGAACACTTAAGCAGCTACGTGCACATTGAGTATTACGTATTTTATCTTTAAAATTGCTTTCAAATTAGAGGCAAAAAAAGATAATCGAATGCAAGAGCTGGATTTTGACTTTCAAGCTAATTATTTGTGGAGTAAATTTTGCGAGAAATAGTGCGTTCTATACGAGTTCGTTTTGTGCGCGCGTACACGCACACACACACACACACATTCGACTGATACGAACTTTGAAATAATATAATAGAGTTGTATAAGCAACAAGTTTAATTAAAGCTTGTTTTCAGAATGCCAGAATGGAAAAAATTAAAGCAAATAGAACGTCAAAAGGCTGCAGCATACGCATACTCAAATCTATAAGCTATTTTTGTTTTCCCTGAAACGAGATAGCTAGAATATTAAAACTTGATATTCGAGAAGTTGGCCGCGTATTTTTTTTTTATTTGACGATTCAAATTAACGATTTTTTCTCCCTCTTCAGCTCTCACGCTTGGATCTATACGACGTAAAAAATTATGTTACAATACACGTTGAAGGCATGAAATAAGGGAATCTTATAAACACGCTCGGGAATATTAATGCGAAAAGATATCATTTGTACTTGGAATATTTCGTATTCCATGAATAATATTACGATAGGTATGCAACCGAATCGAAATCACCAAAATGAAAGTAGTTACGTGTACATGCTATACGCGAAATGATAATTTTACCGTCGACTCTTCTCGCGCATGCAGCAGCACCTACATCGAGTCGTGTATGTGCAGACACACTCACACACGTTGCCACCACCAGCAGTGCATTTGCGCGTTCACATCGTTTCGGAATATTATAAAAGCCATGGAAGCAGCGCGCACACGCGCATACATATTATTCATAAAGCAGTCGATCCAATTTGCCGCTGTGCTACGGCTTTAATTAAAATCAATTACAGTCAGTCTTATCTTGCCTCGAACTTTTCTTCTCTCCCTTCCACGGCCCGTGAGTCGGTGTTATGATTCGTCTCTTAGAAAATGCCACTCTCATTTTCCGAAAATTATCAAACATTTTTCCTTGCATCCATTATGCAGACTCTGACAAAAGTTTTCGACTTGAACCGACGACGAACGGTAAATAATTAAAAAGAAAAAACGGATCATCATTAGAATAAATAATATAAAATTGTGCTATCATCGAGCAATTTTAACGTTTAATTTATCTCCATTCACACTCGGTAATGCGCGAGTGCACATATACATGAGCATAAAAACTCTCGCGCACACGAGTACTCGCACACATACACGCGCGCACACGCCTATACACAGATTTCAAGTGTTGGATATCAAGTTCCAATATCGTTTTCTCTCGCTCCTCTTTCTATCCGTCTCTTTTTCTATTTTTCTATTAGCGCAGCAAGTCGAGCGTAATGCTGCGCAACAAATACACGCGACGACGTATTATTTTATTATTTACCAACAAACGCACTCCTAATATATATAAGACACGTCAGCGATAATAAACGAGCCAAAAATCTCGCCAACTGCGCGCGCTCTGACAGTGCAGCAAAGGAAAAAGCAGCAAAGAGAGACAATAAATACAAATAAAAAAAGAATAACGCAACGTCTTTTTTCAATTTGCACATCGATAAAGAGAAACACGCCAGGCATCTGTATCTGCGCGCGCTCATGTTTTCTTGCACGACTGTTTGACACATGTACTCGGAATCATGAATAGGAAATATAATAAATATATATAAACCGATAGATGCGCGCGAATGCGAATTGCGAGCACGTTCGTAGCAGCTTATTGAGAAGAGGCCAACGACGCTATCCGGTGAAATTGTAAAAGCATATAAAGTTGAAGAAATAAATACTCGGGCCGTGCGCGCGGGATAGGAGGGGGTAGGCTCCGCTGCGAGAGAAATAGCGCGAGTAGGTGGGGGAGAGCGCGAGGGTTAAGGGTCGAGCGGGCGCTTTTGCGCTCCCGTCAGCCGCATTGTAGCATGCCTATACGTATAAACGTATACCGGCTAATAAAGCGTGCGACACTTACCTCTACCCTGTCCATCGCTTAAAATGAGGCTTGTCGAAGAGACGTGTCACGCGCCGGCAGCTTCGTCCATGCGATCATGTATAAACAAACTTTCCTCTTCTTTCCTCCTTCTTTTCTCGTTTTGCTCGACAGATTATTACCAACACATGCATGTACACACTATTACGTATATGTGTGAATACGCGGCTCACTATGCTAGTGTGTATGCGTGTGCGCGTGTGCGTGTAAATATCCGTCGATGTTCTCGGATTGGAGACGAGGATGATGTGTCGCTCGATGGATCGTTGGGGGCTTCGATTATAACTGGCTTGCCATTGCACTTATTTGCACATTATTTGACAGTTATAATTGCACCAGGATCGTCGATGCATTTTCAATAGCACTCACGATTTTTTCTTTTATTTATATTTATTTTTATTTTCCCCATTCAAGGCGGAAACACTCGACGTAAATGCTTTGCTTCATCGACGAGACACAACACACATGCACACAACACTTTAAATGAATAGAAAACAACGATGGCTATAATTAATATGAATTATTAAAATAGCAATAGCAGCCACTACACAACTAGATTTTTATCGAGTGTCGTATTATATCTGAAGCTATTATTATAATTATTGATTAATTTAATTAAAAAGCTCTTGATATTTAATTACACAATTTAGTAAAAATTTATCGAACAAATGCAAATATTTTAAATGGGTTGTACACGTTGATACGAATTGCGAAATTTCTGCAGAAAAAAACACATCGAAATTCGACCTTGTCGAATCATTAACACTGATGCACTGGTTTTTATTATTAATTTTTTATTTTATTTATATTATATTTGATTATATTTTTTTCGCTGCCGTTGCAAAATTTAAAAACTGCCAATTGGATGATCGGCGCCCGCGAGTCGATGCTTCCGAGCACACACGAAACTTTGCACTAAAACTAAACGTGTCTATACGCTTTGTATATAGCTATATACAGGCACGAAGCACATGTAAAGAGCCTAAGCGCGCGCGCAGTGAAAACGGTGCGGTGCGACACACGCGGCTGTCCCATCAAGACTACTTTGTATTTACTCTAATTACGTGACGTCACTATCGGCGGCTGGCAGCAGCAGCAGCAGCAACAACAGCAGCGCGCCACAGTAGAACAGAGAGCGGCAAAATCCCCACCACGAGCGGCTGCGAGTCGTGACGCCGCCGCTCGCTACATGCACACGCACGCACACACCGATGCAGCCTACCACTACCACAGGCTCGCGCACATTCACAGTCACGGGCCCGACGTAGCCCCGCAAGTATGTACGTACGTTTCGCGAAATCTGTCTGCGTGTGTGTCTGTGTATGTGTGCTCTCCGCCGGCTACCACCACTATGGAGTAGCGCCGAGCGCCCGAAACCGGCCGAACTCGAGCGGAAACTCACGGAAAGTCGAATATGATAGGAGAGGGAGCTCTTCATAATATACTCTTTGTAAAAAAAACCAAGAAATAATAATAATAATGAAACGGCCTGCAGAGGGGTCAGGAGGGACGCTCATTCTTTTCTTTGCCACTTTTCTACACAATATTATGCGCTTTGTCTATATTATTATATACACGCTGCGTACATATTTTATATATACACACACACACACACTCGCACACGCACGACGATATACACATGTCGTGCATTCGTCAGCTAAGCAGATAAAGCTGCATCACGTGTGCCAAAGTATATTGTGTACGAGAAATGACTCGTTTTACACCAATTGTTTCGCATAATAGGCAATATGATATTACTACTTATTCGAACTTCTCTGGGCTGCTTTCAAATCGCTCGCCGTTCATCTTTTTTCCCTTCTTTTTTACGCGAATGAGCACTAACGCTCGAGTTTAGAACTCGAGCCATTTATACGATCGCATTAATTGAGCGGAGAAATAGATACGCTCGATTCGCGCAATTTATCAGTTTTCGTAATATTCGTCAAATGATATGTAATATAAATGTAATACCGCATGCCTGCGTGTAACGACAAAAAATATTTCACGAGGTTTTTTGCAAATGAATAAAATTTTATCAATACTCACGTTGCCCTTTATTGAATTATCTAAGATAACTTAAATAATCGACTCAATAGTGAATTCGTCTGTCACGTGTACAGTAATGCTCGTTTATCTGCACAGATCAACCGTGAAACTTACCTAACTGAGATTTTTAAAATTCAACGAGCTCGTAGAGCGATCAAACGTCTACGGAGCGGAACATCGTTGAAAAATCACGCAGCCTATATAATATCTTACGGTACTTTTTTCTTTCGCGCGGCATCTCGTTTTAATCATAGAAAGACCACGAGATATAAATTGTATACACATGCTGCATACAGAATTAAGAGCACTTTGGAAATCAACGACGCAAATTATGTCATCCAAAAACATCTAAAATGTGCATCGTAATGAGTGGGCGAATCAACCAAACCGTCCGCTTTGTTTTTTTTTCATACAATTATACGTCTTGAATAATTATTTTCAATGCTTAAATTGACTCACAGGCGTAACTTCTTTACATCTAAATTGATTCCACTTTGATGGCAAAATTTATTTTTACACGTAGTTCGTTAGATTATTTTTCGTTTGGGACCCTCAATCTGTTTCGTATCGAATATCGATTTTAACGAGTCGAACAACGAGTTATTGATTTGGAGGAGAATCTATACACGTTGTCTTCAATTCGGAAGTCACGGACAATTTTTAATAATACGGATTTACTACCTATCAATCGCGATAAAAACATTCGATTCTCTCGTACGCATTATTTAAGTTAAAATTAGCTCAAATCCAACAAGCATTATGTAAATTTTATAAAATTTTAAAATTTTGAAAAGAACAATTTTTATATACACGAATCAAAAAACTGTGAATACCTTTATTTTTGCCACACAACTTATGACTATAAAAGTTTTTGTAAAAAATGTACCTTTTGATACGACAGAGGTGGGGATTAAGCATAGCTTATGCATATCTCATTTCCTGGAATAATATCACGGAGCTGTAATATGACAATCAAGACGTGAGCTCCAACGCCATCTGCGGAAAAGAAGACAAGCTGGCAAGCGTTTCAAATTTTGCCCGCGAGGCTGCGCTCGCGCACAGCCAACGACTCGCATGATAACGAAATTATCGAGTCGTCGTTGTCTCGTTCAAGTTCTAAATGTTACAGCGATCGGCGATAAGTCAGTTACGGGGTTCTCAGTTTTCAAGATGCATTACATCAACGCTTAATGATTTAAAGACTATAATCTTGTTACACTTCGCGATCGAACATAATGATCGGATCTGTACACAATGGATTAAGGTGCGTAGTAATGATGGTATAGTGATTCAGAAGTTTGTATTTTTTTATCTTTAGATGAAGGTGAGATTAAATTTAATCGTTTTGCATGAGTGGCCATGGTGATAAAATATAAAAATGCAGATTATATCATTTTTTTCAAATCGATTTATTTTTCCTGTACGTAACACCATACAAAGATATACACATTTTGTGTCTTTCGGAAGGTTCGACCTTTTTTTTCATTTATTTATTTTTGGACTAAAAATACAAGGTAGATTCGATCATTATTTAGATCATGCGTCACTCTCATGAAGTTTATCGACCTCTGAATATCCGCAGCAAGAACCGAAGTGTTTTTCTCCGCTAAATTTGACTGCGTCAAATTTTAATGCGATTCTGGCACAATTGAAATAAATTTTCTCAGATCCAAACTGTTGATAAATGCGTCTAATCATTAGACTCGATCTTAAATTCATGTTTGTTCATTGTAATATCGATTATTTCTCTGACGTTATAACGAGTTTTTCGTTCGTTTAAATAGCAACTTTTTCATTATTATAGAAGAATCAGTGCAATATTTGTAGGTTTTAAAGGAATATTGCCAGGTAACATTTTACATTTCATAGAAGCAAAGAATTATGTATTTTTTTTAAAGATACTTAGATTGAAAAAAATGTATTTATTTTTAAAATTATTTTATTCTTTGATTGAACGTAGAATTTCTAAAAAATTCAAAATATTTCAATGAATTTGATAATTAATGATTTTATTAATATTTGTAAATTTAAAGCAAATCACATTTCAGCACGTTCAGAGATTCATTATTTTTTTCAAAATACAACCGTCAAAATTGAGAAGTACCAATTTGCACTTCATCGTTTATCAATATTTGATCTTAATTGACGCAATTATTCATTATATTCGTTAGAGAAGCAATTTGGAATGTTTATGATTTACAATTAATAACGTCGTTGGAGTTGAAGGTAATAACTTTAGGCCTTCGATTTAAATTTATAAAAATCATACTAAGCATATGTTATACTTCTAAATTAGCCTTTGAAATATACAATTGGAACTTCTAAGTGAATTTGGAAGAAAGTATGTACGCCTATTATTTAAATGAATTTATGTTAAAATTCAAACTCATCGCAAAACTAACTTTCTTGCAACAACGTGGTAAATGGATCTTTTTCTGCTTGTAAAAAACAGGTATTCTAATATATAAATGCGAAAAATAACCAATGCGAGATAAATATCACAGTTTGTTGTAAATTTAAAAAAGGTATTTTTATTATTAAAGCCTGGTCATACCAAATGAATTATTCTTTTACTCCTACCACGACTTACTGGGAAACCATTAGTTAATAATGGGAAAAATTAATGTAAACTCACTGCATGTAGGTCTAGTCTTTAGTTCTTATAAGAAAATATAACATTCTAAACTTATCACTTATCCTTCGCGTTTTTCAAGTTTTGATCTTAAAATAATAGTCTTCTATAATACAAGCTTATTTTTAATTTATCTCTAGATTGTATTAAATTACGTAAGAATCTTTTAAGCTACAGTGCATTATCATACAAGATTGGAATTTATTTTTGGAATTTTCTTTCACATGAATGAGTGCTTTGACATAAAACAACGTGTATCATCTTTAATTAACAATCGATTGAACAAAATAAATATGTTCAACTTCTATGCTAAAGTTTTTTTTCTTAAAATACTTTTTGCACTTGCATTGAACCTCTTTTTTCCTTATGATTTAGAAATTAAAGATAAATTACTAACTGATTATAATATAAAGCTTCATAGCCTTGCAATATTTTGTTTTTATTTTTATGAGACATTAATCATTTATCATAAGTGCTTTTACTTATATATATGTGTCTCACACTATTTTTTTAAATATAATTTGAATTTTTTCGAATCATACATGTCAAAAATAATTTTCTTATTCACTCGAGGTACTTTACTCCTACAGAGTTCCTAAAAACTCGACTGTATGTTAAATAGCTATTTTAAAGATAGTAAAAATTGTTGGAATCCTCTCGCTCAGTTTTATCTGTTTCATAAAATTTTGCTCCATTATCATGTCTTCTACAAATTTCAGCCATATTAGATTGATATTTTTCTAATTGTGTAAAAGTTTAGTACCATACAATCTCTTACAAAAATTTTTCAAATTCTCATTTTTCATAATTTACTGTTAACAATTCTTCCAGAGAAAATTGATTGACGAATCAGGTTTTAAAATGTTGGTAATCCGTTTATTTCCTAACACCATCGTTTCACTTTCTGCACGCTTCATTATGAATACGCGGATAATCACAGTATTTGTGTTAATTTTAAAGTCTTTTTATGACTCTACTGAAATTTATATAATATTTCACGGAGGTTCTTCATTGAGCTCTTAATTTGAATATCTTATCACTAAAATTTCTTCTTTTTTTTAATTTTGGAAAATAACTCAGCTGGTATGAGTATGACAACTATTTTTTATTGATTTGAAAAAAATACGAAATGCCAAGGTCAATTTTTTTAGTGAATCAATTTAAAAGATTCAGCTATAGAAAGCGGATTTATATCTTATAAAAATAGCTTAATCGTTTAGTGATAATAAGATTATAGATACTTGATTTGAACGATAATCCCAAACTTGTCCATAAAATAATCGGTACTTAGCACCGTATATCGAGATTTTATGTATAAAATCAAATCTATTGATTCTACTTCTTTTAATCTCACTTCGTCACAGTCTTTTTAATAGCCGACCAAAAATTATGATATGAAAATTCACGCAGGTTTCGTGAAACGCATCTCTACTATTTCTATCATATGACGAACCTCGCAGAAATACCAGTGGGTACTTTTTGGACGTTTACAGTATTTTAAAATAATGTGTTTTTTTAAATTTATTTATGTCTCTTTAGCTTTAAATAAATTCTTCTTAGAAGAGATTCAAGACTCTAAAAGGCTGCGAAGTATATGCTCACTATAGTTTTTGAACTCGCAGTTTTAGCAAATATATTCTGGGTAGAATTTTTAATGATCATTATTAAATGAATAAATTTCGGAAATACATCTCAAAAATTAGTTTATAATGTTAATTTTTTGTGCAGGATATTGCAACTGAGATATTGGTAAGTCTTGAAATTATATCATTATAGAGTATTTTTCGGCATAATTTTTCAATCATTATCATTATATATTTGTCATGATTTAGCATAAAATAAATTTTTATCTCAATCGTAGCTTCTTTAAAATTTAACTCTTAAAACCAACAGCTGATTATTCATTTTTTCAAATAATTGGAAGAAAACAATAACATCGAATTACAAAATGATAGCTTTTATTGGATATTAGATCCTATATTCAACAATGCTAAGTTAAATATTTTACATATTCTTAGAGTCATTTTAAATTAACCTTGCAATTTTAGGACGAATTGATTTCATTAGAAGCGTTAAATTTAACATTAGCTCTAATAAATATGAGTTTACACTAGTTTTGGTGTATTATGCAATATATTTCATAAAACATTGAATGCTAAGCAATATCTATTATATGCGACGGAGTTTCATGTTTATGGAAATTTTTACACGAACTGGTCTTAATTTTCGATAAAGCCCATTAAAAATCGCTTTAATTGAGAAATTTCAAAAAATCGGACATGTATAAAACTACAATATCATGCAAGCTCTTTAATTAGAAAAAAACAACAATTCCGAGAGTTAAAAATAAGTTCTTGGAACAATAATACATTACATTGTGCTCTCAGCTGGTTGGAAGTAAAAATGATGTATGTCTTCTAAATATATAATATTTTAATATTCATTGATTCATAATTCGTTTTCTTGAATTCATTTTTCGAAAATATAAAACTTTGTTTATGACTCGAGAGAACGAATGCCAGTCTGACTAGTTTAAACTATGTTCACTCGTTCACATGCAGCGTATATCAGAGCCTCGCACAGTTTTTTCCTTTAAAATATTCGTCCCGATTGAAATCAACAATCTGAACGATAATTATTTCGAAAATAGTTGACATTTACAGTGTTCTCGTTCATTCGGCAATGTGAAGATCATACGTACGAGCCTATCCGTGCAGTTTCAAAAGTTCTAAACAGTCTTAATCACCGGCGACCACTTCGCCAGTCATTTGTCCGTTCGTCGGTGCAACACTAATACTGTCCTCTTCGGAGCGCTCATCTATAGGCTCTAGTGCGTCTTCGATTTTCGTAAAAAATTCAACGTCTTCGTCATCATCGACGTCCTTGTCGCCGTCGATTTTGATCAATGTCCTTTGCTGTTGCGGTTCAATGACGTCTGGACGTAATATTAGCTGTTGCCTGATGGAATTGACGAGATCTTCGCTCAATATCGTCGTGTCCACGTCGTCGACTTGGTCATTCTTTATCGGTTCGTGATTGTTGGGGATAAAAGTCATGCGAACGATCGTATAGAGCTTGCGAAAACTCAGCTTCTTGTACAGACTTTGACTGGCCTCGTTTTCAGGCCTGATTACGACGAATGGCTTGTATCCGTTCTCTGCGACTCTTCTTGTTAAAAACCTAAGATTTAAACATTGAATGTAGTTCAATATACGCATTTGATTCTATTGCTTCTAAGAATCAAGCATAAAATTCGAACCTGGCCAATTTTGTCCCATATCCCTTTCTGCGATATTCCGGCTTGGTTTGCATGGAGAACATGGCACCGTAATAAGATTGCACCATCCATGCGGCAAGTCGACCGTCCGCAAAGACACCGGCCGCTGAGAGGTTCTTTATAAGGCGAAGGAAAAGCTCGTGGCACTCCATGTCGTTGGCTGGATACAACTCGTGAATACCTTCTGCGTGCTCGGCTTTCAATGGTAGTACCTGTTATATCGTTAAAAGACGATTTATGATTACGTTTACGCTTTAACAAGCAGCTCAAAAGTTTTCATTTGTCTCGATAAACAAATACATTTGTATATGTAGAGTCAGTAGCTTTGCGTAAGGTAAATATAATTTAATATAAATTAATCATTCCAAAAATCTTTAAATATGATTGGCAAAAAAAAAGAGAGATTGATAAACAGTTTGTTTAAGGAGGCTGTAGCGATGCAAAGTGGTTCTGTATTAGAACGCTACATGCGCAAGCCTATATGCGTTACGCAGCGCACAACGTTAGCATGGCAGAACATAGAGAAAAAGTGCTTGACTCTTAATATCTTTTTTATTTGCCTGGAAACACCCATTTATAATTATATCATTCGAAAGCTAATGAAATTTCCTATAACATATGTTAATTTCAATAACTTCTAAAGTGATTTGAACTCACAGTGTACTAAAAACTGCCACTTCCCATTTGATTCAATGTTAAATGGCCAAAACTTTGAATTTCATTATTTCCCAAATTTGCATGGAAACCCCAATTTTTTTACCAAAAATCTTGTAATTTCATGAACTATCCTTGGTTGAAATTTCACTTTGATCTAAAGTTTTCGCTACAACCTCCTTAAATTTACAGCAATCTGATTTGAAAAGTTTTTTAAAGATGATCTCATCTAATACTAAGCACGAGGCGGCATTCATTTATGTGAACTAAAAATTGTAATCGAAAAGTATAATAAATAATTGCCGCTAGTACTTGGTTTTATAGTACAAAAGGTAATGTGGTTTTAAGCCAAATTGAAAAATTAGCTCGAGTTACAATTTATAACACGAGGATCTAGGATTAATTGAAAATGTTGAGTTTATCGTTACTTTATAATGATTATAATTTTAATTGTTTTCGACGATTTGATTAGCACTCAAAGTAAATCTTGTTTTTTTGGAACCAGCAAAAATAAATAGTATGGGATTTAAATAATTGTTGCTTGTGTTTACATGCTCTAAACGGTAAAGTATACGTCCGCAATAACCTTCAACAGAGGATAGGACATTCCATTAGGTAAACTTGGTTTGTTTCTATTGACAAAGAAAATGTGAACTGTGCTGACAAAGAAGAAATACTGCTCCAAATTCTACAGAATATACTCTGACGTTCTTAGTTTGTGGCCCCACATAACAGTAAAAAATTTCACCCATATTTTTCATGAAAAATAGTGGCAAGTCAAGTTTAAAAATGGGATAAAATTTTGATACTGTTAGCGCATAAAGTCATTCGAACAAAGTGAGAAGTTATACTAAAAAAAACCAAAATCATTACCTGTACATCGATATCAGTAGGCACATCGTCGTCGGGAACCTCCTCGGATTTTTCAGGCTCGTCACAGGCGTAAACGTCGCCGAGTACCCGCTCGACGCTGCCGTGGCCCTCGTAAAGACGCATCAATTCGTCGGCTATTTCCGAGTGAACGAAATTTATATACAGCGGCTTGCTCCAATCCAATAAAACGTCCTCTTGGCGTAATAATTCTAGACAGTCCAATCTCTGGTTCGGGCAAAATGCACCAACGCTCTCGTACAATAATCCGTGACACTAGAAAGAATAATGAGTAAATGAGGATGGAACTTTATTAAAAAAAAACCTCGTGCGCTATATTTGATTGTAAAAGTAACCACTTAAAAAAAAATTATTTGTTTCGCTGATGTATGAGTTTGTTCAATTTTTTTAAGCATGCCACGTCCTTCACAAACGACTTTAACCGACAATCAGTTGATTTATTTCTAGTTTATAAAGTTTCTAAACTTAATCTATATATACCTCAAATAATTGTATTGTTTCATAAGTCTCTGCTTCGAAAAAAGTTCTAATTTACTTCCATTTCACGAAGTAAATTCGCTGCCTTTTTTAGATCTTAGAAAAAAATTGAGGCGAGATTTCTCTGGATTTCGGTGGATTGTTCCACTTTGCGGAAAATTCGATGAAGAATCTGAAATAAAGCTTTTTTGACAAGCCGGAGTCTTGCATTAGCATAACATTTTTCTGTCTCGAAAGAAGTACAGGGTAATTTTTTGACAAATAAGTAAAACCTTCAAACAAATTTGGACTTTTTCTGGTTTTTAGATAGTTTAAATTGGATTCCTAATAATCAGGTTAATTGGTTGATTCTTATATTTGTTTGTGAAAGTGACAGTCGAAATCTGAAGCCTCCAAGTAAACTACTTGTGAAACCGTACTCGACTTATAGTCCCTGCAACGCTGATTCAAGCTCTACTGCACTATTGATATCAGTGAACTGAAAACTATTAGAGTATCTGCTCAATTGATATATGAAGGAAGAGGAAGAAAGCAAGAGAGAGAGAGAGAGAGAGAGAGAGAAGGAGACAAGTTGAGCTTTGAACAGGTCCAAGCGAAAGTCAATACTAATATCCTTACCAAACTCTCTATAGCATTGGTTCACAACTCAAATTTTTATTGGTCTGCTGCAAATGCTTCATATGTCTCGATGTGTGCGCAATCCGACGGTTATACAAACATTTCTGTTCGCTTCGATAATTCGCAAAAAGTAAAAGCATATTTAAATTTAATTATAAATATTGCATAAATAAAGTTTAAATAATATTCGAAGGGGGAGAAAAATTTTAAGCAACATTATTGAACCTTAAAACTTTAACATTGAGAGGGAATCAAAGTGTGCTAAATGCAAGGTTGAGAAGATTCGAAGATTCGTCCTTGCTGTTCAACTATTGTCTATTTGTATGCGGTACGTACATATAAGTTCAAACTGTTTGGTATTCTCTAGGGGTGCAAGAGCGAAATTTTAGTGTTAATTGTTCTGAGAAGTAACTGTAGAACCAAGATCTATCTGGAAAATGAACTTATCCCAACGATAAACTTATTTAATTAGAAAAAAGTTTCCCCGAATAAATTTGGTTTGATAAATTTTGGGGTTTAGAGTTGAAGAAATTGACCATTCAATCAAAAATTATTCATGAAGCGAGTCGTTGAAAGTTACAAAGATTATTATGATAAAAAAAGTTGTCAAATAATTTTGGACACGTATGAAAAAATCATCGATCAAACTTTATAATGCAGTAAAAAGCATGGCAATAAATGCCATTGAATTTCATAAGCTTTACATAAACTATATCTAATATTCGTTATGAAAAAGGCAAACAACTTTTACGCAATATACTTTTATCATACACAAGCAAAACCAGTTTACCCTGTTGAAGTTCTGTAACGAAGTTATGAGTTTTCATAGCATAACTTGTGTCGATGGATTGCGAGGTACTTCTAACAATGCGAAGCTTGCAAAGGTTCAATTATTTATTTCGAAATCTAGAAAGTTAGTTTTGATTTTTTCAGCATTTGAAAGATGGTAAGAAACTTTCTCATGTGAGAGGAGTGGATTTATCTGTTCCATGAGTTGATAATTTTGAAAAGCTCTTCGTACAAATGACTCAACAACTTCAAGTATATGACTATAATTTGAACACTTATCGTGGAAAATTTTTTATCAATTATATTTCCAACTTTGGAAATGATTCGAAAAAAGTTGAAATAAAATTACTTTGCATAGTTTCGTAAAGAAAATAAGTAAACATTTTCCGACAAGTTAGTATTCGTTGGGTAGAAAAAAGGCAAGAACATCTAAATCAAATTACGAAGATATTAGAAAAATTTTCGATAAATTGATGTACGATTTACTGGTGATAAAATCCACCTTTTTTAAATTTGAAAATCAATTGCATGCAGCTAAAAGTTTTTTGGAAATCTTGGTGAAGCTTTAACCGCAAGCATCGATCAAATTCGATAAATGGTCTCAGTACATATTGCCCACTCAAACGATTTGCCAGATCAATTATTCTTGCTAGCAAAAGGGTCTCAACGTGGTCATCTGTCAATGTTCTTTATTTTCGTAAAAAATCTGCTCCGCCTAATAGCAATGCTTTTTCATTGCAAACTTTTCGGTTTTTATTTCTAAAGCAACGATCTCTACACCGTGTAACTATCGTCAGGAAAACGAGTACAATCCTAGTTACACAGAAAAATTCCTAAAAAGACAAAAAACAAAGAAAAAAGAATAGTCAAAGACAAAAATCAACTTGAAAAAAAGCGAAACGAAGGTAAAATCAGTAGCGAGCGCTTGGCTTGTGTCCAATACGTCTCCACACGTGAGGATGTGTATTTGTATGCAATATACATATAATGCACATATTAAAGCCACCATTGTGCATGTAAGAGATGTTTAATGTTTCGTTGTTTGAGGAAGCGCAGATGATGCATTGTCGCGATCGTGCATAGGTATATACGCGTAGGTAGATAGAGCGAAAATACGAGCTTTTACGTGCATGTAGAGCGTAATTTATGCAGCACGGGTGGCGTTCCTGGCTGCCGTTCGCAGGGTCGTGTGCAACATTTGTGCACTCGTTACGCTGTGGCGCGCGCGTTTCGCACTTCGTAATGAGTAGGTGGCATCCAGGATCTTCGTCTCTGATAAATTCTTCGAGTTATTTCAGCGATGCGGTGTGTGCCTTTTTATAAATTCCACGAGTCGCGTATACTTCTAAATGAAATATTTTTGTACATTGCGCCAAGGTTTTTTTCACTCAAAAAATTTCATAATTGAGATTGCAGCTCTCCGTGGTATATTTTCGTATACGTTTCGCTTATTCCAACCCGAAGTTATGTGTTTGCTCGCGGTCGGAGTATGCTCGAGCTTTATTGCCTAAGCTAAATACATATAATATCCATTCTCATTTTCGAGCATTTCTCCGTCGGCTCAACGTGTAAATAACTGATAAATTTCAAGCTAATTAGAACCTCTTAAAGATAAACAAGTTCAATATATTTTGGTCATTTGACTTTGAAAGCTCTTCTAGCAACCGCAACTTTATGTCTGACGAAAAATGTCAAATGCATCATCTCGTGGATCAGCGCTTCAAATTTATTCTCTATAATGTTAGATATACTTATTTTATACTCTCATCTAATGTTAATCTGTAATTATTCTGTATTTTTATTCTTTATTTGATTTTCGCGCTTACACCAGATGTCGCGCTCACCTTTCTTTGTATCCGGCCTCTCGGCCCTTTTTGTGTAACCGCTCACTCGCTCTTCTCGCGCCTACTCGAGAGCTCATATACTTTGTACGTAAATTGTGTTTAATTAATAAAAGTTATAATTAACAAGTGTTAGTCTCACTCTTAATTCTCACAGGTTATGGGCCCAGACATTGCAAAAACATAACCGAGATAAAAGAGACATACCGTTTTTCAATAGTGCAAAAGTTTCAGTGTCGGAAGTGAGGTTAACCACGCGTAGTATTGATCAAAGATGTCCGAAAATCAATACGTAACGCACACTCCGCGCTTCGAGCTACTCTCTCGCGACAATTACGACACATGGAGGATCCAGGTAGAGGCCTTATTAATCAAAAACGACGGCTGGGACTTCGTCTCGGGCGCTACACCAGCACCTGCAATCGGAGGGGCCGACGCCGCTGCACGGACCGCAGCCGAGGCGGCTTATAAGGCATGGCTGGTGAAGGACAGAAAAGCCAGATCAGACTTGATCCTCAGCATCTCGCCCTCCGAGCTAAAGGAGATCAAGAATTGCAACACATCGCATGAGGTATGGACAAAGTTGGAATCGACGTACGCATCAAAAACGCCCGCGCGTAAAGTCTCGCTGTACAAACAGTTGACTCAGCACAAGATGGCGGACAACGACAGTATGATCGACCACCTCAAAGGTTTCTTTGATGCATCTGACAAACTGAAGTCGACAGGCGCTACTCTGGATGACGATTTGCTAGCAATTATGCTTCTCCAAAGCCTTCCGTCGAGCTTCGAGAACTTCAGATGCGCAATCGAATCGCGCGATAAGCTGCCAGATCTCGAAATTCTGAAAATAAAAATCCTGGAAGAGCACAAGTCTCGGCATAGTGTAAACGATAATCATAATAGTTCGGCAATGATTGCCAAAACTAAGCAAGATTACAGTCGCACAAAAGGTGGCTCCACCTCGAGACCCGCATCGAACAACGCAACGTCGCATAAGCAGAAACCTTCTTACAAATGTGGATTTTGTAAGAAAAAGGGTCACAAAGAAGCGGACTGCTATAAAAAGAAAAGAAGCCAAGAAGAGTCGAAAAACGAAACCTCCGGCTTATGCTTTTTCACCAGCACTACAACTAGTGCGAAGTGGTGCCTAGACAGCGGGAGTACTTCTCACGTATGCGGCGACGAGAGCATGTTGAAAAACATCACACGGCACAATGGCAGTCTGCAACTCGCCAGCAACACCACAGCGGCAATACGCGCTAAAGGTGACGTAAATATCGTGCCTGGAAACGACTCTACGATCGTAACTCTAAAAGACACGCTGCTCGTACCCGACCTCAGAACCAACCTCATGTCCGTCGCGAAAGTTGTCGACGCCGGATTTGACGTAAAATTTAGCAAGAAACTTGCGACGATCACCGCTGAGACTGGTGAGGTTATCGCCCGCGCTGAGAGAATTGGCGACCTATTCTTCATCGACGGAGCCGAGCGACCACGACCTATCTCCGCAATGGCTAAAATCAACGTTGACATGAGTGAATGGCACGCTCGACTTGGTCACCTAAATTCCAACGACTTGAAGACTATGATACAGAAACAACACGCCGAGGGCATGGGCAATGTAAAAGTCGAAGACATAGGCTGCTGTTCAACATGCGCCATCGCCAAGATGACGAGAGAACCGTTCGAATCTCGAGTGCGATACGCGGCGAAACCTCTCGAAGTAATTCATACCGACGTATGCGGCCCAATGAGAACAACATCCAAAGGCGGAGCGAGATGGTTCGTGACATTCATCGATGAGCACACCCGCTTCTGCCACGTCTACCTGATGAAGGAGAAGAGCCAAGTCACTGAAAGATTCGTCGAATTCAAGAATATGGTCGAAAAACAGACCGGGCATTTCATCAAAGAATTACAGTCCGACGGCGGGGGGGAGTACGATAATCGCAAGCTTGATAACTTGTGTAAAGACGCCGGCATCAAGCGTCGCTTCACTGTACCCCATACGCCGCAGCAAAATGGCCTCGCCGAGAGAAAGAATCGCACCCTCGTCGAGACGGCACGCTGCTTACTCACACAGTCGGGCTTGCCGAAATCTTTTTGGGCTGAAGCCATTATGACTGCCAATTACATTCGAAATCGTTGCTATACGAATACCATCGGCTGTACCCCGTACGAGAAGTGGACTGGACGCAAGCCCGACGTCTCGCACATGAGACCTTTTGGAGAGAAAGTCTACGCTCTCGACAAAACTCCAACTAAAGGCAAATTTGACTGCCGTGGACTTGAAGGATATTTTCTCGGGTATGCCGATAATTCTAAAGCATATCGAGTTTGGCTCGTAAACGCAANCTACTCCGGCTACATGTTCTCTCTTTCCAACAGCGCAGTTTCTTGGTGCTCAAAGAAGCAGAAGTCGGTAGCTCTGTCCTCGACCGAGGCAGAGTACATGAGCCTGTCCGATGCGGCCAAGGAGGCCATTTTTCTTTCCAACCTTCTGAAGGAACTTGGTTTCGACGACTTGTCTCGGATTACAGTCTACAACGACAATCAATCCGCAGCAAAATTAGCGTCGAACCCAGTCTTCCATGCTCGATCCAAACACATCGACATAAGAGCGCACTTCATCCGCGAGGTGCTGAAGAACGGAAAGTTTGATTTGAAATATCTATCCACTGAAGAGATGACTGCCGATATTTTAACTAAAGCTTTGCCCAAGGCAAAAGTTGATTATTGTGTTAAAGGTTTAGGACTTTTATATTAAGAATAATTTCGATTATGGGAGCGTGTTAGATATACTTATTTTATACTCTCATCTAATGTTAATCTGTAATTATTCTGTATTTTTATTCTTTATTTGATTTTCGCGCTTACACCAGATGTCGCGCTCACCTTTCTTTGTATCCGGCCTCTCGGCCCTTTTTGTGTAACCGCTCACTCGCTCTTCTCGCGCCTACTCGAGAGCTCATATACTTTGTACGTAAATTGTGTTTAATTAATAAAAGTTATAATTAACAAGTGTTAGTCTCACTCTTAATTCTCACATATAATTCATGCAATGCAGCGTTTAATGTAAAGTTTGAACTAAGAATTTTTTTCAATTTTATGTCGAAAAACATGACACGAAATAATTTTTATAGAGAAAAGTTGATAAAAATTTTACCAGATGCAGTCGATTTTATGCTTTTATTACTGAAAGTTACGAGTTTTTCTACAGGAAAAAAGTTTTTCTGATCAACGACAATTTTTTCTACATCGATAGTTTATTTTTATTACATGAAATTGAATTGTGTTTCAACATTTTTAACAAGAAGCAATAAATAAGAACAACCTCATTTTTTATTCCAATATCCCACAATTGCATTTATTTGATTTATCTTTTGATCATCAGGCTAGCAGCTAATCGAAAGCATTTGGACTAATTACTGCATCGGAACTAAACCTTGAGCGCTTTGTACTTTTGTCAAGCAATAAATACACATCTCTCAAATTATAAAATGAGTACTATGGAAGATTGAATTCAGATTTCTTGTTAAACGAAAGACAGGCCACCGGCAAACTGGTCTTCACAGTTGGCAATTTGCCTCGACGGAGCTCGCATTTTTCTCAAATTTTCTTTAGTATGTCTTTTATTGCCAGATTCTTTTGTTTCGCGTCGCGTCTTTTGCCTTTTTGAAAGTACAAAATAATGCCTTGCGAGAATTTTGAACTGGCCTCCCTATTGATGTTGTCGATGTAATGTCGGTGACGTAAGCTATTAGTCCGAGCAATACGTTTGGAAATTGCCTGACATTACCCCGCTAGGGTTATTTTGGATAAAACTTGGATAAAACTTAGGATGAAACATATTAAACCTTGGGAACTAAACTTGCATCAAGTTACTATTTTCAAGTTCATTTGCATATTGATGCGAGGATAAAAGTGCATACATACTTATATTATAACTCTTTGGAAGATAAAAGGTTTAATAATGAGGAAAAGACTTTAAGAGACAAAGTCTCAGGGTCATTTATTATATCACATTGAAATTAAGGAAAACCAAGCAAAACTTCTCAAATTCATTGAAAATTTTCCGATCTAGAGTCTATTTATTACTTTGATTTTGTAAAAACCAGCAGCAATTAATTGATACCAAGATAAGCGGATATAATATGTAAATAAAGTTAAAGTTCCGATAAAGACTTGGTTTTACTTACCGAGAGCGTCATTCCAGGAAAATGCAAACAAAGAGGCACCTGTGGCCAGTCGTCGGCTACGTAGAAATGAAACTCCCAGACTTTGTTGCGCATGTAGGTCAGCAGAGTTTGATGAAACTACAACATACACTCACGCACACAGATATAGACATGTATGAAATATATCAATAATAAGAACAAGCGGATTAAGTTGTTTTATTTTTCTTATTACACTTTGAAAAGGCTTCGCTTTTCAATTGCTCTTTTTCCTTTCGTTCTTTAATTTGCCCTTAAATCGTGCAAGAATTCACGGCTACACAAATGATTTTAATGAATCGTCAAATTCATTTCCTATGTAAAAACGTGAAGGTATAATCTTTTTTCATAAAAATTACGTAAGAATTGAGACATTTGTACTGTAAATATGTCGCATTTGCTCAAGTAAAGCACTGGAAAAACTTTTTCCATTCACATCTTCGTGATTCATAACGCGTCGAAACCCTTGAAGTGCAAATTTGAAAGGAAGCATCTTTAATTAAAGTCGAGCTTTTCAATATTTCACAGCTAATTCATGTATCTGTAATGTGTGTGATTATTATTAACCTGGAACATTTACAAGACACAACTTTGTGACAATTTAATGAGACCTTGCCTTGATGATACAAAGCACATTTTCCATCTTATGCGTACACCCACCTGTATCGCTCTGGATTTCAGAAAGTTTTTATTCAAGAAATTTTTCTTTACAAATTGCTTCCGACAAAAAGTTAACGAGTGTAGAATTGTCAGGATTCATCTAGTTGTCCTTGTGGCTTCTTTTAAATTACACGTAGGATTTCATTTGTTTTAATTTGTGTATATTTTTATAGCTTGACAACAATAATTCATACTTAAACTTTAGGTATATTTTTGCACTTCGAAGCACATTAAAATATTCAGACAAGGGTAGAATTGCGATACAGCAGTATCCAAATCTCGAAACCCGCGAAACATTGTAAAAATTTCCATACCTCATGCATATTAATCTCGCTCCTCTAAATTCAAATTCGGCCTGCACATGCACCCTCTTTACGTACTTGCATGTTTACTATCGCATCCGTAAATGGTAAAAAAGGCTTACGATAGCTCCTATAAATATCTTACAAAAATGAAAAAAATACGCTGTGAACCAAACTGAAAGAATGCGACAAATGAGTATTTTTTTTAAATTATTTACACCAATAGCTATCGAAGCGGAGTTAAAATTCGTGACGCGATTTCGTAAAAATAAATTCTCCCAACAAATGAGCAAATCTATTCGAAGCAAAAAAACTAGTATAGCTACACACGATAGGTATTTTAGATTGACGTTGTGCTGTGCAGCTGCTGGCACGTACGAACATACATTGTTGTGCGCGATCGGTCACAGGTGCGATACGCGTAGCGCGTCTTATATATCGTCGAATGTCAAGGTTACTAAAGCCATTTTCACCTTCCTCGAGCTTTACATGCTCCCGCACAGCTCCAGCTCTGTTTCAGGATAATAGTATAGCCACGCAAGTGAGAGAGAAAGAGAAAAAAACACGTCTATCGCGTGAATTATGAATATTAGAAAAAAGAACTGAGGCGAGCGCACGTGTTTCCTTCTCCGGGATTTTGATCACGTAACTCTTTGACTTTTAATCCAAGTAAAATTCTGCGATCACTTTTTTTCGCTTTTATTGATTCAAGATGCATGATGAATTTTTTAAACCATGCGGAAACATTACTAATTGTGCGGTTGTGCATAACGCGACTTATGCTTTTTCAACTGGAGTGACCTTTTGCATTAACAGAGTTTATTTTACATTGACCTCTAGATGGCCAATCAAAGTCAATGGAACTGATTAGGGACGAATGTATTTTCTAATTAGCACTAATACTTGCAATGTTTAATTTTTTCCAGATGTATGAAATATTATTGTAGATTTCTCGCAAACTAATTGTTGCGTTTTTTTGAAACTTATAAATTAAAAAATTATAATGAATTTACTTTTTTATGAAAAATGTATCTTTTCAAGAGTTTCTATGCTGAAATGGTTTTGACTAAATAATAAATAATAATAGTAATAATAGTAATAATAATAAAGTGCTTAATTTATTTCAAAATTTATTCTAATTCCAACACATTTTGAAAGCCAGAATACTTTCATTAAAAAAATGTATCCTCAAATTGTCGAAATTTTTATGCTACGCAATCGATTGAACAGGTTTCAACTCGTCACGAACAGGCATCAATGATAGATTGACAATTATAAATAGTGTAGTCAACGTTTTCACATGATAAGCTTGAATCGTTGCTATGTGTTCTTGACAGAATGGTGTAGAACATTATACCAGTTTTGCTAAAAGGATTCTGTTAACCCTTTAACGAACATTTTGCAATACTGCCAGTCTGTGATAAAATCATTAATACTCCACATGATTCAAATAATTAATTAATTTTTATTTAGTTGAATCAAGTAAACGGATTCAAGATTTAGATGGAGTAAAAAAGAGACAAATAATTTGACTATATGATAATAGTCAAAATTTTTATTTTTAGTCGTCATAAAAATTTTGAGTGTCATTCCCTTCATATTTCACCTTTTTAAAAATTAATTCAAAATAAAATTGTTTTATGCAGTTATCAATCTTACCGGTTAAGAATTATAATGAGTAATCCAATATTTTACTATAATACTATTACCATTGACTTCTTTTATCGTTTATTTTGGAGAGCTTCGTTATGATGCGCTTCTATTTTGATTATCTGTCAAAAAGTATATTGATTATCAGTACTAGGATAGCAGGAGTGGATGCGACTTATGACCATCGAAATTCGATCGAATTTTAAAATGACATTTATGAAATGAAGAGTTTCTAATGCAGAACCTACTTTCATGCCTATGACATTCCATTTTTATTCGCTTATAAATAAAATATTTTGGCTGATATTCAAGAAATCTCTTAAAAAGTAGGCATATTTTATACTCTTTTAATGATACGATGAAGCCAAATATTCTTTGCATTAAAGCAAATATGGAGAATCTCTTTCGTTACAATTAAAATCGTTTATTCTTAGAGCATTAACTTATAATCCAATCCTTCAATTGTTTGTATCATAGTTCCATCGTATTAATAAATCCTTTAAATTTCATCAATTTACATGAGCTTCATAATAGTATAAGATGCTCTTCGCAGCATCATTTTTTCGAGCTTTCCAACCGAAAAAAGCTTTCAATTGAAAGCTGGTACTGGGATAATCTTTCATATTCAAGTAAAGCTTCAAGCTGTACTTTTTTCAAAAAAAAAAAAAAAAAAAAAAAAAAAAAAAAAAAAAAAAAAAAAAAAAAAAAAAAAAAAAAAAAAAAAAAAAAAAAAAAAAAAAAAAAAAAAAAAAAAAAAAAAAAAAAAAAAAAAAAAAAAAAAAAAAAAAAAAAAAAAAAAAAAAAAAAAAAAAAAAAAAAAAAAAAAAAAAAAAAAAAAAAAAAAAAAAAAAAAAAAAAAAAAAAAAAAAAAAAAAAAAAAAAAAAAAAAAAAAAAAAAAAAAAAAAAAAAAAAAAAAAAAAAAAAAAAAAAAAAAAAAAAAAAAAAAAAAAAAAAAATGTCGACTCGTATCGAAATCCAAAATTCGCAACTTACGCGCGTGGTGAGTGCACGAACGCTAGCGAGTGTGCGAGCGTAAGTGAGTGTGTGCGCGAGTGTAAGTTGACCTTGGCCCTGCTGCTGCTCTGCTGCACCCGTTGGCAGGCTATATCATATATGAAAGTTCACGAATGCTGCAGCGGCGCGCTCACACACGCGAGACTTAGATCGCAAAAATTCATATCCTTCTTACACAAAAAACGAGAGAAAATCGTACTTTAGCAATGACAATATCATGCCTATACGTGAGTTGATTAAAAATTTGAACATTCAAATAATTTTTTCTGCACACAAAATAAACTTTATCGCGTATATCATTTCTAACTAAAACAATTGAATGCGGAAACAGCTGCTCTTGTACAGAATTAATACAAATTTATGAAAAAAAGACTCAATAAGAAAAATTCTTCAGCTTTATAATTATGTCAAACTGCTAAATTCTTGCAAACTACCCTGACATTGTTCTGGCAAGAGATCTACATTTCCGCCCGACGAGCTTACGAGGAATTTCTCAGAAATGTATAATAGCGGGAGTCGAGAAAATGTAATGATGACTTTTGAACTATTTGTCATTTGGTCTTCGTTGGCAATTTTGAACCATTAAGGTCAAGTGCTAACACGGAATAAAAAAGACCAAAAAGTCGATCGATTTAATTCAGCATCGATTGTCGCGTGCTGATAAACTGTTGCAGTTGCAGCTATTTTAATCCTGATTTTCATTTAGAAATCAAAAATTACTGCGTTTGCTTGACATTAGATATCAAATGTGTATCGATGATTTGAAATTCAATGGTACTAGGTTTATTTTCTTTCTTTTTTCAATTGCATTTTTTTAAAATATCTTTTCTGGTGTTGATATTTTTTCAAAATACTTCCATTTTACGTAAAATTCATGGTCATTTATTGAGCTACAACGTCTACTTGATGTACACTTTTTCAAAACATGAATGGTTACGATTGAGTGAGACCGTAAAGGGCCTTTATGTAGGGTAACCTAAGTTCGATCGTTTTCATCATCCCGAGGTTGCGATCGTAACCATTGATGTTCCGAAAAATTAGACACCGTCTAGATGCTGTATGTCAAATATGTAACACCAGAAAAAGTAAAAAGGGGCGCGTGAAGTTTACAAAACTCATAAATGAAAATGGACTTATTTCAGTAAAAAATCCAAATTTTTGCAATTCAAAAAAATGCAATAAAAAAAGAAAGAAGACCTTTTTAAAAGTTTTTTGATTTTAAGATTTCTTTGAGTCTTAAAATGTAATTAGAACTCGTTTTTATTAAATCGTTACTTAATCGTTCGTGCAAAAAGTTAAAATGCATTATATTTTGGGTTTACTAATGCGATTGAATCACTTGTTTCTTAAATAAATATTGACCTTTCACTCACTCTTAAATTTACTAAAAAAGAAAGATAAAACCTTGAACAGGGGTAGAATTTTATTTTCTTATCGCCCTATATCGTATTGCGATCTATGCTTCATCAGCAGTGTTCATAATTGATATGTATACTCGGAAATTAAATTCGCAGACTCGGTGTGGTGACCAACGAGTTAATCGAGCTGAGTTGGTGGCATATAACTGATGCTATTTATAAACCTGTTATACTTACGCTTAGTATAGAAAGTTACAGTAACTAATTTTTTGAGTTATTTTATGTACAAAAACTTAATGACTAAGATTATTTAACGAATCATTTTAAAATATTCAGGGTTCAGAAAAAATTTTATTTCAAAAGCAATAATTTTTTCAATTGATTGCGAAATCGTTCACTGTATGATGTAGTTAATTTTTAACAGCAGAATATATCTTCCCTTAATATTTTCGTACAATATCAACGTCCACTGATGTTGATCTTGGAATGAAAAATAAAAAAATCATAAATAATCTAAATTATCCTCAAGTTATACCCGAGTAGGGAGTCGCTTGTAAACCATTATGCATAATTTATTATCCCATATTTCCGCCACTTTTGCAAATTCAACCGTTTGCGTTACGAAGGCACGTGGGGACAAACAAATGTTTATTTTAAGATATTTTAATTTGAAGCTCACGATCGATAAAGGTACCTCGCCTATTCTATTATTTATTAGGATCTTATACGAAAGAAAGAGAGAAAGAGAGAGATCCAAACTAGCCGGTGCGAGAGAAAATAATAGTCTTGTAAAAATAATTGGGGGCCGCACTGGTCTTAATCGTAGTGAAGAACAAACACGACGCAAACGTATGAACGTGTATCGACGCTTTTATATATATGGATGTGTACTACATGCACACACGTACCACTTGCGGCACCGAGTAACTCCTTTTAAAAACACAAAACGAAAATTGTTGCTTTTCTCGTCACGTTTGAAGCGGCCTTTCTTCATATACGCATGCATGTTTGCTTACCATACTAGAAGGACAAACATATGAAAATAAAGTTTATATTCATGACTTCATAATGAATCGTGCGCTGCCGCATTACATAGTGAATTGCATCGATTTGCGATTGCACGTTTTGCTTCTATGTGCGCTGCTCTGATACACATACAATACCTTCGTTTGTTTTCATTATTTATAAATAAGCATGTACCGACATTGTACAATGCATCGCCGCAGAGGTACATGCACCTAAGTGCAATGCGCAAAATGATTAAGGACGCTGCGCTAATGTAACCAGCATATATAATACGACACGACTCGGCGTTATGTTACACGTGAAAATGTCGTCCCTTTTTCTTAAGAAGCCCGCTGCTTGCCAATTGCTTGTCGTTGCAGTCGATTTTTCAGCACACATCTATTTTGCCTAAATGCTCATACGCTATTTATTCGTGTGTAGTCAAGGTCTTATTTTTTATTTTCTATTTCTGGATACGAATACCCGTAATTTTCTTTTAATGTTGTTTTCATATCAATGCCTCGGTACATTATCATGCGAACTGTTCTCGATGTTAAAGAACAATTAAATGCTTCAATGAATTTCATTGATGTGACAATTTTTAGCTTAACACACTCGAATTAATTTAATTTAATAAATATTTCTAAATGCATCAAGAAAATACTCTTCATATTTATTTAAAAATTTTTAATGGATCATTAGCAAAGATTTCCGTTGTAATGAATTTGAAAAGAGACTTCTTGATCTCTGTCTAGCGAACAGTTGCTAACTTTAGTCTGTCACCTCGAAAAAATACAAATTTCACTTGCAAACGTATGAGTTTGTCCGTATATATAAGCTACTTGGATTTTGACACTTACTTTAAGTGATTCAGGCAAGTAGTTTGATAAAAAGTCCAGCAGTTGGGGCAACTCCTCGGAGGCTAGCAGTCGAAAATTCCTTCCACGTTCCAGCACCACGGGGCACTCCATACTGAAATTAAATTTTTCCTTGCTTAAATTTTCATGAATATACTCTTAGCGAATAACCCGCTGAGGGCTAATATGCTCGAGTTCGTTTCTCTTATCGATTCATAAATCATGCAATGCACGGATCAATTTGCGTTCACCACCAAATTAAAGTTTACATTATTTGTTCGGTGAATATCGATGACTTATTTGTGAGCTTTTCGATGTTTGGGTTTTGAAATATTTTAATTTAATGCGTCATTTTAAATTGATGTAATTAATATCTGTAGTTCGAAAGGTCACGATTTCTAGCTACGCATTAACCTTGACAAATTAAAGGTGTCGCATTGGAGAAAATGATTATTACGTGACAATTGTTATCACTTGACTGCATTCACAGCAATATAAGCATGAGAGCACTGCCAATTTGTAGTTAGCAAAATATCATTCGGTTTAATTACAATACTTCTCTCGACTGATTTCTCGAACATCTTCAATTGCACGCGCACTAGCATATAAATGGGATTTTCATTTCAACTTGATTAGTAAATACTTTAATTTCAACCGTTTCAAGTCGACAGATGTGAGTTAAAAATTTTGCACTAAAATATGCAACTAAAATTATCACCCAGCGCCGAGTCCACAAATGTATACATCCAGTAGTGAAGCTACATGCTTAGTCAGGCCAATACATAAGTCAGCGAACAATTCTCGTATTCACGTTATAATTATTCATATGATAGCTGAGAGTAGTCTTTCTTTGTATAATTTAACTAGAACATTATAGCTAGTGGGCAGTGAAGATTTCCATTGTTGTTCATTTATGGAAAACGATCAAACAAAAAAATTATTTTTCATGAACAAAAATGAAATTTGATATTATTCAAAATAAATCGACTTCATAGCATGCTCTTAACAAAGTTAAAAAATGTATATATTTTAGTTTTTTTCATTTATTTATTTATGTCCTTCAAACCTTAAATGTATAGAAATATATATATTATTTGAACTTAATATTGTTTGATTTCAATATGATTTATTATTTTTTACTTAAGTCCTGTAGAAAAAATTCGCCAAATTTTTACGAAGGTTATAAAATACCAATAAAAATTATGTTGAACAAGGGAATTCATATAAATAAATAGTATGCAGCATCCAAATACTTGTTTTATGAAAAAAATTGCAGTAAAGAATTTAATATTTCTTGAATTAAATTTTCAGTGGAAAAATGAAGCCTTCGTTCGTTTTTTCCTATTTCTGATTGGAAAATAAAGATACTCGTAGTGTTAGTTTGTAGTAATTTACACATGAATACATTTTTTCTCCTCTTGGGCTTTTTTCAGACGCTTTGAAGCGAAAAACGACAAAGGGTAGAAGCTCTTTCGTATCTCCAGAGTTACTAGGAATCTAGACTATCACAACTGAATTCTACAGGGAAGGTGCGAGTTAAAAAAGTGGCACGTTATTTTCACTGTCTTTTTGACATTTTTTGAATTATCGTCGCAACGCTTACATTCTCTTCTGGACAAAATTTTTTCGGGCAATTGTTTTGCAGAAATGACAACTGGGTATTTCGAATTCCCCTGTAGGTAAATGACATATTGCGTTAACTATATTTCTACTATCCATTTTCATTTCGAATCGATAACGTCATTTCAGGTGGCAAGGATGTAGGAAATGAATTTTTACATTGGATCAAGTTCATGTATTTAACTCGGCACGTAAAACACTGCGTATGATAATTTCACGCAAAACTTGCGAAAAACTTTCGTGGATACAAATATCGACACGACGGAACGATGAGCTGTAAAGCGGACTGTATTGCGCGTCAAATGGCTGTAATCCGATTGCGACTATATAGCCCTGCTCCGTGTCATTGCCGTCTTTGTTTCGCTTATTTAATTATGGCACGTGTATATTTTCTAGTTTGTCGTGTGCGGGTCACAATATTTTCTCAAAGCCCCAAGCTACAGGTGCACATAAATACATTTACAGCTCGCGTATACAACGGTCTCACTGACCGCTCATTCCGAGTCATTATTTTCTTGTTTAAAAAATTCAAATGAAGCAATCTGAGATTAAGCGTTTTCAAGGGAGCCGAGAGTAAAAATAAAAGCAAAGATGACGATTAGTTGCATAAAACGTTAACGAGCTGCTCAAGCCACCCTCTCCCCTTTTTAAAAGGTAGTTAGTTAGAGGTAATAGCCTGTGTTTATGTAGGAATCTACTGGAGCAAGAGTCTCAAGTAAACGTGGAAAATGAAACTCTTAATGGTTCCTAATTAACTTATGACTTTTTCAACCGAACCGACGCTCAAACAAGGGGTCTTTGATATCGATACGTTATCGGCAAAAATTGGTTTAAAATATTTCTTGTTAGCGCTCAACGACAATGAAAAAGCCTGCCAAGGGTTATTGGAAAATTCGATGTCTAGAATGATGCATCGAGTAAATTTCTCACGTAAAAAGTATCAAACGTTCCGCTCATATGATCGGGTGGCTGAGGGAGTTTTTTTGGTTCTTTTGGGTGTGAGATGCAACGTTTCATGTCCTCATTGGCTCGGAAAAGAAATTGGTGCAACTTAAAAAACTGTTTTTTGCGAATAAATCAAACGTAGGTACAGGAGGCTTTTGAAAGCACATTCACAAAGCTGAATCCATCTACGCTATAAAGTTAAGTCCCCTATACTATAATTGGTCCGGACGTATGTTCAGTGGTCGAAAAAAAACAACCCACCCAAAGGGAAATGAACAAATTTTCCCCTGTGAGTCACATAAATCAATACTCTAGCTCGTTCATCATCATTCCTGCGATTACGGTGATAATAATGGTTAATGCGAACCGTGCACCAGAGAATCTTGATACATTGGATTCTAATTCTCCTCAAGAAAAAAGTGCGCGTTCACGCGAGAGCTGACCGCGATTTATCCCGCAGTACATTCACACACGCGAGCACTACACACTTGTGCACACACACACACACACACACACACACTCACACATAATATACATGTATACACGATAAACTGATTTATCGATCCGGTCATTTCTATTTTGCAGGGCGAGTTGCAGCTTGTATAGCATACATAGCCCTTTTTATCTCTCTCTCTCTCTCTCTCTCTCTCTCTCCTGTACCTCGAGTCTTGATACACAGTATGAAAAGCTTTCATTTTCACCCACTCGCTCATCAGTCTTTAAGAGTGTGAGACAGGGAGCTGCAACTATACCCGCGAGTGATTTGTCCTTGGCTTCGACGAGCTACGCATGCAACTTATGGGACGGACCGAAGCCGTATTCAAGACTTTTGCTAATCTAAAGACAAAATAGCCGATGCAGAAAAATATGTCGTCGTCGTTTACTTTTTTTATTCTTTTTGAAAAATAGCTCACGTCTGCAGCTTTTAGAATTAAAGAAAATTATTGATTTTCACTGGATGAAGCAGCTAAGATTGAGAACGATACTTGAGTTGCTTTTATTATAGCCCTCTGTATTTAGTTATTACAGCTGTTGTTATACGACTCGTAGGATAACGTAAACTGCTGGAGCTCGTGTCGCTTGTGTGCAAGTTCAAGCTTTCTTCGGTCGAATTATGATAGCGGTAATCGCGCGATGACAGCAAGGTTACGTTCAAACGATTGAAATCGCAATGCAAAAAAGAAGATATCGACCCTATATAGGTCGTCCAATCCAACTTTTTCGCCTGAAATATTCGATAAATTTAGAACTTTAAACTTCCAAGATAGCTTCAATTCTGGAATTGTATACTTGTATGATTCCAACGATTTATCGCACTATCCTTTTTTGCGCGCAGGCGTTGATAAAAACTTTCGACCATATAGCACTCGGGATTATTTACGACTTTTATCGACGTTCATTCGGAGAAAATTTTGAAAAAGCGACTCGCGGGACATCTTTTGCAGATGCTCACTGTATTACGCGATCCAAATGATAAATTCATCTCGAGCTCATAACTTCACCAACGCATTAACTCGAATTTGTGCTCGCATGGGTGTCGGGACTACAAGTACGTACAAGGACCATATAGCACGTGTAAAGCCGAAAAGAGATGCAAACAACTGTATCGCCGCAGTTGAGAAAAAATACAGCGATCGCGATACATAGAGACGTCTGACGCGTGTGCTTGTTAAAATTCACGCCAATTTCCACTGCTTCGTGAGCGAAATACAACTGCTTGCGGAGCCACCTGTATATGTGTAAAACAGGTGAAATGCGGCATTTTGCATAAACTAGACAATGATATAAAAGTATGTGAATCTCACTATTTTATCGAGAAAAAATGCTTATGCATTTGTTCGGCGTCATTGTAACTTGTTTCAGACATTATTATTGTCAAATAAAAAATATACATTTTTATGAACGGCGCATGAGAAAGAACTCATTTAATTTAAATAAAATAAACTCTCGGTCATTTTCCTATGAATAACTATTGATTATTTAAGTGAACTTAGTTATTTTACCGATTCCAAAACGATAAATTTTACTAATTCATGAGCTTGTATTGGAACAAATTGACTTGAGTCGGCATTACACAGACTTTAATTAGCTTTGAGGGGTTTCAATAATTTAATTTCGAATTAAGAGTATTACAATCAATTTTAACGTGACAAATCACATTCACTCAATCGGTCGTTTTTTAATATTTTTAAATATCAATCTTTTTGAACAATTTTAGGCAAGGTAAAGTAGTTTTCCTTGAACAAGTCGTTCGTCTATGAATGATACGAGGAAGTTTTGAAATAAAGATACCGAAAGTCATTTTAAAAATAACGGCTTAATCTGTCTGATGAAAACTATTATTTAAAAATCAAGTTATACTTGAAGCAGTTGAATTATTTCTTGCAATATACTGCTGTCAAACGAGTCTTTCATCTGACCAAATGTATAATTTCGAATTACACTTATTTCATCTGCAATGAGATGGGAATGTGGACGGTATTCATTATAGTGTCAGCCAAACTGGGTGAATATGATATGTATATATTTATAGATGGAGCGACACACGGCATCCGATATCCACCGAAGCTATATTAATTTACGCGTCTATACGTAAGCGTGTGTAATTTCAATAATAAAGCCTGAGGCATTAAATTGACCCAAACTGCATACAGCTTGTAACCTGGGCCCTTATTGCCCATTTTAATTCGTTAATTGTCCTGAATAATTTTACATCCTTTCGGGCGTTAAAAATAATTTGCGATTGAATAAATCTTTTCTATGAAAGTTTCGATCGCATTGAAAATAGTTTGAATATTTTAGCAACTTGAATGTGATTCAGACGGTGAATTTTTTTGAATTTTCTCAAGTACTCTTAAAAAGAAGTAAAATTAACTTTGAATGATTATGACAAAACTTTCATCGCACGTAAAAAATGTTTGGATATATAGACTCTGATGCGACGTTTGATAGTCTCTTATTATTATTTGAAAGCTGCATTATTGCTTCAGAGATAGCTTCTAAAAATATTTGTTGCGTATGCAAAGTAATCCATACTTATTTGATACGCTATAAGAGTTTCAAAAAAGCTCAACATATTTGTAGTAAAATAAGTCGTAAAAACATCCGCATGCCAGATGAAAAAAAATTATTATCATAGCATTCACACGAGCAGGCGCTTCATTGAATTTTGATTGGGGAAATTCATTCGAATCGAAATCGAGTAGAAGAGATAAAATAGAATACTCGCTTGGCCATTATTAGCAATTTCTCATTCTCAGTCTTATCTGCGACGGTCGCGCTCTCGCAGCAGCGAGATCGTTCAACGAGCGCATAATTTAGCCGTCAAGGAGCCGCGTCATTTGTTCGTCCGTCAGTTGCAGGCTGCAGCTACAAACGTATCTTTTCCAGGCTCCTCCTTTGGAAATTGAGGCAACGGTAATCGCGTTCACAGCTTCGCAACGGGATCAATTATTCAATTTATTCGGCCGGTGCTTACGGGGCTGGGGGTTACTTGGCTTATCGATTCGGTCGCTAATCGAACTTTAATTTCGGAGCAACGGCAGAGAAATAGTGCCGGACAAAAAGCAAAGAAGCCAATTGATTTTGCCGCATCGGCATAAGTCCGCAAGGAGAGAAACGAGGCAATTACGAAGCTGCATCAGTCTTTCAGCGATGGTCGGCCGAGCACGTGCCACTGGACTGCGCGTAATCCGCGGCTACGACTCTCGGCATCGCTCACGGCATCAATGGGCTTGCGCGCGTATTACGTACTGCATGGTGGTGGGTACTCACGCGCGCGAGCCGCATCCTCCACCGCACGCGTAAGCCATGCACGAGTCGCGCGAGAAAATCATCACGCGGACTCGATCTTGTACAATGCATCGAAAGCGAGTTACGCAAGGATCAAACAAGCCATATGTCGGCGAGGACTTTTGCCTCTCGAGGGCTATCGAGCGACACTTTTTTCTACAATTTTTCGTGCCAAGTAGCAAGAGTTTCAAAGTACGTAAAGGCAGCAGGCATTGGAGAGAGGTGTGCGATCGATCGGAGCTATTTTCCTCATCAACAAGATGTCTCGGTCGAGCTCGCGTGAAACGATACTTGGACAATTGCATGCATATGGATGAATGGCTTACCTGCGGCACGAGGGGAGTTGGCGTTTGTACCAATGCGCGGCTGCAACTCTATGCGTTCGTCCGCTCGTCCGTCTCAGCCGCCGCAACCGAAGCACGACATGATCTCGCACGATCCGTGGCTCTCTTCTTACTCAACGGACTCGAGTCGTACGTGTGATATAATACCTACGGTACACTACGTGTATGTGTCGCTCTCGCGTCGAGGGGAAGAATTTTTTTCTCTCTTTTTTTTCTCTCCCGTCGACCGTTCCACGCTCTAACCGTTTTTTTCTCTCTCTCACTCTCTGCAGCTTCTATTGTACAAAGTTTAAGCGAGGGAGAGAGAAAAAGATCGGAGAAGAAATTCTCGCTCTCGGATGGCAAAGATTCTGAGACTGCAGCAGCGGCTGGATAAGCAAGCGCAGAGACAGCCCAGCCGCCCTCGCCGCCCCCAGAAGCCGCACTACTATGCCGCTTCCCGATTCAGCCCCGCGATGCTTTCAAAGGTCCGAGTCGGCCGCCACCGCCGCCTCCATTATCCGTGTGTGTGTGTGTGTGTGTGCTGCGCGTACGTATAGCAGCGACGACCACTACTACCTAGTCTAGCACCAGCTACGCGACTCGGAGCAGTGCAAGAGCTAGACGAGCGCCGCTCCGCTGCGGTTGTATAAGTGCGCGCGCGATTCCGTGTGACTAGGAACTTGGCTCGCGTGCTCGTGTGCAGCCACCAGCGCCAGTGACAAGTTCCCGCACACACACACATCTCGTTTCGTGCGTGTGTACCCCCTACCCCCTTCCATTCACCCTCTCTCGCTCGTTCGTCTGCATTAATACTACCCTAGCTCGGTCGCACCTAGTGTGTGAGCGGATTCTCGCTTCTTCTGCACGACTTTCGGCTGAATTTCCGTGCGAAGGGGGTCGCGAACATGCGCACAAACTCGCACAGCTGCTGCTGCGCTGTACTGCATACCTAGCACACCTATAGACCTATCTAGATATATTGCCTTTTCAGCTCGCAAAGGGTAAACGCGCTCTATCCCGCGTAGTACCGTTATACCCTTGGCTTGCGGCCCGTCGCCTCGACTCCTGCTCTCTTCGAGTTCTGCTTTATCGGCTGCACCCTGTTTGCCGTCCCAGCTGCGATACGGCCTACAATGTGTTTTCTTAAACCCTTTTATCCTTCCATGGGCAGGAGCTGCAATTTTAACAATAATCAACCTATTTATTTCAATAACTCTTGGAAATCTGTGTACCTTACGGTTTAAAAAACCAAAGATACTTTGAAGCGTACATAGAAGATACTTTGTAGCAAAAAAAAAACAGTTTTTTTTCATTGATTCTTAATAAATCACTCGTGTAAAGTAGCGTATGCCAATCTCTTTCAACTCTTCAATATAAATTTTATAGTTTTCTTTTATGCGATTTACTATTTTGTAAATTATAACAAACACTTTTACTCCAACAACAGCCAAGTGTAAGATTAAAGAAATTTTGTGGATAATAGAATAAAATATAAAACTTTACCAGCATACAAGTATGACAACAAACTCGAGCTTTATTATTATATGTATGTTCCCCTTACAAATACCAAAAATTTGACCCTATTGGATAGTCTTTCAAATTACAAATCCAAGAAAAGTAATTTTCTTCTTCTAGCTTTAATCACGCACGAAATTTGATGCAGCATTTGACCTTTGACACGCTTTCCCTACGAGACTGCAAATAAGTATACTGCACCGCACGCAACTCCCACTTATTTCACGTACATCACATTACAATTACAAGATTGAATAAGTTACTACGGGGAATCACGATTCAAAATCTGAGTCTCGGATTAACGAGGTTTTACCGAGAAAGAAGAAAACTACGATGAGCGAACTTTTCGCGTTCATTTATTTTAATGAATATTATACATTTGTATTTTTAGATTTTTTATTCATTATTTTGTTAACAAGAGTAAATGGTGCAGAAGCAAAATAGAATCATTAAATTAAACTGTATTAAGGAAGTTTTAAATAGTCATATTTTACGACTGTCTTTTATAAATTTCAAAATCATCGTGTGCCATAATCTTATGATCACAACACAGTATGTCTTGTTGACATTAGTTGAGAAAAAAAGTCCTCCATTAATAATCAGGGTGTGGAAAAGAGATCAAGTGTACAATTTCATACTAAGAATATATATTTTTCCTTCCCTATATTTCTCTCGTATTTCCATTTGCAGAATTTAACGAGGCTGCGACGCAAATACATGTACCTATAAAACGACTCCTCTAATTTTCGCGCTTTCCCGGTTGAGCTGGCGCCCCTGCGTACGTATATACATACATGGAAAGCAAGGGAGAGAGACGCAGAGATAGAACGGCGCGCAGTAGCCAACGCGAGTTTCATCATTGCGTTTACGAATCGATCGTAAACGCTGAGAGAGACAAGGAGCTTTTCCGTGCAAAGTCGAGGCAGTTGTGGTGCCGACAGCCGTCCTACGCGCATCGTCCTGCAATCGTTTTTTTTTTTTTTTTTGCTCCAAACAGCTGCTGAGGTTCGCGTCCATTTTTTCTCGTTATTCTTACAATTTACAAAAACATGGGACTCGATAAAGGTAGAATTTTATATAAAGTATCTGTTGATTAAAGTTAAAAAGGTCATAAGGTATCAGTAAACCAGCATGGAACTTTCAAAAACTATACGCTTACAACAGACTGAAACGAGACTGCATTTTCACATGGTTTTAGGTAAAAAAACAGCTTCCTTATACTTAGACAATACTTTTAAGATAATTTTTGAAAACCAGGCTAATTGGAACGTGTTCATTGGGTGAAAAAAAAAAAATATACGCATTTAATTTTGTAAATTTCACGGAGTATTTTTTTTAAATAGCTTGAAAATTATTTCAAAATGTTTTAATTCAGAAAAAGACACGTGTATTTTACTTTTCAATATATGAAAAAATATTAGTTATGTTCTTAATTTTGCAGGCAGAATTTGATAGACTATAATGTTATTTCTTTTTGGATATCCATCGTTTTGATAATTCCTCTTGGAATATTTACACTATGTAATACTTACCAAAAGGCCTGAAAACATCTCGATGTTTCGTCAACCAGAATTAAAATGTGGAGTAAGTACTTTTTGAATGATTTATTTCGAAAATGTTTAATTGCACAAATGCACTCGATCGAGATGAAAAAACATTAAGTAATAATTTCATGCAATTATTAGTATGAATAAAATCGAGAGAAAAATTTCTCAATTATAAATCTGATTTACTATGGTAAGTAATAGTAGAAAACTTGTGAGTCTAAAAGTCCGCGACTCTCATCTACAAGTTGTTGTAACAGATGACAGCACATTCGTTGCTCAGGTAGTCTCTGGCGCCCACGCAACAACGTTTTACTCGGCTCGTATCGCAAACGAGCAAAAGCGGCGTTGCCACGATCGACGTCGAGTATCGACACTCCAAAAATTCCGATCGGTTTAATTTCCTTCTTTCCAAGCTCTCGCTTTTCCATCATTCTCGAAGCTTTCGATGTACAAATTGAAGCGTTGAAAGAGCTTTCGTCGATACAATTGCGATCGCGAATCGTCAAAATCGATCGAATACTTTCGCGTCGAGTTCGTTTACTGGAGGGTCGTTCGAAAGGCGCGACACAACTCGCCGTCTATCGAATTGAAAAAAAGCCGACAACAGCGCTCGAGAACGAGGCGAGGGCGTCGATCAGCTGCTGTTGCCGCGGCAGCAGTAGACAGTTTACAAAGCAAGTGCATGCGACCGCGTGCGCATTTCGGTTCCCTCATCATTATACACGGAGGCAGCTTTTGGGCGATCGACTCTACAAGCCGGCGACTGCTGCACGTGTGCGAGACACATAATCTTAAGCCCGCATAAACGCACAAATACAAACGAAATCGGTGTTTTCGACTATGAGCATCGAGGTAAGCCTAAGCCGAGCTGGGAGCTCTTTCACGCGTTAAAATGCACTTCTCCGCTCAGCACAGACTTGTATTGTTCAAATGTTATATACAGATAGCTGCTAAACTGTGAGACATGCTTACCGATTGACCGCTGTGCTTTTCTCGTAAATAATTAACGTGTCTCGAGCTACGAATAAGGCCATATGATCGATATACTCGACGACACGACTCGCATGCGTTTACTTTACTGTAATCTGACCAAGCTCGTCTAGACTTAAATATTATTTATGGGCAAAAGTGGCACGTTATTTATGAAAGCTACGATTTACGCAAGTACTTTCTGTGTGTATGCGATTTTTCTATATACTATGTGAGCATACAAACATGTGCGGCTTTGTTGACATTTTTACAGCGGAGTTCACAAGAGTTGCTTTTTACATGTGCGCGAAAGTAAAAGATTAACACTCCATCTCGTAGTTTACACCAGGTAGAGCGTTGCGGTGAGCTTTGAAATGGCTAAATTGATTATGAGTCGCGAGAAAAAATAATGAATTGATTGAGTTGTACAACGTTTTTCCAAGCTGTAGCTGTGATAGAACTCGGTGAATTGTAGATGCGTTGTCATTTAAATTAATATGTCAATGGCCGAATTTCAATAAAAAATGTCCATCCAAAGTTATTAGTGGCTATTAATAAATTAAATAACTCACATAGAAGAAAAGATCATTCGATACTTTTTTTTCACTACCTTCGGTCGATATAGTCTTCTCGAGAAAGATAAAACGAAGCTCAGTCTCTTTATTTCTACCAACAAAGTCCAGTAGATACGTTTTTTTAATTGAAGAAATAATTATAGAATAATAAATAAAAAAGACTCATCCCATTGGTCATCAATCATCACAATTCGTTTATACAAAATTAATATTTGGTGTTATTATACTCAAATTTAACATATCTCTACCGTCTCGTACTTATAACTTTTGTTTCTATGTATAAAAGTAAATAGCAATATCATTTTTATGATTATAATAACTTATACAAATTAATTTCAATATTATACTACTAAAATAAATGAAAACCAATAATTTTTAGTATGCTCAATCAAACTTATTAAATTATTATATTATCTTAGACCAAAATTCGCGCATCTGACTTACTTAATTTTCTATATTATAGATTACATTCATAAATTGAGTATGTCAAGAAGAAAAAGCGTAAGGGATAGACAATACGACAACGTGGATTACACACAGCTTACCGAAACCGATAATGGTTTCGTGGATTCACAGGTACGAATTTATACTGGTCAATGTTTGAATCATTCACTATTGGATTGTAAAACATTTTTTATTTTTCTAGTTTGTATCGCCTCCTATAAAAATACCTTGGAAGGCCATTACACTAGCCTCTTTGTTATTCGTTGGGGGCACTATCATGCTGGTTATAGGTAGTTTGATAGTGAGTGGACACATTGATTCAAAGGTAAAATAATCAAATATTTCAATTCATAAAAATAATTTATTGCAAATTAACAATACAATTGAATTTTTTTACACATTACTTATACGAACTTACTTGAGCTATAATTATTTTTTTTAGTATTCTGATAGAATGTGGCCAATCATAATATTAGGAGCTCTCATGTTTATACCTGGTGCTTATCATGTGAGAGTAGCCGTACAAGCTTATCGTAAAATTCCTGGTTATTCCTTTGATGATATTCCAGAGTTTGATTAGACAAGACTGTGTCTACGAAAAAAGTGCATAAATAACTACTTTTGATTCCACCAATATGTGCTGCTAACACACATTTATATAGTTCATTAAACTTGACACTATCAAAAAATTGAAATTCCGTCAAAGTGTTAAGATTTTAAATAATCATATTATGGCCTAAAAATTAATGAAAAAAATCGATGTTTTGAACGTTTTTATGTTTACTGTGATAGTACATGATAATTTTTTGTTAATTCAATGTTATACTTTGTAAATACTATCAAATATATGTCAATAATTAAAAAATAATTCTGATAAATTAAATGAAAAATAATTATTTAAAACTAAATAAAACCCTTAAAAGTCATTCTAATATATTGGATTCATATTTTTAATATGAAACATGTGTAATTAGATCGTTAAAAAAAAACATACAAAATAGTCGCATAACGAACAACTGTACACAAGTACGAGTACTATCACCAATTTTGTTACAAGTAAACTTCTACAGGCAGCATGGTTGAAATAAATTTAAAAATACACGAGTAAAAAGTTTTACGAAACTAAGACGAATTACATTCGGTAGTATCAACAAACAACAACAAAAAAAGTATATACATCTTCATGTAGGTCAAGACAGATGCGAAAAAGCATGACAAAAACTGACATAATAATTATTCACGACCAACATTTAAGGTAATTAACCAAAGTTTTACTAATTATTTTTACGTATTTGTTTGATTTTCGTTTTTGAACCCTAATTGGAGGAGTAAAATGTGTACCTAACAATTTTACAAGTAAATTTCTAACGCGTTTATAACGATCCCTTTCAATTACAGCTGTTTCATTCAACAGCAATCTGTTTTCATCAGGTATATCCTAAAATATTGAAATTTTATAATTAATAGCTGAAAAGATCAATTTTTTCAATTAAGAAAAAAAAATATTGGCTTACCTCAAAAACTATGTTTATCTTTAGCTGCTGAGGTTTGAGTTTATGTAGTGCTTGACCAACAGCCATTCTAATTTTTGAAACCATCCTCTTTATGATCAAGTAAAGTTCTTCTTCAAAAATATTACTATCAATTATTATAGTAGCAAATCCGTCTCGTATCTAAAACAGTAATAACGTTTATTTTTCAGAGTGAATGAATTTTTTTACAATCAAAAAGTATTTACATACTTTTAAATCATTGTAATAACCAAGATTCGTTGCGTATTCCAAGATTTGAAAAGCCAACGTTTCTTCATATGGAAGTATGGCATTGAGTAGTTCTTGATAAGTTTCTTTTCTGAAAGTCATTTCATTATCCATCACCAATCGACCAACGTCAGCAACTAAATCAATTTTTCTATGCCACATTAATAAGAAAATAAAAGTATCCACATATGAAGAGACATCTGAAAAAAAATTAAAATCATTTTTGATAAATTAGATTATTGTGCATAAATTCAGTTCCTTATAAATAGTGCTTACCAATGGGAAAATAATATATATATTGATCATTCAACAAAGCATTGAACAAATAAAATGCTTTTTCTGGATCGTTGAATGAAAGCGCCTTCAGTAAAATGAATACTATCTTGTTCCTGTGGTATAAATCTTGTTGTGTGTGATCTGTAGTGAGCCATTCGTCCCGATTAGTCCTTATAAGCCGCGTTTCTGAAAAAATGTCTTCAAGTGAAAGTGTTCCTTTAAGCAAAGATGCATAATTAAGACAAGTAATGGAGATTCAAAAGGATGTAGTAATTTTAAATAATGGCACATTTATTTACTTACGCGCCATTTAAATTTAGCACTGAGAGTCACTAGAGTAATTGCAGTGATACACAAGAAAATTCAAAGACATGCCTTAGAATCCTCACTACTTAGTCTTGACTATTGATTTTTCCGAATTTAATAAAAATATTTCAAGATATTATCACATTCACTAATAAAATCAAGTTTAAATATTGTCCCATATCTTAGTTAGCGTTACTTTCACAAAGGAAAGAAAACAACACAATAACAAATAATTCAGTTGGAACACGAAATAAATATAAATTTGTAATACTTTGGATGAACGATAGAATTATTTTTTTCATACAAAAACTAAAAGTTTTTTGATAGCTGACGAACAAAAGAAAATTCAACTCACTTTGTAACAAGTAGAGCGCTTCAACGGGATCGTAATTGGCTAAATAAATTTCAGCTCGAATCAGCACATACGCAGTTTTTGGTTCATCGGGTTCAATGATTTTAACCCAATCCAATAATTGCAGAGCCATAAGCCAGAGTTCCGCAACGGCCAAGTCGATAAGAGCACTTATGCATACCTCGAATAAGATTTCAACCGATTTTGTAGACGACGTACTTTTTACTGGTGCAACAGTCAGATAAAATGATTAAAAACAATTATTAAAGTATAGATGTATTTATTACTAATACACGAATCATTAAATTTACTGCTTACATAATTGATTAAGCATATACAATGTAAAAGATATACAACTGCTTAAATAAACAAAAAAACTATTAAGTCATTCGCATACTTGGTATGCGAATTGTAAAATTTTTTTATACTAGATTTTAGTGTATTTTCAACATTTCTATTTTACTAATTGCAGTCAATTATATAGATACAAGATTTAATTGCTTGATTATATATTTCATTTCGCTTAGTGCATTTTTGTTCGTTATTTTATAAGTGACGCGAAACAGCTCATTTGAATTCCAACATAAAGCGATTAAAATTCGGAGTTATACTAAAATGCATGGTCTTTAGTACAATTTCAATAAAAGTTTATATAATTAATAGGTATAAAAAGCCATTATAAGTTATCTCATAATTTAAGAAGATAGAAGATTTTTTTTCTCTTGATCTTATGTTTCAAAGTTTTACTAACTTACCATGTATTGTTTCTTTATTTATTTATTATAGTAATAAAAAATGTAAAAAGAATTTCAAATGAGTTGTTAATGATTTTGTCAAGTTCATGTGTTTTGACTTAAACAAAAAATTACTCTATAAATATTTTGATATAAAGTGAACTTATTAGATAAAATTGTGATGATTTAATTAATCTCAAAAATTATCATTTCCACAAAGAATAATAATTTGTGAGACTGCTAGTTAAGTACAAATTTGTGATGTACAAATAAAAGTATTGCTATGAATAATACATTCATATTTTTACGAAAAAAAATGATCATTTTTAAACTTGGAAAAATTTAAATGAACAACCAAAATAAGTTCTAAAAATTCATCATTAGAATGTGGATATAAACCCCAAGAAAATAAAATATTAGCATTCTTACAGCTGCTTATCCTTTCACGGACAAAAAAATTAATTTAGATATTATTTGAAATATTACTTTTCGGTCGAAAAGAAAGTTTGAACATTTTTAGTGAATTTAATCCTCTATAAAATCATCGTGTCAACTCATAAAATTTAATTTGACACGTTCTTTTTTGTTTGATTTTTAAAAAATATATTATTTTTTGTACGGCTATACTGTATAAATGATCAAAGAACAATTTCACTTCTATCTCTCCTTAAATAATCGACGATAGCATGTGTATTGTTACCTGCTCGCCTAATTACTTCTGTGATGTGTTGCTCGCTTTTCAAAACATTTTGGCAAAGTATTTGGTAATACGCTCGACGGACCAGCTCATCATTTACAGGTTCGCGGCTCATTTCATCCAACGTTTTCCAAACATAATCATAATCTTCATGTGATAAACCTTCTTCTATGTTTCTTACAGCTAAGTAAAGTTTCCAGAAACGATTTCTAAAGACACTTGTTGGATCTTGTTGTTCCATATCTGTTAATATTAATTTGAATACGAGTTTATTGTTTGATTCAAATAAGTTTTTAATAGTCAATGTATTAACTTAATGGGCTTATGCTCGAGTTTCCTAGAACGATTTTCCAGTTAAAAAGTTGAAAATGAGAAATATTTGAGCTTACCTATTTTTTTTACGGCATATTCTACAAAATTAGTATTTTCGCCTTTGTTTGGAGATTTTGCTTGCACTTCTAATGGTGAATTATTCGGTTGGCGCTCATTAGAGGTCGGTACGTGTGTGGGACTCGCAATTTGATTACTCACAACAAACTCAACTGATTTGTCAATTTCTGCTGAAGACATCCCATTTTCAAAGAATTTCGTACCAGTTTTATTTATTTGGGAATGGCTGAAAATTAAGAACCCATTAATTAGATAAAATATAAAAAACCAATCAAAAAGTAGAAAATTAGTAATATTTACCAAACGACTTGATTTTTTGGTTCATTAATTGCTGTTGTAACATGCCCTAAATTCGTAGAATCTGAGTCAACTTGGACTCCAAAACGCTTAACTAAACTATAAAATTCATTCAATAAATTTTGATTTAATGAGCTTCTGTCATAGTTACTCATTTTAAAAACTAATAGATTATAGATTTCTTTTATGTGTGCTTCACTTTTTTTCCTTTTTAGGCATTGTAACAATGATAGTTCAATTATATCATTAGGAAGGATGCATTTTTGCGCAAGATCTTTAATACTTTCCCAGCAAAAACCATCATTCATTTTATTTTTAACAATCCCGCAAATCGTAACTACTGATTGTTGATCTCCTTTATCAATAATTGTTGATATTTTTTTAACAAATGCTTCAACAGTAAATAGATGTCTATCCATACAAAAGTTAAATAAAGAACTAATTAATTGTCTCGAGCGGATCGAAGCTTTATATAATTTTTCGAATATAGTAAAAGCATCGTTATTCAAAATAGGTAATACTGTGGCCCAAATTGACTCAATAAAATGGACAAAGTCACTTCGAATGCATTGTTCTAAGATATTACCCACTGCCAAAGGACTTTTGCGTTTGATTTCATAGACCAAGGACTGCAACTAAAATTAAAATTAAAGATGATGAAATGTATATTTTTTAATGTAATTAATCAATCAGAGATAATAATTCATCAAATTAATATTTACCCCATGAGAAAATCTACAATTCGTATCGTGCGAACATTTTCCGACTCGCAGAGTTTGAAAGCAAAATCCGTAAAAAAAAGGTTTCTGGTCAAAAGACTGGCCAATTTGTCGAGGAGTACTAGGAGTATCCAACATGGATACGTGATCAAATGGTGTAGAGCTTCCATTACCAAAAGTTACTGATGGGTTGTCCAATTCGCTACGGTAAAATTCGTTCATATCACGATTCATCTGTTCTTCGTTCATTTCATAAAAAGCATCATTGAAACCCGTAGATGCAATCCTACTTGCAGCAGCTGCTGCCATAGGATTAGGAACAAACGTATTGCCTTCGTCTGGTGGAACTATTGGAGATCTAACGTTACCGTTCAATGTTAACTAAAACCAATTCAGATAAATTCATAATTTGTTAATAAAAGGCTATATATTTATTTACTCTAAGGAAAATGATTGCATAAATTTTTACCCTTGATTTTATCGATGTGGATGGTGCAGTTGCTGTATTTGAATTGACTGATCGATTTCCTACAAGAGAAATTCTTCCGTGTACACTGGGTCTTGATAGTGGAGGCAAAATTTTTCCAACGTTCACTCCCATTAAAGGTGGAATTGCCATTGAATTTACCGTACTTGGCCTAACCGATTGTGTTGAATTGATATTATTCTTTACTTGACGATGCGTGGAACTATTTCCAAGACGATCTCTCACGCTTGGTCGAGTTTCTAATATTTTTTCGCCATCTTTCAAACAAGTTGACCTCTCCGAAGTAAATTTTCTATGTCGAGGACTACTATCATTATCATCTTCTTCCTCGCTGAAAAACGCATCTCCAGCAAATATTGACAAATTATCATCATCACTATTTCCATCTTCTTTTGAAGACGAATCTTCAGATCTGTTAGCTTTGCAAGATTCAATAATGCTGGCAAACTCATTGACAGATGTATTTTTAGAAGGTGAAATACACCTCGTTTTCGCTCGTGCACTACCCAGTCTGTCGAATACGGATAATTTACGTTTACCCGTTGCACTTGGTGTAGTCGGTTCTTGAGATGTATCAGGTGAATGTATCGATTCGTTTGATGCATCTTTAATCGTTTCATTTCTACTTATCTTAGCTGCTCTTTCGGCTTCTTCGCGTTCTTTTCGCTTGCGCATTCTTGGATCAACTATACTGCTTTCTGAATTCCGAATTGGATCTGGAAGCAAAAGTATCCAAATATTTAAATTATTTTTTTTAAGATGAAATGCTAGGAAATCTTTATCAATTAATTTATACCTCCATTCTTTGGTAAATTAGTACCAGGTGACATTGATCTAGGACGGCTGCTTCCCCTTAATAATCTTGGATCTTTTTTCGGAGATGGTGATAAAATCGGGCTACTAGGTCTGCTATTGGATAGTTCCAGTAAATCAGAATTTTTTGTTGGACTGCTTGACAGACTAGAGTTGTTCATGGAATTCAACATTTTATACGGACTATTAGATCTCGTTAATCTTGGATCTCTATCCGATAATCCCATAGTTGAAGGACTCATAGTTTTTAGTTTCAATCTTTTTTTGGTTGGAGTTGAAAACTTCTTGTTCGAATCAGGTGACGACGATTGTGGGCAGTCATCGGAATCATTCGATTTCAATCCCATTAAAGGAATTACCGGTATGCTTTTTAGACATAACTGTAATTTTTTATGGGGAGTCGAAGTTTTCGGATTTTCATCATTTGAAGTTTTGTCAATTCGATCATCCTTTTCGCTTGTGTCTGAAATTAATTGAAAAAAATAATTAGTAAAAATTCACATATTTGTTGATATATCAAATAAACACCCATATTGTAAGAATTTAATGTTTGGAAATGAAAAAATTCTCGAAAATAATGGGAACGGAAAAATTAATTTCGAGAAAAAATACAGAATATTGGTAATACAGTACCTGCTGTACTAAAGGTTCCTTCATTATTAACCACGAGTTTTTCTGACTGGTTTTCAGCATGAAGCGTAAGGAACTCACATTTATTTAATATATCAAGATCTTTGCATAGTTCATCCCAATCTTTATCGAATTCTTCCGAATTGGATTGCATACTTGATTGCTCATTTTCAAACGAAGATTGATCAATTTTGGGTCCTAGTCGTGATTTGATCCCTTGCGCACTCGTTACTGGCGTAATTGATACTTGCTGATGATTTTCACTATTGCTATCCATGTGTTTTGAATCATCAACAATTGGCGATTTTTTCTTACTCTTTTTACCATGTACCAATGCCGTAGAAGATATTTTATTGTTTTCCAGTGTTTCTTGCTGTGGCTTTGACGAAATACTTGTACAGTTCGTTGGCATCGACCGTGCGTTGATTTTAGTACGAACGGCAGATAATGTTTTCGTGCGTCCTATTGAGGTCGATTGAACTTTATTGCCAGACACGCCATTGGCTATGGCAGTCGCATTATTGTGCCTAATAGAGTTGTCCTTTATCGGCGCGTGCGGCAGTGGTGTGTTATCGCGATTTTCTGTTTCAGCTCTTGAACTCCCTCTGACAAGTGAAAATAAATATTGTGAACTTTTTTGACCGTCTTCGAACCAAAGTATTGGTTTGTTGTGCTTGTGCCCACACGATTTGGAATTCAAGAGAACAAGTCGAAGTTGTGTACGCACATTTACCGATAATTTTTTTAAATAATAGCATGTATCTTTATTAAATTTTAATTATAAGAAGTAACTCTAACAAAATTGATAAGTTAATCTCGTTAATAAAATAATGAGCCATTCATGTAGTATGCTTTCAAAATTTTTGAATCAATTTTAAGTTAATAAATGGAAAAAATAATCATTTTCAAATGCGTTTTTTCATTAATTTCGTGTTACATTATGTTGAATGAAAAATCTTGTATGTTTGTTATGGAATTTAATTTTGAATCTTTAAAAGAAATTATAATCAAAAAAAAATAAATAAATAAAAAACAAAAACAAAACGCATGAGAAAAAGTTTTTTTACAAATCTACTCAAATACTTTTTAAATTAATGTATAATTTATCACTACTTCACTTATATTCATTTAATTTCATTCTTAAAAAATATTTAATGGAAAATGCAGGAAAAATCGATTGTAACATAATAAAAAAATAAAACATACTTGGAAGTTGATGAACTTAATTTGAGCAATTTTTGGCCCCGAGAGGGACTAACCACTTTGATGGCATTTTCAGGTGATATTTTATTATCACTTATGATTTTCACACTTGAACATTGTGAAGGCACAGACAACTTATTTCGGCTTGGAGTTGGAGACTTCAAATCAAATTTAATGGGTGAGTGTCGAGTTTTTGTTCTGTTTTGAAGGCTGTTGTTCACTTCTGATTTTTCTGGAGAGCTCAATAATTCCAAAGAAGAGTAAGTTTCATCCATTACTGAATAATTATGGTCTGATTTTGGACCAATGGTTCCTGGAAATTTTAAAGAGAAATTTAAATCAATCACGTTACTTATGCTTCATTGATACTGACTGCATTTGATACTTACGCATTTTTTTAAAATTGCTATTATTTGCATTAGAATTTCTTTTGGATTCATTTTTAATGTGTACTGGTGAACTACTTCCAAATGAGCAAAGCAAGCGTTTATGATCAACTGATTTTGTTTTTTCAGTTTTTTCTTTGTGAATATTTTTGCCAAATAAATGGCAGTTGACTGAAATACTATCTTTTGAAGATCCTTCGCTCAAATCTGTATCACTGGATTTAGATATTTTGGTAGATTTTTTATTTTTCACTCTTTTTTGTTCTTTTAAATCTTTTAATGTAGAACCATTTTCCTGATTACTTTTTAGTTTATTTTTATCTTTCTTTTTCCTATTTTCTTTGTCATTGTCAGTTTTCTTCACATCCAATGGTGGAAGATCGGAAATAAAAATAACATCGCTGTCAGATGAATGGTGTTTAGCAACTCTTTTGGTAAGCTTGTTTCGCTTGCGCAAACTCCTTGCTTTGTCTTCATTTGTATTGTTCTGCTTGGTGTCATTTATTGTACAAATATCATCTGTTGAAATATCTGGTTGCTGATTCGATTTGAAATTAATATTTTGTTTTTTAGATGCTTCAAATTCATCAGAAGAATTACTAAAAACTTCTAACTTTATATTTTTCTTCTTTATAATTTCTTGATGGCCGCTTTCTTTAATTTTTGATTTTTTTACATTGCCTGCATTGTCATCTTTTCGTGGACTCTTTGTTAAGCTTTTAAAATAATGGTTTACTCTTTCTTTGCCTTCAGGGTTCTCATTCATAGGTGACTTTTGTTCTGATTTTGTTAAATCAATCTTTTGTGACTTATTTCTTTTTTTTAATCCAAATGTAGGTGATCTAATCTCATGACGATCAATGTTTATCGATTCAGCATTTTGGGTTATAGCAACAGTTTTGAAAACATGAACTCTTGGTTTAGAAGTTAGAATGTTTATGTATTTTTTTGCAATTTCTGGCTTAATACCAAGCTTATTAGCCAGATTAGTATGTATTTTTAATATTTCATTTAAATTTGATTTTACCATTGGTTTAAAAGTAGATGGAGATGCCATTTCACAAAATTTTGATGGCGATACTTTGGGAGTATAAACTGATGGAAGTGGTTTATTCTCTGGTGTCAGTGCATTGGAAAACATTGCTTTGGCATCATTTGTAGAAGATAACATATGTTGAGTTTGTATTGAGACTGGTACTTCACTTCGTCGTGAACTACAGTATGAGTGATCGTTGGAGGAAGTATCCATTTCCTGTGAATTCAATTTTTCTTGTGTTCTTTTTTTAAGAGAAAGGCGGTGCCTATAATTGACATAAATTGTTTGATTTTTACTAAAAAAATAGGAAGGTATATTAACTTATATTAACAATGCATAAAATATAATAATTCTACATTTCAAGGTTTAATAGCTATACTTTGATATATATTATTTTTAAATAAAATTAATACCGAAGTACCCTGTGTACTTCAACAGATGCTAAACAAGAACAGTAAATAAATCAGTATAAGTGTGCCAGCATTCGCGCATCGAATAAGAGCATCGGAAATACTTAAAACAATAAAAAGAACCATCTGTATTTTTCAATAGGTAATTTATAGCTACATATAAATTAACTCTCAAATTATAAACTTATTTATTAGATTTATTAGATTCACGAAAGTTATTTAAAGACTAAACTGCAATTTCAAGGATTCGAACGATAATGATTATCGAATGTTTTCGAACAAAATTTACTTGAGCTAATGTGCAAATTTATGCTAGATTGCACAGATTTAACTCGATAAAACAACGATAGTAATAAGGTTACACTAAGTATCTCGATAAATTGATAAATATACGTATCCCTTATTCACTATTGCATACAATATCACAAGAGTAAGTCGGCTGCAGTATCGAGTTCTCATCTAATCGAAATATTCTTGCTTCCGTAAACAAGATCGATAATTTCAATGCAAAAATAATATATACTTACTTGCGAACTTTCGTACTGCTCAACTCGGGCGAACCTTTTTTCTCAAGCCCCAATTGTTCGTCGACTTTCCGCTTTTTCGATTCCGGTGAACTGGACATCTTGACGTTTGATCGTGACACAGGTGGTTCCTTTTGTATGTATACTTATAATAAAAAGCAACTGCTTGAATCACGTGAAAAACATGCGTTCAAGTTGGACTTCAGCGAATTGTCTGTACGGCCGATATGCACATTGTCGAAAACGCAGCACACAGTAAGGACGATCAGTTGGCGTAACGGCGGCGGCACTTTGAGTCGTGCGCTGATATCGATGGCGTAAAAAACAAAGAAAAATGACTCTTTGGCTCTCGCAGAGAGCCGCGCGTTCTTTGCACGTTGACGACTCGTTGCCTATAGATTATTTCAGCAGATTCAATGCACAGTGCCAAACGACACACGATTACCATAGCACGCGCGTTCGGGCTTGATACGAGCGATATCGATGAAATACAATACGCAGAGGCCAACATCGGCGAGATGAGAAATCTGCTGAGCGATGGCGGGCCAGAGACGGTGGATTTTTCGAGCGACCATCTACGATTGTGATGTTCGTAGTGCTTCGAGCGACTCGGCGAGCAGTTGGTCGCGATCGTGAACGAATAGCCGCAGCATCGTGCAGTCGCGCACGCTTGCCAACCTCGAGATCCGTTCAGGCGCGAAAAGACTCGACGTCTTGAAACGTTAATTGCAATTCTCGTCGTGGCGCTGCGCTTTCTTTTGTTTCCGCTGTCCGTGGACTGTGCTCGTTCGTCACACGGCGACCACGGCGCACGGATCCAACTTGTGGGCCACTGCTCTCGCATTGGAATACGGTTACCCACAGGTGCTCATTGCGATCTCGTAAATTTTCGATTCCGTCGGAATAGGGATATTTCAAGACTCGTGTCTGACTGGTGGGATCACTTGCCTCAAGAGATATCACCATAACCAATGAATTCTAGGAATTGAGATTGCTCGACTTGGATCATACTCATCGAGAAACATCGAAAAAAAAATTAGGAAAATTATGAGGGAATTTGAGTAATACTTGGGCTAAAAGCAATTAATAAACTACGTGAAAATGTCTGTGTACAGTCCTAATATTAGGTCTAATTAGCGTATTAGCAAATTTTCTTTCATATGCATTACGAGGGAGCTGACGTGGAAGGGGAAACGTGTGTCGAATGTCGATTTTGTGAACTTGAGCCTGATGTGTGTGTGTGTGTGTGTGTGGCGTGTGCGTACTCGTATGATTTTGTAAACAAACGTTGATGCATGACTCGGCCGAAACTCCGCGGACACCACCATGCAGACTCAGTGTTGAGTTTAAATATATCCAGTGACCATACTGTAAGGTAAACGAATTTTTTCATTAATACGCGTATTCAAAGTACGAAAACACACGCACACGTGAAAAAAGTGTACACATTTGATGCAGGGCACGTTGAAAATATGCAAGAGAACAACAAATTTCGATAATGTGTTGCCTAGCTCATGTGTTTTCAAACTCATTTTTAGAGCAGGGTATTAGCTATTTTTTGTCATCATTTGTTGGTAAACAAACATCTCATTTGCTACGGTACTGGATACGTTCTTTAGTGTAAATGAGTTATTGTCACTCTTTTCTGAGAACTAATACGTCCATCGGACTCTTACATGTCTATACGACTCATATGCTTGCATAGGTCTTAATTTTCATCTTTTATATGCAAATACGCGATGAAACGAGTAATGCTTCTTTCTTAATTCAAATTTCGCAAGACTAAATACTTAAACCGTATAGTTAGTTATTTTTAGAGCATTTTGAACAATTTTTCGGGTTTATTTGGAAGAACTTTTATAAATAATGCACATAATTGAAGAAGTGAATTAAAATGATTGTGTTTATTGAGTAATTCATTAATGCGTATAGTAGTATATTTTACAATCAAACAGATTCTTCATTTACACGAATCATTCATTCTACATCGAAGTCATACTTATTTTACACAATACTTTCACGACACTGCTGATTAAAAACATTATTTCGAAATTGAATGATAGTATCGATTTCACAGGAAACATTATAGCCATTCGAGCACTTGTTAGTTGACTGTTTTTACTGAAGGCACTCGGTGAAAAGGACGCCCGAGTAAAAGAGAAGAACAGCAACGTTACACGAGCTTGTTGAATCTTCAATTGTGTTGGTAAACGGCAGTATTTTCGCCCAAACGAGCGACTTGTCCGTCGATCCAGCTTCTCAAGTAGGCAATGTTGGCGTAAACGCCGGGGATCTGGTTTTCTCCGCAACCGATGCCCCAAGCGACGAGACCAGCTTGCACGTAGCGATTCGGGTCGTTAACCAGTGGGCATACCAATGGACTGCCACCGTCTCCCTAAAATATGTCCAATTTTTTCATATTAGCATGTGAAAGTAGAAAAAATTATATACGTAACAAATTTTTAAATTACGAAAAGAAAAGAAAAATTGGAATAAAAAATAAGGCAAAGTTAGCTTTCTGTTGCGCTAGTCTTACAAAACGACAGTCGTATCTTAAGCTTTTCATCGTAAGTTCGTACTCGTGTTTGTTTCTTTTGCAGCGTTAATAAGTATATGTTATTTCAATTGTTTTGGTTGATCGCATAACGCAGTTTACGTTTGTGTACCTATGCACTGTTGCGCGAAAGATCGAAAATTTGCAAAAAATTGCGCGAAATCCCGCTGCAATTCCGGCGCAGCTGCGTCAATTACGATCGAATTCGGGCCAAGACAAACTTTGCCGCTGCAGCTACGAAAATGACATTCGTCTGCGAGTACACGTTACCTTGCACGTATCTTTTCCGGGCTCGCCACCGGCGCAGATGAAGCTTTCGTGAAGTTTGAAGTATTGGCCGAGACGAGTCGTTCTCAGGGACCTCTGGCAGGTCATATGGTCGACAAGTGGCAGCTCGACGCGCTTCAAGATGACCTGATAATGACCTTCTTTACCTACAAGAAATGGAGAAACAATTTTGAACCTATGTTAATTGGGAATCGTTGACATGGTTTTTCAAAAAGAAAAGGGGATTCCTCACCGAAGATATCCTTGCCCCAACCACTGGCGAAGCAACGAGTGGGGTTGATTACGGCCGGCGAGGCTGGCAAACACAGGATATCGACGTGGTCGCCAATGACGACGGGCTCTTCGAGATGGAGCAGAGCAACGTCGTTGTAGAGAGCTCCGGCGTGGTAAGACTCGTGCACTATGACCTGTCTTACGCGACGATCTTGATGGGGGAAGATTTCGTTCTTGGTCTGAGTGTCCCATTCACCGGCACGGATTTTCAGAATCGATGGTTGCTTTCTGCAACAGTGAAAAATCGCTACGTTTTTTTGACTTTTCTAATGCAACTAATGAGGATGCGTCGAGCGCGACTTACCCGTTGACACAGTGAGCAGCAGTAAGAATGACGCTGGGATGAATGAGCGCACCACCGCACTGGTAAACGTTGAGTTTCTCGGTCGATGTGCCGACGGCTTCCTCCTTCAGGATCGCGACCATCCAGGGGAATTCACCGAACTGAGCCTCGTTGTCCTTGGCGCCGGTAATACGGAAGCCGACACCCTCGGGGTTGCGGTAACCGCAGCCCTTGCTCTTCTTCGTCGGCGGGATCAGCGATCCGTTGGACACCTTGTTGGGTTCCGTGCAGCAGACGTCGAGGTAATTGTTGCAGGGACCCGATATTCTAATGTCGATGATACCGACTCCGTTGTCGATGATCGTGCCGTTGGAACACAGGTAATAGGGCACGCATTCGCAGGCCTCGCCGTTGTTGTTCATCATCTGACTGGGGTTCAGCTGTCCTACACCCACATTGGGATTCTGTCCCACGGGTAGATTTGGATTCTGTCCTACACCCACATTGGGATTCTGTCCTACACCCACATTAGGATTCTGTCCTACAGGTAGATTAGGATTCTGGCCGTTTCCTTGATTGCCATTCGGACCTGAAATTTTTTTTTCGCTGTTTAAAAATTCCAAAGTAGATTCATTCCACTCTTTATTGATAAAGTCTTACCTGGAGCATTAGGATTTTGACCAAATACATTGCTGATAAGCTCGTCTAAATTAGGAGTTCCTGTTGAAAATAAATGACGGTTGAAATTATTCACACTCGCAATTTTAAATTTAGTCAAATGAATACATAAATAATATTAAAATTACCTCCATTTTGAGGGGCAGCCCAACAAAAGCCAACAAATAGTAGTATCGATAAAATCCTGAGACACTTTCCCATACTTATTAGTTCTAAAAAAAGCAAATAATTATATATTATTAATATAATTAATGATTTTATATTTGCTCATGATGCTAATTTTGTATTTTCAGACATTTTCCCTGGTAATGTTTGAAGACATTATAAATGTTAATCGATAAATTGCTTACTAAATCAAAATTACTTTTCCATCGCTTTAAAATAATTATTAGATTTTCCGAGATTTTATATTCAAATGATAAGTATCTCTATTTAGTGGCAATTGTCTTTAAAAAAACGTAAATTTATTTATGTTTGTTATATGCGTTACATATATCTGTCAATAAACGTTCCCACAGTGTTTTTAAAGCAAATATTATCCTTCGATTTGTCCTCTGATGACTTTAACCGTACTGAAAAAATGGCATGTTAATCCAGATTTCACATATGATCGAAACCGAACAGTAAAAGAACAGTGAACAAGACTGCTATGAATTTTTCAAGGTCGTTCTTTGCTGAAGCACGAACATGAAGAAATGTAGATGCGTTTAACGACTCATTTCAGCCGTATGTTCACAAATCATCATTAAATTAAAATCAATAAACAAAATTTTTTCCAATACGTTGATTTGAATCTTTGCAATGAATAACTTCTTGAAAGCTGTTTCAAAATTAATCAATAATCTATGTTTATACAATATAATTCAATAATTTACCGGATAATGTTGATTTCAAAAGAGAATGATATTCTTTTATTTTTTGTCCCGATAACTTTTGCCACGGTTACCGACGACGCAAATCATTGAAAGCATTATTTTTACCCCGTGTTACACGAGCCTCAGATAATTAAAAAGCGAGCATCTTTTTCATACGCACAGCGAGACATTGATTAACTTTTATATAGTGAAACCGGTCGCGAAGAAACCGGTAGTTGTAAAAAATATCTATAAAATCAAGTACGAACATCTCTGTGGTATTATTCTTCGTGTACACTCTAACAACAATGTCAAAGTACCTAAAAACTTTTCAAGATGTGTTTTAAACAACTCGTATCTTATTATGTCATCATTTTCCGTAATAATAAATTTCAAATTTTACTGCAACACTTCGATGAATAGATTGAATAATTAATTATCAGCAGTACTGTGTATTCAGTTGCCAAAGAATGGTGATTATTTTTACCTCGTTATTTCATGAGAGTGGCATCATCACATTCAAGTTAAAATTGAAAATTTTCATAGTCACTTTTTGGTAATATATTACTAATATCGACAAACAATTTGTCAAATTTGCATGATTTCCATAGACTCCATGATAAAATTATGTATTTTTCAGTTTAATGCAATATGTTTCTCAAAATATATTGAAAATTCATTAAAGCGAAAGTGTCGCTCGTTGTAAGGTTGCTAGCTCATCATATTGACAATTAAAACAAATCACAAATGTATGCTGATTAATAAATAGCGCATAAAAATAATGCCTCTTAAGAAAATTAGTTCAATGCTATTTACATGCATCTTTCTTGAAGTATGTATCAAAGAACTTTCGATAACTTATTGAAAAAAAATTGATATCTCATTCGATAAAAGACATCAATGTATGTTTCAAAGTTGAGGAAAGTTATTTAGAAGATAGAGGCAAAATATCTTACGCATTTTTATATTTATTACAATTTTTTGAGCATAGAATTTTGAAAAGAAATATATTATGTGATATTTTCATAATTGATTCTTTTGTTACATTGGTTTATTTACAAAATGTTGAAAAAATAAACCGAGCATCTAATATTCTGCTCTTTTGTAAGCACAGACAATAATAGTGTTCGATGCTGATTCATTTTAACTTAATTAGACAGTAATTTTCAAAATGATGTACTCAGTGTAGGTAGATTAACCGATCTTTTCTTTACAGAAATATCTTGTGAATCCGGAAAAATATTCTCGGCTAAGTATAAAACGCGACTATTAACGTGTTGTTGCTTCACTTAAATGAATAAAATTTAATTTCTAAGGATCTTTGGGCTAATATATCGTGAATTAAAATTTGATCCTTTTTAAAAAGAAATATTAAACAAATAAATTTCTTAATTAAAACCACTTGTAAAAAGTGAAAAAAAATCACTCACTAGTAAACTTATAAGGCAGGTAACAAGAAGTCTCTCTTGAAAAAACGAGAGAACCGAACAGCACGAGCGTCGGAGTACGTTTACTCTTGATCGCGCATCCGAACAACTGTGTTATGCTCTCGGACCCCACTACTTTGGCTCTTCCAACACTTGGACTGTATATTTATATATATTTCGCAATTCTCTCTTTAATGGGAAAGACCCGAGACATACTGACGATGATGCGTGTTACTTTTTGTCTTTTTGTCAATTGATCCTTGGAGTTTACATGTGTCATTTATTGTTCGAATTTTCCCAGAAATTTTTGAAGGGATTTTTTCAGGACTCAAATCGCGCAGCTCTTCTATCAGGTTCATTTTTATTTGAATGTGCACGGTTTAATTTTTAATCTAATTAAATCAACCACTTTGTTACACTCTCATAGAAAAAAAATACATAATTTAATTTATAGGGATGTAGGCCAAGTTGACGATGACTTACAACACATACAGTTAATTCGAGAGCTAGAAATATGTTTTTGACTTATAGTTTTTTTGGGTTATAATTTTATATCAATTGTTAGTCCTTTTTTGAAAATTATAATTTTTTTTATTTTCAGATAATGTTACAAAACTTTATACAAATTTTATACAAAAAAGTATACTTAATTTAAATATTCTTATATGACTAAAATTTTTTTTTTAAGAAATGATTTTTTGAACTGACAAAGCGTTACTTTTGAACAAAGAAACAGGCTTTTTTGAATGACCCCCTAAGTTCAATATTTTGAAGGGGAAAAACATGACAGACAACCTATATTTAGTTACTCTGAGAATCATAGCATCTGTCACTTCTTGTACTAGTTCAGTAAAATTTTGACTTGTAAGAAATCTTCATTGAAAAATTCGAAACAAAGCTTTACACGAATTTCTTTACAAAGTGAACTTCAAAATCAAGAAAAACTCCATTGGTCGAGCTCATGTGAAGTCTTAAGTTAGAAAACGGTCTTCTTAAAATGAATGCGGTAAAAAAAAGTATTAGATCGAATTTCGATTTATATTACTAATTATAGTATCATAACTAATAAACATTAAGACATCACTAACGTGTTACATGAACTTTTCCAAAATTTGCATAATCAATTTTTAAGTTTGCTTATCAGCAGCTGAAAAAAATAACAGAATACGGAACAACTTTGTGCTACTAATTTAATACCAAGTATCTGACATTTTACTTACATGCCTTGTCATAATGTTTTCAGCTGAACTATACAATGTGGGAGGTTCATTCGCTTAAATAATTACTGTGTGTTTTATACACGCACATACTAATTTTACACGAAAAATCAATAATCGAAAAATCTGATTTAGTTACAAGGAAAAAGTGTTTTAATTACTTTAGGCAATTTTTTACATTGCACGAAAATGTCAATGAATTATGTTTGATAATTTTCATATGAACTATTTTATGCTCAAATCATTGAAAAATAATATTATGTTTTTACCTTCAATTTGATTCACTATAAATAAAAATTCTTGCATAACTTTTACATATAAATAATTTTTTTGTAAAATACGTTTAAGAAAACTCAATGAATATTAGTGCTTAGTTACTAAAATTCCCATATCCCACGTGAATCGAGTTTTCATTTTAATTTTCAATTTTTTTTTTAAATCAAATTCATCACTACTGTTCACACTTCATGCATATACAACTAATTATACTACACCGAGATTATTTTGAATGGATACAAAAAGTATTTCAAAAATCAACGCACGTTTTATGAACTCTAGCTTATTTCGTACAAAAAAGACCTTGAAATTCGAGTGGACTATTGATATAACGTGCGTGCATACCCTGGCGCAAACCAACACGCTTTGGGTGAAGATATTTATTTGGTAGGAATATTTTTTTATGTTTTTAATTTTTAGAATCGTTAACCCAAGTCATTCTCTAAAATTACAAGAAGTCCAACTGCTTTGTATAATCTTTTCCTTAAAATTAATTATGTTGTGTCTTTTCCTATAGTATTTTATGAAATTAATAGTACGTTAAAAATACGATCTTTACTTAGTTTCATTTGCTTTATATTGCTTGCACAGAGAAGACTCTGTAATAGGCTCAAAAACGATTTTTTGGACCAGTTGTCGTAAAATAATTTTGTCTACATATTGTTAAAATATTGTTCACGTATTGTCAACTAGAATGAATATCTGACAAATGTCTTTGTGCGTGTGTGCGTATGAGGATGCTTGTATATATATTTGTGCAGAGCATTATCTCAAAAGCGGAACATTACATCGTATCCAAATAAATTGCATTTATTATCGATTCTGAATCTAAAATATCGATTTTTCTTTTAATTTTTCCGGATTTTTATTATAGTTTAAGCATATAATTAAATAAATAAAGATCGTATAATATGCGATAAAGATACTAATACCCTTAATTTTGAATTATAATCTAATGTAAAAATAGGTAGAAACATTTTTACTCTAGAATTTAACATTTCGAAACAGATAAATCTCTTATTTTGTTAACATTTATACATAAAAATACCATTTTCAGGAGCAAACCCAAGCGGATTTTAAACACTCTGGAACCCAATAGGTTTAGTTGATGCTCTATTATGTACCAGGTAAAATAAACCAATGTAATTAATTTCTGTTAGAATAGAATTGTTCAATTATGCGATAATAGAAGTTTTATAATACCCATTTCTTAAATCTAAAAAATGTGACATTAATAATGCAGGGTGATAAATTGTCTTTGAAAACGATCGAAATTTTGTCCATATCTGTTGAATACAAGCGAGTAATATGAAGCATAAATTTTAGTCACCTGTAGAAAGTTCGAAAAGAATATTTAACAAATTTTTATTTCCTAATTAATCTCGAGGTCTCTATAATTGTGAAAATCTTACCTATACCCACTGATTTTTGAATGTACAAGTAAACTAGATATAAAAAAATAGTATGTATTTTTAGGCACGCTTTATATATAATTGATGAATTAGTAAAAAACATTTATTAAATAAAAAAATAATTTAAAAGATTCGTCAGCAGAAATCGCAAACACAGCGTAGTGAGGGCCGCTCGTGTGTATAGCATATATGTATCAATAATAACAATAGTATACGAGCTAGCATAGGCATAGCCCCTAACTTGCTCTGTTTACGTTTTCTGCAGCGAAACCGGTCGTTTTACATCTAGTGAACATACTTGATGTACATTGAAATATGTTTATTGTTTTTTATATTTATTTTCATAACACTAAAAAGACAATTGCATGCATCATTGTAAATAGGCTATTCGATTTTTATCGAAGTTAAATGTCGGGAAAATATTTTTAACATTAAAAGATTCGTATATGTTCGTATTGGTTTATTTCATTACGTGCGAAATTATACGAACTCCAGGATAAATATGTAAAGGTTATCTCAAATGGTCTTATTTTGATGCTTTAAATAAATAATTTGAAGAAAATGTAAAATTTCCAGGCTTTTTACATAATTTAATGACTCTATTATGATTTAAATAGCCATTATGTTTTAAAAACAATGCATGTGCATTTTAAATTAATTTTAATCAGATTAATTAGATTAATTGTATTATAGATATAAAATTGGTTTAAAAAATGTTCATTATTATATCGTAAATAGATAGACATTTGAAAAAATTCAAAAATTTTTTTTTTAAATAGGCTCAACATTTTCAAGGACGTTAATCATCATTCCAATGAATTTCCACCTAGATTTTTGCTCTACGACTAATGACTGATGACAATTGATCAAGAATCGAGATATGTGTTGATTTCACATGTGAGTATGTCACTTCTGCAGATGCCGGCTAGCAGCAGGCATTTACTTTGATTATTGCGTGAGAAAGTGGGTACTATCTTGATGGTTTGTTTTGATACAGTTTCACCGAGAAAGTTGTAAAGTAAAATAATTCAACTGCAATCGCTTTGAATGCTATCTAAAATTAGATCAATAAATTTGAAAAAATGAATGTCGTCGGCACAGCTAGTCTTCTCGAGGAACTCGACAGTAAGTGTATTATATCCTTATTTTTTTATCCTACGTTCATCATTAACAGTTAAAAGAGGTTAGGTCTCGTCATAAGATACGTCAGTGAACAATTTAAATGATCAAAATTGAGTTATCGTTCAAACTGTTACATTTGATTACGTCATAAAATTAAACGTCTTAATAATTTTTTTAGAAAAACTCATGGTTTTATTGAGGGATGGACGTACTTTAATTGGATATCTTAGAAGTGTGGATCAATTTGCCAATTTAGTTCTTCACAAAACAATAGAAAGGATTCACGTTGGTAAAGAGTATGGAGATATCCCAAGGGGTGTTTTCATTGTCAGGGGAGAAAATGTAGTACTACTGGGTGAAATCGTAAGTATACCTCTAATGCACTGCATTAATTTTGCAATGATAGTAAGAAAATTTTTTTTTAATTCAATGATGATGTGCAGGACAAAGAAAAAGAAAAAAATTTATCTCTAACAGAAGTGTCAGTTGATGACATTCTTGATGCCCAGCGTAGAGAACAGGAAAGTAAACAAGATCAAAAAAAATTGATGAGTAAGGCATTGAAAGATCGTGGCTTATCTTATGTAGCAGATCTAGGACATGATGATATGTTTTAGGTAAATATGTGATAAATTATATTTTCGTCTTCTATAAATTACTAATAAGTTCTTAATGCTGAATTTTTCGCACTATCAAAGTTGTGTAAAATGAGAGCAATATTTTTTAATCAAGCAACATAAAAAAAGATTTAATGTTATTTAATACTGCAAATGTATGTAAATGTATGTAACTGACTATGGCTATGACTATGACAGAATTTGATCTGTATTCTTTCTGTATCATTTTCAATTAAATAGTGTAAATATCACTTGTACATCAATCTAGTGAAGTGAACGTTTAAAAAATTTATTTGGATCTGCGTGATTTTGTAAACATGTGTTAAGATGAACAATAACTTGTACTGTAAAAATGTACTGTTAAAATAAAAAATGTATTTCATTAAAAAAATGTATATTTTTTTTTCTGTATAAAAGAATACTTGTTATACATTATTAATTCTTAAGCTATAAAAATATTTCTAATATGTCATTCATCCTAAATACATAAATTCACAGCATCGAGAATATATTATAAATATTTAAATTTGATCTTTTATAAAATGAAGATGTCATTAATATAAATGCAATAGTGTCGAAAAGAAATTTATTCATAACAATACCCTATTCCATTACATAAATCATGGAGATTCTTGTAATTGTCATGCATACTTATTTTGCTGCAAAGTTTGCTACTTTTTATAGCAAGTCGTGAGAGCTCTTAATATAATTAAACAATTTAGAGAGGAATTTAATGTACAAAAACATCTAATAGTTAACAATAATTCAGGTTTAGTTCAGTACATAAACTTTACTAATTAAATTGCTTCTTACTTAACAACTAAGCATAATATATATTATGTATACACATACATACATATTAAATTATCCTTAAAACGAAGTCTCCGAAAGTGCATCCTTATTTTCAACTGTATCGAGTCTAGTTTCATTTTTATGCTTTTGCTTTGTAACTGTTTTAGCTTTTGATTTTTCCAGGTATGGTTCACCTTTGATAGACCTTTTTGAATCATTACGTTGCAAATTTGTACTGCGCTTTCTTGCTGCAGGAACTGTCTCTTCTATTTTTTCAGCAGAATTATTAACGCTGTTAGTACTACCAGATGCTATTCCTGATGTATCTGAACCAGGGTTAGTGATCTCTTCTACTAATAAATCAGATCCTGATTGTTCATAATCACCTGTCCTTGATGTAAAACTTAGATCTACAGGACTAGCACTCAAAACACTTCTTGATAAATAATATTCTTTACAAGTATTGGAAGCAGATACTGTAGGAATTTTGGAAATTACATCATCCCCATAAGGATCTTCCATGCTTGTATGACATTTTTGAACATCTCGAGAGGTCCTGATTTTAGAAAGATTTTCTTTATTTTCTATAGGACTTGTTTTATCTGCTTTGAAATCATACATTTCTAAGGACTCCTCAACAACAACTTCACAATTTTTTTGATTTTTAATACCTAAACCAGGAGTTTTAAGGCCATTTGAATTGTATTGCATTGAACCATTTTCTAAAGCACCAAGACCACATAAGTTTGAAGCAGAAACCATAAATACAGGCTTTCTTGATCTTGGAGTCATCATTGTTTCCTGTTAAATATAAAATTTTCATTAGTATATTCCCAAAATTTCAATGCATATCTTATTAAATTGTGGTTTAACTGCATCTTTAAATACAGTTGACAATCTTTGACATAAATCATTATTAAACTTTTGAAAGGATTATAAACATCACATTTAACAAGTGTAAATATTGACAATATTGGACTCTCATAATGTTTTTGATATATACACACCTGCATAGCTTTGGTCATTTTAGTGGTACTTTGGGTGATTGGACTCATACTTTTTTCATCGTCAGTAGTTGGCATAAGAACATAGTCATTGACAGTCATATTTTTTCTAATTAAATTTGATGGAGTTGAAGTATGTGCAGCATGAATGAATCTCAGTTTACTTTTCACCATGGGAGAATGTAAGTTATTAGACTGTTGTAAAACATTAGCCGTCACTGGTGATTGTTTAATAACTTCAGTACTACTTTCGCTTAGAGTAGGAGATTCAGGATTAGACTGAGGCTGCGATATTCCTTCTCGAGGGAGCAATGAATATGTTTCAGGAGGTTCACTTTGATGTCTTGAATATCTTTCTGGTAACGTTTTATTTCTGTTTTTAGATTCCTTAAGACTCGATGTACTTGAATGTGCACTAAGATTCAAGAAGCTTTTTAAAACATCTTTAGATTTTTTCTTGTGTTTAGAGAGCAATGGAGTATTCAAACTGCCTGTACTGTTGCTAATATGCTTGATCTTCAATAAATTTGGTTCACTGTTAGCTTCATAATTTTCTGGCCCACTTAATTCATCTTCTGATTTACTTATGGTTTTCGTAAGTAAATTTGATGATTCATGAGTCTAAATTGATTATAAAAATTGATTTTTTAGATTCAATAAAAATGTAATAAGTTTAAAAGTTCAAAAAATGTATAATTGATTTATTTTTTAGCCAATCCATGAATCAAAAATATAATGTATTTTAAGGAATTATTAAATTAAGTATTATAAAAATATTTATTTTGTGGGACGTAAATAGGTCAATTCAGCAAAATATTTGTAATATATTTTCAAAAAAATATCCCACACAATAGAAAACAACACATGAGTTTTATTAAATGAATGTGTGCTAAGTAATGTATGATTACATGAAATTTTAGTTGAATTTACTTATTTTTTTATAGAGAAAATACTTTCCATGTTAAAAAATGAAATTAAAATATGTATGAAAAATTAATTGGGATTTGAAATAGATGCCAATAATTTTGGAAATGTCCAAATCAAGTTTCAAGACTACTCTAAGTAAAAAGATGCTCTATCTATAATTATATCTTACATTTTTGACTGTTTACTTTGGCAATTACCACATAGAAAATTTTATTATTTTGGTCAATTTATGTATTAATTTAAAATATTTTTTTTTAATAGACAACAAACATTAAATTTATGCAACAAATTGTTTTTAAGTTATACTTATTTGGTATGAAAAAATAATTTGATATTTTGTCCATAAGAGTTTATGGCTTGTCTAGAAGGAAATAAAAGGATTATTTGCAAGCTTTAACTATGAAAAAATTTTCCTTTGGTTAATAACAAAACTTAAAATGATTTCTTATTAAATTTAAACTTTTCCATAATTATTAACAAACTTTGTGATTAAAACAGTAATATTTCATTCAAATTGTAAGTAAGTTAAAGTTTTACCTTTTAAAAAGTACATTAAAAATACTTCACAAATCAAAAGGAAAAGAAGTTCATAATGTTTCAATGATTTTTTTACTTGGTTGTATGTAGACTTCATTACTTAGCTCAATCAATCATATGGCATTGTAAAAATTTTAGAAACTTCATTAAATATTAATGACTAATAATATATAAAAGAATTTAAAAATGTCACATCAATTATGTATAAATACTTACATTAGACAAAATATGTTCTTCGCTACATGATCTGCCAAAACTACTATCATCTTTAACATCAGAACATTTTCTGAGAAATTTATTCTGAAATATTCGTTTTTTAATAGTATCTCCCAAACTTCTTGATCCCATTTGCGAATTCGCATTGAGCTTGATATGCATTGGAGTACCTTGGCCATTTCCTTTATTAAAATGTTTTACTAATTTACGTTTTTGTGCAGATTCAGGCAAAGTTTGAATATGTGCATACAGTGCAGCTAAAGCTGCTGCAGTTGGTTCAGTTGCATTAGCTTGAGCTGTTAAGTTACGATCAACAAATGTAAACACTGTCTGTGCTGTTCTTTGAGCATCTGAAGTAGATTCATTTGGCTGTACATAAGAAGAAAAGTATTAATTCATTTCATAGAATCCAACTAGTTATATTATTTGTATAATAAATTTCTCACATCAAGAGTTTGGGGACTGAGCAATTTTTTTTCTTGTTCAACCCAAAAAGCCCTGATATCCATAAAAAGTTTTGGTGGAATTTGAAATAATTCATTTCCTTTCTTGATCATAAAAGCAACGAGTCCAGATAGTGTTTGTGAGTTCATATGTAATGCCTCTGGAGATAATTTTCTTGGGCACAGCAAATGTGGTGTAAACAAAGTTGCAAGAGTATCACAGTTCATTTTGTTGCTAATTTCATGAGCAGCTGTTTTATTCAATAAGTTAATTATATATTTCAATACTATTCTATTAGGTACAGGTAACAGTAATAATAGTAACTGAAGAGATCTCAATAATTTAGATTCATTACTAGTAGAACTACAAAGCTCTGAAAATTTTAAATATTTTTATGTTATTGAATTGTATAATATTAATAGTTGAAAACTTAATAACAAACAGTACCTGCTATTTGGCAGTGAGCTGGATAAAGTTGATCAGTCAGAAGTGGTTCTGATAAATCAGCCAAAAATCCTTTTAAAACCGATGCATAATCATGAACACTAAATTTTCCTTCATACAAGGACAGAGAGTGTCCTTGACACAAAGCTGTCTTCAATTCTTGTTGCCTTGTTAATTTTCCAGTTCTCCTAAAAATTCCCTCTTGTGAAATACCTGAAATGAAAATAACAATTTAATATTTTTATGAAAAACTTGCTATATTTCAATAATAACTTACTATCTTCTTTAGACAAATATTCTACTAATTGCTTCACTTGTTCGATTCCTTCTTCAGTCAAGACTGACCCCTCTGTTCCTTTTTGTGACTGAATTGCTGTTTTAGTTTTTTTGGAAAAGGGTAGGATTCCCCATTTTTTTAATTTTGCTTTTCCAGTTGGTGTATCAGTTCTGAAACAACTCTCATTATATTCAACAAGCAATAAACTAAATATTTATATTTTTTGATTTTGAGAAAAAAAGTTAAATAATCGCCGACCAATTTACTTCGATCTTTGTATTTAACCAATTACTATAATATTACTTTAAAATGTAAATAAAACAAAAATACTAATACACGCTTAGAGTAAAAAGTTGAACTTACTCTTCTGTATTGAGATCCAACTCGAAGGACAGGTGCATTCGGACGAGAGTATAAAATTGCTCTCCATGAATCTTTCGCATCCTGTAGGTCAAAGTACCTTCAATCCCTCCGTTGAAGTCTGAAGCTTCCTGAGCTGGTTGATCATGCATATTGTCTGCTTGGACTAGTTGATAATCGTATCACTAACAATCGTGTTGGTCATACGCCCATCATTTTATCCTTGTGCCCTACACTATATGCACTCACATGCAGCTTCCATTTTCAAACTTATGCGTAACTTTTCTCGCGAGTGTTAAGGATTGATGGATCGATTTCAACGACACGCGTCTCATTCATCACTAGGATCTCGCAATACACTGTACTTGGTTGGGAAATCATGTATGCTCGCCGAGTTTTAAAAGTCTTGGAAATTCAGAAAGCCCAAAGGACGATGAAGCCGGTTGTTAAAAGCGCAAATTAGCAACTGGTAAAAACGAAAGAAGGTCACGTGATACAGCCGCACCAACTCTATTGGCTTAGCTGCCAAAGAGGCGGTTTACTATGTTTACGAATTCATTGGCGCTTGGGCACAAGGAACTATATATGCTCAGATTGCATGAATTATACAGCCAGTGGGATTGAGACTTTACAGGACTGTTGTGAGATACCGACGTCATGTTACCACCGATTGGTTTCACGAGTCAGATCACACACTCCAAAGTCTCAATTTCTCACCTAAAATTGTACAGACTTTTGAAAAAGTGAAGTTTAAGTTTTCAAACATTGGGCGCGATAAAGCGCTTGATATCTTATTTTAGTACTAGTATTTAGTAAGTAAAAATTGGACCGAATTTTTTAAAATTTTTTTCGTGTTTTAGTAATAAATGTATTCTGACCATCTACAAATAAACAAGTTGCATATATAACACTACTAGTGATATAAGGCGCGTGCCAACTAATCAATTGAAAATGACAAATATGAAATTGAAATAACTGATGACTTTCAAATATAATCATTTTAGCAAACGCCACATTTAAGTTATCCCACTAAAAAAGTTATATGAACGATCGACGCGAGATTCCGACCAATCATGAAGCGAGGCACAGTTACTCATCGACCAATGAGGTGACGAATAAAACGACTTCACATGATTTTTAAGGAAGGAAAAAAAAAAAAAAAAAATTTAAAAATACCACAATTGGAACGAGAATGATGTTAACGCAAGATGATAATTTGATATCAATACGAAGATATCATTGATCACTGTATTAACAGTATAATTAATCCTATGATTGCTAAGCAACATTATTTTCGGATTAGGACTAATATTGTCCACGATATTCTATCCGATTGAAAGAGAAATGAAAGACATTGTAAAATGCTTCGAGATCTTAAACAAGTTTTCCAAATTTTTGTGATTTTTCTAGGTTTCAACTATTGAGGAAAAAAGTTTGAAAATTGCCCTTATTCATATATTGACAATTTCCGATAAGCAAGGTTTAAATGGATACAAATATTCAAATAATAACAATCAAGATCACGTTTATTCAGATTTCATTAAATAACAGTATAAAAATATATAATTTATACATAGATACATTCCATAATATATTTTGAACTAATTAATAAAACTTTTTCAATGACATGATACTTCAATAAATATTTTAAAAGCAAAAAGTTACTAACATTTTAATTCACTTTGATAAATTCCAGTAAAAAAAATTATTAAAAAATTGATTGATAAAAACCTTATCATAAAAGATTATAGATTTCACAAATAGTGTTTACTACATAAAAAGATAATTCTACCAATTTTCAAAAGATTTACACTTTATCAGTCAGTTCAGGGACTGCCTTAAATAGATCCTGAACTAGACCGTAATCAGATACTTGGAAGATGGGTGCATCTGGGTCCTTGTTGATTGCAACAATGGTTTTTGAATCTTTCATACCTGCTAAATGTTGAATAGCTCCAGATATACCAATAGCAATGTATAGGTCCTGTGAAATAAAAAAAATCAATATAACAACAAATCAATGCAGGTGTATCACGATCGTTATAACTTACAGGTGCTACAATTTTTCCTGTTTGACCAACTTGCATATCATTGGCACAATAACCAGCATCTACAGCAGCTCGAGAAGCACCAACAGCTGCATTCAATTTATCTGCTAGATTGAAAAGGATTTTAAAGTTATCTGCAGATTTCATTCCTCTTCCACCAGAAACAACAACTTTGGCAGCGGTAAGTTCTGGCCGATCAGACTTTGTCAACTCTTGTCCAACAAAAACTGCTTTATCTGTGTTGTAATCTCCAGCTGGAGCTTCTTCTACTTTTGCACTTCCTCCTTCCAAAGGAGCAGCTTCAAAAGATGTTCCTCGAACAGAAACAATTTTGATGCTGTCTTTTGACTTGACAGTTTGAATGGCATTACCAGCATATATTGTTCTTACAAAAGTATCAGCTGATTTTATATCAATGATTTCACTTACAGGAGAAACATCCAAGTTAGCTGCAACCTATGAAAAAGGCATTGTATTCTCAATATTTTAATACTTAAAAAAAATATGATTGTTTTATTTAATTTAATACTTACTCTTGGTAAAAGAGCTTTTCCAAATGCAGTAGCACCAGCAATAATATGAGTAAAATTATGTTGTTTTTGAGTTGCAATTATAAGAGGGGCAACTGCTTCAGGAAGAAAACCCTTGAATGCATCACTCTCTGCCACAAGTACCCTGTTGACATCTTTTGCCTTGCTCAAAAGTTCAGAGACTGGTTTACATTTAGTTCCAGCTACCAAAACAGTTATGTCACCTCCAATTTTTTTGGCAGCACTTAGAGCATTCTGAGTTATGGGTAAGAGAGTTTCATTGTTGTGCTCAGCTATAACCAGGGTTGATTCCAGACGTTGCAAGATGTTGAGTAACTAAAATATGTAATGCTTGAGGTTGATTGCGATTCTTATCACGAATAGTCTTATCAATTAAAGAGCACTAAGGTTATGTGCTAAATTTCAGAAACTGTAACTTAATCCACAAGTACTTACGTTAGAATTTTTTTTCAACGTCCTTGAGCAGTTAGCAAACATTTTGCGAAGTTTTATGAAACTAATAAACGATCAAAAATCGTAGTTATCAAATTTTTAAGTTAAATTTAATTCACAGAGCAAGTGTCTGCAATGTCGACTTTTTACACACTGCACAGATTATTCGCGAATCGCGATTGCTGATGAAAAATATCACTTTGCACACACTGGCGCTGTTGGCTGGCTTCGGCTAGTATTCTGCAAATTCTGTGCGAAATGGTAAATGAGATATAATAATAAAGAAGCGCGTCCGCTCCAATAGCCGTTGCAAAAACTTAACGTTAAATTTTGGCGAACGTACAAATGGTAAGTCCAAATGATCCCGAATGCTTTTAACCAATTTTATGTCAGCTGGTAAATAGCAAGTACAATTTATTCGAGTCACTATTACGAAGCACTTTTTTCAGCACATTGAAGATGATGATGATTATTATTATGTTGTTGCGAAGTTATTTTTTGAGAGTAAAGAGTCTGAGGAGTTTCGACCTAGTTATTGACCGATTAGCAATATTGGATTACCTAAGACTGAACTCTCAACGGGCACCTCGGATAATTTAAATGAATAATTTTTTATTTCTGCAACTGGCCAAATTAAACAAATATTAATCGTATTATTACTTAGTTGCTACATAGTTTTTTTTAATACAACGGATGTCCAGAATAAAATATTAATTATCTGTTTTATCTAGAATTTTTGGCAAAGGTAAAGTAAAATGGATAAATTTTCTGTCGGTTTTATCAACATCCTGCCAATCCATTTTTTCTTGTTTTGTACTTTCATCTATCCAATAATCTCGTTGGCGTTTATTCAACAAATTTGTCCATGCCTATATTGATTTGCAAGTACGCGAGTAGAAAATGTAATTCAAATTCTATTATTATAATTTAAAAATATATTTGCGTTATTATGATACAATATTACGTACCTTTTCAGAATGGCAAGCCCAATTAAAAATTAATTCGGCTTTGTAGTGGACAGATAATTTTTTCGATTTAGCAAGTTGTTGCACCGCTGATTTCGGATTGCGTCTCACCATTCCATAATAAGCTTTCATCAAGTAGAATCTATGTATTATGTGTATCGATGATCGTAAATAAAATATTTTCAAAATTGAATTCAGGAGACTAAGCATTACCTCGGTAACATAATCTTAGCGATATTTCGTCGCTTATTAAATAATTTAAACTGTTTTTTTATCATATTCAAAATGAAATGTGAATCTTCCTCGATATTCTCATTTAAATGATGAACTGCGAAAAGAAGAAAGTGTTTTTAAAGCGCAGTAAAAGCTTCAAATAACATATTAAAAGTAAGAAAAAAGATTAAACAATCGCTGCGGATTTGTTCTATAAAAAATCTCAATGTACCGTATGAAATGATTAATCCCTCCAATTGTTTCAACGACGTTAATGTGTTTAATATCTTACATTCTTCACCAAAACTTTTGTTTTCCTGTCAAGTAAAAGTACATGGAAAAGCGCTTAATAAGATAAAACTCTACTGACCCTAACTGATTTAAAAACGTTAGCTACATACCCTTCGACTTATCCATAAAGCAGCTGAATCCCAATCTCCGATCCTTATGTACCTGGATAAATATTTTTCATTATTAGATAGTGTACTACTGTGAATTTGAATGAAGATAGTGGTAATATAATTACCATAACCAAGTGCTCGTAAAAAAGCGGTTAGCTGCCTCGGATTTCTCAAGATGAAGTATTTGACGGCTTTCCCGAAGATAAAAATCGTTGAATTCCCGTGAGCGCACTAGGGAAATTCCGGAATCGAGCAAAAAATCCATACACAGAGCATAGTACCAAATTTGTTTTGACAGGTCGTCTGTTGGAATAGCATCTGCGAATAATACGATTATTTCGTCATTCGATTTAGTGATTACCAACGTTCGACATTTTCTATAAGAAAGTAAGGGAAACAAACTCAAATCGTTGATTAACGAAGCCGCTTGACTATATTTCTCATGAGCCAAAGACATTTGTATCAATCCAGGTAGGATTAAAAGTTTCAAGCGACTCGATTTGACAGCGTGAGCCAGTTTTCCGACGGTGAAACCGATGTTAGCGGCACCAACTACATCCCCGCGCAGCAAGCGCAAAAAACTGATGTTCCGGTAAAGTTCGACTATGGCTTTGAGCTCTTGACGCTCGAGATTGTCCTGGCGTTGCCAGCAGAGGTTGATGGCGTTGCTTTCCAAAAGCATACCGATCGATCTTTTCGTTAAAGAGACAATTATTATCAGAGCAAATGAAACAGACATATTGGTGAGAAACGAACTCGTAATGATACTCGTACGCGGTCGACATCATGTTCGCGTAAGAAGTGCACAGTATGAAAAAATCCTGACTCGACTCGAGGGCTGCAATGAGTGCCCAAGTTGAGGCCAATTTCGCGCGTTCTCTCATTCCGTTGAGCTACGATGAAACAATCAATCTGTCAGGTGAACATTTGATTTATGATACATCATGAATTGCGGATTCCAAAAATTACCTTGAAAAATTTAAACATGTGCGCTAAGCAATAAGCGAACTGATCGTTATAATTAGCCGCGTCATCCCTCAAAATGCCAATTTTATGAGATCTCGAGGAGGTGAGCATGAGCTTCAGTTGTTCAAGCATGCACATCGATTTGATTCGAACGACAAACGGACTGGTGGGAAATTTGTAGCCCATTACCTCGAGTGTAGTGTGAAAACACTCCATCGATTCGTAAATCATGCCACTCTCGAAAAAGCATTTACCTCTCAGATTGCTTATCTTGCCCTTCAGGTAAGGGAGTATGAGTAATTCGTCACTGACTGGTGGATGAACCTGTGGTTCGAAAATCAAGCTGACAAATATTCTTTTTGACATTTACGTATAAGGACGAACTCACCGATTTCATGAGCTCGTCCGCCTCATTGAGTAGTTTCGTGGCTTTTGGTACATTTCGTGTCCACATGCATATCTCTACAAATTCGAGTATTGATACGAGCAACAGTTCACTGATTCCTGATTGATATGAGAATTTAAACATATCTTAAGGTGCAATTGGGAATTTTATTTTTCATTACCTATTCCTCTACAATGCTCCAAGACGTGAGTATAGGCTGTTAATAAAATAAGATGACAAGTGCATCTTTGAAAATCAACATTGATGAAATTACACATTTGTGATTTTGCGAGAGGTTTGCTAAAGTAGGACCTCGAGGAAGTATTCGATTCGATGCTCTCGTCACCCGAGCTGCTTTCCTCAATTTCTACTGTAAAATAATCAAAGAATAACATTTTTATATTCACGAGAAAAAAAATTAAGTTGTATAATATCTATAGTTTTAAGAATTGAGATAAATGGTTTTTGAATTATTAAAATTTCATTTTCTTTTTTGTATTTGGTACTTTAATGATTTAGCGCAATAATTAGTAAGACTTTACCGGTTTCTTGGATCGGATCATTATACTCGTCAAAATTTAAAGACACTTTTGAATCAGCTGTTATGTTTAAGTGTATCGGTGTCTTTTTACGTCTCTTTAATCGATCAAGAGCTGTTTCACCGAGGAGACGCTTAAATTGACCTCCACCGCAAGGCTCACAACGATGAGTGTTATGACGTAAATATGTTAATGCTTTACTATGAAACTCGACTTTTTGAGTTTCTGTTAGTAATCTGAAAAATATCACAGGAACAATTTCGGCTCATTTATCAATTCCTTCAATTCAAAAGCCTGTACTTACCTATACGTAGTTTTCCGGAATAAATCCAATTTAAATCTCATCAAGCCACATGAAGCGTGTTTTGGAAGATCAGCTAATTCGTCTATAATTATCCATAAAGATAATGATGAGCATCAATATTCAAATTTCGGCTCCAGAATGAGTTGATTAAACATAATTACCTAAAATAACGATTCCTTTGCAATAACAGTTTGTTGTATCCAAACTATCTTCCGAATCGCGATGATGGTTAAATATTATCGATTTCGTCGGTGTTTGATGGAATTCACCATAAGCGCAACCAATAATTCGAAGCTCGAACAGCTTTAACAATGCTAAATTTTAATTTAAAATCCATCACGTAAAATTTTAAGTTTTTTTTTTTTTAATCTAAATGTATTCTTACATAATCCCAAGTCTCGAGTGGATATTCCAACCATTAATTCTTCTAACATTTTGCGATCGACGACTTCGCCTAAGACGGCAGCGCACTTTAGTAAGACCTGATCCAATGGAGTTAACGAATCGTATAGCTTAATAAGTAAAACTGAAAATCAATCAATAGCTTTGTTTGCGTTGTTTGACTAAAATAACGTCGAGCTACTTACTATCCATACTGCTTTCAATAAATTCAAATTCAGCCTTAAAGAAACTGGTAATCGTGCAGACTGGACGCTCCTCCGGGTCATCAAGCTCCAGATCTTGATCCTTATCTTCATAAATACTGTCCTGTTTGAATAAATAAACGCCATGATACGATAAATCCAGAATCGAATCGAAAATTTTCTTACTCTAAAACTCGTCTGATACATTTCCCAGCCATGAGGTGCTTCGCAATACGAATGTGATGCCCATTTTCCGGCGTCCTGCGTTCTTTTGAAATATTCATTTCGAGCATTAAATTATTAAGCAGTATTCTTGGCACAAATATTGGAGAAATCTTTTTTTTTTGCAAACCTTCGCAACATGTTTTCGGTTGGTTTTACCAATCCAAACTGATGAATTTGTCGATTATTCATAGTTTCTATTTGTATTGCAGAGGATTGTAAAAGAGTTATTAGATAACTCTCTATCCAACCTGGATTGCCTTCACTTCGCTCTTGAATCACTCTTTGACGAGACAACTCATCATTTTTACATCAAATTTAATTAAATGAGCAAACGTTGAATTTCGTACCTCTCAAGCATCACTGATATTGCTACAACGTTCAATAGTTGACAAGCTAATGAAGCGTGGTACCATTTATCAAGACCACTAAGTTCCAATATCTGTAACAACAGGGCAAATACGTACTAAAGCCATGAAATATTATAAATTAAGTGAGAAAAAATAAGAACCTTTGCCATGCGGGGAAGTTTATGGTGCATGAAATATTGTTTAGTTAATTTATTCCCATAAGCCATGACTATGAACAGATTTCGTTGATTCGAAATCATTTGCAAAAGCGAGATCGATTCTTCATCCGACAATTCAGCGTCGTCGATGAAAACTACCGATGGTTTATGAAAACATTTCAGTGTCAAAAGACGCATGAGCCTTTTTATTTCGTTTTTGCGCTCTTTTTCAACCTCGTTCTCACTCTTTGATTTAACTTGGTCTAGGTAGTCATTAGAGGGAGAAAAATCAACGTCAAATATTTGATTCAAAAAATGCAGCCGGCTATGTTCTTCCTTCAAAAATTTGGAAGCAATCTTCCTTTTGCGCACTTGAATTTTAGTGTCTTCTTTAATTTTGAGAGGTGCAAAAAAAAGTAATCTTATAAGGACATAGAACATCTGCAAGTGACGAGTTTGATTGAATTAATTGCTATGTGTAAATTTTTAATTGTTAATTTTAATCATGGAAAGGTGAACAAACTTTGAAATCATAAGGTTCCATTGAAATAAAATTCGTGATAATATTATCAGGAACCATGTGATTCATTTCTTCAAGTAATCTTGTTTTACCTATTCGAGGTGTACCTCTGTTGCAGGAAAAGAATTTTTTTTTTCAATAATTTTTCACTAAAAGGTTATTTTAATAATGACAACCTCAGAAGAAGAATATTGCGGTCTTTATCGATATTGTCGCTGTTGGACTTTTTCAACATATGCTCCAAACTTTCGCGGAAAATCCTCAGCTCTTTATCGCGTCCCAGAATGGGATAATGATTTAGCTGAAATGTTTGAGAGGAACTGAAAGCAAATATTACGATACAGAGAAAGATTCGATTTCTATTACCTGGACAATTCATTAAATTCATAAATTGAGCCAACATTCGTGATTCCTTTCAAGTATTTTGGCTCTTGGAGAACGAAGTGCTTAGCTTCGAGATGCGACAATAAAAAGCAGTCCCTGTCACACACTACCTGTATATAATCGATGCGCGAACGATCAAACTCACTCATATAGAAAATATTTCGGAAAATAAGTTACTTTGTCGACGTAAGCGCACATGAGACGCGCCGCCTTATTCACAGCCATCCCTATGACGGTGTACTCGCGTCGCAAGACATGACCCACGACACCGCAGTAGCCCATGCCGGTCGTCACGGCGATCGATACCGATTTCAGGAGCGCGAATCGCAGCAGGCCTCGTCGAAGAAGCGAGGCACAGCGCAGGCCGATTTGGCACTCTAGCTCGTGTTTGTCGCCGCGCAGGCCGAAAATGCACAGGAAAATGAGATCCTTGTCGAAGAGGGAGGTTTTGTTGACGCAGCCTTGCATCTCCGTGACGACGCTGCAAACGAACTGATAGGTGGCGTCGACGAGCTTGATGAGAGTCTTGCGATTCGTCGCCACTGTCACGACGTTCACGAACACTATGACGACTTGGCGGATCTCCGTGAGGTATTCCAAGGGCTCGTCCTCGTACACGGACTTCTTAACCGGTCGTAGGATGTAACTTCGCAGGTCGTTCGCCCTTTTCATTTTGACCATTTTCACGACCTTCGGGCGCACTTGGAACGACTCGTTAACTTAGCCGAGGGCTGCAGGTAATCTTAAAAAAAACTTACGACTGTAATCGACGGAATCGTTGGTTATTTGGTTGCTGAAATAGAGCTCGCGATGAAACTTGTCGAGCTCGGAGCGATCGTCGCTGAATACCGATCCTTGGGAGCTGGAGGACGAGCTCGATACCTGCTCTTTCGTTTCGATTTCTTTGGTGTTGTCCCACATGGCCGACAAGGAGATGATGAGATAATGCGGTCCCTCGGGTAGGATTTCGTAGATGTACTCGTTCTCGTTTATCCACTGCCACGTGCTCGGCGACACGAGAATGTCTCCGCCTCTTCGCGAGCGAAATGCAATTACATAAGCGGGAACTTTTCGTGCGCGCGCGCGATTTTACTCACCGACACAGGCTCTCGGCGTTCTTGGCTTCCCAGACGGGAGTGCCGGTAATGATGTAGTACGTCGAGCTCTCCAGCGAGCCTATCGACGTGAAGTACGTCTTGCCCGAAGCTATTGCCAATTTAACTGAGAGAATAACAACGGATTGAAGCAAAAACCAAGTGCTCGAAGCGGGATTAGGAGTTAAAAAATGGACCTTTGAGAACGATGCCGATCTCGGTCTCGTACGTGCCAAAGTGCTTCTGTATGACGCAGGCGGTTCTGATGGCCTCGGAGGCGCAGTCGCGCATCACTTGCCCGTCCTCGAGCTTCCACATGACGATGAGAGCGTCCCCGGAAAATTTCAGCACGTCGCCGCCGTGGAACAGTATTTCTTGGACCATCGAGCCCATGTACGTGTTGAGAGTTTCCGTCAATCGAGACGGGCCGCCGCGCACCAGTTTCGTATACTTGTCCGTCATTTCGGTGAAACCTGCGACGACCAATTAACACTTGCGTTGCAGTCGGTCGATTCGACGCTCGCAAAAATCTCGCTCACCCGATATGTCGCACAACATCAAGGTCGTTTGGTAACCCCTCGTTTTGAAATCATCGTAGTGGTCTAATATCTCGTCGGGACACATCGAGGCAAATATTTTTGTTTGATTTTCAAGACGCAGTGATTCACTGCGTGCCCGAGAGGCTCGTCCATCTGAACAATATTTATTAGAGGTATTTTTTGCCAACAGCAAGCGCCACTTGATGCACATCACTCACCGACATCATTTTTCAAATGTACGTGCTTGGGTTGCTTCGAAGATTTTTTCTCATCGCGACGTGGCATTTTCCACCCTTGATTACTGAAAATAAGCAATTTTAACAGTGTCCGTTGGTGGACCACATTTCTTAAAATGTCAACATTCCCTTTGATTGTGTGTTATTCAGCCAACCGTTACGATGGATCAAGAAATGAATCTTGTTACTCTCACTTCTATACGAAAGATTGAAAATAGGAAAACAACGCAGGCGCGCCTGCGCTATTAGTCTGTACTCTGTAGCAGACAACTAATCAGCATTTTCATATACACGGTTCCCCCGTGTGGCAGACGACGCTGCCACCGTATCTTACAGCAACCTCTTCCAGTACTAGCTTAAGTCAGTTTGTAAATTGTTTTGCACATGTTGGCGTCCAGGTCTCGTAATCATCATGATAAAATTTTATAATCCTTTTGCGATGAATGCAGCCCAGCAACCAACTCCTCCAAAATCTTCGGAAACAGATGTGCCGGAAAAGAAGCGCGTACCTGTCTTCATGCAAGACGAACAATGGGACAATTTGGCATTGTACTTTATTGGGAATCAACAAAAATATCGCGAAAACATCATTATTCCCAACGCATGGGGTCGTGGCGATATCAAATCAAATGAGGACAAAACTATGGAATGGGTTATGGAAAGTTGTGGTTTTAAGAGTATAATGAGCTGTGTTGTAGGTACGAATCGAGCAATTAGATGCCAACAAGTTTTTCCATACATTTATATTCATTTTGAATATTCAATTTTATTCTTCAGGTTATGGATTGGGATTTGCAATTGGACTATTTACTACTAGTGTACAACCAAATGTTGCAGTTGTTGAAAAACAACAAACAGCCAGAGAAGTTTTCAAAGACATGAAAAAGACTACTTTGTCTTATGCCAAAAATTTTGCTCTTATTGGTTTTCTCTTCTCAGGTGTTGAATGTACAATAGAATCTGTGAGTGAATTTGTATTACATCATCAAATTACTTTTACTTGCAAAATGATAAACATCAATGTTATGATGAATTCATTTCACTGTTTTAGTATCGAGGAAAAAGTGATTGGAAAAATGGCACTTATGCAGGAGCATTATCAGGAGGCATTATAGGGCTGAGAGGTAATTCATAAATATTTTACTACTGCTGAAATTTTTGTGAAATATCAAAAACAAATCTTTTTTTTAGCGGGTGTTAAAGCTGGCATTATAGGGGCATGTGGTTTTGCAGCCTTTTCAACTGCAATAGATTATTACATGCACTCAGACTGAAACAATTATTGTTAGTTAATGTGTAAATATATATTTTAGTATGAACTTGTTATTGTATCAATAAGTATTGTTGAAAATAACATGAATGTGGATAATGTTACATGAATAATGAATTATCAAAATAATTTATTATGATAGAGCAGTTGACTAAGAACTACAGAAATTTTTCTAAGCCTATAAACAATAAATATTCAATGACGCAGAAAATTCCAATATAGATCACATGTAAATTAATAATTGTCATTGTTTTTATGTCTGAATATGAAGATGTAAGATGACTTACATAATAATTACTTTAAAAAAATCATATTTAGAAATAAAAGCTTCAAATGACTGTAATGTTTATATGTACAAAACTTCTGAAAATAAAAACAATCTAACCAAATTCTAAGACAAAAATGAACTTGGTTGTACTAAAGCATGGAATCTAACCATAACAATATCCATTTTACTCACAATTAGACTGATTTGAACTATTAAATTTCTTGGTAATAACGAAAAAACAAAATTAATTACCTGTAAAAAAATTCAAATTGAAGACTTATCCTATTCTCATCAATTTATAATGAAGCCTTTTAGATTGATTTAATATGAAAATGTGTCATGATTTTCATTTAAATATTTTTCACGTGAAAAAGAAGGCGTTCATTTAGACTGTAGTTGTTTACGATAAAGATTTCATTATGCAACAAACGCTACTTTCAGCTCTGAATATAATTCCTGTGGTGTTGAAATGGTAAATTAAATTCGTTTGATAACATGTAAGTATGTAGGTGTGTGTTCAATACAGCTTCTTACAATATAAATTCTGATAAAAAATATATATTTTTTTAGGGAAATTTACTCACTGGTAGCTCTTTACTTTTCTAAATAGAGGTTGTTAAATGTTTAAACAAGTTACTGTGATGATTAATAATAAAAATTTATTGTTAAATTACGTATTAAAAAATTACTTTTACAAAATTTAAGTCTGTATATGTCGTTTGAGTTTGGATTAGTCTTACCAAAGTGTATATATTAATATTCATATATTGGTATGTTATAAATAATGTATAAAATTTTAATCAGACCTATACTTATCACTATGTTATAAATTCCAAAAAAAATTAATGAATTCATCTTTGGGATAGTCTATCCATACTATGACACTGATAAAATAAATTGTCTGACAACTTTCACATGATGTTGTACCAAGCAATTTCGGAAAATATATTTAGCATGTGCTAGACACGTTCGTAACTATGTATTTCCTCGTCAAACTCATAAAACTTAAATTTTAAAATTACAATTTAAAGGTTCAATTGTAAAAAAAATTTACATTACACATACTTAGAAGTACATGGATTGTTCAGATCATTTCTTATATACCCTGAAGTCTAATTGTCGTTTTGAAGTCTAAATCTATTAGAAATAATTATTTTAAAAGTATGGAAATGCAATTGTTTTTTACTTTTACATGAATACTGTTAAAATATTCATAAATGGCAAAGCCTTATTGGTATAAAAATATTTTAATGATCAATTAAATATCTTGTTTATAAAAAATGAGTGCAAGGCACTTCTTAAGTTTTGTTGTTCGTTGTTGCAGTAAGTAATTAGTGGCTTGCATGAGGCTTATGAATAGTTATTCCATTGCTTGTCATGTATTAAACCAATAAACCATATACTAGAAAAAATAAAAATACTGATTCAAAAAGTATGTAGCACATGCTTGATCATTAATGCATGTTAAATTTTTTCAACTGCACTTCATTGGAATAAACTTTAATAATAAAGGATGACTATCTTTGTACCACATTTGTTCTTATTGCTGTTTTTGCTGCATCTGAGCTTGCATATGAGCCAGCATTTCTTGCATTCTTCGTAACTCTGCTTCTTTCTCTTGCAATATACGATCTTTTTCAGAAATATTATTCTTATCGCTGTCAACAATACTGAAAAATAAACATAATTCTGGTTAAAAAACACAATCATTCCAGTTTCATAATTACAAACGTCATGAAATTTATTTACGTTTGACGCCGAGGTGGAACTGGAGCTCCTTTCGCTAATCTTTCACTTCGATAGTTTTCATAATGTACATCTTGGGTGACTTCTTGCAAATCTTGCATGTGGGTACTGGAATAATATAAATGTTACATATGATTAATCATCTTCAGTAGAAAATTAACACAATTCTAGAGACAGAACTTACATTAACATGGTTCTGAGCTTAATAAAATCGCAATGATCAGGATTTTCTACCTCAACAACACCCCAAGGATACAGTCTTCCACGAACTTTACGGCCTTTAACTTCTAATAAGGTAGTTGAACCACAAACAGCAAAAGGTATCGCTTGCTTAAGCTGTTTTACTTGCACTTTATATTCTTCATCTTCATCGCTATCACAATCTGGTAAGGCATAAGTTTTAATACCATTTTCTTCTATCTCTTCCATTACACGTTTTTTAAGACGGAGCATTTCTTTTTTTGTTAGAACATCAGCTTTGGCAATAACAGGTACAATATTTACTTTGCCATGCAGTTGTTTCATAAATTCAATGTCCAAAGGTTTTAGTCTTTCAGAACCAATAAGTAAATTAATATTAATTACAAGTGATAAAAGATAGAATTAAATATTTTTTCTTACCCATGACCAAATGGAGAAATGAAGTAAAAACAACAATGTATCCTGTTGTCCACAATATTTCTTCTGTTTAATCCACTTTCATCGCGTAAGAATCTTTCAAATTGATCATCAATGTATTGAATGATGGCTCTAAAACTGTCTGAATTATCTATAGCATCGCCAAATCCAGGAGTGTCAACCACAGTTAAACGAAGTTTGACACCTCTTTCTTCAATTTCAACAGTTGATGCATCAAGTTTCACAACTTGGTTTGTTTTTTCTATAAGACATTTAAGCAATGAAATGTATAAATGCATCATTAAAAATTGCATTTTATTATAAATTGTAATATTTAAATCAAATTAAATCATTTGAGACACAAATTTATCAAATAATTTAAATATTATTTGGTGATTAAACTTGACATGCCTTTTTAAAATTAAAGTGTAAATCTAAACATTGATATTAGATTAAGAACAAATTTCCACTCCAGAAAAAAACTAGGCTATTTCAAAATTCTGTATAAACAAGTTTTTTTTATGAATATTCAAAAAATGTTTTTATATATTAAATTTCCTTTCTATTACACGAAGAAGAATAGGATGTTTCATAATTCAAGCAAAATTTGAAATATTTACTCCATGCCAGCAGGAAATACCCTAGTTCATAACTCAAGTGTTACAATGTGCTTCTACAAATATACAAATAAATCAATTAATACCAATAAAGAATACAAATTTGACTAATAAAATAATAAATAAATAGTGACAACATATATCTACATTGCACAATAAACCATGGTGATTTGAAGAACAAAAAAAAGTTGTGTGTACAATACTTTTGAATATAAACATGTGATATTTTTCAAAAAGGCATATTTTGTTTGTACTTACTACAAAGTTCAACGATTGCTTTTGTTTAAATAGAATAATAATGATTATTAGTCATTGTTTTTATGAATTCGACAATATTATTAAAAGTTGCATTTACCTGTAGCATTTGGTACAACTCTTTCTGGATATAAATCAGTAAGAAATAGGCTATTAACTAATGTAGACTTGCCAAGACCAGATTCACCGACCACCATCAGTGTGAATTCAAATCCTTTTTTTACTGATTTGCGATGTACCTGATTAGGTAGATTGGCAAAACCCACATACCCAGGAGTATCATTCCCTGAAAACTAAAATATAAAAATGATTAACTAAACTTGAGCTTTATTTTAGAAGAAGAACAATGCATGAATCTACATTGTATCGATTAACTTTTGTTTTGAAAATAGACACCATGTTGAATGTTTCATTTAGCTTGGTAAGTAGTACAATTGATATACTCTGTATAACTGTAATGTAAATTCTAGTGACAAATGTCATTTAAAATGTATGTGATACTACAATAGAGCCCTCAGATAGGAAGAAATGTAGAATAAAAGTCGTAATAATTATCAAATAAAAAAAAAATAATAATAAACACCTGATGTAATACGATTCAATGTTTTTTTTGTCTTGAAATAATATTGTGGAATGATAACACAAAAGGCAAATTCATGATTAATTGTTACGTTAGATCCGCTACCATAGCGCGTGGGCGTTGGACAAATAATGAATCATTTATATGAATTTCAAGTAAAATAATAATTTTGACGTAGGGTATAATATCGAAAAAGACTAACATTTGTTAGAGATAACTCTATATAACATGAGAAAGTTAACGAAAATCCCTTTCGACTAAATGGGCAGGTTTAACGGACGAGCAAGTTGTATAAAAATGTATCCGCAAGTAAAGAAGTCGATGAGTAACACTTGAACGAATGGAGATGACAAAGAGAAAAAAAATCAAGAACCGTTAAAGAACCAAGAAATATTTTAAGGTCGCTCTCTGAATCGTAAAATAAATACTCAAGTACAGAGCGTAAATAGAGCTTCAAGCTATTAATGCCTGTTTCGCTAATAACAAAATGCTTGATCTGGTACGGTATAAAAGGTAAAAAGAATATCACTTACCGTTTTGCAACTATCGCTCGACATCCTTTTATTATCACCCATTCGAACGTAAAGCGACTCGGCTCAATGAAGTCTATTATGACGTATTGTCAATGTAAACGAGTGCGTCGTGTTTATATCACTGTCTAATTAGTCAACGAAGGTTATCCGTCCGGCAGCTAGAGTCTAGCGTCTTTAATTCTCGCACTACTAATGTGAGGCGCACTAGAAAGCTACGAATCTCGCTTATCGCAGAGACGAGATTTTAATGTATTTTGAAATAAAATACGAATTGATAGCTCGTCCAAAGAGCAACGGAAGCACGGGCTCTTCTCCAGCTGCTGCTTTAAACTACTGCTGCTGATGCTTATTGCTGAGTCGGCAACGTCCGATTGCGATATCGAATACTCATGTATGTACGCGACTTGCGTACGGAAATGCCAAAGCACGTCTCATGCACGTTGTATGGAATGGAAGTATATTCAAGAAATCGCGAACTCAATGTGTAATACGTATATAAGTATACAAACGCACAGCGCGTAAGCTTATGCTTGATGTGTATGCGTACAGATGGCCGCGTTTTTTTCTTTTTTGGTTGAGGCGTGCTTGTATGTATCTCACGCGAGTCGCTATGCGTGCCGTGCGAGGCGCGATGATAATGGCGTGGGAGAGGCTGTAAAGCCGCGTGCGATACGTGCACGTCTCGTTTCAATTTAATTCTGCATCGTCTTACAATGTAGCGTAGAAGGGCTTGCCCCTGTCTGAAACTAAAAAGCAGTAACAACAATGGTATACAGGCCGGCAAAGACGAAGCCCATACTTCGCTGTATGTACATTTTAAGCTGGCGCAGGATTAAACGGAAACGAGTGCCTGTGTATGTAATGTATGTACATAGCCGACAACGTGCAAGCACAGAACATGTAATGTATGTGTGTATAGCATGACATGGGGTCGTTTGAGGCGTGGTCCCGACTCCTAAACCCCTTGCGTCTTGCGTAAACTCGGCTAGTTTTCGCGTGATCAATTTTTTCTTTCCTTTTTTTACTTTCGATTCACAGATTGGCGATCGATACGAGTGCTTTGCATTCGACGTTTTTGTAAGACTTCCAAGGGACTTCCCATCCAACTTTTGACAAATTTAAGCTCAAATCAGTTTACAAAGAATTGTCGAAAAAATTGAAAAATGTTCGTAAGATAGGCATCAACAGTTTTGACCAAAATTTAACTTTTTAAAACAATGCAAATTTTTCCCCCGCTGCATAATTGCTTGCTTTGCATGTTTCGTGCAATTTTTATAATCACTTTATAAAAACTTCAGTAAATGCTTTAAAACAGTAAATAAAAATACCAACTTTTTTTAAGAGTGATCAAATCAGTATATATTAAAGGGTAGCTTACAAAATACATTAATATTAATATGTAGCAGTAGTATTCACAATTTGAATTACACAAAAAGTTTTTCTCTAACTCTCTGTTAACTTCATTTCTTTTCTTTTTTTTTTAACTTTACGACGACACATTACACGGATACGAGGTAAACTACTACTTCTTATTCACAAAATAGTATTTCATATACAAGCATAGCTCTACATTAAATTAATTATTTCCTGCAATACTTTTCGCTATTTTCGAATCGTTTTTCACGCTCATGAAGAGCATCTGACGATTGCTCTTCATCAATATGTCTCGTAATAGTTTTTTTTTAAATAATTTTATATGCAAAACCTTTTCTTAACTTTGTGAGAGCGCATACATATTTAATATAATTCATTGCCATGCTCATGTTCAATGCTTACGCTATTCATTTTACCCACGTATAATTAAATTTACGTCAACTTTTATCGTATTAGATCGAACGTGTGAAAAATTCACGCAGGTTCTTTGGACTGGTAATAGTTAAAGTTTTGTCTTATTTTCATTTTTGGCGAACAAGTTCAATCATTTATGCATTTATATGTTCCTGTTAATATTATCAACGAGGCGTAGATTTTAATTGCTGGTTACAAAGTAATATACCCCGAACAAAGTTTTTATTTGTTTAGGTTGTTTTATTAAGTATATCAGAGAAAAAAGAAGATAAAAATAAATAGATCTACATGTAACGCAATAATGACAAAAATGATTAAGGCTAGTGGAAAATATTCTAAGAAACAGAGGTTTCACTAGCTTTGTTTGTACTCTTCGAAAGTCGGCGAAGTGAATACATGTAACACGACTTTAAGCCGTCGTAAAATTTTTCTCACGTCTTAACATCGAGAAAAAGTCACGCTCAAATCAATCGCTCGGTATAAAATTTCGCTTGGACTTTTACTTTTTTTCAATTAACCATTTTTTTCAAACAGTATGAATAACTCTCTTGCTTACTGTGTCATTCTAATCAATTCATATACGGTCTGTATAATAATCTCGTTTCAATTTTTATCAAAACACTTAATCGTGCAAAATAATAATGTTACCTTTTTTCAATCACCTATTTTAATAGTCATAATTATTCACATTAAATATTACTCGATACTTCAGACATGCAATTATGCGTTAGATGTATAGGTGCCTGTATATGTATACATACTATTTTTCGTATTCATCGGGGTTTCTTCTCTACGAGATACCTAATAGTTATTTAATTAATGAACATTTCCTCTCACCGTTTCAGGTAATGCTACGATAAAATACAAGTAGACATTACCTGTTATTTCAGTTATCGTCGTCAAATGCGAATTCTGAATTTTCACAATCTACTGTGAGGGGTAGAATAAACAGATGAAAAAATTGATTCCACACAAGTAAAATGTGATAACAAATTGTTACAACAAAAGATTCTCATTCTGTACTCGATATAGTTAGAGCATTGACAACTATTGAATTTGATTTTTAGCTATACCTACGCACTGATATAAGGTTTCAAAAAATAATTACAAGTAAAACGACATTTCATTTTAAGGGAGTTTTATAATTTCACCTATTAAAAATTGTTCAAACACATATATACACTTTCATACGACATCCAATCCTCAATTATACTGGGATTCTGGTCAATGCTCTATGAAGTTATAAAAAAAACAAAGATTCAATAGAAAAACATCATTCGTATTCTTACATTTCCATTTGACAAATAATTCAACGTGCAAGTTAATGAACAAATAAAACTGAGCTCTCTTTTCTTTTTCTTTTTTTTTTTTTTTTGAGGAACAAAATAACATCTTTTACGCGGAATCAAATATGAAAAAAATGTTATCACAAGATTTGATTCGCCATTGCATTAATTCCGAGCTAACAGATACTTAAAGACACACAATGAGGATGAATAAAGATATTGCTGTTGTAATTCCGTGATGTTACGCGACGCATTGAATATATTTTACCCCCGCCTACCATCTTGAAGTCGATATATCTTTTACATCAAATGGCTGTTGTTGTCGCTTTATCCAAAATGAATTGGTTACTGATGAGGAAGATAATTGAGATGGTACAGTTGATTTCGTTGACGCACTCGAAGTTTTTCCCCGAATTTTAGTACCAGGTAAAAAGTTCACAGGCGATAAACGAGATTGTGGCGGAGGCGAAGACGAGGCCTACTTAGACGATTCATCCTTGATGTTTTCTTCGCGAGGCTTAGCACCTCCGAATATCGAGCTACGGGTTGCTGTTTCAGCTAACGCGTTTATGGGATCAGTCACTGATCTGGGTTGCAATTGCAGTCGTTTTCGACCAGTTGTATCTGAAAAATGATTAGACACAATTATGAAAAAGTCATTATAAAAAATGAATTATTGAACAATAGTGATATTTTTATGAACTTTAAATTTATTTTACCTGGGGGACCTTCCTTCATGTATGGCTCCTCTGGGTATTTCCTTTCTGCCGGCCTATCGTTGCCACCAGGCCTTCTGCCACTGCCGTACCTCGAACCTCCTTCAGGTCCACTGCGGTGGTTCCACTCACGGTTACCACCATCGCTATTGAACCCACCACCTCGAGGACCACCGTCATTATTGTAGCCGCCGCTGCGATCACCGTAATTACCACGGTTACCCCGATCGCCACCGTAACCACCGCCGCCACCTTGTCGTCCGCCACCCATTCCTCGATCATAACCTCCTGCAGAATGAATAATAATTAGTATTTATCAAGATATTATACACGATATTTTAAAAAATTATAAAAATAATTATATTCGCGATTGAATCAAAAATATCCAAATTTCTCAAGTTAAATTTTTTGTTACATTGAACAATTTTATCGAAATTTAAAACTAATTATTTAATTTATAGAGAAATACCAAAGCCAAAATAAAAGTTTTTCAATAAACTTTACCAAATTTTCTTTGAATATTTGGTGGAAAAACTTAGTTTGGGCTAATATCAAAAATAATATTATGGTAAACCATTCAACTCGAGTAAATTAATTTGAAATAGAAAGCACAAAATTGTAGTTTAACATTAACATATAAGCTACAGTATCTCTATAAATTAAAGTATAACCATGCAAAGCAATTCATGCAGACTAACTACTTGAAAATATACTACTTAAGTTCAACTAAAAACCAAAATAAAAGAATTACTTTTATGAAAGGAATACACTACTTGAATAAGAATGTTAAAAAAATTGAAGAACAAGAATGATCATTTGGTTTTTAGATATGAATAGTAGTATACTGCATACTCGAAGACATGAATGTGCTACCATAGTCATCTCCGTATCCCCTTGGGCCATCCCTACCCCTATTGAAACCATTACCAGGGCCACTGCCAGATCGTCCACCACCTCGTCTATCGAATCCACCTCCTCTATCATTTCTTTTGCCTTCGGCGACGTCAATTTTCAATACATTTCCTTCAACTTCGACGAAGCCATTCATCTTGACAGCATCTTCCAAGCTATTTATATCTTGGAACTCGACATAGCAGAATCCCTTGAACCTGAAAAATAAACGATTCAAAGTTACAACAGAAATATTACTTTTTAGATTTATATTTGCATTGAATATGAATTCTTTATTGCATACAGATAATTTTTTATAGATGATTATTAGTGTACAAAATTAATTGAGAATGGTAAGTTGAATAAATGTAATCATAATGTTTATCAATATATTTTAGATGTAAATATAAAATAAAAATCATAACAGATAATACCTGTCGGTCTCGCGATCCTTCACAAGCCTTATGCCTTTAACTTTTTGTGCGGAGAAGATTTTGTCAATATCACCTTGGACGATACCCATGGGTAGATTGCCGACGTAAGCCGTATATGGTGGCTCGGTAGGCATTGGACGACTGCTTCCGCGTCCACCGTAGTCTCTGTATCGTAGAAGAAATAACAACAAATTAGATAAAGTGCATAAAAAAAGTTATATGTCATTAATGTGCGAGAGGGAGAAAGAGCACGTGCGGCAACGTGTGTCCGCGGGTGCTTGGCTCATCGCAAAAAAATGCATGTGGGAGGAAGAGAATCTTGGGCTGACGCGCTATCGCCAAGTACAGGGGAAGCATTGTTTAGTTTGCTCGCATCGTATAGTTACGCATACAAGGGGCATTTAGACCAAATTGAGCGATAAAGGGAAATATTGGCTGTACACAGGTATAATAGGTGCAGCATGTGTATGAGACCGTATCAGGCCGACAAATTCAGTATCCGAGGTTAAGTTGCGCAGGTCGAATCTGAATCGCTAGGCGAGTCGAGGCTACATAATATATAGCAAGGCAGCAGCACAGCACAGCACAGAGCAAATTTGGACACAAGATGTAGAGCGTTGGTCAGAGATCGTGCCGCAAGAGTAATGAAATGCAATTATTTACTCACCTCATGTCATCGTAACGTCCTGCCATAATATCAAAACTATTGAATCAACAATTGAGAAAGTTATCAAGTCGATCGATCAGATCGGGCCAAGTATCCAGCAGGTAGGCTGAAAAGTAAATTCAATCTGTAGCGAGATTCGATAGAGAGCGCACTCAGGGTCGTGTAGCGAAAAAAGCTGTCCAAGTAGACGAGAGTATAGTCTTAGCGCCCGCCGCGATAGCTCGGGCCCAGCGCACTGACGAAAAAGAATGAGCGAGCGAGCGAGAGCCACACACTTACATATATGTGTAACCGTGTGAGTGTATGTACGTGTACGGTATTCAATGTAGTGATGCTAGATTCCAGCGCAGTGCTGCTAGTGCACGATTATAAAGGTATATGACATGTAATGGTAAAAGCCGAGCGCTGCGCCGTAGTCAACTTTGGAGTTTGCAACTTCGGAGCTCTGTCTCTGTCTCTGTCTCTCTCTCTCTCTCTCTCCGTTCAGCTTGACAAAATGTCGCACACGCGCGCGCGCACGCGTTTAGGGCAGCTCGCCGCGCCGAGGCGGCAAGAGAGAGCGCGCGCGCGCGGGCCCCAGACTCCGTAAATGTGTATTGTGCTGGTGTTCGCAGGATGCACGAGAAGAAACTACAGAGAGAGGAGCCAGTGACTCGTCCAATAACGAGCGCCAATATTAATTCCGAGTTCTCGAGTCGCTCCCTTTTGTAGCTACTGTTGGCTAGCCAATTTTATAGCTACTTGCAAATTTCAATACTTTTTAGACAACGACTACTTGAGTGATTAGATTTCTCCGATTTTGAAATTCATCGCAATTCAGTAAAGTCACCAGCTTTCAATATCAATTTCTAATCCGAAAGCTCTTTTTGCGGAAATTTTAAAGTCAGTTTGATAATTAATAAAGATTCGTTACCATTGAATAGACGAATTGTTACACTACGTAAAATATTCTTGTCGATTTGCACGAACACGAGTGCGTAACAAAAGAAAAGTCGCTATAGTGTCTCGCCGAAAAACAACGCGTAATACACCCATACATGCATTTACAGCGTACACACTAACACGAACTGATGTACGCCGCACGCAGACATCGTCAACTACATATAAATGTGTAGGTGCAGTGCAGGCTAGCAAGCGCATACGAACCGGCGGCAGTCCTATCATTGTGTACACAGTTAACGATATGTGTGTGCCAAGCACAAGCGGAGACTGTCGGTGGAGCGGGCTCTTCTCGCGTACACGTTCAATCGGGGTTTTTAGTTCTGCACAAGACGTCGAGTAGGCGCAATCGCACACGTTCGGAACAGCGTAAACGACGACTGACTTCCGAGTTCCGACCTCAAAAAGGCTCTCCTTTTGGCTCGCAGTCATACAGATAATTTGTGCTCGTCGACTAGTGCATCGCTGAGCTTTTTATAAATTCGTGAGTGGATGTTCGGGTTATAGTGCACAAGTGCGCGTCAATAATTCTTTCGACAAAAGTGCGAAATAAGCCAAGTAGTGCTCCGAACGTTACGCATCCATTACAACCAAAATAAACGAACGTTTTGTCGTGTCCGTGTGACAGCTGTCAAACTGCAGCGTTATTTCGATCATTTACAATTTTGCCGTAAAGCAGGTATGTCCGAGACCGTCCACAAAGTTTTTCTGGAAAAGTCGAGTTTCTGTCGAGCTATGTGTAGAATCATGGTATATAGCTAGGCCGCGTTGATATTTCGCAGTATAACGTCTGACGCGCGTTATGTAGTTACACACGTCGGCGCGATTGCTTACATACATTATACACCTATACGCGTACACGTACGAGCATTATAGTTATACCACTTAGTGCACTTTGCGTTGCATTATAAACAGGGCACTGGTGCGTGATATTTTTAAAAACAATAATTAATCATCACCGATTTATCAAGGACGTCTGCTGAGTGCGCTGAATTTTTTTCTTTCTTTATTACCGCGCCCGATTGCAAGTTATTTTTCAACAAACCATTTATTGATTATTATTGCATTTCATATTCGATAACTTAATTTTTTACGTGAATCATCAAAAGAACTTACAACCATAATTTCAATTTTAACATGTACACATTATGCTTTAAAATTTAGACTCTTAAATTCCAATATTTAAATTCTGAATAATAATTACGATTAATTATCCAAAAATTTTATTGCGTCTTTCTCGATTCTTTACAATCAAATATTTTAACAATTTTGAACCTTTTTCAAAAGATTCTGAATAACATTATTGATTAAATACATCGATCAAAACGATAATTTAGACCGTAAAAAATTGTAACCTATTAATATTAATTAGGTAACCTTATACTAAATTACTAAATTTGTATCTTGTTGCAGAGAATAAATATCAAAATGAATAAGAACGGACCACCACCCCCCTATGAAATGCCACCACCAAGTTATGCTCAATGCGTTGGTGGTGTTGCCCCTGCAAGTCCATTTACACCGGCAGAAACATGTAAGCAAATTAACTTTATACTTCTAACTTCTAGTATAAACTTGAAAATGATCTCATCGTGTAATTTTATCACAAACTGTTACAATTAGTGCATATTAATGACTTTGCATACATAGAAGTTAAACAATTTCAAGCTAATACCTTTTTTCTCAGTTTTTGAAACCAGCATTTATGCTGATCTGAATCCATATATTGCCTTAAATCTATGAGACAGTAAATTACTTTCCCAACTAATAACTGATGAATATTGATGGGGTTTATTTGGTTTTGTGTAGATGCTCCTGGACCTACAATTGTCACAACAATTGTTCCACTAGGCTCTGGTTCCACGCACACAATTTGTCCGCATTGTTATACTGAAATTGACACTCAGACAAAAACTGAGCCAGGAATGATAGCATATGTCACTGGATTTTTAATAGCTATATTAGGGTATGTAAATTAAAAACTTTACCACTTTAAATAATTTGAGGTCATTGACTATAAGTTGAAATTGTGAATATATCGCTATAAAATAGATGGAATATTTTATCAAAACTTACCAAGATAACTTATCAGTCTTTTTATCATCGATATTATTAAGACGTACAATGCTAAATATGTCGCAAAAAAAATCCGAGACGTCACGTGAAAAATATTTTCGCTCGCGGAAAAAGTCAACTTTCCGATGAAAGAACTGTTCGACTTTGCATGCGTCAAAAAGTGTTGCACATTAATTCCTTGTTGTTTCCCTTATATCGCGCAATTTCCTCTTCGGCTGCTGGATTGCAGCTCGTAAAGCTTGAATAATTAAATGACGCGAATGTAGCTGCAGCGAATACAGCTCGGACCGTCATCACTCACATAATAATTTCATTACTTCGTAAACACACTTCAATGAGTCATCGTTGCAAATAAAATGAAAAGAAAAAAGTGCGTCCAAGCAGTGCTCGCAGCTTGCATATTACTTCGCACGCTTAGATGTACGACGATTAATGAGAATTATTTTGGTGCTGTTATTTTTACAGATGTTGGGCTGGCTGCTGCTTAATCCCCTGCTGCATCGACGAGTGTATGGACATTCATCACACGTGTCCCAATTGTAAGGCATACCTCGGTCGCCATCGAAGATAAAGAACGCGAGATGCATAAAATTTCGCTGGAGCAGCGAAATGTTGATACATGCCTTTGTTGATGTTTTTTTTACCTAGTTTTGGAGAATGTGATGTATGTGGCCGCGATTGTGTTGTATAAAATATGGCACTCCTGCACGTTTTCTTCTATTTCGGTACGCTAAGATAACATTCCTACTATTGTTAATGAAAGGTCAAGTCATTCAATGCTTCTACTGTTCAAACAAATGCAGGGAAATAGTTCAAATGGGCTCTTGGAATCATTATTGTAAAATTTTTTAAACATTATTTTGAGTTCGTTAGTAACGATTGAGTTTGATACGGTTTTGCGTGGATGTCTATCCCTAATGCATGTTCAATGCAATGCTTGATGCATATCAAGGCACTAGGCTGATTGTAGATAAGACTCCATATAAATATCTGTCAACAATTGATTTCCTATCTTTGATTTACCATTGATCTCATTGTACCAAGAAAGGAAAATATAAATAGAAAATGGCTTGTTAATCGAATAACCAGTATAAATTAATGAAAATATAAGAACCCCCGTACAAAGATCCTTGCTAGTAGGCGTTTTACATGGTAATAATTCGTAATTTCATTTAGTAGCCTTTGAAATTTTCGCTGCAGCTGATCTTAAAATGCATAACATCAAACTTTGCAACGTCGATAGTAAAATTTACTTATTCCATTTGAACATTTGAAAAATGATTCCTCTCGACTCCTCTTTTAAATGCGAAAATACGACGAAGCTACCGTAATGACGGTGCTTAAGCTTCTAGCTCGTGGTGGTAAATGTGTTTAAACATCAATTGTCTATAAAAGCATGAATGATAATTAAAGAAATTGTTGTCTAAGGTTTTGGTCCGAAGTATATTTAGTTTTCCATTTTATTTGGAAATTTTCGATGGTTTTACTTGAAATTGTTTATTGTGTTGTTTAATGAAGTGTTCTTTTATTGGAATAGTTTTTATGACCTTGAAGTACAACCATGTCACTTTTAATACTTTACTTCAAATTTCTAGTACCTGTTCAAAGCTATAAACATAAAATAAAAAATGACACGAGAAAAAAATTGGATTTTCGATTTATTGATTTATTAATACTAATCTTGATAAATTAATAAATCAATTTCACTTCAGAAAAAAATTAAAATTATTGTATATTAAGGTGTTGCGTAGAGTTACCCGATCATAGAATAATTTTAAAAAACAAGAGAGGAATGAAAAGGACGATTCAATGTATTCACTCCGAGCGATAAATTGGGGTTGAAAAATAACCCGAAGAAATCTACATTAACGTATAGTTTCATAAAAAAGATCAAGAAAATCGCTAGTTTTGTCAAAAACTGAGTAATGGAATTGAAATTTATCTAATGAGAAATGACAAGAAAAAAAATGACAATGCGGTATTCCTTGGAGCTAGTAATCTCCAACATTTTTTCTTGTCTTTTTCATACTATCAAGTCATTCGGAGTTATTGACACTTATATAATAAGAACACTTTGAAAAAGTCATGCAAATAATTATTTAGAAAAATCACATAATTATATAATAAATTCAAGTAATAATCCAAGACGCACAAATTTTATTTGTTAATCATATTTGCTATTTATTTGTGAATTGATACAATTGCTATATTACTTCTACGTGCATTTTATGTATATGTTCTATGTAATTGTATTTTTAATTTGTTATTTTCTAATAATATATAATAGTTGTTTATTATAATGCCAAAGATACTGTTTTTGCACAATTTTTTCTGAGACATATATTGAGGAAAACTTGAGCGTTACGATTGCATATTATTTAACGAAAGTTATTTAAAAATTACAGCTGTATAAAAATTAATTTCAAGACACTTTAAACTTAATTTTCAATCATATCAACTTTTACGAAGCATAAAATGATAAAAATGAATAGAAACATATACTAAAGGATATCCTGTTTAGTTGAATGGCGCTAATCAGATGCTTTTGACGGTAAAAGCAAGTTTGGAATGTATTAAGATGCCTTAATTGAATTAGAAAATTAAATATTTTTAGGTATTCTAAAATTGTATCTTACTTTGAATTAATCTATTTCAAGTGCCTTAATTCAAATATTGTTTATGAATAAAAAAACAAAAAAACAATCATTTTCCTACATCATAGACAATTTTGACAGTTTTCGATGAAATTAATTAAATAATAGTACCGCACAGTGCACGCTTATTGGCACTTGGAGTGCAAACTTAAAAAGTGTCACCTTTTTTAAATATTTGTCACGCACAGACATTTTACATGGAATTGTTAGCTTTATGTCTTTATGCCAATGACATATGATAAATTTTGTAAGCTACTTTTTAATATTATAATTATTATTCAAAGTTGAATTACGCAATCAATGGTTCAATCACGCTATAAAAATGTTTAATCGTAAAAATAATCTCCTCATGTACTTCAGAATTTATGTTACATCGATTGTAATTTTATATGAATTGTTAATAAATAATCAAATACGAACGAAGAAAATGAAGGCAAAGTTTTTTCATAGCATTATCAACTAGTAGAATTGTTTTATTGTTAAGTCAAGTTTCGATTAACTTATGCTTCACCACGAAAATGAATATTACAACGCAAGAATGAAAAGAAAATTTCATCGGCGCTGAATCAATCGCTTTTATACATCAGTCATCAACTATTCTGTATTATGAATAACTTATTCGAGGCAGGGTTCTCATTAGAGTATTTATATACATAAATAAAAACAAATTTAGGCGTCGATTGTGTGTTTATAGTAAGAACTTTACACCACTTTATTTCATAGACATACACTTCTTATATCTAAATATGAGTTTAGTACACACGGTTAAATGTACTCGATTCTAAAATAAAAAATCTTTTTTTATTTTCATCATTCGTATGAAAATGGTCTCATTGGCGTATCATTTCTGAAGGAAGTCGCACGTCAAAAAAATTCGTAAAGTTAAAACAAATGTGTTTTGCGTTACAATATACGCAGTTGCCTTATTGTCTTGATAAGAATTGCGTCGATAATGAGTTTTTATAAAAAATAAATTATAAACTTGTATTTACATATATACAGGTAATAAACATGTATTGTTGAAAGGTTAAATAAAATGTCGTACCAGTAAGCTTAAAAATGTAACGTAAGCTTATAAATTGAATCGAAAGCGAGGTAAAAAGGAGCCGCTCAGCATTCCATCACGTGTTCGAGGACATAAAAAATTGGTCCCAGATAGGGGTGTAGGCACGATTAGCGAAGCCAGGCGAAATGGGTGGCGGCAGCCAGTCGTTTCGCTTCTGACTCGTCCAGGGCGCGCAAGCGATATCGGGCACGATCGACGACGAGTCGTCCTTGAACTTGGGGCGCGCAGCTTTTCGGCTGGCGGCCGGCCTGCTCTGGGCCCGAGTCGTTTCTCCCGCGTCGGCGTCGAATTTGCCGGCGGTCGCGTACGGTGTGTAGGTCTCCTCGAGGAAGCTCGTCTTGGGGGCCGCCGCCTCGTAGGTCTTGGGCAGCACGGGCTCGATCCGAGGCTCGTCGCTTTTCAGCAGCTCCCTCCTGGCCTCGTAGATCTTGAAGACGTCGCGCTCGTAGCCCTTGATGACGACGGAAAAGGTGTCCTGCTTGGGCTTCTCCCGGATGCTGATGAACACGTCGTACTTCTCCATGAGGTCGTTGGCGTTATCGACGTAGTGCGTGTTCAGGGTCTTTTCCGGCACGTCGAACAGCAAGATGATCGGAAGGGAGCCGATCAGCTTTTCCCGCGCTAAGTAAACTTTGTGTACCGGTCCTTTTATAACGAGCTCGTTGGGCCTTGGATAGGGCTTTTTGTTGTTGTTTTTGCCGCTGCTGTTCGGGCCATTCGTATCGGACGAATTCGACGTGTCGAGCTGGCTATTGCGACGCTGCTGCTGCTGGCCACCGTTGCGTCGCTGATTATTTTGCTGCTGCTGCTGCTGCTGCTGCTTGGAAGTTTTGTCGGGCTTCCAGCAGAGAATGTCGGTGCCGGTGCGGGCCATGATGGCCTCGAGATTGCGATTGTTCTTGCCGTAGATGATGCTGCGGTACTCGGGCGAGACGTTGATGCAGGCGTGGACGTCGACCTGGCCGGCGGGCCTGCCGCAGATGTGGTGAATGAGCAGGGTGACGGCCTCGCGCAGCTCGTCCATGCCGCTCTCGTAGCCCTTGACGTGGACGCTGGTGCGGCTGGCCCCGGCCCGCAGCACCGACTTGAGCGTCACCTTGACCGGGTACTTGAGCTGGATCTCGGCTATGTACGGGTCGTCCGGCTGGTGGAACTTGTCCTCCTCGAACATGAAGGTCATCGGCGTCATGGACCTGATGCGGGCGCGCGCCCGCTCGACGTTCCGCAGCTCGCCGATCATGGCCACGCGGTTGCTCTTCTTCGCCTGGCTGCACTTGCGGTTGCAGTCCGGGAAGTGGATCTTGCACTCGGTCTCCTTCATCAGCTGCGAGACCGTCTCGCCCTTCGTGCCGATTATGTCCGAGTGGTCGGTGTAGTCCATCTCGAGCTTCATGGTCACGAGGCACTTCTGGCGGGGATCGAGCAGCTTGTAGATGGCCTCCTTGGCCCGGCGTATGTTGCCGGCCAGGCCCTGCACCGTGACGAAGGGCAGCTTCTTCGTCTTGGCGTTGGCCTTGAGGCTCGGCGGCCACGTGATCACCGTGTTGCTCTCCTGCATTATGTTGTAGAAGAAGTTTTGCGCCGACTGGAGGCCCGTGGCGGCGAGCAGCCGCTCCATGAGGCGCCGATCGACGCGCACGCACTCCTCCTGCAGCCTCTCCGGCTCCATCAGGCCCAGATGGGTGGCCACGTCGCGTATGTGCTCCATCTTCGACAAGCTCTTCTTTTTCGTCTCGACGACCGATGCCGAGCTCGACGCGAACGTCCACTTGGACTGGACCGGACTGAAGCTCCGGTCGGACAGGTCCAGAGCCGACATGGCTGAGCTTATGAAATCGTTGGCCATTTTCCTCGCACTTTCTCAAGCCAAGCTCCTTTTCTTGGCTTTTGTTTTCTTACAATTATGATCTTATAATTATGTCAACAGATTGATGTATACAAGTATACGTCGGATCATAACTGAAACCTCGATTCTGCTCGCACGATTATCAACTTTCAATTTCGCCGTTCCAATTCGATTGAGTAGGGATAATAACGATCGTTCCAACTCCCTTACCTATCACCTATGACAGCTCATTTCATTATAGAACCTATACTTGTTCTAATTTACACAATTCGGAATGATAATCGAGAAAAAATGTATCGCAACGAATGCCATACCTTCCGTTTTGAGATTTGTGAAAAACCCCATTTTTTCGTTAAAAATCCTTTACACCAAGGAGCGCTGTACAACCTCGTACTATATTATACTTTACGAGCACTGATAAAATATGTTTTAATAATTTTTTTAAATCAATAGGAGATTGCAAAGCTCGGATAAAATCCATATTTTTCCTTCCATTTTCACGAAAGAATTTATAACAAAGAATGATAAAAAAGAGATCTAGACCAGAGGTTTACATATCTTGATTACCGTGCTTATTATCCGCTTTTAAAGTAATAAGTGAAAAATCACTGACTTATCGGTTTTTAAAGCCATTAACTGAAAATTATTTACTTCTCATTCTTTTTATATTACCGAAAACTTGATTAAACGGCAACATATTTACACTAATATTCATATTTCTAATCTAACTCAAAAGAATTTGGTTGGCTTAGATCTATTGTAATTCAAAAATAATAGTAGATATGATAGGTTCAATGTTGCTAAATCATAGCGCAAAATATTTCTCATGCTGTTTCAAACGAAGAACAACACAATTTTTGGGTCATTACTCATATATATGTGTTATGGCCTGTGGGACTTTTTTACGACCTCATATTTTAATACATCTTATTATAAATAGAATAAATGGGTAAAAATGTTTTGAAATATTTGTGAAAATAAACCAAGATACGCTAATCGAATGTAATTTTTCACCATATAAAAATTTTGATATTTTTATACTTAGCGCCAAATAAGTATGTCCAGATGGCATGAAAAGCGCCACCCCAACAGCTGATTTTGATGAATAATTGTAATGACATATTTGTTTACCCAAATAAAAACGATGTACAGTACGCAGATTACTCGTATCTCTAATTTTTAAACTTACAAATTAATGATACATAGTCCGTGTTGAATAATTTTTCAATTCTTGTTTCTAACGATCGGAAAATTAATCCTGAGCTTTTTTGAAGAGTAAGTTTATGATTTGCCAAATTTTATCTAATCTATATTAGTAAAATTTGAATTATTTGATGTGATTTTTTTATTTGTACTCTGAAAGGACTATTTCTGTAAAAATTATGAAACAATTTGTCAGGAAAAAATGGAAATAAGTATTATTACTTTTAATTTCTGAGGAAATATGGACTATTGAAAATGTGGCTGCGACCTACTACGTATTGTCATCGCTTTCTATCAAAGAAAGTACAGCTTTTGTCCAGCAGTTCTAATGTCTTTATTAAAGCAAATTCCTTTTCTATCAATAATGATACATTTCCAACAAATGCTGATGTTGTTGTGTGTGGAGGAGGTGTTATGGGTGCTGCCGTTGCTTATCACCTAGCTTTAGCAGGGTGGGGCGATAGAACAATTCTTATTGAGAGCAGCAGGTAAATCATAAAGATTATCCACTTTAATCGTAAAATTATTTTTTAATGCTTCATTGAAATAATTTTGGATGTACAGATTTGGTGGAGGAACAACTTGGCATGCATCAGGCCTTATAGGAGCATTTAAGCCTTCGACAGCACAAATTAAATTAGCTCAAGACAGTATTGCATTATATAAAGAGTTAGAAAAGAAAGGATTACCTACAGGTTGGAAACAATGCGGTAGTTTATCATTAGCAAGAACTGGGGATCGTATGACTGTTTTTAGAAGAATGAAAGCTTTATCAATGTGATTATAAAATTTTTGTGTTAAAATTGTTTACAATTATCAACTGAGATCTAACATCCATTATTTTTCAGATCACATAATATAGAGTGCCATTTAGTAACTCCAGATGAAGCTAAAGAATTATGTCCTATGCTCAAAGTAGATGATTTATATGGAGGTTTATGGATTCCTGGAGATGGCGTGGGAGACCCCTATCAAATATGTTTGACTCTTTTGGAAGAAGCAGTTCGATTGGGTTATTTAATAAGCATTATATTACCTAATTTGAATGAATTTATATTTAATTCATTGAAAAAAAAATAATGATTTTAGGAGTGAGAACATATGAAAACTGCAGATTGTTACGTGTAAAAAGTTCAAATGAAAAGATTTCATCTGTTGAAACGTCTAGAGGTTCTATTGACTGCAAATATTTTATAAATTGTACAGGATTTTGGGCTCGCAGCGTTGGAAAGTTAAGTGAGCCTTATGTTAAAGTTAGTAAAAATTTAAAAAAAAAATAAGAACATTTTCCTTGCCTACAGATATTTATATCTAAAAATACTGTTTAAGGTACCTCTTCATCCAGTGGAGCATTATTATCTTCACACAAAAGTTATTCCTGGTTTAGATCCAATGACACCAGTGGTTCGAGATCTAGATGGATACGTATATTTTAGAGAAAACGCCGGACGAATCTTAGCAGGTGGCTTCGAACCTGTTGCAAAACCAGTTTTTGAAGATGGGCTTATACCAGGTACGATGATCTAAATAATTGACTCCAATTTCTGGATTTTCTATTAAAGCGTTAACGTAAAATACAGAAAATCCAAACGATCGTTACTTACCACCGGACTGGGATCATTTTCATGGACTTTTCGAGCAGATGCTTCATCGTATGCCAGCTTTGCGCAATGCAACTTTGGAAAGGTTGTGCAACGGTCCCGAATCTTTTTCACCTGATTGCAAGTGGATTGTTGGCGAGGCACCGGAGATACGAAATTACTTTGTTGCCGCTGGCATGAAAACGGTATGAATGATAAATTAAATACTTCTGTTTTATGATGCTTGACCGAATCAAGTAAAAGACGCGAAAAATATAAACTTAACTCGGCAGATTGGGATATCGGCGGCCGGTGGAGTGGGCCGTGCTACCGCAGAATTGATAACCCGTGGAATTGCTTCGTTGGACCTGTACGAACTCGATGTGACTCGTTTCTTGGGATTGCACAACAATCGAAAATTTTTACGCGACCGCGTACGAGAGGTACCTGGTATGCATTACGCTTTGCAGTATCCTCATCATGAATTCAAAACTGGCCGTAACTTGCGAATGTCGCCGATCTATCCAAAATTACGAGAAGCCGGTGCCGTCTTCGGCCAAGTGATGGGCTACGAGAGGCCTACTTGGTTTCAATCTAGCAACGAATTCGAAATGGATTCACTGGATTCATCGAAAAAGTACAAAATAGCTTACACTAATACGTTTATGAAGCCACCGTGGTTTGGTCATGTGGAAAAAGAATATGCCGCTTGTCGGGAAACCATCGGTTTGAGTGACTATTCGTCCTTCACGAAAATCGATTTATGGGTAATTAATTCCATCGATACATCATTACTCTGATAACAATGATTTTTCACAATGATGGATCACCCTACTTTTAACGTTTTCAGTCTAACGGTCTAGAAGTCGTAGACTTTTTGCAGTACTTGTGCTCGAACGACGTCGACGTGCCAGTAGGAAGCATCATACACACGGGCATGCAAAATTATCGAGGTGGCTATGAAAACGATTGCAGTTTAGCCCGGATTACTCACAATCAGTAAACCAAAATTTATACACTTGTTTTTTAATTAAGTACGGCGTTGATTTCATTTTATTTGCATTTTATTGAACATTAAAATTTGACAGTTACTTCATGATTGCACCAACTATTCAACAAACGCGTTGCAAGTACTGGCTCAAACGTCATCTGCCTGCGGACGGCTCTGTTGCTGTATCTGATGTAACATCGGCTTACACAGCCATATGCATTATGGGACCAGGAACAAGGCAGCTACTGTCCGAACTCACCGATACCGATTTGAATCCTAAAAATTTTCCATTTTTCACATTCAAGGTTCGTAGTTATTTTCCATGATTTTTTTGTTTTTTACTGCGCCAACGAAAATTAATGTTTTATCAGGAGCTCGATGTGGGCTTAGCCAACGGAATCAGGACTATGAACTTGACGCACACAGGAGAACTCGGTTACGTATTGTACATCCCAAATGAGGTATAAAACACACTTTGTCATGTATTTAATAAAATTGTGAGAAAAATAAACTTAATGTTTGGTAATTTTTTCAGTTTGCTCTTCATGTATATACTCGGTTGATAGAAGTTGGTGAAAAGTACAAGTTGAGGCATGCTGGTTACTATGCCACGAGAGCTTTGAGAGTCGAAAAGTTTTATGCTTTTTGGGGACAAGATTTGGATACTTTTACAACTCCTTTAGAATGTGGTCGTGCTTGGAGAGTGAAATTTGATGTGAGTGTGATACCAGTATAGGATAACGTCACGAACATATTCTAAGATTCATTTTATTATTTCAGAAAGGAGTAAACTTTATTGGAAGAGATGCGCTATTGAAACAAAGAGATACAGGTGTAACTCGACAATATGTTCAACTACTTCTGAATGATCATGATCCAGATATTGATGCCTGGTGTTGGGGTGGAGAGCCTATCTACAGAAATGGGCAGTACTGTGGCATGACTACTACAACGGGTTATGGCTTTACCTTTAAAAAACAGGTCAATAATAAGTATTAAATGAAAAAAAAATTATAAAACAATTTTGAAAGTATCTTGTTCTACAGGTGTGCTTAGGTTTTGTGCAAAACTTAGATTCCAAAGGCGTCGCTCGAACTGTTACGAATCAATACGTCCTTTCTGGCGATTACGAGGTCGACATCGCTGGTATTAAATATCATGCTAAATGTCATTTACACAGTCCAAATTTACCAACCAAGTTCCCTGACCAGGAGCGAGATTCTTATCACGCGACTCGAGGTCAATTACAGTCAACATAATTGAGTTACGATCGTAAAAATCGAATATTTTTATACTTTACTGACTGATGATTGTTGTTTGTTTCGATTCACGCATTTATAAAATATTCTAACAAAATGAATTGTTTGATCATTTACACCCTGTATTAATATAACTTGTAAGGTTAGTTATATTCAATGTAAATAACAATTATTGAATGTAGTACTTTTGTCAATGTGGACTTTTTTTGTGTAAATATATGTTTTAAATTTTTTAACGGACTGCATAAGTCTAACAAAGATAAATTCGACTTTTTTTGAAAATGGTGTAAGTGAAAAAAAAAACAATATATATAGAAATTTTTTGACTTATTTAATAAATATCATTCGTAAATGAAATTTTTACATAACGTTTCCTTTTTTTCCTTGTCGCGTTACAAGCGTAAACTTATAAAAAACACGTTTTTTTGTACAATATTACATTGGAGTACCATTTTATCTTGAAATTATACGTCTACGAGCAGCCCACTTTCGCTTTAGACGTATTTACGAGATAATTATTTCTTTCTCAAGTATTATTGTATGTTTTGAGATTTAATTCGATTATTTTATCATCGCACATTTCATTTAAATTTATATATTTAAACTTAAAAATTAACTAGCATAATCGTCATCGAATCGCATTCCACGAGATGCTGTTATTTCACACAACAATTAATTAATTCGAAGTATTTTTCTGATCTTAATATAATATCCTATAAGGTATAAAATACAATGCTAAACAAACCCGACGACGAGTATATCATTCAGAAAGACACAATTTTAAGAGATTTGTAGAGATTCGTTGCTTTATTCTCATACATACTTTTTGTCTCACTCATGCAACGAAAATCTGCTCAGTTTTATATTAAAATATTAACATATTGCATTATTTACTACTTATTTATAACTAAATTTTACAAATAATGTATGTATATTATGTATATATTTATACTTAAATTCAAAAAAAATTTCAAGTCTAAAGTATCGTACATCTAGATTAACAACTTTTTACACGCTTATATAACGTATTTACTGTACAAGAAAATCGACAAAGAAGAAAACGTTTTATCACTCTGGGATTTCTGGTTCTGGTGTTGGTTGGACCTGCTTCTGGACCATACAAGAACGAGCTACTGATTCAAATAATCTGAAAATTGAATAAAGTTTAATTAATAAAATCACTTGAGTATAGATTTATATTTTGTATATGAGCATTTCAAAATCAAAAGATTGAATACTTTCATATCATACATAGAAAGAGGATCACAAGTTTCTCTATTGCAGAGATAAGAATACAAAAGAAAGCATATGAAAAAACTTGAGACAAACCGAAGTATAGATTAAGAATAGTTTCAGTTCAAACAGTTATTAAGTATTTTCAACCTTTTATACTTTTCATTTTGAATTTATTGACTCAAATCAAGAATTAATAAACATTCTAGTCAACTAACATGCAAATTCATCTTTACTATGGAGAATAATATTTTTATTCATCATTGATTCTTAAAAATTTAATTACAATAGATATGATATCTCTTGTAAGGTTATATTAAATGTTTATTCTTCTTTAAATATAAAATAAATTGTACGAAAGACTATTACGTGTAATAATATCCGTTGAACGGACATAGCTCGGATTCCAAAACGTTGTAGGAAGTAATAAGAAGCATTTATTATTGTTCAGAAAATCCCTTAGTGAATACTAATCCTTTCACTGATCGACTCAAAGAATCTTAAAATAAAAATCAACAACGACAACAACTTAGAATGAAGTCAATTTAAATACTTTAAATAATAAAATAATATAAAATATATATTAAATCACCATTTTTAATAAAGCTTTTAAAAGTTGATTCTGTTATGAAATTATTATTCTTAAACCCAATTGACAATAATCTAAATTTTATATCATAAAATCTTGATAAAAAGCTTCAATAAAAACGGTAATTTTAAACGCATATGATACATGTAAAATACAATTAACTATTGACAATCTATTATAGCTTAAAAGATAAAATATGAAGGAATGCAAAAGATTTCATATGCATAAATGAACAGTAAAAAATCATTTAACCAACTTAAATATTATTAAGAAAAAGTAAGCATATAATAGATCGATTAAAGAGGTAGAGTACTCTCAAACATATTTTATCACGTTGCATTATGATAGATTATCAGAATAAAATAACCTTGAAACTGTTCTTTATGTATGCGTTACTAAAAATGATTGAACAAGATCCAAATAAGTTTCAAAGTTATGAATCAAAAAGAATTAATAATATTAAGCAAAGTTTTATGAATTAAAGAAAAAAAATTGTTGTGAAAAAAGTCAACAATTGAAAAAGAAAAAAAACGTTCTACTTTGTGAAAGAGTACATTTATCCGTGCCGGAAGCTACTTTATACTGTTCAAAACATTCAAACTATAGTACCAGCGCCACATCAAACGATTAAAATAATTAATTAAATCAATAAATGATAAATATTATATAGCCAACTTACTTTTCAATTTCTTGCGCGCAATGAACGAACTCGTGTTGCCAAAACTTGTAGTTTGGGTTTTTAATAAGTTCAATAAATGTGATTAGCAAGCCCCATGGATGGGGTCGATTAACAATCAGTCTCTCAAGCAGTACTCGTGTTATCTGTTCTTGTATTGCCTCAGTATTAGCTTCAGCAAACAAGTACAAAAGAGTACAACTAAAATAGTGCGTATGGCTATTAGGATAACGCAACTGATTAGCGATTGCATTGAGGAACAAGTAACGACCCTCTGTATCTAAATCGACTGCTAAATTCTGGAAAATATCCATATGTGATGAATGCGCGATTGTCGACATACTTGGTGCATGTCCTTTGCTTCGGATGAAATTAATTGCCTGAGTGCCTACATAGATGACCAATGCATTCATTAGCTGAATGTTGTAACGCATGCCTAGCCCCTGCCCTTGCTGCGAATGAATCACAATTTTTAAAAAATGAATTTTATTTTTCAAATATATTTTTCGAACTTTTATAACGTAATTGTCTACAGATCGACTTTGAAAAATAAACATATGAATGAAAACTTACCTGAAGATTAGTGCGAAGATCTCCTAGGAAAGTAACTGGAGCACGCGTTTTCAAGTACACATCAAGTTCTTTTTTAAATGTGATAGGCTGAATCATCGAAGCAAAATTGGTAAGTACCCTAGGAGCATGAGTGATCTCCTGAAGCATATCCACTTTCAGATTTGGTGTGAATGGATCAGGTAAGCGCATATTACGTGGAAACGCACTCAATATAAGATTACGCATTTGAATGCAATTAGGTGGGATAACATCGCAAAATCCATAATGATAGTCACACAAAAACTCTGGAAAGTCGTGTAGCAAAACAAGCAATACACGTAGAGTACCTTTGTACAAAAGTGTGACTGGTTTGGCTGCATAAACAAATAATAATTAATTTTTGGTACCATACAACTGAATAAAACTTGAAAAATTTTATAAACTTACCCAATTCAGCATTACGGAGATAAGGAGCAAGATACTTAAAGAGATCAATCAAAAGTTGAGCGTATATACCCCAGCAACGTTGTTGTGGTGTAATGGCGAGCATACGTCCGATAAAAACACGATGGGATACTAGTTCAAGCCAAGCATAACAGAAACCTGGCGCTTTGGCAGGTCTGAGAATATGGAAAGTGTGGCAAAAAGCTGTAAGAACTTGATAGTTAACAGCTTCAAGAACTGGTTCAGGAGCACAAAGCTCCAGAAACAACATTATAAAAATACGGTGATACGGGCACTGCTGAAAATCAGTACTGCGCAGTTCATGATCTTGTAAAAGAACACCTGCTACGATGCCAAGAACCTGTAAAAATTATAATTATTTTGTAAGAACGTTCAAATCGTAAAAATACTAGAAATCAATTTGAAAAGAATGTTACTTTGTTGAGTAAATTTATCTTCGTGTGAGTATTTGTAGAATCCCCTGAATGTTTAACTAATAGAGCAACAAGCCTAACAAATGCATCGAGAGTGTGGAAACATTTCGCTCGAACAATTGATGGGGCAGAACTAGTTTCGCTTAGAGCACGATAACAGTGGTCGACGCACATCTGGGTACTAAGTTTGAAGAAACGTGTTATGAGATCATCAGTCTTCAGAATTCCATGAATATTCATCTGATGCACAAAGACTCCGAAAGCTTTAGTTGGATCGCGTGCATACTGCGGATTATGGAACATATTCACCCACTCTCGCAAAAGATATTCAGTTTTTTCCATCAATCCAGGTGGATCTTCGTACTCACGTGCCTGCTTTTAAAGGAAAAAGCTTGTAAATAAAACAATGATTTAACCGAAATTTTTTACATACGGAAAATAGAGTACTTACGCGAACTTGTAATATGCCAGAGTGTATGTGAGCAGTGGGACCAGCTGGTGCTCTATCGGTTAGAACAGCTGGGTCGTGATTAATACGCAATGATTCGATTAATGAATTTAATCTGAATAGCGGAATTCTAAAAGGTACAGAATTTAATACAATTTGAGCAACTTTTTAATATTAAAATAATATATATTACAGTAATCATTCTTTTTTTCAACTTACCCTTCTGGTGCAGACCTGTGAAGGGCCATTCGAGCGAGTACCTCAATGGTATGGAATAAATCGGATTCGGTAACATGGATAGTTTGTCTCTCATCGATTAAATACAACTGAATAAGTTGAATAGCAAAGGCAGTAGCAAGCGCATTCCCTGCTTCGACCGCTTGTGCCAGAGCCACATCATACTGACCCAATATGATCAAATGGGATCGGATGAGTAAATCTACGGCCTCAAAATTATACCTGAAATCTTCTCGACTTTCCGTGAGGCAACGAGTTACGTTTTTGTTGGTCCATTGCAACCCATAAGCGCGAGGATCTTGAAGGCACTTTAATACTCGCAGGTGAAGATCGCGGTAACGCATAACAGTTTCAGAATCCATTAAATTATTTGTTAAAGGTGGTCCATCAATAAGATTATCAACGGCTTTTTTCAACATCGTCATTGCTGCGGTAGCATCACGAGATCTACGTGTTACAATGATCGCTTCTAACAAACCATGTAATGAAGTATTTTGTTGTGGAGAAGTAGAGTTCAAAGTCGTAATCATCACTTCCACCTGCAAAGAAAATCAAAGTTTTATTATTCAACTGTTTCTAATTCTAAAATTCAAATTTTGTTTCGAGGTTACAAGTGAGAAAATGCTCAATCATTACTTAAATAATTATGTCAACTTTCCCTCAAATTTGATAATGATCAAAAATATACTTACTTCACTTGCAAGTTTTTCTAACATAGCACCAACTTCATCATTACTAACAGTTGATGGGTAAACTTGTGCATTTAGAACTGGCATAGTTGGTACAGTAGAAGCTGCAAATGGTTGTACAGGTTGAACCGGTGTTATTTCAACAATACTTTTTGGTATATAAAGTGATATATCACGTTCACGATCTGAAGTCATTGGTAAGAAGCCAGGTATATTGCGAGCAAACTCTTCATAAACTGCCATTTGTTGAGGAGTAACACCAGTTGACTAAAAGTAATCATTGGTCATTAAAAATTTAAGATAATTTACACATGAGATTTACATATTTTATATTTTCATACTCATTTTATCACGATTCAAAGCATTGGTACAATATTAATTAAATACAATAGCTTACCTTTAATTTTAAGGGTTCTGGTAGGCGATCATTTTGGAAATTGGATATTGGATTAGTAAATCTTCTTCCCTCGCTCTTGGCGACTTTTCTTGCATCATATTCCGGCATCAACCTTTTATCCATTTCAGGTATAGCTTTTTCGATGGCCGTCTTTTGGATAAAAGCACAAGCTAATTCCATATTATCAGTAGCAACTACGTTGGCTGCTTGATCTGCTAATTCCTTTTGTTGTTGTGTCAACCCAATCATATTAAATGCACTTTTCAAATTGGTACTAATTGATCCAAGGATCTGATCTCGACATGTTATCATAGCCATTCCAGCAGTAAGATTGCGAACCATGCTTTTGGCAGCGGTACGCATTTTTGATTCATCACCGTCCATTGCAAAATCTTTTCTTACAGTTTGCTCTGTTGTTGTTATGGCAATTTTGATAGAGCGGTCGACAACTGGATGTATCCATTCTTGAATGGCACGTTCAACAGCTTGACGAACAAACTGTTTCAGGTGAGGGTGAGTCTGTGACACAAAAAATGCAAAGAATTATAATATTTTTGTAAAATATTCATAAAGTTCAATTATTCTTACTTGGAATATTTGTAAACTGCTGTTAATTGTTATTTGCGATTGGATATTTCCAATATTTGACGTGTTTATATCATTTAAACTGAATCGTGGTTCAATTGGTACACTTGGAAGTGAAGGTGTGGTATTGGCAACAGAGGGTACTTGCTGCACCTGTTGCTGTTGTTGCTGCTGCTGCTGTTGTTGGTGTTGTTGCTGCTGCTGTTGGTGTTGCTGCTGTTGTTGTTGCTGTTGTTGTTGCTGTTGCTGTTGTTGTTGTTGTTGTTGTTGTTGTTGTTGTTGTTGTTGTTGTTGCTGCTGCTGTTGTTGTTGTTGAAGTTGCTGCTGCTGGTGAATTATCGTAGCAGATTGATTGTTGGCTTCATTGGTTTGCTGTTGATTATTAGCATTATTGATATTCTCATTCTTTTTAGGAGGCTGCGATAGTTGATACTCAATATTGCGAGCTCTTTCAGGATCTTTCAAAAATATTGCCGGTTTTAGTTCTGCCACATCGATATTCAAATTTTTACACAAAACTTCAATCTCAAATTTAAGATTTAACTTAAGATCTTGCTCTTGATGAAGTTCCGCAAGAACATTCATTATTGCCATGGTCCACGGGTTAGGAGGACGAAAGACACGACTTTTAGCACAACTTTCCAAAACTTTGGCCACAAAAGGCACAACATACAATAATTCTTGCTGACCTTTGCAGTAAGCTTCAATAAGTAAGCTTTTAAGATCAATATCAACTGTTAAAATCGGCTTGTTACGACCTAATGTAAGCATGCCCAACCAGTGACCAAGATTCTTTAATAAAGAACGGTCAGAGAAATTGGCTATGCCTTTGTCACTTCGTAAAAGAACTTTGATGTTTCTAAAGGTCTCTCGTGTGACCATTTTGTTAACTTCCGGTATCTTTAAACAATCCAAAAAGTTCGAATACAAAGCGTGGAAATTTAGCTCAATACTGGCTCTCTTCATAACCAGATACTGGGCCATCCATGGCCAATACTCTTCCGTTACAATTTCTCTAATCTCGTCACATTTTTGTTGCAGATTTAACTGGCTTAAATTGTTGAATATAAAGGCGGTTTTATCTTGCAGTGATTCAGGTGGACTGGTTATTTTCTCTTCTTTATCTGTGGCTACAAGCAAAGTATCAATGTTTGTGGCGTTTGCTATACTAGGTCGACCCGTGCCCAAAGCACTCGTAGGTGTGGTTGATGGTTTAGTTTGAGTCGTGGTGGTTGTGACAGTAGTTGTGGTAATGGTTTTGAATGGTGTGGTTACTGTACCGGAACCAAGAACATTACTTGACTTTGGTACTATTGGACCTTGTGGACGCGTTGGTGGTTCTTGAGATTGAAGTCCATATTCTACATATTCGATCAAATGGTCAGGAAATTCAACAAAGTGCGGGATATTGCGCACGTGAATACAATACGTTGAATACTCCTTTAATTTAGATTTGAAACGATCTAGCGCAGCTAAACCAAAGTAATACATCTTTGTATCTTCTTTTTTACGAAGGGAGTCTAGGACAAATCTCAATGCCATTCCTAAACTAACATAACTGTTGACAAGGCTTCGTTCGATTATGCCTCCAAAAAGTTGAGCTGTTATGTGCAACTCTTTTTCGGGATACTGAGGAAAAAATTTATATTCCTCAAAAAGATTTCGTAGCATGCACGTGTAAACATCTCTTTCTCTTTTGATGTTCGAATCTTGAAACTTTTTAAGCATGTCAAGTACTTCATCAATAGATAAGGTTGGATGAGGTGGGTGATTATAAATCCTTTGAAAGTATCCATTTGCTTCATCTTCTATTTCTTTTGGCATGGGTTGATTCAAATCAGCTGAATATTCTTGCTGTGCCATTCGAGACTTATCAGTAGCCACCGCAGGTTGAGGAATGCGATTCATGGTACCCACAGGAATGTTTCCTGGCAAAACAGCGGAGCCTTGCGTACCTACAGGCCCAGTGTGTAATTGTGATGAAATTGGCACCATGGGAAAAGGCGAGGCAGATGGACCAACTCCCATCAGTCTTGAAGGAGAACCTGGAGACACCAAGGGACCTAAACCCCCTTGAAGATTAAATCCAGTATTGGTTGGTGGACCCAAGTTTGAAGTTATATTCATGGATGCTAAACTAGAATTCAGTGATGTAACATTATCAGCCGATTTATTTGTGAACAACTGCAAAAATAAAATTACAATCAGTAAAATTGAAAAGAAAAGACCAGTCTTCTTGTCAATAAATATTTAAATACCTGTCCCGATAATGCATCTACATTTCTGTGCCTCATAGCAGGAGGAGGCATTCGAATAATAGATCCTTTATTATAAGTTATATTGAAATTTTGTACCATCTGTACTATAGCATCAGCACACTCTTGTGATACAGTTCTGTAAATATCAACAGTTATATTCAGTAACTAACATCCATTTTAGATTAGTTTATATTTCACTCTCATATTAATATAAATAACTACTTCAATAGATACTATAACAAAATGTTTGAAAATACTTTCAATTTTCGTTTTCAATTCAAGTAGTTCAACTCACCCAATGCAATTTTGTAGACAATTTAGCATAGTGCTAAGCGTCTCTTGAGGTAATTGATTGATTCTTGATACATTGGGATCTTCTTTCGTGGGACCCATTAATTGAGGACACCTTCTTTGTAAATATTTTATGCAGGCAGTAACAAATGCCTCTCCGTGGTCTCTAATTTTATCAGATAGCCATTTTTCAAGTTTGAGGCACTCCCGCCGTGATGCTAAACATGCGAGATCAATAACGAAGGGAAAAGATTGAATGCTTAAAAAAGTTTGCAGAGCTTTGAGATCTTGGGCAATATCCAAGATACGTAGCAAACGAGCCTGATCGTTATCGCTACGTAAATACCATTCAGCCATTGCTTGCATAAAAATTCCTTTGATTTTTAAATTGTTTGTGCACCAAGCAAAATGAAAAATTACACTACTATTTGGATGATTATTAAGAAAAGTCGGTATCAAGTTCGCCAAAAGTTCTTGTCTAAATGATAAAATATATTCCAGTGATAAGTTTGATGCAAATGACATAATTTAATTAATCTAAAAAATGATTGTTTTACCTCAAAGCAGTAATGGGTTGATTTGATTGAATTAATGCCATTGCAAGTACATCTGGACAATTGGACATAGGCCATTTGAAAATATCTTGTACCAAATTACTTGAACTCAGGCGGTCTCCCAAAAATAATAGTACTTCGACAACATTCAAAGATCTCCATGTGAGGTGCTCTTTACTTTCGTTTTCTGTTAATTTCAGTTGTTCAATTTGAACTGGATGGTAAGCATAATCGGCAAAACTAAACACATCTGGATTTTTTAATATTTGCTGGATTAGAGTAAATTGACCTTTAAAATTATCCCAGTGTCTATAAAATAATTCCACTGGAAAAACATCTAGTGGGTAACCTTGGATTTTCATGCCTAATTTAAGACCACTGATTAATAGATTGAGTCCTTGGCGATCTTTGATACAGAATTCTGGATGATCTAATTTTGCTATCACTTCATTCCATGCTAGTTTTGGACACTAGAATTATAATATTAAAAAATGAAAATTTGTCATTATGGTACTTTGAAGAAACGTTATTAAGATAAAATGATATATTTACCATTTCTTTAATAGCTTGAATGAATACATCAACATTCCATGTGATAGGCGGATCAGTGGCTTGTTTATCTTTATTTTCTTGAGATTGAGCTGAGCCATCCCAAAAACTATGTAATCCAGCCGCGTCATCTAGGCCACTGCAAGTACGTGCCATGTGAGACAAAATTTTGGCTACAGAACGAGCTGACATATCTCGTGCACCGAGACTAACGAGATTGTTGCGACATTCGTCAACATTGCTGGTAAAACTGTAGCCCAGCTCCATTATCATCTCTACCAAGTTTGCATTATCCTGTCACAAAAATTAATTTTACAAGTAAGAAAGTTATCTTGAGATCTGTTAAATGATTGAAATTATCAATAGCATAAATAAATTTAGTTCATATTTTTAATATACATTATGGAATAATCTTTGATAACTACAATTATTTTTTAGAGAAATTCCAAAACAAAATAAAACTTACCATTTGATTTCCTGCCATGTTTACTTCAATAATTTTTTGAGTGTCCTCCCCGTCACCTGGGTACAGTAGTGGTGCCAAGACCACAGGTACCAGCTCACGTGGGAAGTCACGTTTCAGATTTTTCAAAAATTTTTCTTTAATTTCCGAGGAGAGTTCAACCGTAGTTGACTCCTCGAACACAAAACTAAGGATAAGATGCAAGATTTCAGGAGAAGTATCGTGCAGACCTTCTTCGCTAATGTGTTTTTTACTACTTTCAGCGTTTATGTAATTTCTTATCAGTTCCGGTAATTGATGCTTTAAATGATCAATAGCACGAGTGGCTATTTCAGTAGTTTTGGAATGTTTCAAAGCTAATGCAAACACAGTATCCTGCAATAATGATAATCCTAGTACTTTACGAATGTACTGAAAAAATTTTTGAATTGGCACAGTAGTCTATAACAAAAAATTTTCAGAGATTATTTAATAAAATCATAAGGTTACATATTTTTAAAATAATAAAAACCAAATTTTACATACATTGGGCAGAGGAAATGTGAAATCAATGGCAAAGCAAAGATTGGATACAAAAGATGGTTTGCCTAACAGAGTTTTGCACTCTTGCTTCAGTAGTTGTACTTGATAATAATGTTTTGAGCTAGGTTCAGGAGGTTCTCCAGTGGAAAAGTCAATAATTAGAAACAAACAGCGCAGCAAATGTCTATCTACCTCCAGACCTTTCCACCGCACCAACTAGAAACAAATACAAAATCATTACCATATAATTAAATTGTACTATTTTATTGAATCATTGCATCATGTTTTAGTTGATTACAGAAGATTATTTATTTTTTGACATTTTGTAAATTGCATTAATTTTTTTGAAACATTTTTTAGTTTCAGGCTCTTTTTATAAATTAAAACAAATTCATTTTTTCAAATATAATAATTTTTTCAATATTAGGAAAATGTCAGAAAGATGTACTAACATCATTCATATAAAAACTAGTGCTGTGGCTATTCACAGTAATTGATTTAGAATGATTCATCAAAATGAATATAATTTAATTGTTTTTACTAATGTAATAGTAATATCAGAAGTTCTATACAGTCATTTTAGGAATTTATTCAACATGGCTGTAGAAAAAGTGATTATTATACTTTGTTGGAATAAAGAAAGAAAATCATAATATTAAAATTTGATAAGAGCAAGACTCACAAGCGCTATCTCCTCGCAGCTATCACAATAGTTTTTCTTAGTAAGTCCGGAAACAAGATGAGAAATTTGAGCTAACGTAAAAGACAACGAGTCCAAATTCATAATTCCATGAACGCAACGGCGAAAGCTTCAAGAAGGTTTGAAGCTTTCTGAACTGCTGGCGGGATTCTAAAATTATTGTTTGGCACCGTCCGTTGGTAGGGCACGAGCGAGCAGCAGCTGCAGTCGTGGTGCTTTTGGTGCCACAATGTTTGTGCTGATTTGCTACTTCCTGTCGATGGTTCTCGACTGCTCTCTGGCCAGCTTTGGCGTATCGGCTGTCACGTTGGTTAGATTCTCTGCAGCGAGTGATGACTATGTTGCGAGATCGTCGCGACGATGACACGAGAGATGTCGACGATGCCAGTGACGATAAGGACGTTGACGACAGCGATGAGGACGGGGCATCAATCGCAACGGCCAACATCGGGATCCCAGGCCGTGGGTCAATGCCGTGCGGTGCGGCGTTGGGACGACGGCGATTTTCGGGATGACGGTGTGGAACACACACGCACGCACACACAAATACAAGGCGGCAGCAGCGGCGGCGGCGGCGGCGGCGGCGATGATGGCGCGTATTGAGAAAGGAAGAGAGAACAAACGCTAGGTATAGATGGGTGAAAAGAAAAATAGAGATAGGGCTGGTGGCGCGGGCGCCGATCCACTAATAATTAGTATACACACACACCACGAGCGTAATTAATGTTCCCAATGCTTCGTCCTTAGGAAAAGGTCCTTGCAAGTTCGTAGGAAAATGGTCAATCTCAGTGACAGTATCGTTGTCTCAGTGAAGACTCGTCGAGACTCGGCCGATGCTGTCGCGTAGACGAGCTCTCTTCGGCTGTTCTCTCACGAGCTGGATACCACGTAAATATGTATAATGTATATAGGTTCGAGTAGTTTCGCACTCCAACACCACACACACGCGCGCACTCGGATTGCTCGCGGAACGGTGAAAGTGCGAGAATGGCTCTCACTATTCTCCAATTCGAGTTTCGGCTGTCGTGAACACGTTAGAGAAAGAGAGCAAAAGATGCGTCCTCTCTTTTAACGTGCGTTTCCGTGTGTTGCCTGCTGCCTTCTTCGGCCTACTCGTCGGGCCAAAGCGGCTATGCAGCGGCGACGGTGGCTTTTGTATTAGCTTTAGCTTTTATATATAATATATATAATCACATATATGAACACACACACACATATATATATAAAAGTGTTAATGCGTGGCTGTTTCTCTGGTCCGCTCTCTATATATATATCTCTCTCTCTCTCTTTCGTTCTTCGAATGTTGGTTTTGTTGCGAACGATGATTATACATATATATTTTCCAGGGTTGGGGGAGGGAGGAGGGGGCACGCGCAGTCGTCGACGATCGTGAAAAATGAGTACGAACTGCGACTACTGTTGCGATTTGCGCACTCGACGAGCTACCCCGGGATGATGGACGATGATCCGCGCGGGGCTGGCTCCTTCTCGGACTCTGCTCGCGACTCTCCGCAGTGGATAGATTTTTCCTATTATTTACGCAAACTCTTTGTCTCGACACTTTGTATACAGGCAACCGAACAAAACTCGGATAACTTGGCCAGCGCTGCCGCGTACAAGCGCTCCGCTTCGCTCTTGTTCAGTTCTCCAGCTACTACATACGATAGTCAGCGCAAACAGCCTCGTTGTAGGCACGCGAAACAGTCAAGAGCGCTCGACGATGAGCCAATTGCTCATGTTCTTCGGGTCTGTTTACAATATCGCGAACGAGCGAGCTGCCGCTTTTGCAGAGGTCGTTTTCGTCGCGACTCGCTCGTGGCTGGCCTGGGCCTCTGCGCAAAACGACTCCGAAATCAAGACACGTTCCATCATCTTGTACTTTTTTTCTGACAGCTTGAAATATTAACTTCAAATTTAATATAGCTATCCAATTTCAAGAATGTGTATTACATTAAATTCTAATGAAGTTTGACAAATTTTTACAAATTTTTATTTTTACCCAGGCTTCATTATCTTCTATTATATTACGCGTTGAATATTTTAATCCTTAGAATCTTTATAATTTTACTTCGTTACTTAACGTTTAAAAAAATATTTATTTACTTTTGATTACAAAAAATGTTTGGAAAATAATTAAAAACTCAACAATTCTAACTTGATGGATGCATTTCAAATTCTTTAATGAGGACTTTGATTGGAAGAAATAGTTTTCTTGTAGTACATTTCTGTGAGAAATAAAAATAATAGATAATTTTGGGCATGAATATGAACTCTTAGAGAAAATTTGGTTAAAAAACAAACGTGTTATGCAATTCAATTTCTTACCTCATTCTAGAAAGTCTTCCCCATTTAATGTTTATAAAATATGAATATATAAATTTAGATTAATGATATCATTTGCAAGAACTGCATTTGTTTTATTCATTTATTTGAATTGTTCACTGAAAAAAATGGGTAGCAAAGTCTCCAATTGTAATGTGTTTTAATCTATTGTTTTTATTTTAAGTACCTGAATGAATTTCATTCATTTTTTATTTCATTGAAAATGAAAAAATAATTTTGTGCCTAAGTATACTCTCTACGAACGCGAGTATTTCTGTAGGATTCGAGACGGAGTGCCAGAGTGAACAAGCGTAAATCAATTATGCGACTCAAATTTTCTTAGATCACCTTCACAATGCAGTAATATTTAATTTTATAATCCATCAATAACTTTATGTTCGTTTTATTTATAACTATTATTAAAAGCTCTCTAAATATTGCGTGATAAATTTATTTGATTATTTTATTTATTTAAAAATTTTTTGATTATTTTAAAAATGTGAATGGCTTTATCAACATATGGAATATAAATTTAAAATATTTTTAAAAATTTCAAAGAAAAATTTATCATGTGGCATGGTTGATAATGCTTCAAATATTTTAGCGATACTTTCAGTGAATAAATATGAAATCAACCCGATATTTTGAATGCGCTTGGAAGTTGACCGCATATATTGACTTTTTGATCGTCTTAAAAACCAGTTAAATCTCAAAAGATCATTGATCACTACTATAATTTAGTTAATATTTATTGGATTAAAATGTTGTCTTTTCATGAAAAAATTTCTTCATAAAAAATAAAATAATTCAATTTTTTTATTTCTTGAAATGTTATCGCTGCTTTGCACTAAAAAAAATTAGTTGGAATTAGGCTTAGATTCTTTTGAGACTTATAGTGTGAGCCTAAAGCTCACAGAATTATTATTCGATACTACTGCATCGATTCGATTCTTAAGTATCGATTGATGTATCGTCTGATACTTATTGTGCTGCTAATTTAAATTTTCGTGGCGAAGAAGATTGGCTTGTCTTTAAAAAAAATCATACCATTTAATTTTACTATTCAAGTTTAAAATAAAAATCGGTTTGTTAGATGCTCAAAATTGTATAATGGATAATGTGTAACACAAAAATTATAAAATGATAAAAATATTATTTAACAAGTCGAAAAATTCTGTGCAATAAAAAAAGCATGCAAAATTTAACATTCGATTGCATAAATATCGATATATATCGATATATTTTTTGAGCACCAGTAACCAGACTGTAGCCGCCGAATTTACGCTGAGCTGCGGCCTGCGAGCGACACCACGTATATACTTCTTGGTATACGTGTAGGTTGTAGTAGTTGCGAATGTGGCTCACTCCTCTTCGCACACACATTCGCTAATTACCTTTATGCATACAATATATAAGTATATATATTTATAAACGTGTACTATGCACTTACGATACGCGTTCATGTATGTATTTAATATATACTGACAGATCTACGGGCATACGCGCAGTGCAGATTCTGCCTTCGTTTAACAGTGTGTTGTATTGTGCAACAACCGTAAAAATGTGTACGAACAGCGAATTCCAGCCGGAGTTGGATTCGATGAGGTCCGATCGGAGGCTGCTACTGCTGCAGCTGTGAATTAGCGAAAAAATAAACTCGAATTGCGACTTCGAGCACGGGCCATATACAATACACACATACATATGTATGATATACTCAATCGTGCGCGAATATCTTCCGGAAGAAGAGAAAGTGTCTATAATTTAATAAGTGCACCCTCTTAATCTGCTGTGACTCGCGACGTCGGTTATTCTTCGCGTCTTGTGCTTTACGTGCATCGTTTACGATTGTATTAAAAGTGCATATTATTGCTGCTAATCGGAGTGTGATTGTGCGCATTCTTGGTTACTTTACACATAAATGCAGGATACGTCGTATCGTATTGTTGCTGCTGCTGCCTATCCCGAGATGCCATGGTTCAAGTGATATTTGTGCAACACCCAAAGATCAGGATCGCTGGTCTTAAACGTATATGTATTTGTATAAGGCGCCCATAATTTCGGCCGAAAGGGAGTCATACTTTCTAGTTTAAAATGGGTTCCACCACGCGTGCGTCCCAAATTTTCCGTCAAATCTGTCAATTCTAGTTGGAATAGTCACTGGTGCATCTTTTTCACGCCTATGATTAAGAGCCCCCATGGCTAATGCGGGCCCTTTACTTAATTTTTGCTGTATGCAGATACTCTATCTTTGATATCATTTGGTCATCGTGCTCTTTCGATCTATTTAATGAATTATTACTTTCCTACATTCAGTTATTGAGGGTGAGTTTATTTTCTTATTTTCTTATTTTAAGTAATTTATTTCTATTGTCTTCACTCACCTTTTTCTTCATTTTTAATTAAATTAATTGAAATAACTTCATTATTTAAACATTCTCTAATAATGCTCTCATCTAACCTGTACAGGTTAGGTTTACCTTGTTGCTTTAAGAATTTTATGATGAAGCTACCACTAATAATATTTCAAATTATTTAAATGGATTTGAACTTTGTGGTTTAAAATATTGAGTTGTTGACACTTTTATTTTACTTTCATTGAAATTTCATTTTGTGATAAAAAAAACTCTTGAAACAGAGTAAAGATTGCCTAAAGATGTATGAGAATTTTGACTACATTTTTAATTGTTTTTTTTTATATACTACACCTAATTAAAGTTAGATTTTTATTTATAAAATCAAAACTTATTATATATACATTCCGGAACACTGAATAGGTTTTATATGATAAAAGTATAACAAAGCATCTTTTTTGCGTAGGTACATTGTTCATACAAAACTTTTTGCAAGTGTTTCTGAATCAAACTTTCCAACTTTTGACCTCATCAACTTGGTTAATCTCATGAATCGTGCCATGGCACTTGAAAATAGATCAAGCTCTGCTCAATTTAAAAGAGCAGAGCAATTAAAGCGCTGGGAGCAATCTGAAACAAATAAGCAATCGTCCCAACCTAGAACTCATAATTTGAAGATAAAGTTTCCAAAAGAATGCATTTTCTTGGCAGCCTGTACTGCTGGGGATAAAGAAGAAATTCTTTCTTTAATAAAAACAGGAGCAGATATAAATACTGGAAATATTGATGGGCTGACTGCTTTGCATCAGGTAAGAATAATATTCATAAGTTACTACAATGCATGCATTGTGATTATTATGGCTAATGAAGAGAAAGGGTTATATATAAAAATACTGAAAGTTTGAAAGATCTATATAGTTTTTTCTGGGGAAATGTAAATTACAAATCAACAGAAATATGGCTCATCTTCAACAAATATTTTCAAAAAAAATCTTGAGATTTTTCTTTTTGATTTCTAAAACATTGCTTTGAAGATAATTATACACATATACTAAAATGAAATCTCAAAAAATGTGTTTGAAAAATTTCTGTTTGTCCTGGCCTTTGTATCTTCTCAAATACCTAAACTTTTAAAGCATACAAATAACTCATTCATTCAAATTAAATGCATGATTGGCATTTGATTATTCACACATTTCAAAGTAATTAAAAAACAATCCTGTTGTTCAAGCACAATTTCAGTATTTTTGTTATTCATGTATCCTCATTTGTTTAGTTCCATAGTAAAGTTAAGATAGACTGTCTTGCTAAAAAAGTACAGTTGCAAACTACTAAAAATTATATTTTTTTTAAATCACAACAACGACCACAACTGTTCACACAAGTCATCTCATACTATAATTTTCATGCAATCTTTTCCGACCAAATGCCGAATTTTTTTACTAATATTTTGTTTCTCGCCAAAATGAACCTTCGTCTGTTAAATTCTAATAGTTCAAAAGTTGTATGGTTTATTTGGTATTTTAAGATAGCGCGATGCGTTGTCATAAGATTATATTTATCAATTTTTACTCAATGCGTCAGAACTTTTTGATAAGCAATTCATATTGCCAAATTCACCGGTGACATAAATAAAACTGCACATTTATTAATAAAAATTTTCACCTTTTGCTTTATGCTGATTTTTTTATAACTTTTGATTTTTTGTAAAATAATTTACTTTTCACCAAAGTACATAAAGCAGCGACCTCTATAAATTTGTACTTTCATACACGATAAAAATGTTATCGAATAAAGCACTCTCTATATTTTCGACCCAAACGAGTCTCTTCTACTGCCAATTTCGTCAAGTTGGAAATAGTTTACTCATTAATTATCTTGTTCTCGGGGGCATATTCCTTCAAGTGTCTACATTCGAAAAGTGGCTCGACTGCACACCCCGAGACGTCGTTGTAGTACACACGATCACACCCATATCATCGTTTTTCATCGCCAATGTTTTTTCTCTATTCTTTCAAAATTAATACCGATGCCAATTGGCTAACATCGCAAACTAAAATTTTCATCAACGATAGACTTCGCACCGCGCATTGATGTTACTTATCGGGCTTTTTCTCAAAAATCACGAATCAGTTTTTTCTCTCTCTCTCTCTTTCTCTGTTAAAAAATCCTTGTGGTCACACAACAACCTTACGCGACCGTAAGAATATTTAAGTAAGTGTGAATTTGCCTACACAGCTTACAACAAATGTCCGCTCGCAGCAGGTTACGACATTGAGCTTTTTAAGAGAATTCAAGAGTGTTCGCAAAAAAACAGCAACGAAAATATTTCTATTTCCGGATTCCGCATGTTTTCAAAACGACTCAAAGCAAATTTTACTTTCAGTCAGATTCAGAGACACATGTTTGATAATGCAGTTTTATCAATTCATAATTACTGCTAGCTTTATACAGACTGCTCATGCAATTCAGTATAAATGTTGAATCCAGTGATCTCGATCAAAAATATTGGATCTGCAGATTGGTAGTGCAATTTAAACTATTAATATGCAGTAATAGTATATGGATTATGTTTGTTTGTTACTTCGCGTAGTTACTTCAAGGTCGCTTTTTAGAGTAAAAAAATAAAACTAGAAAGAGTCAAAACGCGTAAACAGTTGCGTGCATTATTACTTTTGAAAATGAAATCACAAGCTTCTCGTCTTCAAAGAATTTTTAACGCATTTTCTGCCTTATGCGGTACTTGAAATTTACTTTATCTCATCAATTGATTTTGAAATTATTTAATATTTTACATAGGAGATAATTCAATCCATCGATACACCGGCTCATTGATTTTTCATTTTTCCAACGTAAGATGTAGATTACCTGAAAATATCAATGAGTTCAGGTCCAAGTTTTAATAGAAATTATTTCTAAAATCGTGCCCGAACAACAAGTAAATTTATTGGATATAATGTTCAAATATGACGAGATTGCAATTTTCATGGATTATCTACGAGTATTTCTGTTGAATGTGAGAGATTAACGTCGCACCGTAAACCATATTATAGTTAACTTTCAAGCTTGAATATTCATACAAAATCTAATTTGGGCGCGGTGGTCAAGTACAAACCCGTGCTCTAGGGGTTTTTGGTTGTAGCATTATTGATGTGTAAAATGAGCAATGCGTCATTCAAATGTTTTCGATTTAAAGTAACTCATGAGAATGTCAAAGTAAAAAAGTTAATTCTTATATTTATTTTATAAATATATTTTTCTTTACAAACGTGCCCAGACATTTGCTTATTTTTCTTCTATACGTAAATGTGTATTGTGCATGCACGCGGGTTGTACTCTCACATACACATTCTATGCTCACACGTTCAGCGGCAGATGTGTATTTTTGAACATTTCATTCTGAGAACGTCACGTTCTCTCAAAGAAATGGAAATGCACATGATGCAATGTGTTGGAGGTCGGACAAATTCGTTCATCAGATAATAACGAAGCGAACGTCGCCGATCGACGAAGACGCCCCTCGATTTCTCATTTAACGCGTTGATTTTGATGAAGCGTGCGTCGTTTGTCCTGGCCTCACGCAAAGCAAGAATTGAAAAGAAATCGGCTGCATTTGGTTACGTCTCGTTGCGTCTGGTCAAATGCATAGTGACGTAATTTTAATTCATCGAGCTCTAAAATAGCTCGTTGTGACGAGTTAATCGTTCTTAATTTTTGATTCGTCGCTGCGTTCATAGACTCGAATTGCATAAGTCGAGAGAAAGAAAGAGAGAGAGAGAGAGAGAGAGAGAGAGAGAGAGAGAGAAAGCAGTGCTGGACGCGTGTGGCCCGAGTCTGCGTCCGAAAACTTTATTTTGAAGCTAGCACGCGATAAGATTTATACAAGCGAAGCGAGGCGCAGAACTGCTCTAGTCGCAGACTCGGGCTACATAAGTAGCTACGCTGTGTATACACAATTATAGGCTAGACCCACTTCCGAAACCAAAAATATATTGCACGCTTAAGAAAGAGAGAGAGAGAGAGAGACTCCATCTCTTCCATGGGAGGTTGCTCAACTCACTGCCCGTAGAGGCAGACATCGCCGTTGTAACCCACTAACTTGTTCCTCGTAATATACCTCTGAATCATAGTCGTCGTCGTCGTCGCGGTATATCTCAAAATGTTCGCGAGCGAGTCTCGCGCATGCAAAATCCCTCGTTCTCGGACATTTTTCCCCGTCGGCGACTTGTAGTCAAAGGCTGGCTCTCGATCGAGAAGCAATACCGAAGGCGCGCTGAGATCTTTCTCTCTGTCTCTCTCTCTCTCTCTCTCTACGTGTCCATGCCTACGTACTCGTTGTGCGAGAATAGATGTTGAAAATACATCAGGCATCGACTCTTTGCACGCGCGGTGCTTTGCCGTACTATTTATAGCAAGCGACGCCAAAAGCACATTCGAGCTGATCATACACCCTGAGCCTTCCGTCCCGCTGTCTTTCTTGCTCTCGGAACGCGTGTACACGCGCTCCTATTTGCGTTGACTCCGATTTATATACTTGTTGCAAAGATGCCGGTCTATATAGCTCTGCTCTCTGTGCGAGAGTGGCACGTGAAAAACTCACTCGGCTATGCGATCTTGAGGCAAGTCGAGAGCTTTCGCGCTTGCGAACAAAATCTCAAGGCTTTTACCTGGCTGAGCGATCCCGAAAGCGAGCTCTCTCGTTCGATGATCCACCATATTCTGCGCTCAAGACGATTCTCAAAACTATTCTTCAACGAGTTTCGCTACAAGTTCAATGTGAAAGACTCGAAATCTTGTCACGCGCGTACAATCATAGATTCATTCGGTAGCGTCTATATGAGGTATGGTGAGCTTGTAAATGGCAGCGCAGTATATGCCACGATAACGCTTAATTCACTTTGGAAACACGGCGACAATGAATTTTTCCAATTTTTTATTGACTATTGTTACGGCACTAGCAAATTCGATTGACTGCTCGGCTTGTTGACTTTCAATTTCCATGGAACTAGCTGTTAAAAACTATTTCCAGAGCTCGTACACTGCGTATTGTTTATAAAATGTTCGAGTTTTAATATTCTTGTGAGCTGGCGTCCTAAATCACCATTAAGAATTTCTTTGAAATAGTTACACAATCCATTCGATGACTTAATCTGAACTAACGCAGAACGTCACAAATAAATAAAATATTTAATGTATAATAATTTACTGCAATTGAATTTTGTATCTATCTTTTAAATTTGTAATCCTCCAACTTGTGATAATTAAGATTGAATTTGACGTGTGCACATAAACGTAGTCCTAATTAATAATCATACGCTCAAAATAAAAAGAAATAGAAATAAATAAAAAACTAAATAATTAATAATGACGTTTTATCTGGGCACAGGCTTGTATCGACGACGATCTCGATATGGTTGAGTTTTTATTAAATCAAGGTGCCGATGTTAATCGTCAAGATAATGAAGGATGGACGCCTCTACATGCCACTGCGTCTTGTGGTTTCCTCTCTGTTGCAAGGTATGTACATCACCAAAAAATTCATTAAATTTTTGTGTTGCATGCAAGCTTACTTACGTATTCTTGCGAATATAAAGCACGTGAGCAGCATCTTTTCGGGTATCTGATTGAGAACGTTTCATATGATTTATATCTATTTATAATACTATTACAATCCTTTTGTGCTGTGGAACAAAATTTCAAAAATTGAGATATTTTACAATTTGAGCTATTACAATTACTTTGGTCATTATATTATCATCGAATCGATCTTTAATTTATATAAGTTGATTACGAATCAAATAAGTGCCAGCAAAACTGAATTTCATTTTTTTTACTAAACAGTTTTAGGTACTAGCCAAATATTTTTTTTAAAATAATTTTCTAATATTGTGGTTATTTGTTATAAGGTTTCTGATCGATAACGGAGCCTATGTCGCTGCAGTGAATAACGAGGGCGATTTGCCCGAGGATATAGCCCAAGACGCTGAAATGAAAGAATTTCTTCACGAACAAGTTGAAAGCCAGGGTTTAAACGTCGATCGTGAGAAAAAAAAGGAAAAAATGCGAATTATTGCCGACGCTCAAGCTTGGTTATCTGGGGAACCTGACAAATCGAAAGTTGATCTAGATAATTTTTGCACTTCCCTTCACGTCTCTGCAGCCAAAAATTACTACGAAGTTGTCTCGTAAGCAATCATTTTCTCTCATTTTTTGCGTAGCTCCGCTATTGATCTTCAAATTGCTTTTTAATTTTCGATTAATTTGAAAATTATTCATATGTAATAAAAAAAAAACCTCGTAGTTGCACATTCATACTCTGATTATTTTGTGCAACTTTAATTCTAATATAAAAAAATTCCGCACTTTATCCTTCAGTTTATTTGTTCAATTCTAATTATAATTATTTTATTTGATGTTGAAATTTATCCAAGTTTTCATAAAAATCCAAAATTAATGTATTTAAAATTTTAGGCTCCTATTGAAATGTGACTGTATTAACATTAACCGAGTTGATGAAGAAGGATGGACACCAATTCATGCTGCGGCACATTGGGGTAGTACCGAAACTTGTGAGATACTCATGAAGAACTTCTGCGATACAGATATCCGCGATTTAAAAGTAAGAATCTATATATATATATATTTATGTCGACAGTAAAATTTGTTTAAAATTTCAAAAATTCATCTAATATATTTTTATTAATTTTTATTTTTTTAAACTTGACAGAATCAAACTGCGATCGATGTTGCTGATTCTAGTATTGTTGATTATTTAAAAGAGCTGAAGGAGAAATATGATGCTCTGCGTAAAGATCGACCCGAAGTCAACAATAAACTTTTGTCTCCGAAAAAACGGTACTTTCCATTTTAGCTTGAAATTTTTTCTTTGCAAAATTTAATTGCACGATTGACTTTTTTTTTAGTGCATCGGTAAATAAAGAGGATTCAGTGACTCCCAAAGAAGATATAGAAGTACACGATGAAGAAACACCAAGCAAACTTAAAAAGGTTGAATTGGAAATTCAATCTGATAAAGAAGAATCAAGCATCGAGAATAGCGATGTTGGTAAGTAAACAAGTAAATTTGATGACTTACTTATACTTGTTGATCGATTTGCATCTATACTGATTCTGAAATTTTGACTAAAGTATCGCAGAGATGTTTAGTGATGAATTTACTCTTCTTTCATTGCATCGAGGGCTTATATTTTTAATTAAAATTTATACTTTTGTTAGCTTAGTAACAAAACTCTGCACTCAATTAATTTACATTCTTTAAAAACGATTTTTTTCAATAGCTTTCAATTTATTTGAAAATTGATAATAATCTGAAAGAATTTGTTATAAAATTAAAACCGTTTCGTAAAGTCTCTGCGTACGTTTTTAAAGGTTGAATTTTTCTTGAAAGGACCTGAAAAATATCTTTTAATTATTTTTCATCAAATTTTTCTCATCTCCGTTCAATTATATTTATCTCTTAAAATACGCTGCGTGGATTCATATAGAAGAAAGTATAGATTCTGACGATATGGAAGAAAGTGAAAATGAAAGTGAATCTGAGACTAGCTCAGATACACAAACCTCCACGTATTCTGATCAAACAAATAGTTTGATTCAATCAAACAACTCAACATGTCTTACAGACGATGGTGAGTTATAACCCACTGTCACAAATATTTTACTTTTATTTATGATTTACTTGTATATACTTATGCACTGAAAAATTGATTTCTTACATTAATATTTTCTTAATTCCCATTCACGAGCTATTGTTGTCCCTTACAATTCTTCTACATCTCATTTTCTTTTTAAATGTTACATATTTTTTTATATGAATCATGATAAATACATTTATTAATATTATGTATCTTCTTCGAAAATTATCCAACAAGGAAAGCACTTCACTTTTTCTTTATAGATTCATACCAAACATTTTTGGAATCCTGGTACCTAATAATGAAACCCTACATGCTTGGTTTGATTCCATGGTTCTTTGATAACATTTAAAAAATGCTTTTTATTATCAAACATTTTTGTTTTTTTTATCTCAACAAGGAACGACTTTAGAGAAACATGCCAAAAACAAAACTTCTTGGAATCAGTCAAAGCATATGGATACATTTTTTAGATTTTTTTATAACCATCACTTGTTTTCAAGAGTCTCTGAAATGTGATGGAATCCGCTTTAAAAACATTAACTTTGGACCTTAAAAAGAAAATGCTGTTTTAAAAAAATCTGTAAAATTCATACCTATTCTTTGATCAATTATGAGAACTTTTTTTTATTGGAATTTTTTTCCTTAAAGTCGTTCGTCAAGAATATAATAAAAAAGGAAAAAAATTAATTTTAAAAGGGCCTATGAGAGGCCTATGAAATCAAGTTAGGTATAGGGATTTTTATTATTAGGTATTAAGAGGCCCCAAAAAAATTTTGGTAAGTATCTAAACCGGAAATAAAGTGAAAATCTACAACCAATCTAATTTATTTATTACCTAAAAAAATTAAATAAACTGGCTTTCATAATTATGTATGTGCCTTCATGATGCAAAGTATACAATTTATGATAATAGTTTGTGACATCTTTTGTATATTATGATAGTTTATTTACTTTGAAACTATTTTTTCCGAGCGTACTTTCCTCGTTCATTAACTTTAAACTGTTCTTTGTATTTAACTGTATGGTTATCGAAGAAGTATAAGTGATCAAAATTATAAGGAAGTAACTCAAATTGAAAAAAATAAAGTATTCATAATTTTGATTACTTTTCTTCTTCTCATATATTTTATACATAGATTTAATAGTTTTACAGATATTCTCTGTAAAAAAGAAATCTTATGGAATGCTGCAATTCCCACTTGAATACATTTTATTGTAAAAATTAAATTTTTCATAATGTTACGATGTTTTCATAGTCATTGTAATTATTTATAACTCCGAAATACTCAATCACTACATCAATTAATTTTATTGACTTTACAGAAAAGAAAAATCGAGCTAATCGTGAAGAGACAGTGGCGCTCAGTCCACAATCAATGCAGGATTCGAACGAAGTTTCTAGTCAGCCTCCGGTCTTGCCACCTAAGCAACAAGATGAAAATAACAAAGAACGAGTAGCCTCCTGGCGACGCTCAGGTTCTTTGAAGAGTCGTGGATTTGGTATGTTATCTAAAGGCTGCTACTTTTTATGCAAATGATATTAAATTGATTTTTGAAACAAACTTTTTTTACGTTATTAGCAATGGAAAAGAAAATTGTCAATAATCTGTTAAAACAAATTTTATAAATAAGATCGAGAATGAAAAACCATACATTTTTATCTTTTAAATGAGATATAATATATATTGAAAAAATCTTATGGGTGGATCCAGGAAAAGTGGACAGGTAGATCAGCAAAAATATTTTACAAAGTGTAGCAGCAAAATATAATATAATAGTTTTGCTGTGGTATCAAAATATCTTTTGCTGACCCAACTGTTCACTTTTGCTGGATCTACCCATAAGATTATTTTAGTGTAGTTAAAATTTAAAATAATTTTTTAGATCATCCTTCTGTACAATGGTTTTCTGTACCTTCTGTACATTATGATTTACCAAACGATATGACTGATATGTATTTTTTCAGAAAATGACGAAAATGAAAAGTCAATTCTTAAAACACCAAATTCTGCCAAGGTAACAGAAGAACCAGAAGTAGTGCTTAGAAGAACTCAAAGTTTCGAACCAGAAAACAGGTATTTAATTTCTTGCTTTTTAAAACAATTTTTATTTGATTAAAACGCTAGGATTACATACAAGTAATTATAAAAATTATTCTTCTTTTGCAGAGATAAACAACTCAATTTAGATTTAGTAGCAAGCAACAACACAAACCAAGGTGCAAACTTGTCTTTGCCAGCTACACCACTTACTGGTTCTAATCTGACTTCAAGCTCTGCTACAAGCCCGGCGCCTACTAACGTAACGCGCAGGTATGAACTTAGCGCAAATGTCAACCTTTATTTGACACACTGGGGTACAACCCCATATAAAAAGTTCAGAACACTAGGAAAGTGTGTCAAGTAAGGGTTAAACACATGATTTATGCGTATTTTTGCCTTCTACTATACGATACATAAGAATGCTTATGATTGATATTAAAAACAGCAATTATAAGACATGTTTTGCTCACAAATTATCGCTCCAAAAATTTGTTGAGGTCCGAAAGACGATCAAAAATGTTTTTTTTTATGAATCAGCAATTCAAAATCGCATACCGAAAGTTACTTGAAAATTCCCGATGTTGAACATAGTTCGAGATACTTGAAATATTTTTAAAAAACTCCTTATGAACTATGCCTCTTTTAGTTTGAGTTGAAACGAATTCAAAAAAGTATCGTGCTATAACTTATACCACATACTCAGAAATCAAATAAAAATCACATTAATTCAGTGGAAGAAATCACTGTAGTTGAGCATAGGATTGAAGATTAAATTTGATCGCTTAAAAATTAATTAGGCGAGTTAGTGAATGATCAGATTGAATTTCAGGTTGGAACTATAAAAAATCGCACCCCGAGTCGCTTAATTGAGATTTAGAAACTGGGTCCATTATTAATGGTACACTATTAATGAAAGTATAAGGAACCTTATTTTTTCATAAAAAGGCATGGATGAATTTACATAACTATTATATTAGTCGAGTGAAAACTCGCCTGCTTATTGTTGCACGACTAAAAGTACAATACATCTTTTTATATGATGTATTTTATATGAATTATGATTTATATGGTATGAGAGCGCTCTTCTTATTGCTATCTTTGGTCCGTTTCCCACCAAACGAAATTTTTTTTTTTTTTTTTATGAAAATCATATTAAACATGATATGTCTGCATGAAAAGCAATGACTTTATTCGGAGTTTTATTTCACCAAAAAATTAAAAATTATTATCGAACAATTCTAGTCCCGTAGATGTATCACCAACGATATTATCGAGCAATTCTACTACTGCTCCAGTTACGCCCACAACACCGTGTGGGACAAAGTTGAGTCCGGCAAATATCTTCAAAAACTTTTTCAAGTGCGTATTTTTAGAGGGTTATTGTCGTGGTAGTTAAACTCAGATGATAATCAGATTTTTTGACCCTTAAAAAGCTCAATCATATACAGTTCAAAAATTTTTTTTTTTTCAATATAAATTCTTACGGTACTATTTCCTGATTATCAACTGCGTTTGCACAACGTGTGAGACTTTAGTATTTTTGATTTGCCTCGTTTATTATTCAAGGATGTACAAAACATGAAATGATAATTTTATTTTCGTAATTGCATTTTAGATATAAACTTTGTATACCATATACCCCTTATGAAGCATTAAACAATTGAGTTAAAATGTATAGTGTCGATAAAAGACAACTTAAAACGTGACTTGTACATTCTTCTTTGATTTTATTCATTGCAATTGATTGCAATTGTTGATTGCATGGCTGTGAAGCTTACTAGTTCACACAGAAGAGTGTTTTCATTACTTTATTTCATGATCATAGAAACTGTGTCTAAGAAAAAATGAATAAATGAACAAAAAAAATTTAATTTTAAAAAAAGGAACAACTAGTTTTGGTTGAACAATCTTCATTTTTGAAAGGAATAAACTTAGATGGTGTTAAACATTAAAATACCAACTCTGTTTTATTATTAATTATACCATTTCAATATTAATTAATGAATTGAAGTTTAAAATGCATGCTTTAATTAATAATTATATAACCACTAACAGAATAATGTGAGCTCTACTAACCATAATGTCCACAAACCAAAGCAAAATTAATAAACTGAAGTTAATTTAACACTTTTATATAAAATAATTTACAATTTCATATGTATGAACTGTACATATGTACTAAATTATGTTATTGGTGCTTTTATTTTTTTTCTCTGTAACACTTATCATTGGTAATAATAATAATAATTAAGTAAATAAGAAAGAAAAAAAGAAGTAAAAAATATTACCTAAACATTAAAATATAATGTATATAAGTAAAATTTAAAATAAAAAAAAATTTAAATCATAAATAAATAAATAAATAAATAAAGTAAATAAAAATTAATAAAACTGAATAAAACTAAATAAAACTAAATAAACAGATTATATTTTATACAATTAGATTGTCTATATTAACCTACATCACATATACTTCGCTTAATTGAAACATAATCACTTTTTAGTGAGTTAGCACAAAATAGCACTTTATGCAACGGGTGTGGTTATGTTTTTTCAGCAAAGCTGAACAAGTTGCATACTAGTACTTAATGATACAAATGCCAATAAGTAACATTTTACGGCACAACGTAGTTAAGGGCCCGAGCGCAACGAGCTAGCGAGCCAAAAAACTTGCTATAATAGTCACGTTTAAAACAGCTTTACTGCGGATATTTGCTTTAAAGGCTCTACGCGGTGCTCTCTTAAACATCAAACATAAAGAGTATCATAAAAACTGTTCAGAATAATATTCAATTGACAATTTAGAAAATGGAATTGAAAATTGGATTTTTTATGATGCTGGCTTTATTCATTTGAATGTAATATAATATAAAATATAATGTTTCAAAACATTCTTAACGTGCATTCATAAATACATGTAATCATAAGTTCATTTGTTATTATACATTTTTGAATTGTAACCAGCTTTATATTATTACATTTTCATATTGCGTTATAGATACGTTCTAAGAATTACAGAACAATATTCATGTATCTGTGCGAAGGGTCTGCCCATTCGATTATTGCTATTTATATGTTATCATAATTACGCTACCCTTTACCTGAATATGTCTTTTTTCATTGTGAAATTGAGCGTTAGAGTGTAGACTCGAAATCATTTTTACTTTTATTTTCGAGAGGATTTTTCCTTCCTTTTCCATTCCTTTTTTTAAAACTTAAAAAATCTCTTATTGAGATACAGCTATTTTTATGCTTTTTTTTTATAATGTGTATATAAAATTTTTTATCCTTTATTTTTTGGTACTTAGTTCTTCTAAAATTTGCTTATGCATCGTATCTTCCAAGATAAACTATTTAAGTTACAGAGCTATGTTTGTGCATACTTATTTGAAATAACTGTAGTCGCGATGTTAATTCAGACGAAGTAATCAGACCAATAAGTCACAATCTCAATAATCTTGTCCGAAGTTGTGTCGATATAACGATTGATATCCCAAAAATTTTGCTCAACCTAATTGATGTAGCTTAAATGGTTAGAGTTTTAAAAAATCAATAAAAAAGAGGTAAAATCCAACTAAACATCTAATAAAAATGTGCAACAACTACTTTAAGGTTTACTATATAAGCTATTAGTCTCAAAAAAGTTAAAAATCGATAGTTTTACTTTCTTCTTTAAGATTTTTGGCCGCAACTATTGATCCCTTAGATGCAGTAGTTAATTAAAGAAGCTTTTCTATATAGTTTTCGCTAATTATACGGGCCTCAAAAATCATGAGTGTTGTGTATATGAGGAGAATGTGCGGCATAGCTCATCCGCCATACTCGCCTTTCGAAGTGCGAGGCAAGCTACTTCATTTAAGCTTTATCATTTAATTGTTGATTTAATTGATTATGAACTTAACTTGTACAAAACTTGTGCGCGTAGCGACTCATGGGTTTCAATCAAGATTATGGTTGAACCATGATGTCTGGATTCTGTACCTTCTATGGTTCTTTTTGGAGGATACAAAAATGAAAAATTTAAGAATAACATAGATAGTCGACAAAAACTGAAAAAAATGTATTTGCAAAATATGGAAGGATATCTGATAAAATTATCGCAAATGTTACGAAAAAAACAGTTTCACCAGTTGATATTATTACAATTTCCATTAATTAAGTATAAATGTATTAAATCTTATAGATCTTTCGTACCACCGGTTCGTGACGAAGAGAGCGAAACTCAGCGTAAAGCTCATGCTAAACGTGTACGTGAAACGAGACGTTCTACTCAAGGTGTCACTTTGGACGAGATCAAGAGTGCTGAACAGCTCGTAAAGAAAAAACAGCAACAAAGCAATGATGTAGATACTACAGTTTCTGGCACTAGCTCCAATGGCAGTACCAGCACGACAACAGTATGCACAGCCAATGCTAATACCATACCTCAGGTGAGTTTCGCTTTTGCGTTTATTTGAAATTCTCGAGTTTTGCTCAAATGTATGCTAAACTATGTTGTAGTCAACTGCAATAACGACGGCAACGACAACAGTAAACAATAACGGAAACAACGGGGAAATAGCAAGTACGGCTACAACGACGACAGCCTCGATTACGGCGACTATAACGACAGCTAGTCCGACCACGACAAGCGCGAGCAAACTACCAATTACAGCAACTTCCGAGGTCGAAACGAATCTACCGGAGCGACGGCCATCCTGGCGATTAAAAGTCGATGGAGGAAGCAAGGTCGGTGCATCAAATGATCATCATGTTGATAACGTTGAAGCGCTTGGTAGTGTGATGTTGCAATGTTACAAGCATCACGAACCTTCTATTGTTTCGCTTGAAGAGGGTCCTCAAGGCTGGTGCGCATGGCTTTTACAATGGCTTAGTTGGGGCCCCTACTGCAAGAAGTGATTTTTTTTAATTTTTCACTGCTTCAATTTTTTTCATTCCCTGAATTTTCAGTCCCTGAAAATACAATACGTTCGATCGTCTCGATCACGCAAGCTTAATTTTTTGCATTGAAAACGATTAAGCTTATCAAATCGTGACAATGCTTGATGCAGCAATACTGCTAGATGGGTTTCCATTTATATTCAATGGTGCTCAACGTTTTTATTTTCAATTTAATGAAGTAGAAATTAATGCTATTAAATTTCTAATCATATACAATAAATTTAATTGTAAATACTTGAATTTTTTTAATGAAATGAACAATTTTTTAAAAGAGTGTATATGAAAAAGGGGGATATAGAAGCCAGCAAAAAATCAAAATTTCAATCTAGTTTTCTGAAACTTATATTTCGAACTTATATTTTGAATATTTCGCCAAAAGGCTCTATGACGACCTTAAGAACATCAGTATGAAGGTCGCCATAGAGCTTTTTTGGAGAAATATTTGGTAGAAGTTTCAGAAAGCTGGATTGAAATTTTGATATTTTAGCTGGCTTCTGTACCTCTTTAATAAACTTAAAAAATTTAATACATTCAAAATTATTGAAAGTATCCTCAGTTCTAATAACACAGCCTCACAGAGAAGTTGACTAGTCTCAATACCAATCTCATTCAATTTTAGTAAATTTAATCTAAATACATCAAAATTCTTCATTTTTTAATGTAGGAAATTTATTTTACATACCAGCGGCCCGAAAGTAACATTTCCCGGCCGCTGCGCTAAACGGGATATTGCTATTTTCGGGCCCGGGGTATGTAAAATCGTATACTGGCCTATACCGGGAATAAAAGAAAGCCTCAGTGCACGTGCTAATCGACCTCGGCTTCGCCTCGGTCGCTTATTTCACGTGCCCTGGGACTTTCCTATTTTTCCCGGCCTAGGGCAGTAATATACTATTATGAATCTGCGTAACCATACACTTGCTTTTACTTACTTAACCATAGACTTACATTACTATTAATACAACGTTATAAATAATTACATAAAAATATCACGATTACTTTTTCACTGTTAAGATTTTTACTCGTTTTTATCGTATAATAAAAACAAATCAAACGATCAATGCGCAGACAAAATAAATCATTTAAAATTCAATTTATTATTGGTAAATGCATGGTATTTTTTATTGATTTTTTTAATCTTCTCATTAAATTTTAAAGAAATGTTAAAATTACATTATACAATTATACACACTCTTTTTTATAATGCTAAATGATTAAAAATTTATTTTTGTATTTTAATTATATGTCACTAACCCACCTTATCATTATCATCACTGTGATGACATCACAATAAATATAGTTATGCACTACATTTTTTTCATGTTATTAATAAAACTCTATTGTTTTAGTTGTATAAAATAATCTTATTTATTTATTTTTGACTTTATCGGCGAATTAAAAATCAAGTTTTGTAAAATAAACCAAATATGACTTCATACATTACTTTCATTGTCATAATATTGAGATTTTATTGTATTTTTGTGTATTAGCTATTATTAAATTTCTTTTTATTTCGTGCTAGATATAAACTTTTAGTGTACTACTTAAAATATCATTTAGTAGATTATAAACTTAATGCATGGAAAGATATTTGTTGTTCAGTTGAAGATGAATTCTATGTGTGATTTGTCATGTAAGTTAAGAATTTATGTGACATAAAATGCGTTTGTCTCAAACTAGTTAACGGATTTCTTTCGGTACAGCATTATATTATGTTATATACTTTTTTTATCAAAAAGAAAATAAAATAACTTAAAAATAAATATAATCAGTTTATGCAAAAATATGATATAAGTCTTAGAAGAAATTGCGAAGAAAAAAAAGTCATTGTTCATTTATAGTTCCAGTTGGAGGATGCCAATAATCGAAGTTCTTTGACATCGGTTACGTCTGCTGATACGACAGTAGCGTACATTAGAAGACCTATGAGTACTAATGCGACGACTACAGGAACAGGTACGAGTGGACAACGACCTACGTCGGCACCTGTTTCTGTTACGTCTACGAGTAATGCCGAAACGACAGTTACCCTACCGCTTAGAAGACCATTTAATAAACCTCCCGAAGATAAAGGTGAGCTTAGAATATTATTTTCTATTACCCCAAAACTGGGAATCATTCGCGCCTGTCTTCGCATTTTTACATTTCAATAGTCAAATTTTAGACGAGTTTTTTTTTAAACTTTCGTTATTGTAAATATCTTGATGATTTTAAAAGCATAGTGACTTATTTTCACTAACTGTAGTGCAATTGATTCCACAAACTTAAAAAACTATCTAATTAAATATACATATTATATTATGCACTTTTGTTATGAAATTATTTAAAAAGTTCTAGAAAAATGTGGATTATAACAAAAAATTATGTAAAAACCACAAAAATGAAGTTGATCCTATATACTTTTATATAAATATTCAGAACAAGACAAAGAAAATGACAGTCGAAATGCCCAAGCAACACAAGCTGTCATTCAAAGGAGACGGAGGCCCAAAAGACGATCCACAGGCGTTGTTCACGTTGACATGGATGTTAGTATGAATTTTTTATTAACATTTTCTCATTTATCTAAAAAGCAATAAGCCATAAATTATTTCCTCCGGTACTTTAAATAAGTTAAATTTTTTAACCGATTGAAGTCAATTAAATCTTACTAGTAAATGCGTTTGCATGAAAAACTTATTCTGCAAAATTTTTATTTAAAATCTTGAAATTTTTCATGAATTTAATCGATGAAATCGCAATTTATTTTCAATACCGATACTTATGAAAGAGTATAGGTTTTTTGTTGTTTATTTTGTCAAACGAAAAATTGTATGATTTGAATAGAAACTGGATTTTTAAACTTATTTTATGCGTTAACGATATATAATACGAATTTGCACATTTTCAACTGTATTATATTTCAATTGTAATGACGGTATTAGTAATATTTTTTCCAGTAGTTTTTAGGCTTAAGCTTAAACTTCTAGAAACTTATTATAATCTGTTGCTTAAAAATTATGTATTTTATTTGTTGATCATAGGAAATCGATCCTGAAAAACAAGATTTAGCATCCGGTGAAGCTGATGATTCAATCAAACTCAACCATAATGAGGTGAGTGCTTTTATTCATTTGACCAACAACTTTTATAATTCCCTGCGTTGCTGCGAGCTTATTTCAACAAAGCACGGGTCTTACGTTCAAAAGTGACGCATTGGAGCTCTGTTATTATAATCCCGCACAATCGAGTGTCGGCCAAAAAAGTTTGCACGCGCGTATCATCGCTGAAAGCGTATACGATAAAGCTAATAGAGCGTTATTCTTGATATGAGCAACGCACGTGTTAGTGGACGTCAGCAACCTGCGTACATGCCTAAATAGCGGAAACAATGCAATGCTCACGAATAAATATACATTTCATTGTTAAGGGATTTCACACCTTAAATTTAACCCTTTTGAAAATTCTTTTTCGGGTAGAATATTTTCTATCCGTTTCACTGCGTTTTTATAATACAAACTTTTTGATTTTTTTATTGAGATGCAGCAGTTTTCGGGATCAGTTTTCGTATTCTTTGCGAGTTAAATTTGTTCTTCTTTTGCTCTTTCTGGCGTTTCATATTCGTATGCTATTCATCGAAAGTCGTAGTTACACATTTTATGAATCAAGTTCATGCAAAAAAAATTTATTTTCGTAAAAAAATATAAATGTTACAAGTACAGTTTGTTAATATGTTAATCCAATGTTTATTTGTTTCATTTTTCATAGAGTAATATTATGGATTCTATAAGTAAGGGCCATACAATGAAGCAAAAAATAATAATAATGTGACGGTGCAATGGATTGCAAAAATATTTTGATTCAGAATCGATTTGTGCGAGGAGTATTTTAAGACTCGTATAACCGAGGTTGTTTTGCGGAAATAGCACATTAAGTGACGCGCGATCGACTCTGTAACACGAAGAGAAATACTGAAGCATATTATTAGTTTATTCGCTAATTACACGTACTCTGTGACTTTTCTGTTTTTCGCGGCCTAGCACAGTAATACTATTAAACGCAGTCTGCATTTGAAGGTATTGCACGTTATTCTTATATTCAGAATATGAAAACTTTCATTGTGTTAAATATTGTTACATTATACCATTAATTTTGAAATATTAATGCTAAAATTTTCTAGCATCTAGTATTTTAGTAATTTTTTTTTCATGCTCATAAAAAAAATTAATTGATGTTTGGTTGTGGGACGATTTTTCCAACAAACATAGCTATTTTAGGCAAAAGGGAAAACTTAGGGCAAAAAAGAAAACTTTCCTACCTGTTATTGAAGATCGAATAGGTATTTATATTTATTCAGTAAAAAACGAATTTTCCGAGATAAAAAGAAAATAATAACGATGCACAATCATTTGAAATAAATGCGCTTGTCCCCCAAAGTTAGAGTGCATGACCTGAATCGATTGAAATGTTTATGGGAGGCACGGATGACCTCAGGTTATTTTTTTGTCTGTATGATCGTTTAATTTCAATGTTTATTTGTTTCTTTCAACAGACAAAATAAAAATATTTATTTTAATTCTGCAGATCGAACGATGCAATGATACTGAATATTTTTGTAATGTGTTGCCTGGTCAGGGCTTTGAGTTCAATGTCCCCAAATTGCAAATTCGAATAAATTATAGGTATATTCATTATACGTCGTCCAATTAGTAGTTTTAGCGGACGTTGAATAAGCATCATAATTGCGACAGACTGTGCGCTCGATTTGCTGCGTGCAATGGCTTGTCGCGCAATCAATCGTTCGGTGGGAGTGAATTCTTCAATAGCGAATTTTTCATAACATTAATGGGATAGCCTTTTTACAATATTCAATTATACAAATTTTACAAAATAGGGCAAAATGTTCAAACAATGTCGATTGCCAATTTAATGTGCCTGCTAATCTTACCTACGTTATGCTGGTTTAAAAAGTTACAAAACTTTTCTATTTTTTGGCTAAGAGGAACTGTTTCAAGAATCCTTAATTCGGCTTTTACTGAAATACATATAAAGGGGTTGGTCCTTTTTTACATGTCGTTGAATGAAAAGTAGGCAAATGTCATTTTATTTTATTTCAATATACTCAGTTCAATTGCACATACAGTTAAAGACTAACCAATAATTTTCTTGAGGGTACAATAGTTTATATGCGTGTTGCAATATTCAGAATTTAAGAATAAAACGTTATATAAATTTTAAACAAGCGTTTGGTTGGGTATGATATTTTCCTTTTCATATGATTTCCGAAAGTTATCAACGTTGCATTACCTGATTTTTACCTAAAACAAGCTAAATATGAGATGGCTTAATTTAAAAAAAAATAATTATAATAAATACTGCACATAAAATATACTGTCGATTATAAAGATTATGAAAATTATTGTGCTTTAATGATTGTATAATTTGCTAAATTTACAATTTAATAACACAAAGTTAAATGTAAAAATACTTTAAATCCAATGAAACAGGAAAATTAATGAGGCGATTCATTAGGGAGTTAGAAAACGAGCCAAAGCACATAGTGTTGATCAGTCAACATGGCTTAGATGAGTTTCAAAATTAAAAAAACAAATTAGTTGTCCGTTTTCAAATCCGTAAATTTAATATGCAGTTTTTTAATTATTATGTGGTCGTACATTAGGGTCAAAGCGCAGGAATATTCTTAATTTTTTTGAAAAATGAACTGTATTATTAGCAATTTATTGATGCAAACTCGAGTCTGAATTTGAAAAACTAACACAAATTTGAATTACGACACTGAGAGAAGGATTTCTTAACATTTAAGAAATACAAAGTTCAGCTTTAGACTGCAAATCGTCATTGTTTGAAAATAGAAATGTTATTGTAACGTAAAATGAATAAAGGGACGAAACTTAACGTTAAATGACTTATAATTATTGCTCGTGCGCAGTCAGCGACTCAAAACTGATCACGAGCACTGCATTACAATTGATCTAAAAATAAATTCGAAACTATAGTCTGCCTCGTATTTGGCTAATCTTTTTTTTCTTGCTCTCTCTCTTTCTCTTTCATTGAGAGCGACGATCTTACGTGATGACATATAGCCACATAACAGATCATACATCGTACTATAATACTTGCTGATTTGCAGGCGACAGGTCGTGAAAGTTCATCGTACTGTTGTCTGTTTTTTATTTGTCAAGCTCGACTCAGTCCGCAAACGGACAAGTTCTTTTCCATCGTCATGGCCATGATGAACAAAGTTGAGATCTCTCTAGCTAGCCACACGAGGCTTTTTCGCAAATTTTCGCCTTCGCTCACTCAAATAAGCACAGCATGTTATTGGTCGATTTTGTCTCTTCGACGCTCGGGTAAAACATCACCGTCCCAAATAACGATCGTGAGCAGCGCTTATATTTGCGAACGCGTGCGTAAAAAGCGAGAGAGAGAGAGAAAAAGTGCGGCCAGCAAAGACTCAACACTCGTTAATTTCTCGTGTGGCTCTCGCAATAAGCGCGAAGCTTTTAACCTTGGGAAATGCCAAAATATTGGAATGATTCGGTCGCGCGCGTGTGAAAACGGCATGCCCGTCGTGCGCGCACGCAGGAGCCAGCTGCCAATTCTTTCTCATAATATACAAACTAAAGATACAGATTCGGGTGTGCGCGCGTCATTAGCAGAGCGAACTGTGCGCGCCGCATCGCGTCGCTGTATAATACGCTTCGTTTGGCGACAAACCGTACCGATCGTTGCGTGCAGCCGAGTAAGCCACGATCCGTGCGCACATCTCTAGTGGGGCGTGATGAAACGATCGCTCGTTAAAAGCTCGAGAATTCGTCGAACAAGCCCGTGTACCTGCCTCTATATGCTCGATCTCGGCTTAGCTGATTTTTTGCACGCAAGCAGAGCCGATGCGGTTGCTTCACCTCGGCCGATCGCACGCTGCACAATCATATCGAAACGTCGAGCCTTATACAACGGATATACCTATAATGACGAAGCTCGCGTAAGTCGAGTCTCGAGATCGGCTCGTTTAGAGGTTACGAGGGCGACATCTTTATGGAGTGCGATGCATGCGACATATAGTGCTTATGAGCTCATATACCCGAACCGAGAACCTAGTTAAGTACCGTCGAGAGAGAGAGAGAAGAGAGACTTGGCATGCCAAATGCTTTTAAACGTCTATATGCGCGCTCAAGATGTATTGCCGTCGCTGCAGCTTTTCACGATCGCCAGCGCGATGTATGGGCACGCAATGACTTTACCTGGAACGATCGCGCTGTCGTTTTCGCACCTCGTCGAAATAGATGGCCATACGAAGCGATGAAACAACGTGCGACACGATTCAGCTTTTATGCTACTTGTCTACGTCACATGCCCTGCGGTATATATTATTCTTCGAGCACCCAAATTTTACATACTCTATGGTCCGAATAAGGACTGGAAGTTTAAAATATCTTGATCCAGCGAAATTCCTAGTTAAATTCAATCGGTTGCTTAAAATTATCTCGTATCGAGAAGCTGCAGTTTGGGCAAAAATCTAGTTTTCCAGGAGTTACTCAGTCAAATGCTTCCTTGATTTTAGCATTCGTATAGCGACGAGAGTTTAATTGAATTTAAGTAAGAGTAACTTAATTGTCAAACAATATAATATAATTTTTACAAGCATTTTTGATATACTCAAAAGTTAGCAAGATCAATAACGTATATTGCTATATGTGTATTACATCAGATGATCAAATAAAGATATTTATAAATTGTGTGAACCTAAAACAACTCGGAGAATTAAGATTTTGAAGAAAAAATATTGAAATTTTCAAGGGTTCTTCCGCATATGGCTTGAATACAGCTTGCAAGCCAAATCAGAGCTAGAGTCTCTAGGCGGAGCAAAAATCTGCTCGACCTGGCCGACGAAAGATCGCGCACCGACGCCTTGAAAACGTGCCTGCACACGTGATATATATTATAATGCACATACATATAGATGTGTGCGTATGTACTATGTATTTTCAAGCGTGCCTGTGTGCGCGCGACTTTTCCACAAATAACTCGCCATGGAGGAGATGAAGTATAGAAGCAGCAGCGGCTGCAGCGTACAGCGCAGCACTGGCCATAGCAGAAGCGCTATATAGGCGAGTCGCGATCCACGCTAGTGCTGCGGATTATTCTTCAAGCTAAGCGCAGTCGAGCGGCTGCTCTCGAGTTCGAACTTTCGACATTTTCGCGAAAACAAGAGGCACGTCGATCGGAATCGTTGATCGTAGCTCGAACGCATTCGGTGTACGGTACATGGGTCTAGGCGGAGACCGCGGCGAATCTGCCTCGCGGATCGCAGAGTGCGCCGATTACCGATTTAGCATCGATCGGCGAATGAAAAAGCTCGAGCGACGCCGTGTTCGCGTCCGCGCCACCTCGCGCGTCTTTTATCACTCGCTCTAATTAGCGCATATAAATGCGTCTGCCGCGCGCAATAATCCAAAGAATCTGACAGATGAAATACACGGGACGTATGCATAAGCGAAGCGGCGAGGCGTTGGCGCAGCGCGGCAAGGGAGCAAAGCTCGAGAGTCTCCGACGCGCGCATAGTCGAGATTTACGAACGGCCGTATGCTGACTCTCGAGCGTTGAATCATCGAGCTTCGCAGTTGTGCGCTCGAGTTTAAAATTGCGCGTCTCGCGGAGCCGCAAGCTCGCTTGGCCAGTGCACGACCGACAGAGAGAAGTTGTGCAGAAAGTTTTTGTGTGTGTGCGTGTGTGTACGTGCGTGCGTGCGTGCGTGCCTGCGCGAGCAGAGCCAGCAAGATCTTTGATAAAGATCGCCGCGTTATATATTTAACCGCGCATGTGTGAAGCAACGACTTTGCATTCGTCAGCGCGAGCAACGACAAGAACATTCGCGAGCGATACTCGCATGCCGCTGCTGCTCGTTTAAAGGATCCTATTGTTGTTGCATCGTAAGAATGTCGTCGTATCGCAAACGCACCCAGCCGAAGCCGACGACCGCGGCGGGCTTGCGCGCCCAGGCGTCGGCCAGCGGCAATTCCATCTTTCGCACCCGACCGCGCAGCATAGCGAGCCTCTTCGGCTCGGGTCAGAGCAGCTACAGCAGCCTGCTGGGCCGCACGAGGAGCTCGTCGCCCGGCTCGCCGCACGCCGCCAGCAGCGCCTACTCGTCGCCCATGAGCAGCTACATCAATAAATCCTCCTCGTCTCCGTCGTCGCCCACCAGCAAGACCAGCAGCTATAAAAAACCCTACGGCAGCTCGCTCGCCTCGAGCAACCTCAACGCCAGCCTCTATCAAAATCTCTACACTACCTACGGCGGCACGTCTTCCGGCTACGGTGGCTTGACTCTGCCTGCGAGCTCGACGCTCAACCTCGCCGGTCCGTCGTCGTCGTCGTCGAGCTACGTCATTGGCAATGGTTACGGCGGTGCTTACGCGCCTAGCGCTCATGTCAATAGCGCGCGAAGCAACTTGCATAGAGGCACCGGCAGCTTTAACAACAAAGTCAAACCAAAACACGACAGCTCGACTTTCGGTTCGAGAAGCTCGAGCTTGCAAAGCCTCGCAGGCTCTGAAGGATATGCGGTACGCCATCGCCATGTCTGCTTCGCCACTGAATAGCCTATGTTTTTTTTTTTTTATATCGTTCTTTTTTTTGGTTTTAACTGGTTGTTATCACTCGTAACATGATGATCTAAAAAAAATGAGATAAAAATTTTCTGTCGTTAGGCCCCATATGCTTCTCAAAAAAATCGATATTAATTTGAACTTGATTGAAAATATGTTTTTGGTGGAACTGTAAAATTTCCGCGTCAACAAAACTGAGCAAAGATGGCTTTCAAAATGGCTGATTTAAGAATGGCTTAAATATTAATCGACCTTGGCATTGCATGACGTTCGCATTGACCGCGTCATAATGGATTCGATGTAGAATATCAATGTTTATTTTAATCATGACTAAATATTTAGTTCTTCTCTCAAATAGATATCGCCGACCGTTTCAATGATAAATCAACTAAGCTTATCCCGCACCTATGAGATCATTATTCTAAGAAATGTGTTTATTGACCATTTGTTTTTGCTCTACTTGATATATTGACTTTAAAGTTCAAAATTATTTGAAAAATAAATAAAAAAGATTTACACACGTAGAGAACATGAAACATCGAAAAAGGATCGCGATTCAGTCGGATCTAAGCTAAACAATAATTTCGAAATAAAGTCTTCGTTTTTCGGTTTCTAGAACTTTGAGTAATACAGCTATAAATCATTTTTTAAAAGCTCCAATGTGTGAATTGCAAATTTCGCTTGGTGACATTGTTTACGAGTAGAAATATATTTTTAACACGTGCGAGCATTGCTGCTTCATCGATCACTTTAGGAAAGCTCGGTTGCACGGACAGTTTGCATATTTCAAATGAACGATTGTTGTTTAATTTTTCGAGATGCTTCGTTCACGCATTTCAACAAAATAGAGCCACGAACGCCTGCCAAATTTGCGACAAACAGAGCGGGAAATTAGTCTATTGCGATAGGCTGACACTTTACTCTTCGATCGATATTGAACATTTATATGTTACTTCTAAATTTTAAGTGCATTATAAAGTATGCCTTTAATAATCATTGCAGAGCGGACACGATCGTTCCGGTCGCTCGAGCAGATTTGGTTCTGTGTCGTCTCTGTCGTCCGATGGCGGTGTAACGTCTTCGAGGGCAAGCAAGAGCAATCAGCAGCAAGCCACGGAAAACGGAGAGCTAGACTACAAGAAGCTTTGGGAGGAATCGCAAGCGGAAAACGAGCGATTGCGCGAAAAGTTGCGCAAATCCGACGAGCAGCTCAAGGAGTCACAGAGCCTTTTGGAAAAAACTCAACAGTCACAAAGCAAAGCCGCGCTCAGCGAGACCGAAAAACGAGAGCGCAGGGCTATGGAAAGGAAGCTTTCCGAAATGGAAGAAGAATTAAAGGTAAGACGTAACAGTACTCTAACACTTTCATTTTTATTTATAGGTATAGTACGATTTCTCGTCGTTCTCCGTGCCATATTTTCGTTAATTCAACCAAATTAAACGCGATATCATCTGATAACGAAAAAATTTTAAGAAATTTACAAATCCCAGTGGGATGGTACCGAATCAAAGTTGAACATCCTAGGATCAGCCTTAGCAGCAAATTTGAGTTTTTGAGAATGCGTGTACAAGAGTCGTCGACGTATCGATTGTCATTTATCATACGATGAAGGATTTGTACTAGAATAGAAAAAGCAATTTCGAACTCTAAAAAAAATTTTTCTTCATCAATTGACATCAACTTAACAAATTATTTGATCCTGAAACAAATCAATCAGAACGCATCTATAGTTTAATCGTAAAATAGATTCATTTTTTGTCACATTATAAATAGTATATTTTGCACCCAGGGAGTGAAAAACTGGAAAGTCTCAGAGCACGTGTAATTTATCATCCGAGGCAAAACCGAGGTTGATAATTACGTGCCATGAGACTTTCTTTTTTCGCTACATAGGTGCAAATACAATTTTTTGTGAATCCCCGCCTAAAGTAACATTTTGGTTTTGCGCAGCGGGAGTAAAATGTTACTTTAGGTTGGGGTAGCATAAAAAATTATTTTTTTGTGCCACCCCCGCACAGATTATCAACCTCGGCTTCGCCTCGGATGATAAATTACACGTGCTCTGAGACTTTCCAGTTTTTCACGCCCTAGGTGCAAAATATACTATTCTTCTTGAAACGGCTTTATTGCATCGCTTTACCTTGAGTTTTGATAACTACACGCGTTTACAACAATAGTTTTTCTAAAATCGTCTGCTCCTTTTTTTACCCCTAATTTTATCAATTTTAATGATAACCTAAAATTTTACCTACACTTTTGAAATTTTCTTTTTTCACAATTTTTTTTATTTTCACCAATAATTTATTTTAAGATTCCTATCCATTTTCTTATTATTTGTTTTACACAAATTTGTTGGATGCCTCTTCCTTTTATATTTGGAAAACTGTGATTCACGAAATTTTTTATTTAAGAATCCTTTTACTTTTCAAACGTTTCTTACAACGTAGTAAATAAAATGTGCAGCATCACGAATTTAGCTGAATCAATTTAGCAATAGAGTTAATCCGAGTTCCAGGAAACTTTTTACACTTCTGGCCTAACCCATTTAAATTGTTTACAGCAATTGCAAAAACTCAAAGCTGAAAATGAGAGATTGAAGGCCGAAAATCGGGCCCTTACTCGCGTGGTATCCAAACTCACCAATACTACTAAATAGGTAAAGGAACAAAAATGATGATAACACGTATACGGCATTTGTATCAAGCATAATAATATGCGTTTATTACATATTTATTTATTATTCTGTAACCATTTAAGGTTTTTTTTTCATTCACATCTTACGGTAGCTACATTATTCATTAATCACCATTCTGACATCCTTTTCGCATATGTCATCTAAAAATTGTCGTTATTTTACTCTATTTAACCAAGAAAACTATTATCTTTTTCAAATTTTGCAATTAATATGTGATAATAACTGATAAAACTTGTTGATTTGACGATATTAATGATAATGCATTTTCTGATGTTCTATTACTCATTTTCTCACCTTTGTAAGCTTTAATAACTTCGCAAGCTCGTTCGAATTCGTATTAAAAGTACAAGTCTCTTGCTATTCTGTTAATATTTTATATACTCAGAAGTTCATTGCCAAGTATTAACAACAAAAATTTTATTTTTTATTTTATTTTAATAGTTCATTATTAGATATGTATATTAATGTATTAGCAATTTGAATAAACAGTTTTATTTGTAATTCTTAAATGTAAAATGTTTAACAAAATCTTTTTTATGTAAAATTAAAAATTAGAACGCGATTTCTTTAAAAGTAAATGGATCAAATCAATAGTTTCATTGCATGAAGTATTAAAAATTAAAAAAGTAGAACTAGAAACGAATAATTGAATGAAATTCTTTCTCCATCAGGAAAAAATTTTGAAAGTATTTGTTAAAAATTGACTGATAAATTTAAATTATACTTGAATATTTTTATCAATATTAGTTTCATACTTATACCTTAAACTTAGAGTAACTTAAATCGTAAGGTTTACTTTTTCACTCCATCACTTACAACATTTCTAATAATTCATGATTAAATCATATTTCATTTTAAATGGTTATCATCGCCCATAGTTGACCCGTCCATGAGAGCCCTTGGGTTTAAAAATTATTTACCGCATACCTACCTGAAAGCCCATGATATACGTGTTTTACGATACGAAGTGAAAAAGTACATAGCATGGTTGTAATTATTTTTTTAATACATTCACAGCCTCAAAACTTGTGTGTTTTTTAATTTTATTGTACCTTAATGACGAAAATTGAGGCTGCACATACAATTTTCGTGGCAACCCATCTCATATTATTGGCAATATATGAGCAATTGTTATTAAATGTTTTATTGTTATTACACATATGAAGATTATACAAGCTTTTATTTATGGAGTTGTTTATATGCTTATACGAATGTGTTTTTCGTTGCATGAGTTATCAAAGTGTCAAATAAAGAAAAGATATAGAATATATTTCTTAGGATGTCTAAATCATGCGTTCAAGGAAACAATCGCAGTCATTGTGCTCAAGTACACCATTAACCGCTTTGAAAAGATGCTACTTAATCTAAACACAACTCGTTGTGCAAATTGTCTTGTTAAAGTGTACATAAAATCTATGATAAAAAATCTATATACAAACATATATATTTATAAACGAAATATATAAAAAGAGCTTTCAACGTTACAAATTACGATTGAATAGTTCAAAAAAAATTTATATGAAACAAATTTTTACAGTAGTGCAGGATCTTTTCAGAAATTTATTAAAATTTTGCATTGTGTTTACAGATATTGGAAACCCTCAAATGTGAGAATCAGAGGCTGAAAGACGAGAACGGTGCCTTGATACGCGTCATTAGTAAGCTGTCTAAATGAAAAAGGGACAAATTCAGAGCTGCAGCTCGACTCGACTGCAGCGAAGAATCGCGCGAACGAAGATGACGTTAATAAACGAAGAAACATACGCAATAATAAAATGTAAACTAATGTGTAACGCGCGATAAGTTCTCAATATTATTATATATATTTTGCTATTTTATCCTCTTCGTGTTTTTATTATATCATACGTTGTAAATGTGCAACGAGAGTACATTGAGCAACGATTTTACTTTATGTTTTTTCTCGATTTTATATACTCGTGTGTGCCGTAAAAAATCGTGATAAAAAGCTTTATATTTGTAGAAAAAAGCACGTGGGATTTTTTCACTCACTTATATTGAACGAGTTTGTCGTTAAAAATTTTTATCGAGCAAATATTGTATTGTCAATTTGTTTGTTGGCCTTATTATAGAGAATTTCATTGTAGACAAATAACATATATTTATCCATTGGCTTTTTTTGTAAAAAAATGAACGATTTTGGTTTATCAACTTGATTGCTATTGTATGTTTAATGTGGACTTAAGAACCCAACTTAGAACTACCATTTTTGAAAATCTTACAACATTTATAGTACATTCAATGTATGAAAAAGAAAAAAAATAAAACTTTGAAGCATTAAACTTTTGTAAGCAAGGTGAACTTGTGTAAGCGAAATGCAATTCGTTTAATTGTAAACTGGGTTAGGTTTACATACTTTTATATAAGATTTTTCAAAATATTTTCAATGAATTTTACAATACCATGATGTATTCGTGGTTTATAATTAGAATGTGGTATGTCCATTAGAATCCTTTAAAATTTGGATCTTTTATTTTTACATTCTTTTATTCGAGATGCGTTTGAGAGATTTTTATATATGCCTATTATTATAGATATTAAATAAAATCAGTATTCTGGCATTGTTGAAAATTGAAAAAAAAAATCATTTAAACAACTTGTTTTCTTGAGCACTAGTAATAATGTATTTAAAAATATGTCAAAAATTTAATTATAATTTAGTTATACAAGAGGATGGCAAGAGAATAAAAAAGTAAAAAATAAAATGTACACACTCTAGCCATATGGATTCTATGACTTCGACTTGAATACAATAAATAAGAAAAGAAAATTAAAAATGATCGACAATATTTACATGTTTAAGCTTGCACGCCTTAAAAAATTTTAATAGTGCGTTGCGTTCGATTTGTGAGCTCTACATAAGTCACGTAAAATATAATTATCTAATGACTAACGTTTTGCAGCGTTAACTTATTTTACATTTTTAAATCAATGGGCGATACGAATATTTTTTGCCTACGCATGTGTAACACGTAATTAATAAGACAATTTTCATGAATTTTAAAAGTTTCTCGTACTAAGAGCTTAACTATGAAAAAAATTTAACAAAAATCATGGTGTTAAAAAGAATATTTTGCAAGGAGTAATCTGACGTTTATTATGATATGGAGTTTTCCTCGACTAGATACTCCGGAATAATTAGTGTGGATTAGTTTAATCTAGGTAATCGAGCTCGTTACGAATGTTATATTTTTATTTCGAAATCATAAATTGAATGTTTATAAGTACAATTATAGTAAGGAAATACATGTTTTAACTCCTAAATGAATGCATAAAATCAAATTCCTTATGGGATGTATCTAATTCAAATAAGATATCCGAAAAGAAAAATATCGTTTATAATGATTCAGAAATTATTATTGATTACTTGAAAAAATTAAATATTTATGAAGATTATAGAAAGCATAAAACAGATATATTTGTAGAATGAACCCTATTTGTTCAATGTGAACTTTTGCAAAGCGTCATCTTTTTCGATCGAAAATCCTTAACTATTTTTTACCAATTTTTCGCTATTATATTACGGAAACATAAAAAAGTGGATTTTTAAGAAAAGTGAAGTCGTCCAAAGATAAAACTTTTTCCTCTAAACTTTTATATGATAATAAAGAATATTTGATACTCACTATTGTCTACTTGATAATGGTCTACAAAGATCAATAGTGATGAATTTTTAGATTGTCTATTAATCTAGTTTATAACTTTTAGAATACATCATCAAAATAACAATTTTATATTGAAGTATAGCCGACTCTTTTAATTTCGTTACTGTGAAAAGGTTTTTTCTAAACTTACTCAAACAACCATTTTCATTATTTGTACTTATTATTTCTATCCTTACTTCCTGGCAAAAAATCAAATTTTTTAAGATGATGATAAAAATAGCCACGAGTTACTATAAATTGCTCAGTGTACTTAGGTTTAAGCCATGAAACATCATTAATTCATAAATATATAAAATCTTTGAGATAACATTTTATTAAAAATTTTTAGCCATCAAATTTACTGTGTGTTTTCTAATACAGTTTTTACGTATCGTATAGGAAAATTGCATCAAGAGACTTTTTTAAATTTGATATAACTATAAAAAGAAAGTCAACTGCTTTTATATATTCAATTTTCTTTAGGTCTCATGCGCTAAATGCAAAGGCATTGACAAAAACTTATGAATACTGTTAACTCATAATTAATAAAGTAATCAATGATTTTTTGTTCTTTAGTAAACTTAACATTTAGTACTGTACACAGTTGTAAAAAAAGCAGATACCATAAAAATCTATGTAATAATTATTCAAGAATAATGAGTAATTATAGAATGTAAAATTTGCTAAATTGAAGTAATGTAAGAGATTATGCATAACCCATTTTTTCAAGAAGATAGACATTTTCATTTCTTTGTATAATAGTGGTGATATATCTCATATGTGCTTGTATTGTATTATATAGTTTAAAAATCGAGATATACACGAATAAGCTCCTTTTTACCATCTACATGAGCCAATTATACGTTATAAACGAGAAAGAAGATTCAGAAGTCTCGCTGGGTTGATCACAATAAAATACCTTCAACTCATGCTCGACTGCTTGCATGTTGCCCTATCCAAATGTAAGGCATTTATAACGGTGATTTAATGGTAAAGGCAATGCTCATACTATTTAAAAATTGAGGCCGTTTTTGCTAAAAATATGAATAATTGGAAATGAAAAAAATTGCGCATTATGGCAAAAGGGTTTTTATTCAAAATATTATACGTATTGTAATACTAGGAATAATACGTTTAATTTTACATCGTTTGAGTGTCATTGTTATAACACACTGTCACTTTAATTGTGATGAACAGATGAAAAATCATCGGACACTCACGAAAAAGAAATATTGTATACTTATGTAAGAACGCGAGCAATAGAATTATTGAATTGAACGGAAATTTTTCCTGGGGACTGAGGATTCTAGTCTCCGAAATTAATCATGCGACAAAATAAAAATTATTTATTTCCTACTTCATTTTTTACTTGTAACTATAAATAATAATTCAATTAAAAAATTTTGAACATGTGATTTATATTTTTTACAATTTTTACAAGCCAATCAGAAGTAAAAATAATCCACAATAGCGAATTATTAATAAATACTATAATTTTTAAGATAAAAAAAACAATTTATTAACCAACATTTTTAACAAATATTTACATGTAATCAAGTTAGTCTTTATTATTGTAATAGTTTTTTCATAATTTGATCAACTTTTTTCATATTAGCTGTATCGTTTGTTTTTTTAACTATTTGCCCAAGAAAATATTTATACAGTTTTTTCTTTCCATTTTTATATTGCTCAACTAAGTGAGGATTTTCGTCAAGCAGAGTTTGACATATTTTCTTCAATTCTTCTTCATCGCTTATTTGAAACCAATTATTCTTTTCTATCATCTTTAACAATGCATTATACAAATTTATTACTAATTCTATAAGTTTTTAAAGTGTTTAAAAAAGGTACCTCTTTTGAAGATATGGTAGGATTTTTCACCAATTCTTTCAGCACATTATTAAACACCATTAAATTTATTTTTTCACTTTGCAAAAAATCAATCAATTTTCCGAACTCATCTCGTATTTCTAATCTGAAAAATAATTTTATTATTTTTTTACAAAAAAGAGTATCTCATTGTTTAATTAAAAATCCAAAATTCCAAAAATGTTTTAATCAATTTTTGGTATTTATTTTTTTTTTTTATACCAAACTTGATAGAGATTTACCAAATTTTTAAAAATATTATTAATAACTCACACATAATCATAATCTTGATTGTTTTTATACAGAAGTCCTAATAACTCATGAAAAATCGTTTTGAATACAATATATGGAGAACGATTTTTATTACAAGTAATGAGATACATGAATAAGTCAAATAATATTGGTTCATTCTGAAAATAAAAAGGGGTATTCTTCATAAATGACTACTCACATTTACTGAATGCTATTAAATTTTTCATTACTTACTACTAAAATGATAGAATGAATTTTCGATAATCCATAATCTGTTTGAAGTCTATCCCTTGTTTCTTGAGGCATTTCTGGTATTTGGGTTTTGAGAATTGTAGCATCTACTAGATTGTGAGTGTTTTCTAATTCCTTGTCTACATGAATATGAAGAGGAGGTAAATTTGGTTCTGGCATGAAGCGGTAATCCTACATAACAGTTTAATTATTTGATTGTTTTAAATGATTATTCAATATGTTTTTACCTGTTTATCTTCTTTACTTCTCATAGAAATAGTTTTATTGCTAGTGACATCCCATGCTCTCGTTTCATTTACAATTTCTATATTTCTTTCACAAAGATCAATTTGTCGTTTAATTTCATAATTAATTGCACTAGCTACTCCACGAACACTACCAATATTTTTAATCTCAGTTCTCACTCCTAATGACTCATTTGGTCTGTTTATTGAAACATTAGCATCCACTCTGAGAGCTCCCTCTGATTAAAATAGAATGTTTTAAATTTTATTTATTTTCAATAAAAACATTTTTGAAAACATTTCAAAAGATTTCAAAACTTACCATCCATTTTACAAGAACACGTATTCAGTCTTTGCAAAATGAGAATAAGTTCTTTGACTAGTGCTGCAGCTTCTTCTCCATCTTTCAAATCTGGTTCAAATACAAATTCCATCAATGGTATACCAGCTCTATTCAAGTCTATAAGACTCCTGAATTATGAATATTATAAACTCATTAATAGTATCACTTTTCATGAGATATTTTAAATAAAATTTGAATAAACCTTTTGGTACTTTCATCATTTAAGGTCTTTCCACTGTCTTGTTCTAACTGTATTTGTTTTAATTTTGAAGATTTAAAATAAGATTCTTTATTGGCTACAGAAGTAAAAACATTGAATTTCAATTTCCCATTTATTGCAATTGGTTTTCGTTGTTGAGTGATTTGATAACCAGCCTGAAAAAAAAATTTCTTCTGAAACTGCATCAATATTTTGAATACTTATTATGTACACTCACAGGCAAATCTGCATAAAAATAATGTTTTCTATCAAAATATGATATTTGATTAATTTGACATTGCAAAGCAAGTGCAGTAATTACTCCGGCTTCTACACATTTTTTGTTCAATACCTATGAAAATTTTATAAATTGTTATTTTAACAGATATTTACATCTTATCATATCCTTTGAAATTGAAATATAAAAAAAATCTTACTGGTAATGTTCCAGGTGTTGCACAATCAAAAAAAGATACACAAGAGTTAGCTGATTTTCCGAATTTCGTACTTGCTGCAGAAAATAATTTTGAATCCGACGCAATTTGAGCGTGAATTTCTAAGCCAACCACAGAATTCCATGTCTTTCTTTTATAAAATAAAAATTTATATTTATTCACATCAATTACATCATAAATATAATATTTTTTATATTAAATCGGAGATATTGTCTTTGTATTCAAAATACTTTATCTACACTGAATTGATTTTTTGTTAATTTATAAGAAAATAAACAAAAATTATTTTAAAATTGCATTCTGCTATCTAAAAATAACAATGCCACGAGGAAAAAGATGATCTCAAATCTCTTGAATCGTTTTATCTTAATGGTTAAGAACAACAACAAACAAACCGAGACTCACATTGACTTTCCACTTCCTGCGTTACAAAACGATCTTCTCAGAAAAGAGTAATTTCTTTTTAAGCATTTATCGTTGACGAGCAATCGAGGCATTCCAAACGTCTTAATTTATCCAGTGATCAAGGTGCGAGTTAGTATCTAATTGCATTTATCGGAGTAAAGAAAGAGCAAAGGCCGGTAGAATTCATTCTCGTACCGCCACTATCTCACTGCTACTACTGCTAGTTCTATCTGCTTGCAAAATCTCGCGATGTTATTGACAACATAACCTCGCTTGAACAAGCAGTCAGTTTGTAGTACATCTACATACACGTATCCTTTGATACTAAACATAGAATAAAGTGCCATTAATGACACAGTAGTCGTAACTCACATCTCCGTATATATTTACGTCACATTGTCGATACATATTATTTTGCGTCGACGAAATGTGTCACGTAGTTGTTTGAAGAATATTTTCATTAAAATTGTTCTAGCTATAATCAAGAAATAAAAGCTTGCTGGTGAGTTTTGATATTTTTTACAACAAAACTATGAAAATCCTTTGATCTTGACTATCCATCAAAATGTACCCGCTTAAATTCGTTTAAACATTCGTTTTTTTATCATTAAGCCTCGAATTATACATAAACCAATAATGAATGAAATAATCTGAACCGAAATTTCTTTTGTAATCAAATCGCAGCCGGTTCGGGGTTCGAATTTCGGGTTCATTTCACGAAACTAGTGATAAGAAACATCTTATCTCTGTAACTCTAGTAGTTTTTTGATAACTTGTGCTAACGATTTCATAATTAGTCTAACTTAAGAAATTCGACCAGAAGGTAGCATAAAAATACAAGTAACTAATACTTTATTTTCGTATAAAATTATTTATTTGTCAAATTTATTCTCTAATTATTTTATTTTCAAATTAATAATCTGATAAAAGTAGATATTTTATAATGATCATTGATTTTCAGATAGTGTGACCTTGCAGAAAAAGTGAAGTGATTTTCAATTTCCATTTACTTGAGTCACCATTATGACCACTACAATTGGAAAATGCTCTTGCAGACAGATTATGTACAGGATGAAGATGGCTCTACCAGTTTGTACGTTATTTTGAGCTGCAAATTATCCACAGTGCGAGTTTTAAATGTGTGATAATGACTCTTTATACTAGATTGTTAGACTAGCTTATAGCATATTCTAAGATAATTTTGGTTTAAATAATTGAATAATCATATAAAAGTGCAATCATGTCTAAGTTACAGCAAATTACAGTTTTCCAAAAAGCTTCTTCAGCTTGTGCTTATGGTTTCTCCTCATTAATGATAACTGTTGTAAATAAGACAGTATTAACATCATTTAATTTTCCATCATTTCAAGTTCTGGGAATAGGGCAGATGTTAGCAACCATTGTAGTCCTATTCATTGCTAGAGCATTTAAAATAATTGATTTTCCTGGTCTGGAAAAATCAACTTTTAAAAAAATTTGGCCTTTACCATTAATTTACATTTGCAATATGATATTTGGTTTAGGTGGGACAAAGCAATTAAGTCTTCCAATGTTTACTGTGTTACGTAGATTTAGTATTTTAATGACAATGATTGCTGAGTTTTACATACTTGGAGTTAGGGCAAAACCTTCTGTACAGTTCAGTGTTTATACAATGATACTAGGAGCATTATTAGCTGCTTCTAATGACTTAGCATTTAATTTCAAAGGGTATATGTTTATATTGATGAATGACATTTTTACTGCAGCCAATGGAGTGTACATGAAAAAAAAGTTAGATTCTAAGGAACTAGGAAAATATGGATTAATGTATTATAATTCCTTATTTATGGTAGTGCCAACTATAGTTCTATCTTGGTACACTGGTGATATTGAGAAAGCATCATCATTTCCTCACTGGTCTGATCCAATCTTCCTCATTCAATTTGTGATGTCATGTTTTCTAGGCTTTGTTCTTTCTTATAGTGTTATAATTTGTACATATTATAATTCAGCTCTAACAACAACTATAATTGGTTGTTTGAAAAATATTTCTGTCACATACTTGGGAATGATAATCGGTGGTGATTATATATTCTCTTGGACAAATTTTATAGGTCTAAATGTTAGCGTAATTGGAAGTTTAATCTATACTTATGTTACTTTCCGTAGAAAAGAACCTGCAGAAACAAAATACACACTCCTTACAGAGGAACAGTCTAATAAACCACAAGTTATTTGACATTATTCTGATAACTATGTGTAAATAATTTCTGAATATTAGTAAGGGTGAACTAATTACAAAATATTATTGTACAGCATTTATAGAAAACTTGTTAAATCGCACAAATTATTGTATAAACAAAGTTATTCAATTGCTATCTCTATTAGCTCAAATATCTTATATTCAATACATTTTTCATAAAAATAGTCTATACTTGATAAAGTTATTTGAAACAAAATATTATCATATTATTTTTGTGTGAATGTTGCCTCTAATTTATGATGAATATATCATGAATACAATGATCATATTTTGTAATGTGCCATTCAAAATTCTTTAAAAGCTTTTTATTCACTATATCTCATGTTATACTTTGAGTATCTTTACTCTTTTACAATAAAATTTGTTATTTTTTCCTTGTTAAATACCAAAGTGGAGTTACTGTTACCAGGACAACGAATGTGTGCCATAGTATACAGTGGCTTAATTTGTAATTTATGCCAAATAAATTTTATGATAATAGAAAACTTATGTAAGCAATTGTATTATTTTAAAATCTTTGTTTTAAACATTATAATATTGTCAAATTTTTATAATCATATGTGTTCCTACTGTTTGAAATGTACCAATTGACTTATATAATAAAATAAACAACTCAGTAAATAATTTTTTAAATTCTTTTTTCACTTTTTTGAATAAATTCTTTATGGTTTAAAATAAAAAAAAATTAATATAGACCTATTAAACCTTTGTAATCTTTATTTTTGAGCATGAGTCTATAAGTGACTGTTGTTTTGACAATTTTAGCATGTTTTATGCAAGCTCATAAAAAGTTGTTCTGGTAACAAAAAAAAGTAAGAAGAATATCTTTTTAATTTAAATTCTACCAAAGCATCATAGTAACAGTTCTTTAAATCTGCTTTATAAAAGATTATTAATTGTTTTGATAATCATTCATAACAGGTGTCCACAAAAATGCCAGAAACTATTCGCACGAAGCTTTCGTAGAGGATTTCGAGAAAAACCACGCGAACTTGTCACTGCTTCAAAGACTTTTGCTAACAGCTGGATCGGCGACTATTTCCATTACAAATCCCTATCGCGGTGATATGATCGCCTGTCTAGGCGAAACTACTGGCCAGGGAGCACTCGTCCATTGTCGAGATCGGATGCTCTCCAGCGACGAGGGAAAGAGGATATTGGATGAGAAGCCACGAATCAATACCAGAACTCTAGATTTGCAACGTCTGCGCGATCTTCCCGAGGGTAGTGTCGGCAAAACGTATTCTCTTTTTTTGGAAAATAATGTAAGTTAATTGATCGACCAAAATGGATTTTTCCATAAGCTTTTATGGTAATGTGCATCAATGCGATTGCAGAAAGTTTCACCAGACGATAGATCGCCGGTTCAGTTTGTCGACGATTTGGAATTGGCTTACGTGATGCAGCGCTATCGCGAGGTCCATGATATATTTCATGCGGTGCTACTCATGCCTACGACGATGCTCGGCGAGGTGAGCGTCAAATGGGTCGAGGGTCTTCAACTCAAACTGCCCATGTGTGTCGCTGGTGCTATTTTTGGTGCAGCTAGACTCAAGCCTAAGTGAGTGATGATGATCTCGAGTTTCATTTATTCACAACTATCATTTTTTTTTTATTTTATCAACAGACAGCGTCAACTTTATCTCAATTATCATCTTCCATGGGCTATTCAAACGGGGAAAAATGCTAGTTTTTTACTTGGTATCTACTTTGAAAAACGCTGGGAGCAATCACTTGAAGATTTTCATAAAGAAATGAATATTACGCGATTATTATAAATTGTTAATAAATAATTAGATTTTATTTTTTTTTAGAGTATTTACTTACATTATTATATCAGTTTGCATATTAAACAATATTTATGATTTTTTTAAAAATTAATTTTAGTACCCTAACATAGTTAGAAATCATGATTAATTATGAAATTATTGCCCTTCACTTTGTTAAGACATTTTCTTTATACTTAAATAATTATGCTGATGATACAATAAAGGAAGCTTTTGCTGACGCAGTACGTATCTGACACGTGTAAGCTCCTTTTTGCGTGAGCCCGATTCAAAACTTACTTCATAAATAAATATTAAATTACACGAGGCAATTTTAAACGGGTATAAAAGTTAATAGTAAATTTAAAAATATTCATACATTATATGGACTTTAAAAAATACCTCAAAACATTCGTTAAAAAAGTGGTGAAAGATGAATTAGAAATGTTCGCCAATCGAGTCAGCTAAACATAATTTTAAAACTTTCGCTGAGCTTGTTCAAATCTGCCAGGGGTATTTGTTCCTTCATTTGACCCAGATTCTTTAACTCTTCACAAACAAAGGCGATCCTTCTTTCTAAATCATTTTCCTTTCTATCGATGATTGCATGCGTGACAATTGTCGCAAAAGAATTTTGATTTTCCTTGTTTTTGCCATCATTAATTACATGCTTTATCTTCTTAATGACCTCAGACTTTTCCAAATTTTGTGTATCGCTTCCATTCGTTTTTGATGATTCAACTGAATTTCACAATTTAGAAGCCATTAAGAGGTATGCATTCAAATATAAATATTTCTTACCTATTTCAAGTAGATTTTTTTTTTCCTCTTCGTTTACTAAAAAGTTTCTCGTGATTAAAATTATAAAAATTTAAAAACAATATAAAAATTTACTTACATAAAAACTCAGCCATTGCAAAACGATCATCAACTATTTTTTTATCTATGCTCAATAGAATGTTTTTTAATCGATTAGCATAATTTTCTATTACTGGTGGTTGCAAGTGTCCTATTAGATTGTGACCCTCGTGCCAAAAATATGGTATGCATTTTTTTTCAAGGGCCTGTATCAATTTTTGCAACATCTATAAATTTTAATAAATGTAGATACAATAATTATTAATTATAGAAATTATATTTACTACAAACTCACGTAAATAAATAATGAAGTTTTCGAAGCTCTAAAAAAATCAACGTCCGATTTTCTTTTAGCGATTTCGTGCAGGAATATGGTCTCGATATAATAACTAGCCAGAGGCTTATAATTCAATTGGTCGCGTAACTTTTTGATCATTTTTACGACTACTTTTAGTTTGCTTACTTCAGAATTCGAGAGTATTTGTTTTTCTTGCTCATAAAAACTCAACCTCCAGAGAAATTCACCTTCTGGCTCTTTGCTAATAGGTTTGGCGACAACACATTTACTAGGACTCTTTCAGTATAAAGAACATGTTAAAAACTTTTTACAAATTTTCTTTTTATTCATTAATATTATCATACCACATCAGGAAAAGTTTTGTAGCCTTGGAGTATTATATCATTTAATTCTAAGCAAGGTACAATATCCATGCTCATTAAGGTTGGATGATCTCCCAGCTCGACGAATATTGTGAATGCTGGTCCCGATTTTTTAAATTGTTTTATCTATTGAAAAATACATCTCTATTATTTTTATTCTACTATTATTACTATTATAGCAGCTGAGGCTGTAGATATCTAAAAAATCAATATTTACACGATAATTTTTTCCATCAACCTCGAGTTCATAAAAATTGTCAGATTTTTTAAGCTTCTTGTAAGTATTTGTCATGATAGCTTCCATCCACTGGTGGAATTTATTTTGATTTAAATAGTTCTTGTCACTCAACCACTTATTCAGTATTTTACTAAGTATAAAGCTTTATTATAAAATTTCACTTTTACATTAAAAATTTAATAACTTTCATACCTATGTTCCTCCCACTTGGGTAATTTACTTTCGGAGTTAACTTTTATTTTCACGTAACTAAAATGTTTATGATTTGTCTCGACCTTAAAAAATAAAAATAATGAGTAATGCAAACATTTTTTTAAAATTAATATTCGAACTTTAAATTATAATTAACAAACTTGCAACTCATTATAATTTAAAGGTAGTTTCATGCTCAAGTTAAGGTCATATTCATCGGGCTTCGCCACTTTTGTTCCTTTGAAATAACTTCCTTCATATTTAATGTTCCTGTATATATCTTTGAAAAGAGTGTCTTCTTTCATGAGTGGAATTAATCCTTGAGAGACAACCTTAATCAAATGTTAATATTGATAAGATATTAAATTTCGCGGAGAAATAGAATGCACATTTCAGCATTATTTTTTCTTTTCAATTAATTCCAGAAAACTCAAATCGATTCTAAGCGATACCGAAATTTATGAAAAACTAAATATTTTTAAGCGTGTTTTTTTACTGATATTTATATCTTTTTCTGGAAATTTCTGCAAAAACTTAAAAAACTTAAAAAACCCAAGCCGACATAAAATGTTGTAGTTAGTTTAAAAAATTTATAAACTCATTTGAAAATGTATATTGTTACTATAGCTTCGTCGTCCCATGAAAAAATATTGTTGACAAATTAATAAACATTCAACACTTACATTATGCAAATGTTGATTGTTTGCTTTGATTTCTTCATCTTTTAATGTAATAAAATGTTTGCTTATGCAACTGAAAGCCGTGTCATCGCTATATTTTTTAATTCTATAAAGATTTTCGTCGACCATTTTGATTGTTTATAGATATTGATCCTTGTAAAACGAAAATCTGCAGAGTTAATCAACTTTAATAATTTTTATAAACTTAAAATTATTAATGTCAAATACTTACAGTTAAACGCTGTTTTAAACTCTAACAATTAAAAAAATAAGTATTATATTTTTGAAATGTTAATCTCAACATAACAATCTATACTTAGAGTATAGGTTTTATAATATTATTTTTAATTGTATAGTGCTTTAGCATCAAACAGCTCACATGCTGCAGCACTGAAAACTGAATTCTAAAGACACGTCAACAAACAAGATTCGCCGACATAAATGCATAAAATAACTACAGCGTGCCCCCTATCGAAGAAATGTTTTGAGGATAACTACTTTATCAACTTTATTTTAAATAACGTTTAAACGAAAAACATGTTAATTTTTATAAAATTTCAAACTGCTTTATTTTTGCAATTATTGTAATAACTCTTACAGTATAGTATAGTACAAAATATTTTCACGTTAAAAAATATCATGGCAATTTTTTTTACGAATTTCATAGCGTAACGTACAAAAGAATAAAGATTTATTGATCAATAAATCATTTACATCTTCAATTGCTCTGCTCCAGATATTTTTGACAAATTAATCTTAGTTTTTCACAGTGATTTTTTTTAACTTGGCTATAAGATTTTATAATGAATTCTATATCGGTACAAACTCTATCAACTAGCTCTTCGATATTTTCGTCTAATACCTCGATTTCCTCCTTTCGCTCTTCATCGTCGTTCAATTTTTGCAACTTCTCTTTCTGGTCGACTTGATCTCTCTTATAACAAATGTGCCTCCATTTTTTCATAGATTCACATAGAGCCTCGTAAAATTTATCGATTCCATTGAAACTACATGATTGATCGACGACTTTGGAAGAGAGAAACTCCGGTAAACTTTTGGCGACTTCGGGACTGATGTTCCTTATATTTGCTGCAAGCGTAGATAGCAAATTAGAATTTTCGTTTGCTTGAGTAAGATTTTCGAAACTTTCGTATGACTCTTGACGAATGCACGGCTCTTGGTGGCACAGAAGGCGTGCGTAAAGCTCCGAGACGATATTAGCGTCAGATTCATCAAGATTCGAAGCTATTTTGTTTAAAAAATGGCAGAATTCCAAGTGAAGCCGATTAGAAGCATAAGGATATAGGGAGGCCATTGATTCGAGCACCTTCAGAAATTATGAAAGAAAAAAAACAAATGAGATGGTAAAAAATTATAGATAAATCGTATTAAAGAGTTACTAACTGTTCTAACATATTTGGGGGGACTTGGTTTTTGCAGATTTGTAGCACGTAACAAGGCTACCGCTAAATCTTCTACAACTTTCGACAAAGTACCTTCGCAATCTCCAAGTACGTAAACAATTTTGTTCCACATCTGCACAAATACTTCAGCCGATTTTTCGTCCTGATAGATTTGACAAGCTTCGATAACGTGAAGATCTTTGATCTAAGTCAATAATATTATCACATGTAAGTTTATGAGTCATTAAAGTTTTTTGATCAATCATAAACTCACCAAGTTGTGGAAATTTTCTAAACAAGGCTGATCTTCTAATTTTTTCAGATCTAAATAAATACGGGCATTTATAGCCGGTGCATCGATTTGCTGTTGAAACTGTTGCACTTTTTCCTCGTTAAAATTTCGTACTAGAGGATGCCATTGATGAGGATCAATATTTTTTTCGATACCATTAATGAATTCATTTCGCTGCTTTTCTGATAAAAAATTGTATTGTCGACTCAAAAGATTTCCCAATATTTTAACATTGAAATCGTTTTTCCGTTGCTTTAATTTTTCATAGATTTGGACGAGGTATTGAAAATGTTTGTAACACATATCTGTTGAAGATAATCTGAAAATGTTCCAAAATCATCAGAAGAATTCAAGAATATATTAAAAATAAATTGTCTCATACCTGCAAACAAAGCACCAAATGTCAGAACTTAAGAGCGAACTAAAATATTTTCCACTCAGCAAGTACTTCAAAAGCATCACGACAAGTTCTGGAAAGTCTTCATTTGGAAATTGACATGCCAAGGCAAAGGTATTCAAACATGTAGCCTCATAAATGTTCGCCATGTAGGATGAGTGTGTAACGTCCCTTGACATTTGCACGTTGATTTTACCAACGCAAATATCTTTTGCAACTGTATCAAAATTTTAAAGTAATTTTAGTGTAAAAAATGGAATTTTGAGATTGAAGGATAAAAAATTAGTATAAATACAAAAGTGAGAGAAATTTCGCAATGTAGAAAAACTACAAGTTATGTTTTTCGAATCCAACTAATTTCAGAGGTATTATTCAAAATTTTAAAAAGCCATAGTTTGACTAATTATTAAAAATGCATGGCTTACTTTTATCTAAATTTTCTAAGCAGACATTTAAAAGCGATTGATCTTTCTTATGCCACTCAATTTGCGATTCCCACGGTAATTTTGATATTTTTTTCATCAGTACCAAAATCAGAAGATGGTATCCTAATGAATCTTCGACCTCTGTGTCCACATAATTAAAAAATGCCTTAAATTGAAATTAAACAGTTGATTTTTCATAAATAATACTTTTCCAAGTAATTATTAGAATGTGATAATAACGAACCAATCTGAAACTATCGTTTCTAATAATGATATCAATGAATGGATCAATTTGGTACGAAAAATTAGTAACGATGAATTTAATTAATTCTTTGCTGCATTTGGTAATTTTCAAATACTCTTCGGTATATCTGTATGAAAAATGTTATTTACTCAATTCTATTGTGCAGCAATGGGTATTTTAAATTTACTTACTTTTGCAAATGAGTCAACATGAATACAACATTCAACATTACATCGTTCCGTATCCATCCGCAATACGTCTCCGACAATTTTTCTAAAATTTTAAATAATAGGCGGCTGCACACCACATGTCTCTCATTCATACTTTGATTGTTATTCTGTGTAAGATTCATTCATTAAATTCAATCATTATTTTAATTATAATTAATGATAATAAAATACTCCTTACGCACTTGATTTATTGTACTAAGAATTGTAACTATATTATTGCATAGAGATTTAAAATGTGACGTGACCGTGTCCGAAGCAGTCCGCTTTATTTCTAGATTGTAGGTGGATGCCAGTTTACCGAAACGTTTCCACAGTTCGGTCAACGTTTTATTGTCCATTCCACTGCTCATTGCAGCCAATCTTCCCGTTTCATCAATAACTGCAGAGAGAAGTAACTTATTATATAACAACTAATGATTAGTAACTTTTTGTTTGCAGTGTAAAACAATGTCAATAACTAGAAATTTACCTTTGAGTAAAATATTAATCTGGTCTTCTTCGTTAGCGTCAAAAGTTATGACTGAGTCTATAAGACTGCAAAAAGTCGTAATGGTACCAACACACTGACGGAAAATTGTGGTTAAATTATCCGATATTATTTTCCAATTTTCTCCGTAATTTTCAGCGCTGGAATTTTATTTAAATTTATTTATAAAAAATAAATTAATTTCATTAATAAAAAAACGAAAGATGTGATATACTCGTATTAACTAATGTATCACCTATTTTTACAATGAGTCATAGCATTTAGCATGACATCGAACAAATTATCTGGAAAACTTTTGATGTCAATGATGGATACTTTTTCTAGCAATTTTATGTGTTCAATGCACAAATCCCAACATTTCAGCAAACCAACAAGAATCACCAGATTATTTTTGACATCTTCAGGATTATAATCCTGTTTATTCTTTATAGTATCCTCGATGCAATTCATTAGCTCGTGATAGAGACATCGAGCACCAGACAATGCTGCGTTAAATATTTTCTCTTCTATTAAATCTATTGGAACGTTTCTGATACTGCTGCTAGACAAAAAGTTTTGTAAACTTTCTGATTTTTCGGCAAAAGAACGATCGCTGCTTTCCAAAGTTTCGTAAAAATGAGAAAAATGTTTGATGTTAAGGATTATAAAATCAGACGAGTTTCTTCTTATTTTGTATTTATATATTTTTTTTACAGGATATTAACATAACAAACATTTTTTGCAAAAGGATATTTTTAGCAATACAACTTGATCTTCGACATTTGATTGACTGGACATGATTTCCGTGAAGAAAGAATCCTCATCGAGAAAGCTATCATTCGAATTCGTCATAGTGCGGTAAAATTTTCTGAAAATAAAAAAAAAGTTTTTCAAAGTATTTATATTTTAGTACCAATGTAGAATCAAAAAATATTATCAATGGATCCAAATTATTTACACCTTCGTAACAGGAAAAGTTAAGCTATTAACCGCGATATCTTGATCTAATGATAATATAATACAGCGGGTACTTTGAACTTGCTTGATGCAGTGGCAATTTATAACGAGGGTAAACGCAAGCGATTATCGTTAAAATTGATGTGATTTTGCTGCAATACAAACTTGTACAAAAAACTTTTATAAAATATATCGTACGTACATGTTTGATTGTTTTGAAAAAATTGGTCTGTGCTTGAAAATAATGTTTATCTATAAAATTTTTGTATAAAAAAAATTAAAATTAATTTCCAATTTCAAGTATCGAAACAACATTCATTGAAAATTATGCATAAAAGGCACAAATGAGTGTTAAATCTTGTAAATTAAAAACCACTGCCAATTCATTGGCAAAGAGCTTCGTCATAGAAAAATGCTTTTTTATGTATAGTCATTAATTTAAACTAACTAAACTTTTATTATTGATGAATCAATTATAAATCTTCAATTCAAGATGATAAAAAAAGATTGCGCTAAGTACATTGCATTTTGAGTCTATGCTCACACATCCTACTCTTCTATCTTAGCCAACAGGCCGAGATGACCAACATCCATACAGACATTTGTTGGTAATTCAATGTAGTTTCCAAATATGTAAAGTACATTCTCCTACAACGCTGGTTCAAAACCTCATTTCTGAGTCGATCACTTAACTTTCTCTTTTAATTTATATTAGTATACTGAGTACTCGAAAAGGTAACAGAAAAATTTCAATTCAAAATTTTGGTCAATTACAGATGAACATATACTTGAATAAAGAAATGCTAAAAAGTACGAAGGACATAAAAAATAGAGGTCAATACAATATGACATATAAAAGGGCCGTGCAAGGTAGTAAATGAAAAGAAAGAACCCTTCACAATGGAAAATACATGCCGCTGGTGGTCGTGCATGCATCTTGTAACGCAACAACGAAACCAAGCCAATGACATGAGGTCTAAGCGATCGCACGTCAGTGCCCATAAAAGACAAAGAAAGTAAAAGTTCAATCGGACTTGTACCGTTTCAAAGAAAGAACAAGAGCTATAAAAAATGAACGAAAAAAATGTCGCGTTGCTCGATTTTCAAATGATCAGCCCTCAAAGGGTTTGCGGGGGGATACCATGGCAACTACAGACAACAAGCTGTCAGATGATTGGCAAAGTTTTGATCAATAACTGGTGACTAACTACTAGCGAGCTTTAAGTTTCAAAGAGCTTTCTTTGTTATGTGATTCGACCACATCTTGAGAGAATTCTCAGTTAAAGTACAGACGAGAATATGTATGTTTGTTTTTAATTTACCCAATAAAAGTCTTTCGTAATAATTATTATAGTAAAAAATTATGTCATTGACATGTTTTATTATCCTGTCTGATGCTATACAGTAAAAAAGTCAACTAATCTGACAATCAACGTGCAGGCATGCCAATCAAGGTGTCATTCATCAAACATCGGTGATATTCGCACGAAGCAATATTTTACAATGATGCTGTTATATACTCATTGTTTTGATGTATCACGATATCGGGATAGGTGAAACAAATATCAAGGACGCGTTACGAGTAAATTTAAACTAGTTCACATCAGCCGCTATCGAATCTTCGATTGGTTCCAATACTCGGTACATACAAATATTTTTATTTATTACTCCGGAGAACGTGACATATTGGAGTTATAGTACTAAAATTAGAGATGCTCGTTTCGTAAAAAGAAAAATAGAATAAGTACGAAATCGGGGTTTATCGGATCGCACACAGAATCTAGAGTAGGCTGAAGACGACACGCGTACTGTATAACGGAGAAAATAAATAAACAAGCGCGGAGACAGCATATACGTATGAATTGGTGGCGTCGTCACGCGAAACCTGCACACAAAAGCTCGTCGTTCCAACTTGATAGATAGATTATACATATGGGTCAAAATAATACTTTTTTACAAAACCGTGCGCACGCATGTCACCGATTTTGACGCGATCTTGGTATGTTGTTGAACATGGTAAAAAGGTCTCAAAACCAAAATTTTAGACCCCCTCTTCCCTCGTACCCCCCCACTTCCAGTATAAACGTCTATTTTCTATTAATATTTATTCTAAAGTCCTGAAGTAATTAAAAAATCTGAAAAAGTTCATAAAAATACTTTTTTAACAATCCAAACAACCTTGAATTTTTTCAGATTTTTTGAGTGCTTCATAACGTCTTTAAAAAAAAGCATTCATCGCTATTTTTTTTTACAACGTCAAAAACTAAAGTGGGAAACATGAATTATACCATTTGAAGTTAAGATGATTGATGTACCACACATAACTTTTTTTAAAAAGCATGCACATAATAAAAATTCCGCACTTGATTCTACCACTTAAAAACTTCCTTATCTTTCCAACCTTTCCTCACATTTGGTGACAATTTACGATGGGACCTTTTGGGATAACGAGGTTTTTTAAAAAAATCGTTAAAATACTAAATATCTAGTTGGATTTTTTTTCAGGGTGTAAAAGACTCGGGTAACAACGCACTCCACTCGATAGTATTGGTTTCAAAAATACAGCTTCTATGAATTAGTAATGATTTGGATAAAAAAGCTCGATGGGCCATTTGGTAATCGAAATTTGAAAATTAAAAGTAGGACGAGTTGAATTTCAGAACTCGTAAAAAACGGCATAAATCGCTTGTTTTTTGTATGAATTCGTGTTCGTGTAAAATTAGAAATTGTTTTCAAAACCAGAAAAAGTTGACAATTTAACATAAACATTCCTAGAAATGGCAATTTTAAAGTTTTCATACGAATATTTTAGAGTTGACCCAAATATTAAAATCTCACTAGATTTATTAACACTTCGATTTGTGGTTGGAGATCAAGAATTTCGATTTATTGGTATTCTACGGACTTTTCCGGGGCCCGGGCTGTAAATTTGAAAAAAAAACAAATTTCATCTAATTCCAAGACGTTTCATTTCATTTCAATTTTAAACATTGAAAAATAACAACATAAGAATTATAACTTCAACGTGAAGTTGCGCTTAGTAGCTACCGAAAGCACCGCTTTCTAAAACTCAGTATAACAGGGTATTCAAAATTCTGCGAACCGTACTAACACAAAGACTAGAGTCAACAACGATTGCGTGAATGGAGTGTCTGAAACTTGAAGAGCTCATTCAGAAAATAGTATTTTTCTTAAAAAAATATTATTACTCAGCTGTGATATTAATAATATCAAATTAATTATGTCAAGGATTTCAGAGTACTTTTTACAATATACCGAATGGTGTACCGATATTTCAAATCGATTACTTGCAAGAAAATATGTCAGTTTGATCCCCATATAAAGTAAAATCTATAATCTATAATTTTGGGATGTATTAATACAATTCAATGTGATTTTTAAAATTTTGCTCCTTTAAATCACCTTGAGAACTTTTCTACAATCAAGATAATCTGATCGAAATGCCCAAGTGAGTAGTGTCTATAATTTTTTTTTATATCATACAATTTCTAACTAGTAAACTTTAATGTCCTTATCATTCAACTTTAATAATATGATTTTGAAAAATAATTTTGAATTTGTTGCCTTAAATTTAAGAAAAAAACATTGTTTAAATAGTTTTTTAGAGCCTCATAAAAACCCAATAAGTTTTTGAAATTGAATATTCAAATTTTAGCCTCGGTGGATTTTCATAAAGAGCCCCTACCAAAAAAAAAACCCAAAAATTCCCAAAAAAAGATCTTTATTTTTCAATTCTATAAGAGCAAATTGAAACATACCTAAATTAGATGTATTTCTTTAGTTGTATCACAGTTGACGTGATACATCCCATATACGTATTTATGTTGAACGAGAACGAAAGCGAACTTAGTTTTGAATTCGAATGAGGGAAAAGCCTCCCCCGCTCGGAGCATGAGCCGTAGGGAGTTTAGGTATAGTTTAAGCGGAAGGAGCAGAGGGGAGCGATGCTCTCTCGCTATATATAAGAAACAACAGAACTCGCTTTGGGGCGCTTTGTTCGCGCTTCGGCTTAATGCATAATTTTGCGAAAGGTAAAAGCTGCCTTCTCCCTCCACCCTCCGCAAGCTCACGCGCAGCTGTGTAGCCATATAGTGCATTCAAGAGAACTGAATGTAATAAAATATAAGACCATCGCGTAGTACAAGCCGTGTAGTAGTCAATCAGCTACGCCGGTGAGCGGGCGGATCCCGTTCACCCTGACTTCGAAGCTTACTCGAGCTTTATTTTTGTTCTCAAATTTTCTTGCTCGAACTTGGTATTCTTCACAGTGCGATTTTTAATTTTTTTATTCCTTTCTTGTGATAAATTTTTGATTTTGATGTGTCAATAACAGTCGAAGTTGAATGTTGATAACAAAATTAACGTATAGTTCACAAACTTAATTTTGAGAAGCTCATTAAAACACGTTCGCATTTATTAATAAAGTTGAGTATAACTGCATTTTTTTTTCTTTGAACCATCTTGAAAACGTAGAATACATTTATATGTGCCTGGTATGTATAGTGACTATAACGTGCGAACGTGGGCATAACTGCTCGCACTTGAATTGTAACTGTTCAACTATTTTGCTGTGCGCTTGAATTACAAACGATATAAATCTTATCTTCGTTCTACTTATCTTTCGAGAATTAAAATAAAAGAAATTGAACTTTTTATGAGTTTGAAAACAAATTATTTTAACATTACTGTAATGACAATTTGAAATGTAAATCCTTAGTAAATCTATTGAATTTTAGATGTTCGAGTTAAGAGCAAATTTTTGAAAAACTTAACGATTCCGTAACGCCGACACCGCCATGAACAATACAACTCGTCGCTTGTCCGGTCCAGTGCGTCAGCTGTCTTTGCAGCAACCTCCTCCGCCACGTAATCAGCAACCCATACGTCGTCAAAGGTCAACGGAGGATGAAAAATCATTGAAGCACTCGGCGTCGAGCAAATTTACGAACAAATGCGACTACTACACGAGGAGTCAAATGTCACTGCACGATCGTCCGAAAATTCGCATGGCCTGGAGCGACGAGGCTAACCGTGCGGTGGTCAAAACCAAAACTGAGGTAGACGTTGAAATCGTGGCAAGGCAGATTCCAACAGTGAAACCTGGCAGACCTGCCACCGGCAGAAACATGAGGAACATGATGAACAGGTACTCGTTGGGAGAGAAGGCCACGATTTTGTACTCCAGGCAAGAACTAGCCGAACGTTTGAGATTAGCTTGGAGACAGAGACAGGAAAATAAATCAAACATCGACATTTTTCTCGCCCATAATACTGTGGAGGAGAAGTGCGATTCGGCAATGTCTACTCTGAGCAATCCACCTTCAACAGTTGAATCACCGCCGACGCCGGCAAACATTTTTTTAGCTAATTCCAATCAAAAAGTCAAAGAAAATGCTAACGATGAAAAAGTACAAAATGTCGAAGCTTCCAGTGTTGCTACTGTAAATGATAAAACAATGGAGCAAGACTCGACTAACTTGACTTGTGATGGTTTCCAATTATGGTATCCACCATTTGAGACTAAATGCCCTAAAAATGATGTAAAAAATAATAAAGACGAGAGTACAACAAAAGACGGAGATAAAGTAATTGTTGAAAAAGCCGATGCTACGAGTAACAAAACTTTGATTACGATAAATTGTAACGTCTGGAGTAGTAATTGTAACACAGAATCGAGCGACGAGACGAAGGAAAAGGTAACTTCCAGCATGGAAAACGATTATTCGCGAGCTCGGCTGAGGCGTGCAAGTTTCAAAAGTGGCCTGAACAAAGCTTTTGTCGAGCCTGTAGTCGAGAAACCACCGACTCCACGTCTCTATGGTCGAGTCGGCATCAATACTCAAGAGCAACCAAAGAGCATACGTCGAACTAATTCGGCACCACCGCAGAAGAGAAGTCAGGAAAACGTAATGGAGGACACAGGATCGGAAGTCGGCTCAAGCCCGACGGAGATCAGAACTGCTGCACCCCGACGAATCATGAGCGCCGATGATCATCACAATCACCATAATCATCAGCAGACTCGGTCACTTCTAAAGACCAATTCCAATTCCAGCAGTCAGATTAATGTCAGGCCGATCAAATCGGCTCAGGCGATCAAGAAAAGAATCAAATTCAGTAAAAAACGCAATTCCTCGTTTAAAGACAAAAAAGATGACGGCGATGTAAGCAAAGGGAAAAATAAAAGTTTGAAAGTTGATAAAAACGTCGTACTCGAAACTAAATGTCCGGAAGTAGTGACAATGGTCTCGTTGGTCAGTTCGGCGGAAAGCGAGAGCGAGATCGACGAGAACTCGCCGAGAGACAATAAGCTCATAAGCGAGCTGAGGAATAAGCTTTCGACAACGCCTATTATCAAGTCTTCGAATGGCTTAAATGCTCGAATAAGGAAACCATTTAAATCAGGTAATACTTGCATAATATTTGCAATGACTATTTTACGTAAAAATCTCAAGTAGCCCTACGTAGCACTGTGTTTCATCGATTATGCTTCGGTATTTGTGTGCAGTGAATGTCAGATAGTTTCGTGTAAAAATTTCAAGGATTTCCGGGAAAAATTGACGTATCAGCTCATTCAACCAGCTGTGGTAGGGTATATACCGTTCGATTATGTTCTCTAAGGAAGCTTCATGAATTGGAAAGTCTCGAGGTCATAAAACAACATACGTAACGAGTGTGCTTGTATTGAATAAATTCATTCATGAGCCAAGTTTCATTGAAGTAGCTAGCGCATATATATGCACAAGTGTAAAGGATTTACTTACACAGAATTTTCATAAGCGAGCATCGCAATGTCAAGTGTACGCGAGCTTACTTTATGTGTGTGTATGTGCGTAATATGCTCCAAAGTTTTGGTAGATGCACAATCAAGACAACTAATAATTATACCAGAAAACGGTCAACATGCAAACCTGCACGCGAAGTCGAACATTTTTTCAACAATAATAATATGTAGCAAGTTTTTGTCAGCCAACTTTTTATTGTTTCATCATTTAATTCGTGAAATTATGCTGTTAAGATTCCTCAGGAATCGATTCTTTTACTCGAGACTAATGATGAAAAAAAAACGACAACAAATTAGGGACGGAACAGTAGTAACTCGTACGCAATAATTTTTCAATGTCAACCCGTGAACGCGGCGTGTTAGCATATGCTTAATGGCCATTGATTTCACGTTTAATCTACCGAATTTGTGCGATCAGACGAGCGCGTTCGCTTCTCATTAAGAAATCTGAAAGTTGTTGAACTCACTTTTTGCATGTAGCATTATGCAACTCGTTTACTTCGCATATACAAGCTTGCGGAACACGTTATACGATATATACACTTTTTCGTGGCTCATCGCCAAAATTGTTTTGAAAGTCATTACAAACCGGAGGAACTTCAATTACTCGGCGATTCTCAAGCCAAATGTTGCATTGCGGATCATTGTTGATTTTATGAAAGCGGAAAATTTTTTCTTCGTGCCGCGAGCACGTCGGGACGGAGGCGATATTGGATATGTATGCAAGATCGACGGGGGAAGACGGGCGCCCTCGAGTGTGCGTTAACAAGGCTATTGACCCTCTGCGTACGAAAAACCATCCAATGCCTTTTCTAATGTTTGCTATACGTCCGTCATTATTCGCAATAACTATAAAGTATCAATGAGCATTAAAAAAACGCGTTGCGATTCAATTAACTGAGGCGCGACTTGGCACCTAGTCTCGTTTCAGCAGGATTCTCTGGATTGCGACTCGCCGCCACGATTGGACAACGCGAGATTAACGAGCTACGAGACTCATATGGTGCGGCCGGTCACGACCTCCTGCGCTTACAGCCAGATAATGCGCTACTCTGGCCTGGAATCGAGCCTCGGGACTTGGCACGCGACGTCGAGCGGCGGCGGTGCCTCGTCCGAGTGCGGCACCGGTCACGAGAGCAGCAGTGCCAACCTGGCGCCGACGGCCCCGCTCACGGACCGCGAGAAGCGATGCTTGGCGGTGCCCATCGGTGACGTTTTCTACGACAAGAAGCCGAAACTCGTCAGGTGCCGCAGCGCTGTTGCTCCGCCCAGGCTAATGTGAGTTCGACGGCTTTTTTTTTCTCTTCGTTACCATTTCAACCTGCACAATACGAATCCAGTTGTAATACAAGTCGAATGTCGTAAGGATGTCGTGCCAAATTTGTTCATGTGTACACCTATAAATAGCTATAAGTAGGCCACAAGATAAAACACGTGTAAAACTAAACGTGACGAGGATCGTGCCATCAGTCTTGGCAAAAAAAAAATCGAAATCCATTTGTGCGATGTAAGCAAGCAGTTCCAAAGTTTTGCCGCTGTCGTTCAATTTCATTCGTTGCTCGACCGATAACGTACATAATACTGCAATTAAATGACGTTACTCTAATCTGAGAGGACTTTGAGAATTACATACTTTAATAGTGCATTCAAAAAAAGTATGTAGAATAAAAAATTCTTTATTCTCGCATCATAGTTGCATCCTACTGAATATCTAACATCTAATCGCGTAGCTGCCGTAAACACGTTATGCTCGATAAATTGTGTACTCGATGAAAAATGTTTGTTCTCATTTCAAAGCGAAGCCAAAAATATGTACAAAGATAATGCACGTGAAAAGGTTTGTCGAATATAAAATCGCGTGATTATGGAAGGTAAAAATTCTTAATACATCTCGGAAGAATGTGCATATAAGCGCATACCCATATTTTCAGCGAGAAATTTAATATGCAAGAGAAAAACGGGGTTGAACGTTGCTATTCATGCGAGACCTTTGCCATCGCGAGCCTCGCTATAGACAAATTGCAAGGCTCTCAGAGTAACAAAAATCGCTTGTAAACGCAGCGTCGTTTGCCCCGTGGACGTAGAAAAAATGTAGTCCATGAAACATGCAAACGATTTATTTCGAGGGTAAAATATGCAATTGACATATTATTGATGATTATTTATTTCTTCAAGATGTAAAGACGAGTTTTTTTGTAAATAAATGTAATTACCCATAAAAAGGGAACAGCATAGTAGTACTGCTGATTGGTTATCGATTCTGCTTCGAGCTGTGCCTTTGCACTATGGATGCGCTTTTTGTGCTTGCTTCGTGAGAAAAAGCAATAACAACAACGGCGAGTTTTCTTTAAGAACGTGTGAAATTAACATTGACTGGATAATCGCACTAGGTTGCTTTATTAGAGACGAGATAAAGAGGATGACTTTGGAGAAAAACAATTTTTTTTCAAACGGGACTATAAATTCTGTCATCCAGAGCCTGTTGATTTTATATTTGAGTATGTTATCATACTATAACCATATGTACTAAGCAAACTCGAGGTTTTAAAATTATTTATCGTTTTTTCAATGTATTCAATTTACTGCACGTACGATTGCGAGACTATAAAGATTAAGAAGACCTATTTTTCAACGTCAAAAAACATTTTACTCGCAGGTTCGTTTCAAAGGTATAATTAAACTTCGACTTTTGAATAGTTAGACTTCGGTTGGAAGTAGAACTTCGGGTGAGAAGATGAGCTAATCAACTTCACGAAGTACGCATGCATTAAACGCGCGCGCTCTCGTCACTCGCTCGGCCCAGGTTCAATGATCTACAATTTTCTAGGTGAAAAGTTCGTCGACTCTATAGGAAATGCAGCATGCGCTATGTGTAATTTTTCTCTTAAAAACAGTAGTAGTAAAATAATTATCGAACTGAAAAAATGTGTCTGCAAATTGGTACTAGAGTTAATAAGTTTTGGTAATTGGCTTGCAAAACGATCGTGTCGCGTGTTACCGAGCTTTCATCACCTTCTCTAGCCATAAATAAGCAGATGCAGAAAGATTGTTCAATAGCATATAGAGTAGACCCTGGAATATACTCGCGTGTTATTGTTGCAGCGACTCCGATAAACGAACAGATGCACGCCAAGCCTTGTACTCGCAGCAAGAGACGCGGAGCGCGATGCCGTTGACGATCCAACATTCGGCTGGTTCGATTCAACAAACCAACTCGAGTGTCCGGGACGAGTCAAACGATAAGGTGAGTCTTTATTTTACTTTACTGAAAAATTAATGTTATTTATCCATTGTTTTAGGTAATTGCCATGCATTTTTTAAAATGCATGACAATTATGTGTTTAATGAAACGCGCGAATTTTTAATTTAAAACTTTAATAGTACTACTCATGGATTTAATTTGTTAATCTTTTACAAAAATAGTCAACATTTATTTTTATATTTTTGGTAAGATTTCTGAAATTATACACTCACTGCCTGCATTAATTGTAGACATTTTTATTGAAATTAATTTTCTACGGCTTACGTTACACATAACACGATCAAAATATTTTCAGACGCCAGGCCAGGTATCAAGTTTGGATATCAATTTAGAGAAAGAAAAATCAATCGTAAGTGAACCATACTGTCAAACACCCAAAGAAAAGGAGTGTTGGCATCTGTACAGAAAAATGTGCGATAAAGGAGTATTCGTCTCATTCGATACAGTTTTGAGGTGAGGAATTTCAATAACAAGTAGAAACTTTTCTCTTTTGATTTTTTAATTGAAAATAAATCAATCATTTCACAGGGGCATGCTGACACCGACCGAGTATCGTTTGCGACAAAAGGAAGTCAATCGAAATTCCTGACAGCCATAAACTTTGTGTATCTTTTGCATCCGAGAATCCGTACTTATTAAACATTATATTCAAGTCTGCGTTAATGTTGCGACGTTGCACTATCATAGGATAATATCGATTTATCATAATATAGATGGACGCCATAATTTTTACGTTATTGCATTTAGTTTTACGACAGAATTTAAGAATAAATCTATAGCGTCTAAAAACATAAAATAAAGATTTATATAATAAAAAATGTGTGTTTCTGTGAGAGGTAAAAATACATATTCATTCGAGCTTCTGATCTTGAGGAACTAAATTAAAAATCTATTTTAACGTAGTCTACAAAATAAGTATTATCGAGAAATGTAGAAAAAACGTAAGGTCTGAATCACTTTGGTTTCAAGTTGAGATTCGCTTATTTTTATATAAAACACTACTGAAAATGAAGTTACAATATGATATATTAAAATAACTATGCCAGAAAAATCCTCATTTTGCTAACTCGTAGAAATTATATATATCGTTAAGAAATTTTGCTAAAAATACCGTGAGATAGCAAAAGCGGTAATCTTTGCAATGGGTATGAACACTTTACTAAAAAAAACTGGTGAATACTTCTTAATAAAATTATTGAATTGTCCCGTTTCTGACTTCCCTACTAAGCTATCAATGCTTTGGTACTTACAGCTCGGTTATATCTTTCATTCTTCATTACTTAGGATTTTTGCAGGTGGTCGAAAACTGGAAGAACTATCATATCGAATAGCTTGGGAAGACCAAGTCAGAATTGTAAATAAGATTAAAAAAGTGATTTTATTATTTAGAGTACACCTAAACGTCTTCTCTGGAAATATAATTTTTATAGAAATGAAAAAAATGCTGTTGCGTCAAAATAGTATAAACATTTCTCTTTATTTATATAACAGCTCATGGTGGCCCAAAACTTGAGGGAAAGGGGAGGGGGGGATAACTTGGAGAATTTACCCTGTAACGATGTTCAAAAGACAAATTTCCGCTTAATTGAAGAAAAACAGCAGCCTAATGAGTCGACGCAGAAGACTCTGGCATTCTCGGCAACGGGCAACGGTACACATACACGCGCAAACTGTAACGCCTGTGTACACTTGCACATGTATGTGCGCATACATCTTCTGTTTCATTTTATACCGCAGTAGTGTCTAACGCCGTCTGCTACATAGCTGACGTTAAAATACCTAATAAGCACGTATACATATAGCAGTAGACAGTTCAACGCATCGACGGCATTGACGCGCGCACGACAGTAGCTCGTAGTACAATAATAATTTACTCAGCGCGAATTGAATGTTCACGACCGAATACGAACAAATTACGCCAAGCCTATGACGCTGAACGTGTGCCAAGGGACTCGCGCATCGTGTATGTGTGTCGTGCACTCGATTAAACAATGATGAGCAAACTGCCACAACAACAACAAATATGTCATTTGTGCGTAAACACGTCGGCAAAAGCTCCGGCAAAATCGACTACAAAGCTCGCCTCGAGCACAAACTCCACCTGGTACGTTCACAAAAAATGCCTTTTGCCTCTATAACTTTTTTTGGTAAATGATGGGTATTGCGTGACAAATTCATAACAATTTACTTTCTATTTTTCAAGCATTCTGTGTGAGTCATTATTATCGATCGTTACATAAAGATAATTTTTGGAAATTTTTTATCACCGCGTTATCTTCGTTACATCATAAAAAAAATAGAATAAGCTTTATCTGAAGAAAATTTTTGCGTCTTATAAAATATACAGTACAACAATTTCATTTTCAATTTTTAAGCACCACATATAATCACTCATTGTTTCTTTTTATACAGGCCAAGATGAGCCCATTGCCTATCTATGATATATCAGAATGTAACTTAGAAAATGTGCCATCGAGTACATATGTATTATGCCAGGTTTTCAGAAAAGAAGTGTTGCTCATGCATAGCAATAAATTGAAATCACTCTCAGGTGGAGGTGCCTTAAAGAACTTATCTCTCATTACAACCCTAGATTTGCATTCCAATGAATTGACTACTTTGCCTTTTGATATTGTTCATTTGGTATCATTGAAGGTTTGCTCGTTGTTTCTCAACTTATCTCAACTTTTTTTTTTAAATATTGAAAAAATTAAAAAAAGAACGTTTATTTTAAAGGAACTATATTTACAAGATAATAGTTTGACTAAACTGCCAAATGATATTGCTCTTCTGAAGAATCTTTCCATATTAAATTTATCGAACAATAAGCTGAAATATCTACCTGAAACTATAGGAGAACTTTCAAGCCTTACATTTTTAGACTTAAGTCACAATAAAGGCCTGCACGAGCTACCCAAATCATTGGGTCGTGCTCAACTCATCACAGATTTAAATATCGATGGATTAAAACTTTCCTATCCTTCAGAAAGCGTACTAAGTGGAGGAACTATTGTGATTATAGCTTTTTTAGCAAATGAATGTGGTATTGACTATGCTCCTGAAGATTTTTTAAATAAGACTGAAGTACCTGATATTATTAACCAACACATTTTACACAACGAAGAGGACAATGATCTTCAGGTTTTTGAAATAAATTATCCACATTTTTTCATAGTATTTCACATTTTATGTTACATATTTTTGTTAAATTCTGTAGTCATTTATACAATCTTTTCTTTATAAATTTTCAAATTTGTGATTAAATTAGATGTTTCAAAAAATATTTCAAAATATTTTATAGATAATCATTACACAATGTTTCATTGTTGCTCACAATGTTTAATTCATTCATATTGATTTTTTTTCTAGGCCACATTAAAGAAGTTAGAGAAACTGAAGGCACGTTGAAGCTCATTTATTTTTATCACTTTTTATTTATTGTTACTCACCATCATATATAATATATATTCATGAGAAAATTATTCATTAGTCAATAGCTAGTGAAAAGTCATCCAATAAAATAAATTTAGCTACATATTTTTAAAACTTAAAGCTATGATGTAACTATAACATGTATTTTCATAATTTATAATTATTATTTTATTAGGAGCAAAGACAAAATGCTTTAATTGAAGTTGAAGAAAATATTAAGTATCAAAAACAGCAAGAACTTGAATTGCAAAGTAAATTAAAAGTTAATAAGCAAAAACTTCTAGTTGATTTGGCTAATCAACAATTTCACTTGGACAAAGAACTTGAAAAAGTTCAGCATGAAAGAGATTCTAATAGATTGAAATTATTATCTTTTATAAATGATGGTATTGATACATATTTTAGTCTAAATAATGAGATAATATAAGAAGCATTTATTGTCAATTGAATTTTTAATTGTAGCTGAACTGGAAGCTGATAATGTGATAAAAGAATTTCTTCATACTACTGAAGAACAACGCCAAATTCAGGCTCAACTATTTGAAATAGAAAAAAGAGAAGAGATGGAATTTCTATCTAGAAGTCACTCGAAACAATCATTACATCGAACTAAAGACACATTAAGTAAGTAACAAATTCTTTTAAAGATTGGGGTACAAAATAATAAACCCCCACCTAGTATCCTTCAAATAAAATTAAGAAATTGTGAAAAATTTATTAACATAATTTTGTATTACAGTCGCTATGAAAGATCTATTAGAAGAAGAACTAATTAAAGAAAAGAAATTAGCAGCATATACAGCTTTTAGAGATAGTACTGCTCAATCTTTATTGAGTTTGTAAGTATTTTCATTTGAATTATATTCTACAGTATACTGCAGATGTATTAAGGGTTTTAAATATCTGATGAATAATTTTAATATTTATATTTCTTTTCGTTTTTTGAAGTACAAAATTTTTTACCAATTTTTAGAGAAGTTGAAAGCAATGACCAATTGTTGCTAATCATGCAAGATCAAGAAAGAAATCGACAAGATTTAGTAATTCGATTAAAAGAAGATGAAAAATTACAAAAAGCAGTAGTAGCTGCTTTACTTGAGCGCAGTGATGCTAGATCATGGAGCATTATGCAACAAGTACATTTAGTACAGTCACAGTTAGCTGCTCTGACAAGTATAGAGTTGGAAAGAAAAAAATTGGAAGTTAATCAGCATATTGTAAGTCTTACTTTTAAATATTTCAAATTTAACATAATTGCTCATTTGAAAAAATTTTATTTTAGAATGATATCGCTGACAGAAGAGTAACATTGAGTGAGATTTTATTAAGCCTCTTAGACCAACAAGAGGAAAGACGACAACAACTTTTGGATACTATAAAGCACATTGAAGAACAGAGAAACAATTCATCTAGAACTGATAGCTCATTTTGGTTGTTACAATATCAGACATTAATAGAAACTCGGCCTCAAGGGCTTTTGGAAACATTAGATTCATCTTTAGTCCGTCATGTGGCTATGGCAGGAGTATTGCATTGTTTACCTTTGTTATGGACGCTACCATCGGTACTTTTAGATTTAAATGAAGATCATTTGAAATCTGTGAGTATTTTCTACTAGAAATAATTAAACCTTGTTTTAATTTCATTTTTTTGTTTACACTTTAGATGGGTATCAAAAGTGAATTTGACAGATCAGCAATTATAAAGGCAGTAGAAAATTATTTAAATGAAAAAAAATTAAACTCTCGAGATAGCTGTATTCCATCAGCTCCACTAGAAATGGAACCTTCAACCAGTTCTACGAACCAAGAAAATGTGATAGAAGCTACTGCACCAACTGAATGCATAGTTTGCATGGATTATGAAGTAAGTTTTCAATACCCTATGGAAAATTTAATTAAAAAATAAAATACTAAATTTTTATTTATTTTAATTTCAGTGCGAAGTCATATATTTACCATGTGGTCATTTTTGTTGTTGTGCTAAATGTACAGAAATGATTTCATCAGAGTGTCCTATGTGCAGGGCAAAAATTGTGCGCAGATTGAGAATAACAAGGCAATAATTTTGCTTCAAATCATGAACTATTCCAAAATTATTATTAATATTTTGAAAGTTTAAATTATAAATGAGATTATTATACAGCAATATTTAACATTTTTAAACATGTGACAAATTTGAGAAATTTTATCATAGTTATTCTTAGCGCATGAGTGTTTTTAATAATTTTTTATATTATCTGCAATATTTTTGCTGTGAAATAAAATACCATCATAATAGGTATTTTGCTCAAAATAAATTATGATTGTTCCCTTAAAAAATAAGACTAAAATTTATTGAAACAGTATAAAAAATACATAAATTCATTTAGTATTATAATACTTAAGTGTAGATTTAATTATTAAATTAGAACTATTCATCTTCAATCATTTCTCCAGAGTCCTCACCCTCTTTAGTTTGTTCTTTTTTCTTTGCAGCTGCATCTTTCTTAGTTTTTTGATTTTTCTTAAAGTTTTCAAGAGCTTCATTGAGTGGCTCCACAAATTGTTCAAATTCAATGTCTTCCATTGCTTGAATGACATCTGTTCCACTAACTGTCTTCCTATTGCTTTTCTTTGCAATAACATTTGCTGAAGATGTAAGATACAGTATGAAGATAGAAGCTGCCTTAGCAACAGCAGCTCTAGCTTCTTTGGCCACTGTGACACCATCGGGCAAAGCTTCTTTTACTATCCTTGTAACAACAGCATTTGGCAAATTTAAGTCTTCTAGTTTTTCAGCCATCTAAATAAAAATGTATCATTCAGTTACATACCAATAATCGTTTAAAGTATAATAGTGAAAAACAATAAATTATTTCATATAGGTTATCTGTGCATATACAAACGATTGCAACTAATAATATGAACCTAAATACTTACCTCGATGTGTTTTTAAATAATTTTGATGTAAAAAATCACAAGTATTAGTTATGTATTAATAATAAACACTACAGTTGATTATATTATATATTTGGATACAATTAAATATTTGTTTTCGATCCGACTAGACACTTAATTTACAACTATTCCCGCGCCAGCGCTCTGATTATGATTATGCACCACGCTCACAAGCCACAGCGCACTGACGAGCGCCCCTGAATCCCACGACAGGCATGAAATTCAAACGTGGATTTGGCGTGAGATCGGAGTTCGAAGTTGGGTTGTACGCGAATTGAAATAATTCTTCTTTAGTTTTTACAAACTAATGAAATCATTAATTATGATAGATTAGAAGGGGATAGAAAAAATTGAAAATCCAAAATTTTTATCGCTCAGAAATTTTATGAAATAATAACAGTTCACAGAAATCGTCATTGAAAATCAACTCGTGCAAGGTTTGACATGCGCATTGCTTCAAGTTCAATAATCAGGGCTACCATATTAACAATGAAAACTCCGATAATCCTGCAGCAGCAAGATATTATTGGAAAAGGACGAGCTCTATGGTCCAATGTCAAGTCGATGTCTGTACTTCATCAGAAATATCAGAAATAAAGGCAATGTTTGATTCTAGAGTTTAAAAACACAACCCAGAGAAAAAATTTCTGTAAAAAGTGCGATTAAAGAAACGAGGAAAAAGTGAATATTTTTGAAGTATAGTAATCTTCTCCCTCTCAACTCAAAGCGCGTTGCAATTTCAGCTAGTGTCTGAGTGTCTGTGTGTTTTGCCACTTGCCAGTAGTCAATTGCGTCGTCTGCAACTAACTAGTCTATATACACAACAAAGCAGTTTTACACACGTATGTGACACATAAAGTGTGTACGGATATTGACGAGTGGCTGAATGCTTATATGATAATAAAAAAAGTGATTTATTAATTCTTACGGAAGATCCTTTAATTGGGTCAACTTAGACCTCAACCAAAATTCGCAGAGCTATGTCGAAAATCGAAGAGGGGAACGCCCACATCAGAAACGCTGAAAAGTGGTAAGTGACCTAGAAATTAATTTGTTTTCAATCGTGACTTCAAATCGATAAAATCTTTTGCAATTGATTATTAACAGTTTGAAGACTTCTTTAATCAAATGGAGACCAGATTTTGATTCTGCAGCAGACGAATATTCTGCAGCAGGTGAGTAATCTACTTTAAATAAGACACATTATGCATGTTTTTATGACTCATGTATTGATGTAGACTCATCCATTTTTCACATAATAAATTTTTAAATTGCAGCTACCTGCTTCAGGGTTGTAAAAAATCATGAGCAGTGTAAAGAATGTCTTATGCTTGCTGCAAAGTGTTATAAAGAAAATAGATCTTGGTTTCAAGCAGCAAAGTAAGCAGAAAATTATATCAATTTTGATTTTTACTAATGATGTAATGATTATTCCTTTGATAATGATTTTAGATGTTATGAACAAGTGGTTCTGTGCCTCAGAGAACTTAATCAATTATCAGGTATACCTAAACTAGCTCACAATGCTTGTTCACTTTACCAACAACATGGCTCACCTGAATCTGGAGCCACTGTTTTGGACAAATCTGGTAAAATAATAGAACAAACTTTACCAGATCAAGCTCTAGAGTTATATAGTAGAGCTGCAGAGATCGTTTTGGTATGAATATTTTTCAAAATCTGATGTTATTAACAAAAATTTCATCTATTATACTTGAACATTTTTAATTATGATAAATAGGGAGAAGATAGTCCAAGACAAGCAGCTGAATACATGAGTAAAGTAGCGAGACTATTAGTTAAACTAGGTAAATATGATCAAGCAGCTGATGCAGTTCGCAGAGAAATTGGAATGCACCAACAAATTGATCACACACCATCTGTAGGTAGACTAGCAGTAGTGCTGGTTTTAGTTCAATTGGCTCGTGGTGATCAGATTGCTGCTGAAAAAGCATTTAAAGAGTTTGGAGGATACTGTGAAGCTCCAGAGGTAACTTTAATATAATTAAAATATTTTTCAAAAAATAGCTTGTTTTGAACAGAAGAAGTTATTCATTTTTATGTGAAACATCAAGAAAATTTTAATATTAAGATGTTGATTTTAATTTTTCAGGTGCAAACATTAGAAATGTTATTACAAGCTTATGATAGTGAAGATGCTGATGCTGCAAGATCAGCTCTGAATAGTCCTTTTATTAAACACATGGATATAGAGTATGCAAAGCTAGCACGAACTCTTGCATTGCCACAACAGGAGTATGCAGTTCCACCAGCTGGTGTAAGAGCAAATGCTGCCCCATCATATATTTCACCTAATGTAAATAATACAGCTGGCCCAGCAACAGTTGAAGCTGAAGTTAATCAAGTAAGAAATTGAAATTTTGGAAAAATAAGTTTATATCATGAATTGATGATTGTGATTTCATGCTTATTTTGAATATATTCTAGGGAACATTTTCATCATCAAATATGAATTCAACTGATGTAGCTTCTGCAGCAGAATCAAACTTTGATTCAAACCCTGAACCTAGTCAATCAGCTCCTCCAGAGGGAAATGAAGATGAAGAAGATTATGAGGGTGGCTTATGTTGATCTTGTAACAATTTTCAATATTACATTGTAATCATAGTCCCTATAGGTGAGTCCAGACAAACCTGCTATCTATTGTCTATAGTTGATGTGCTACGTTAATTGACAAGAAATTAAAAAGTTCATTCACAACTTATTTTTAAAAGTTAGTTTTACCTTGCACATTCAACATGAATATTATCAATAAAATTCCATAAGTAAATAAAGTTAATTCTTAGACTTTTTTAAGTATTACGCTTCAACCTGAATCTTATGAAGACATTTGATTCTGTAAAATCTGTGTATAATAGATTACGAAGAAACACTATGTGAAATATGCTTGTTGAGACAAAATAACTGCTGGAGATTGCAGCTTATTGAGAATGTTATGATATTGTAAAAAATAAGCTATAAATAAAATGCATTTATTCTTAAAGATAATGTAATAAAAAGCTCAATTAATGTTTTAATTACCAGCCCTATATTAAATGTAAATGTGCAATCATTAAAAAAATGTGCATCATTGCATAAGAATGAATGAGAACATGTATGACACGTTAATGCTGCGAAATATTCAAATCAAATCCTTAAAAAGTTGAAAAGTGAAAGTCCGTTGGAGGTTATTTTAAATGTACCTGAACGCAGTTAACGGCTACTTACCTAGTAACAGAAAAGAAAAATTCTTCAAAATGAGTTATCAGTTCAACGAATTTTACACTTCACAATTTTTGAGTTATCACCGTCAATAACAAATAAACTTTTTTCACTCGCACGCACAATTAATTGAGTTATCCGAAAACACGTTTGAACTGTATTTTTTTAAAGATATTTACGTTCCCCCCGAAATGTTCGCCATCTTTCGTAAGCAGCTGACCGCAAACACAAAGATATTTTCAAATCAGATCCCTAAAAAATTCCTAAAGAGTCAATTTCAATTGAATATTTAAAAAATTTATAATAGATTATGAAAATTGCGCCAAATATTATTTGGCCGTAAACAGATTAATGTTTTTAATTGAACATGATTTTGAAAAATGTAATTATTGGAGGTATTGTTATAAAAAAATTGTAAGATTTTAATTTCTTCGGTAATATTTTTTCAATGAAAAGTTAAACGTGTCATTGATATTTTTGTAAACGAAAACTTCTGTCTGCAAACTTCAAATGAGCAACATTCATGGGAGCGCTTCATCTGCGATCGAGATAATTAATATAACTTGCGAATGTAATGATCATGAAGTATAATGGGTGCAGCTAGTTCAATAGGCTTTGCTGCAAATTGCGGTAAGCGGTATTTGCCAGTCTCGACTACGCATACATGCATTATATTTACGCCTATATTTTAACCCGCAGATAATTACAATGACGATCTAGGCGAATCATCTTTTCGCTCCGAAATTGATAAGACAGATCGTTCGAATTAGATGAACTGTCATCTACTTATCTATGAGGATACCTTTAAAAGTTGATTTTGTATTATATATTAGAATCCATAGATATAGAGATATGTTAACATTTGTCTACTTATATGTGCATTCTATCGTTATCATCACGCGCCGTCTTGGTGCAGGACAGGTATAGGTTGCTGCACAGTTTCGAAAAGAAAGAGGATTTGAGAATCAGTATATCGGGCTCGAAGTGTCCAAGATAACACGGCTTATATACATCTGACATGCTGCACCTATATACTGTTTGTGGCAAATAGATGTACATATATATACATACATATATATATGTATATATAGATATTCATAACAAGGTATGTGTTGCGCTGCGACATTATGAATAGCAGTTTATTAAGCTGACGAGGCGAACTTCGAGCTGCATCACAGCCTGCGCTCTCACAACCAGCACGCATCATTCATATACGCGTCGCGACGGACTCCCCATAAATGTAACTTTTTTTCCAACTGTATCGATTTTTTTCTGCTTCCGTTGAGGATTCGATGCACCATACGTAGTGCTTCAAAAGTGTTATTATATCATTTTTCTGCGTCGATTTTACTCAAATTTCGCTTGCAAGCTTCGAGTGAATCATCGTTATCTTTTACTCATATCCACCGTACACGATACATATATCATCGTAGACGTGCGTTTTTGTACTGAAAAAAGTGAGTTTCCAATTGTCACGATGGAAGGTGGATTTTCTTCTTATCACAACGGTGGTCCTACGAGAGAGCAAGACTTTAGTAGATTAGCCCAAAGTGTAACTACATCAATTTTGAAAATATCACAAAATGGTAACTTTGAATTACTGTTGTTGAAAAAAACTTTGGTGACAAATATTTATAATTTTCATTATTATTGTAGTTTCTTCAATGCAAAAAATGGTTAACCAACTTGGTAGCTCTAGCGATTCTCAAGAGCTACGCAATCATTTGTAAGTAACCTAACCCAATGAAAAATATTTTATTCAAATACCATTTCTTCAATTTTATCTATATTTTTTTTATTATTAACAGACATCAGATTCAACACTATACTCAACAACTTGCTAAAGATACCACTAGCCATCTGAAAGAATTGAGTTTATTAGCAAATTCCGGATCCATCAGCCCTGGAGAGCAGCGACAAAATAAAATGCAAAAGGAAAGACTTCAAGATGAATTTATGGCAGCACTTAATAATTTCCAAGTAACTGATAATAATTTTTTTTCCATTTATATGTACCTTTTTTGTCCACTTTTCAATACTGTAAATTTATTTTATTACTTTCAGACAGTCCAAAGGTTAGCTGCATCTAAGGAAAAGGATATGGTAAAAAAGGCGAAGGCCAATGTGGGAATAGGAGTTTTTGGTGAAAAGAAAGTGGAAACACTCATTGAATTGCAAGATAATAGAAGTCAAAAACAGCTACAACAACAGCAACAACAAGAAGAACAAAACATAAGAGTCTTAGAAGAGCAAGAAGCAAATATTCGTAAACTTGAAGTGAGTAAATTTATATTGCATAAAAAATGATGGGCAAAAAAAATTAATTTAAATAATTTGATTTTAAATTTTAATTTTTAGAGTGATATATACACTGTGAATGAAATATTCAAAGAGCTTGGAGCCCTTGTACATGAACAAGCTGAAACTATTGATTCCATTGAAGCATCAGTAGAAAGAACTGAAGTATTTGTTAATGAAGGATCTACTCAACTCAGACAAGCATCAACTTACAAAAATAAATTACGAAAAAAGAAGTTTATATTAGTACTTATTGGTGCCATCATTCTTTCTATTTTAATTGGTATCATTGCATGGAAAGGCTCTTCTTCATCCTAGAGTTAATTCCACAAAGTTTATACGAAATCGAAGGTAATTGCTAATTATTCATATGAATCATTGTAATTATTACAGTTGAATACAACAAACTGATTCTAAAGAGAATGCAGATTGTATGTTAACATAATGGAAACTATGTTGTTGAAAATTTGTGATCACATGTATGAAATTATCAATTTATATTCTATTTATTGGCTAAAATTAAAAATTTTTATGGTCTTTGATAAAAATTTTCCATAACTGAAGCTTGAATTTTGAAACAATTTAAGTATTTTTCAAATTACTTTATTTGAATCAAATTAAAATTCCACCTTTTTTGTTGAAATGATAGAAAATCTTCAATTTTTAGCTAAATAAAAATGTTTTACAAAAAATTATAACTTATTTGACACAAAATATTTTTGCACCAGTTTTCTTAATACAGGATCAAAGTATTTTAAATTATAATTTATTTATAAGTCTAATTATGTATCAGTTAAAAGTCATTGTATAGGTATTTAAAATAACACTTAATTCCATCTGCAAATTAACATGCAGGCTATATCAAATACTTTCATAATGGAAATGATCATTCCATACTGTTATTTTTAAATAAAAAGTAATTTATATGCATCATATACTTACATATTGTTTGTTCTTGTTATCACATTTGGTTATTGCTTTTATGAACTATTTAACTTTTACTTTAATAGATATGTATCAATTAATAAACTCCAGTGATTTATAGTTGTCCGTTGTTACAATATTACAGATAAAAATTTTATTTCTAGACTCAATTTTATTTATGTATGAAAAATGTATTATCAAATGCTTTCGCAAAAATTGTATCTATAAATTTAAAGTAATGTAAAATTTACATGAAATAAAAAATGAAATTATTTCATAAAATTTCTTGTATTAGCGTTACCTTTTTTTCAACTCCATTCTAAAAAGTAATATGAACTATCATCTGTCAAAACTCACAATTTTAGGAGTGGGTTCGAATTACTTCGGAATTTCGGATTCATTTACGAACCAATGGTAAATTGCTCATAGGCGCCATCTGCAGGTTATTTGATGACTCGCATCGTCTGTTCTGACAATCACACTTGATACTCAGTAATATAGTAGCTTGTCCTGCTGCGATGTTGTTTTTGTTGTTACGTACTTGTAAAGACTGAGTTAATGGGTGTTTGCTTTTGACGTTTATTAATTACCTCATTGTAACGACGGTTAATTTTTCTGTGGAAAATGATAGTTTAGACATTTCAATGACTTACCTCAGTGTGTGACCGAAAAATCCATTTCATGTGGACATAAAAATTACGCGAACTGCAAGTGCAATTAATAATTATTACAACATGTGGAAACTCATCTGTACAGTTTTACTAATGCTTTACTTTACTCAGTGTCAGGTTAGCAAAAATAATAATTTAATTTTCCAATATAACGTAATTACTTATCTGTGATAGTTTGACTTGCTTGTTTATAACTTTTAGGCTGATTCATATGATGACAAAAGATGCAAGTGTATTTGCCCGAACATTGATTCCGTATTGAATAACACGTCTAGTGATAAAAGAGTATTGAATTTCGTTACGAACGTTTCAGCGGATAAATGGTGGGTTTTCGAGTCTTGTTTTTTAAAAAAATATTAATTAAATATATCACTCCAATTTGTTTACTATGATATGTTATCCCTAGTGATTGCGATGGAGTGGTTTTACCTAAAATAGGAGATAAACTGCAGGGTAAAGAGCAAATATATTGCCCTAGATGTGATTGTAAATATGAAAATAGAAATACAACTATTATTAAGGTAGTCATGAAGATTTTATTTAAAAAATGCTTTTCTGATAACTCTCTATTGACCCCTTTTTTTGTTCAATTTCAGATTGTAGTTATAATTGTTATATGGGTTATATCATTATTAGTCATTTATATGCTGTTTTTAATATGTTTGGAACCATTTCTTAATAAGCGATTACACAAAGCAACAGGCGGAGTTGGAGGATATCAAGAACATAATAATGAAGAGGTAATAACCGAGGGCAATGATATTGCTATGCATACAGTTAACACTCTCCCAAATCCTAGTTTTTCCATTGAATAAATTGTCCCTTGAAAGAGGAATTCAAAAGTTAATGCAAGAAATTCAAATCAGAACCTGAACATTTTCTATAAATACAATTTTTTTTTTTGTAACTACTTTTTCAATAAATTACATTTTTTTTTGTTTGTGACTATTTATGCAACTTGATAATTTGGACCTTGTCCCTCTAATTTTTTTTTAAATTGTTAAAAATCTTAATCTATTTATGTTCCATAGGATGATACTTCTGTTGCACCTGGAATGTCGCATCCAATGGGTGTGAGAGGGAATGTTTTGAATCGAGTTGGTCTTCAACAAGATAAATGGAAACGGCAAGTCAGAGAACAAAGGCGTAACATTTATGATCGTCATACAATGCTCAATTAATTTGGATTAAGTCATTAAATGACACCTGGGCAGTCATGTTTTTTTTTAAATAAATTTATTTATTTATGATAAGAAATGTTGAATAATGAGAGAAATTATAGATAAATGTAAATATTATGATTTTTTAAAGTTTCTTTAAACATTAAACACATTAAGTACAATATACTTATATAAGGAACTATTCCATGAAGTATATATTTTAACTCATAATAATGTAACTTATTTTAAAACATCTATTAATAAAAGCATTGGTAATGTAAGTTGGTACATTCAAGGTTTTAAAGCATCATCAATTGATTCTTTAACTATGTCGTAAAATACCAAAACAAGTGCACCACCTGTTCCTCTCAGTATATTTGAGAAAGCTCCTTTGAAAAACGCAGTCATTCCCTCTGTTTTAGCTATTTTGAACCAACAGTCTAAAGTATTTTTATACATTCGTTCTTCGGCAGGCCTGCCGGATTGCATCATCATCCTTCTGCGTACAGTATCAAAAGGGTAAGATGTGATTCCAGAAAAACTTGTCACTGCCTTGAATATTAATCATAATGCATTAGTATTAATTTAAGTATTAATTGAAAATGAATACATACTTGAGCAACTAAAAAATTTGTGAAAAAAGATTGATTTTTCATATCTGCCAAGTAAGTTGCTTTGATTGTATCATAGCATCCAAAATAACTTGCTCTATAAATAATTATTCCTTGCACACTAACGTTGAAACCCCGGTACAAGCCAATTGGTCCATCAGATTTCATTACTTTGGATATGCAATCCCATGTGCCTTTGAATTCTCTTTTATCACCTTTGCCTACATCCGCACCCAATCTGGAATATAGTTTTTGACTCAGAAACATAAAGAAAATTTGTGCTTTATTGAGCAAATATTATTTATCAACCTTGTTCTGGCAAAATCCAAGGGATAAACAAATAATAGTGAAGTAGCTCCAGCTGCTCCTCCTGAAGCCAAATTACCAGCAAAATACCTCCAAAAATCTTCTTTTGGAACTCCATCCAAAAAAAGTTTTTTAAACTTATCTTTGAAAGCGAAATTCAAAGCTTGGGTAGGAAAGTATCTTATGACGTTGGCCATATTTCCTCTCCAAAAACTGAAAAATCCAGTCTCTTTGGGTATTCTAATCAGAACATCCAAGATCCCTGGAAGTATTATTATAAAAAACCGTTCATTACTAAAACTTCAAAGGATATGCTCATAAAATAATCACCTTTATACTGTTTATCGGCTGATATCTGTTTGGAGGCATGCTGAACCTGTAGTAATAACTTGACCCTTTCGATCGGCGCGACGGCCGTTTTAGCTACTGCGGCCGATATTCCACCCGCAAGAAAATCGATTAAAAATGCTTTACCTGCTCCATGTTCACCCATGATGCAATGAGCATAATAATTAATCCGGTTATGATCACAAACTATGCTGATAGCTATGCCAAAATTTTCTCAGTTGACAACGGAAAACCGACACAATACGACTGTCTAATGTTTTGCGTTGAATCATGATACGTATTACGTGAATCGGTTATCGTTCTTTTTTTATGTGTTAAAGTGGGAAAAATTTAAAAAAAATGAACTGTATCTATTGAAATTAATTAATTTAGTTCATTCGTAATTTTATTATTTCCTTATGAATTGAAATATTCTATTTAAAAAGCAATGAAAAATGTTATTAAAAAATAAAAAATTTCAAGCGAATACGAAACAATATAAAAGTATATTTACTGATGTACTTATATGTTTCTAGAATTTATAAAAATAGGTATTATTAAGGAATAGTAATCTTACACAAATTCACAAATTTTTTACTTTTTATTTTTTCTTTATCAACTAAAAAAAAGTTCAACATCGTGAAAAAATCTATAAATCTTATAATCTTTTTTCTTAATAATAGAAATATTTGGGTTTGATTAAATAAATATTAAAACATTACATGAATTAATTAATAATCAAAATTGGTTATTTATTTGTTGTTCACAATGCTTATGTGGATCGAGCCTTAACGTAAAATTACTGTTATTTGAGTAAATTTTTTTAAAGAGAAATATATACTTAAAAATTATCGATACATCTGTTAATAGATTTAATTCTTACATGTTTATTTCGTACATAAATACTGCAAAAATTAATATGTTCTTTTCTGAGACTAGAGAATATTGACATCAAAGGCATAGTATCGTAGGTAACACTACTATTTCAATTTGTTTTTTACTGATTAATTCATTCATTTATTGCGCCTTAAAAAGAATTTTTCGTGTCATTGAAAATTCTTTTGTACATTTGTATTGCAATAGCTGATAAATAAATATTTTATAATGTCAAGTGCCTTAAAAAAGTTGCTTTAAGCATTGATACTTTTAAAACTTAATTAAATTGAATGACATGATGTGCATGTATTACTTTATCTAAACAATTTTATTTTTTAATTTCAACAAGAATATCTACTACGTATTTTATTACTTAATTTTTATTTTGAATAAAATACTATTTAGTCAATAATGATTCAGGTAAAAAAAATACATTTTCATATTAGTATTTTTATTTTACTTTTATCAATAATCTGTATAAATTTATCTCAATAATGAGTGCACCAAATGGTGTCAGTACACTTATCAAGCCAACTTCTGCTTATACATTAGTAAATTATCTTTTTTACGTAAAAATAAAAAAAAATAATACTCGGCACAATGTGGCGTCAAGAAATTATTTCTTTAAAGAGAAAATTGTTTCTATTCACACAATTTTCTGTCCTGTCCTTTTTCGTGTCAATAAAACTTTTTCCAATACTTTTTAGAAATCATTTTCTGGACGCATAGAAAGAATTTCGAAATATTTGTTCAGAAATAATTAGAATGTGACAGGATTATTATTCTTAATAACTTTTTATAATTGAACTCACAAACTACAGATTACCGTTAATGAAGATTATCATTTAAATCACTAACTACGTAGAACACATATTCAATATTAACGTGCACATAATTTTTCATCCATACCGTGAATGTTAGTTTATACTTCACAAAAAATATTGAATGCTATATTGCATTACATTACAATAAAAGTTTCATAGTTAAGTAGACAGCAGAAATAATTTTTATGTTTATTAACAATAGAATTCTATATGCTATTTGTTATATAAACATAACCGGAATACCTTTAGTTAGTTTCAGGAATAAAAATCGATATCTGCCTTCTTACCTGTATGATGGTTGGAATAGTAAAAGTTGGAAATGTATAAATAATCCAAAGTAAAAATATTTCTCCAAATAAATATTGTATATAAAATTGTAAATAAAATTTGAGGAGTACATAGACGATTTTTGGGTAAAGGAGTCCCCCGATGCATTGTCATCATTCCTTTGATTTTTTAATACTGCTTTACGCTGCGTGAACAGACTGGAAAGAAATAGAATCAGACGAGTTAGAAGAAGAAGGAGTTGACGATGGTATTGGTATGTTAGTTTTATGACGCAATGAGCTGTTAGGAAATTCTTTCTGATTTCGGGTGTTCAAGCATGATGGATGAACGTCGAGTCAGTGACTCCGAACACATACTTTTGCGACGTCGACACCGGTCATAGTCTTAACAAGCTCTGGGACGCGAGCCACGATGCTTAACACTTCCTCGGTCAACTTTTCTGCACCGATAGCTCCATTGCCACTAGATACCATTGTAATTTTCTTGGCTTGGGATAGAGGAGCAGCAACTTCGGCAGCAACCTATAAAAAAGAAAAACAAATTCATTAAAAATGTAAGCTTCCACATGAAATTAGATGTAAACAGTTATTTTTTAATACCCTTGGTAGAGTTTCAAGCATCATATCAATCATAGCTGCGCTCTTATATTCATTCCAAGCAGCAGCTTTTTTCGCCATTTGTTCAGCTTCTGCTTTCGCTTTAGCTTCAATGGCAAGTGCTTCAGCATCGCCTCTAATTTTAATTGCTTCAGCTTCAGCCTCAGCTTCCATAACAGTTTTGAGTTTATTGGCTTCTGCCATCTTTTCGAGTCTGTAAATTTGAACGAATAAATTGTAATTATTATGGGGATATTTTTGCTTGGTAATTAATAAATACCTGTATTTTTCAGCATTAGCTGGTTGGCGAACAGTAGCTTCTAGTTCTTTTTCTCGACGCAGTTTTTCTTGCTCTTGAACAGAAATTTCTTGGCATCTTTCTACAACTTTGACTTGCATTTGTTCCTCCATAATTCGCTGCTTCGTTTTAGCTGATTGAAGTTCAAAGGCCATTTCAGCCTCAGCTTTCTGGAAAACGTTATGATACATCAGTATTGCAACAGTAAAAAGAAATGCTCAAAATTTACAACGAGAAAATTGGTTTGTTACTAGTATTAGATGTAATTTAAAAAATGAAAATTCGAAACCTACCTTAGTCTGAACTTCAACATCATAAGCAGCTTTCTTTAATTCAAAATCGCGTTGGGCTTTTGCTATTTCCGTATCATTCAAGAATCTGGCGGCCATACGTTGCTCTTCAGCTATAGCTTCTCGAATTTGAGCATCACGACGAGCTTCAGCTTCACCGATTCGCGCATCACGTTTGACCTCTGCCGTACGAGCCATACCGAGTGCTTTCAGATATCCCTACAAAATCAAAAAATACATGATATTTTACAAAATTTAAGTTTCACTTTTTTTCATGTCTATAATAAGTGAAATTTTTGCGTCGGTTCACAGTGAACACACATTTTTTCCTAGATTAAAATGTATCGATAAATACAAAATATACTAGAAATAGAATTCGTGAAATCCAAATTTTCTGATGCAATTATTGAATTTTTTAAAATATATATTTAAAAAAAAAGGATCACTCTTAAAAATCACTTGGAGTTAAAGGGCATGTCTATTAGAGTGCGTCCTTTAATTTATTTTGATCATTTTTTTGCTCCCCCCCCCCCTTTCTTAGATAACTCAAGTAAGTCAAAAAATATTGCCAGATGACTATTGAATATTTCTTATTTAATGTTTTCTAAACGCTTTGGTCCATTAATTTTTTCCAAACTCCAAAATGCATTCGAAAAATTTTAAAATAATTTTTAAAATAAATAATGTTAAAATAAACTTGAATATGAATTTTTGATTGTCATCTGGCAACAATTTATGATACATTGAAGCAATATAAGCAAGGTAAAAGTAAAAAAATAAAAATAAATTAAAGAAGATTATAATATCTATAGAAATAAAATATCTATCAAGTTTAATAATTTGTCAAGTTAGCTGAATTTGAGTAGCCAAAAATTCTGTGATTCAATTTTTAAAAAAAGTGAAAAAAAATGGTGCAATAATAGCAGTAACCCCACTATCTTTAGCTGTACCTACCTTTACGTAACCCTGATTGTAGCAAAACAAAAATTTTTTTCAAGAAGACAATATTAAAAATGGTAAAAAATAAAATAATCAGAATATTATTTTAGCAAACAAAATGTACAATCAGCCAAAGTTGATACTCAAAAATATATTAAATACTGTAAGGGTATTCCTTTACTACTTACTTAATAACTATACTACAGTACATTTACTATATCTACTGTATATTTTTATTATTATTTGTAAGTTTATATTAAATTTTCAAGTATTGATCTACTAATCAATACAGTTTACTCACACTCACCTCTTCATCTCTAATATCTTTAAGGGTATATGATACAACTGTGATTCCCATATTAACAAGATCACTGCTTGCAACTTCAAAAACTTCCTTGCTGAACTTTTTACGGTCTTTATAGATTTCTTCAACAGTCATGCTTCCCATAATAGCTCTTTGATGACCTTCAAGAGTAACAAGTGCAATATTATGGATCTCTTCTTCTGATTTACCTAGAAATTGCTCACAAGCGGTTGATAACATTTCCTCATTTTGACCCTGTATTTTCACCTATTAATAAAAAATGAAATGAAACAAACTGCATCATTTGCTTGATAATGCATAAATAAAAATAGAATAAGTAATTGAGGTACCTGAGCTATGCCAGTAACAGAAATAGGAACACCTTGAGAAGTATAAACTGTAGGACTTTCAACTTGCAGAGTCATGGTGTTCAGAGATATCCTAAAATTGAAGATAAATTATTTTATGTAAATTTATTTATGGTAATAAAAATGGATTAAATTATTTACTTTTGAACTTGTTGAACAATAGGCCAAACAAATACTCTGCCTCCAGGAACCAATAAAGGTTTTCCATAACAGCATCCTTGAAAGATTAATGAATTAAGTTATAAATTAAAAGTTATTGAACATAATATTCAGAAAATTATGAAAAATATATTATAATCTATCAATGAAAGTTACATGAAAGAAATTGTTGTAAAGTATTCAATCATTGGGTGAGCATAGATTTGAGTTTTTTTCAAAACACACATTTGCTAGATAAGAATCAAATCAGGTCATCATAAAATTCTTATGTTCTTTGTAATTCTTACAAAACTTGCCTGAATGACTAGAATTATAATATTCAACTCCCTAGTTAAGAAGTAGTACATTCAATTATTCAATTAAGTTCAAGCAAGAAAAAGTGTACTGAATAAATCTATGCATAGTATACATGGTATGCATATTGAAAATAAAATTAAATTTTTCGTATACTAATTAATTTTTTTTTTAAATTTATCATATTTACTGGTAGCGAAAATAAACTATAGATTAACTGCAGATGGCATGAAATCGTTAAAAACATAAAAATGTAAAATTGATTTTCGATCAAGCGAGTTGGACGTTCTTCATGTATGACTCATATAGATATCAGCGCTATACATTCTGTATTTATGAAATTAATAGCCAATTCCGAGAAGAATAAACGTAATTGATGATAATTACCTGACACTACAAGTGCCTCGTTGGGCCCACAAGTAACGAATCCGCAGGTATTCATGTTGACCTTTTAATTCAACAACTTGAATCACAATCAAGAGTAAAAAATATGACGAACTTTTGCGTTAGCAGTCAACGTAGCATAACCAAGCACACCGCAGAAGACACTGTAGGCTCGCTGTCCGCGTTCTTTTTTTGTACGAGGGGATGCTAAAACAGATAGACAACTTGCTTACGTGCGTATACGCGTGTGTGTATAGAAAATAGTTATGAGCTTACGCTTGGCTGTAAAAAGTCTGACGCTCGAATAGCGATGATGGAGTGTCTGCTGTTGTAAGACTCGAGTGTAAAAGCTGCAAACGGGTGGGGTATGCAATGCGTACAGTCGGAGCAGAGAGGGCAGCGGGGAGGAAAAACCCATGCTGCGTGTGTGACCGAGCGTGAATGATAAGCTTATGCGTGACGGGTTGCATCTTCACACAGCAATGAGCTTTGATTAAATACTACAATGTACTAGTTGGTTTTGCGGAAAAATTTATTCGAATAAAAAATTTTAAATTTCAATACGAAAGTCAATGAATGACCTAAATATGTGAATATTTAAAGTTTTTTCACACTTTAAAGTAAAATCTATACAGTCTTTAATGTTGCACGCTCATTTTTCTTATGGTCAGTTTAAATTACTTTTAATTATTAAGATGACACCTTCGTGACTTTTTTGTTTTTTTAATGAAATCATTTCTATGTTGTAATTGGATTCAAAATAAATTTTTTTACTTTATTCCAATGGGACTTTGAAGTATTTAGCATATGAAACAGATGAATGCATCAGCTACAGTGATTTAAGCTAATCAAGTGATGAAAAGTCAGACGTTGCACTTGTTCCCTCGAGATTTCGCTCAATTAAAGCTTGACCTACTGACATCACCTATGGTACTTACAATATGATATATACATAATTTTAGTTTGTAAATATTAATAAAATTTATTAGTACAATTATTATTATACAAAATTATTTACTCAAACTTATTATGAATTTAATTGTTAAAAATTAATTACAATAACAATTTCATTAACTATATTACAATCTATAATGAAATAGTTGGTTCTTATATACATAATACTAAATTTTAAAATCTTCTAAATTGCTTTTTGAATCGTTCATAGTGATAATCATCTGTTGCTTTCTCATCATTGTCTTTTCGTTTTTCTCTATTCTTTGCTTCTCTTTGAGCTGCAGCTTCTCGTTTTCTTTTTTGTACATCAGCATCGTCGATATTAACTGAAAAATAAATTTATACCCTTGAAATTTGGAAATTTAAAATTTATGTAAAATAATATTGAAAATTACGATTAGCTTACATCTATTGTGTTGCACAAAATTTACTGCCATATTTGTTGGTACAAATTGTGATGGGGCATCCTTTTTTTTATGTTTTTCCCACAGTAATTTCATTTTTGCTTCTTCTGTTGCCTCAATATTTCGTATTTTAGCTCTAAAAGTAGAACATAAAAAATGTAAAATAAGAACAAATTCTTAAAAGAGCAATCCAACTAGTACTTACTCAATACCAAGATCAACCTCTGGAATACCAGAGAGCATTTGATTTGATAACATTTCTTCACTTTTGTGTGAAGTACTTTGTCTTAAGTATTCTGGAACTGCTCGAAGAGCAGCTTCTTCTGGTGAACAATATATATTATCATGATTTCCATCTTCTTCATTTTTTCCAGAATATGTTTTATTTTTCCTTTTTGCTAATTCTTCTTCAATGTATTTTACCCTAAAAGTATATAAATTATATGCACACTTTATATGTATTGTATCAAAATAATTTTGAGTAAATATTTTCTTACATTTCCTCATCTTCATCACGTTTATTTGTTTCTGCATTAAACTGTGTTCCAATAGAAGTATCATAAGTATCTTGCTTCAAGTTTGCATTTTTCAATGAAGCCATATTTACCATCCCTCCTATTTTTATACGGAACGTATCAGACTGTACCAAGAATAGATCAAAATGTGTTAAACAATTGTAATTTTTTGAAAAGAACATCATTATGAATTAATACTCACAGCTATTGGATCTTTTGGTGCTGTTTCTCCAAGTGCCAAGGTTACAATGTCTACTCCTTTTTGTCGTTCTCTAATTTTTTGGATTGTTTTAAGCTCTTCCAATTTGGAACTGTCACAAATAAAAACAAATTTTAAAATCAAGAATAATTGATCATTATTAACTTTTAGCTAAATAAATTTTCACCTTATTTCAGGATCTTCTTGCTCACTGTCACTGGACGATTTTTTTCGTTGACGTAAACATTTGTTTTTGCTTTTTTTCTTAAATACTATTTTTTCTGTTGGATCGTCTGAATTCGACATTGTTTGATAAATTTAATTTTCTTTCTACTTTATCTCAGTCGTTGTAGTACAAACTAACATACAGTTTGTTTATGTTTTCTTTTAGAAAGCTAAAGATGCAAGCAGCGCCTTTCGAAGTACTCTCAGAAATCTGGAACTATTTGCTATTCTTTAGATTATAATCTTGACAACGCTGGCCGTTTACGAAACAAAAAGAGCTTAGTGGGGCCATTCATAAATTACGTAATGAGATTTCACGTGTTTTGTGACCCCCCCCCCCCCCCCCACGTAATGANCATTAATAATTGGTCCCCCCCCCATCCCCCTCCCCCTATAGTAGCCGTAATAATCAAATTATTTTTTTTTAAATTTAATGGTAAATTAAATGAAATCAAATCATTGTTTTTAAATCAACATTTTAATTAAATATTTTCTAAAATTAAAATTATTTATGAAGTAATCAAATAGAACTTATAAACAAATATATTCTCTTTCTTATGATTATAAAAATATGAAGTATGAAATATACGTATAAATAAATTAAACTTCATCTGACCTCAACTTTTACGATTTATATTCATAAGAACAATGAAGATCAGTTATTAGTGTAGTGTTTTATTACATCGTCAGCTACGAAGTAATAGTTATTTATGCAACAAGTGCCCAAAACGCGGCATGACCGGCACTCGTGTCCTTTTCCGCACACTGCGCAAAAAGCTGGGCACGTGTTGCATACAAAATTTTATGCAATAGTAGGCGAAAAATACGTTCACTTAAATGAGGCGTTTTACCGCACACCCGTGTTCAAAATGGGGCATTTTACCGCGCACAAGTGTCCAAAAACGCTTTTTGCGCACTAAAAAATGTGCGAAAAAGTATGTTATGTTATACGCCATATAAATACTCATTTTGTTAATTTTTTAGAAGAAATTTCAATTAGATTACAGACCCAACAATTTTATTTTGGGCTACTCTCGCGCAAATAATTATTACGTAAAAATTTGTAAGACCACCCCTCCCCCTCACATAATTTACAGTAATTCAAAATGGAAGATCATTCGCGCGCGAAGCGCGCCTAATAGTTACTATTTCAAAAAATTATGATATATTATAGTTGCTCCAGCGCAGGAATGCCTCTCGAGTTTCAAGAGATATCTCCTTGCGCTGGGGCGACGTTATTGAAAAAACAAAAAATACAGAATAGTTACATTTTGAAAATGCAAGTTTGACTTTTTTTCTAACACAGAAAATCGTTGTATATTCTCAAAGTATGAAGATTTAAATACTTCCAAAGGGGTAATTGTCTATCAAGAAGCTTCTCTTTCTAACAAGTATATAGACAAGCGGGTTTATGATAAGAATTTTTATTACGATTAGAAATCTATCAATAATTTCTTTTTAACACTGCGTGCGCGAAACACGGGTTTTCTAACCTTAAAGCGTCAGAAAACCCTAGTTTCTCGCAAGCAGAGTTAAAAAATATCGTTTGCAACTAGTCCGCGAGGAAGTTGACTCATCCAGGAGTCTTTGCACCCTCGCTACGCTCGGGTGAAAACAACTCCTGGATGAGTCAACTGCTTCGCGCACTTGTTACAAAATATACTATTATTTGTTAAAACAATACAGTATAACCATACAAGCTTTCAAATATAGGTACTATCAAAGGAATCAGCGAAACGATGAGTATAAGTAATGTAAGCATGCGAGTAGTATTATACATTTGGTCCAGCTAATTTCAAATAAATCATAGCCACGGGTGATCATCTTGAACTGTCCTATACGGAGCACTTTACAATCGCAATTGAGGCAGACCCAATGGGTTGTGTTCATCTTGAAGGTCTTGATGATTAGGCGATAATAGACGAATTACAATGGGGACATACAATCTTATCCTTCTTGTCATGTACCATGCACGGCTTCTTCTTCTTCTTATCGTTTAATAGTCTTGGAGAGTAGGTATAACATTGCCGAATTGCTACTGCTTCCGCAGGTGGCTTGAAATGGACCCATGACGAACCGGGCCTGTTCTGGCCGTTGAAAATGCGAATTTGGGGGTAAAAAAAATACCACCAGATAGACCTTTAATTGCACATTCCAGAAAAACAATTCGCAACATTTGCACACCCTTGAATTTTTTACAACAGAATTTTAGAACATTTTAGATTTAGATTTAGAAGAATTTTAGAACGCCCGCTACGCCGCAGCTCTCTCTTGCTGCCTCGGCGCGTGGCGCGTGCTGCAAGAAAAAGGACAAATAAAAGTCTTCTGCTCCGCGAAACCAGCGTGTCGGTGTGAATGTGAATGACAGTTTATAACCTTTCAAGCCGTATAATAACCTGCATCATTGTAATTAAAATTAAGTACATAAAATCATGAGGGTTTCACATTTATTTGAAAAATTTAAGCTGTCTTCAGCTACTCAAATCAGATGGGTAAAGCTATATAAATTCCTTAAAAAATTATTCTTTTTGTGTTTCTATAATGATAAAAATCCCATTTCAGCAAACTTCTTCTACAGCAAAATATAAGTTAATCAATGAAGTAGAAAAGTTAATTGAAGATAATAAAATCAAACCTCGAAAACATCCAGGGATTGTTAAGCGAGGCACTGTTGAAATGCCCAAATGGATTGTCTCTGCAATAGAACAATGTTTACAGGGTAAAACAAATATTTAAATATAAAAATATTAAACATTAAGTATGAATTTCTTCTAAAATGGTATTGTTGTAAAATATAGTGAAAATATATAATCTGTAACATTTTGACTTATTGTTTTTTCTTTATTGCATTACAGATGTACAAGATAAACCTCTACTTTTGAGAGAAAGACAAACATTTTCAAATTATTTATTCAGTAGAAGATTACCACTAGGAGATTCCGATGTTAAAAAAATATATCGAGAGATTGAATACAACATTTTGGCAAAAAAGTATGGAGATTTAGAAACTATTGATGATGAATTTGAAATAGAAAAAAGAAGAAAAATAATTAAAGGAGAGGCTGTTAATAAATTAAAACAATGTGTTTATGATTGGAAACCAATTGAATATAATGCATACAAAAGTTATTTATACATGATAACAAGAAGTGTACCAGAATATGCTGTGTTAGATACTATTTTTAAAGAAATTCAACTTAGAAATCCAACCTTTAATCCAAAATCTATGTTTGATTTTGGTTCTGGCGTGGGAAGTGTTTTGTGGTAAGTTTTTTAGATAAGATTTTCATATAAATAATAGTATATTTTTTTTAAAAGTAAGACTTACGTTACAAATTAAAATTAATGATTCCAAAATATTCCCAGGGCTGCATTAGAAAGGTGGAATACCATAAATGAATATATGGGTATTGATATTTCTGCAGATATGTGTGACTTATCTGAAAAAATAATAAGCTTACGCCCCAAAAAATATAAAAAAGCCTTTTTTAGACAATTTCTTCCAGTATCCAACGTAAGTATTATAAAATACTCTAGTTACAAGTTAAGATTTTTGACATTAATCACAGTAAAAATAAATATTTTAGTTACAACATGATATAGTTGTTAGTGCGTATAGTTTAATGGAACTGGAATCTGCCAAAAGTAGATTAGAAGTTATTGCCAAGTTATGGAAAAAGACAAATCAGTACCTAATTATTGTTGAACAAGGAACCAATGCTGGATATAAGGTTTGAAATATGTTCATTCACTATAAATCTATACAATCTATATAAGTGGAAAAAAAATCAGTATTGTGTTTTTTACAGTTGGTTCTGGAAGCCCGTGATTTTGTAAATTATTTAATGGATACAGAATATTATCAGGATCAAAAACATTTCATTTTTTCACCAGTGAGTACATTTGAGTTTAAATCTTTACAAAAATGAAATTTGAATCATTAATTAAAATTTATTTATTTAGTGTCCCCATAAGAATCCATGTCCAAGGTTACTTCAAAACAAAGGTTTTCCATGTAATTTTGGAATTCAATACATGCCTCTGCGTCTATTAGGACCTCAACGCCATAATTTTGAACTTTATTCTTATGTTGTTCTTAAGAAAGGTAGGTTTCGTATTATACAAACACAAATTTAAAGTGAGCTTGAAAAAAATTCAAAAAATTACCCATAATTTAATATAGGAAATCCCACTAGTGAAGATAATTGGAGTCGTATTGTTAGACCTACTTTGGTTCGTAAAAATCATGTCAGATGTCGAATGTGTACATCTGAAGGGCAATTAGAAGAAGTTGTAGTTACCAAATCTAGACATGGAAAGTTAGTATAATTCTTATAAATTATTTTTCTCTTCAAGCAAAATTATTTCTAATTTGTCTTATTTATTAAAAAATATTTAAAAGTTTTTAAATCAAACCTAAATTAACTCCATTTTTTTAGGCCTTTCTATAGATGTGCAAAAGCATCAGGATGGGGTGACAGACTATCAATTGAACCTAATCCATCTTACGAGGGCGCAGATGCTGTTGTCATACCAAATGAAAATGAAGAAACGGATATTAGTGCTTCATTCGAATCTGTAGATGTTTCATTTAAAGAAGAAGATCCATTTGCAGCAGGTTACAAAGAAGCTATTTCAAGACCTGAAAAATTAAAGCGAGGAAAAAATAATTTGGAATCATCTGACATAGAAAGTCAAGACTTGAAACCAATTTATACTTCAGAAACACCATATGTGTCTAAATAATAGAAAATACCGTAAATCGACGTCTCCCACCAAGAGTAATATGTTTATATATTAAATTAAATGGAAAAGTGTTACTCTTCATGGGGAGTGTCGAAATATGTTTGTATAAAAAGATGAAGTTAAATGTAAATATTTATGAAGTATGTTTTGTTATATAAAGTATATAAGATATACACAACTCTGTTTTTATTGAATGGTTTTTTATTAATTTTTTTTATAAATTTAATTAATTTTTCGATTCATAATCTCTTATTGCATAGTTTCGTTTTTCTTGATTTACACTTATTTATCCTTCTACAATTACATCTTTTTAATTTCTCTTCAGCTTGGTTTTCGATACTGTAACTGTCTCTGTTGAAATATAATATATATCAACATTTTAATAATAAAAAAGTAAATTAGTATTAAATATCTCGAAAAAAAGTATTTAATTATACTAATATGTCCCTTTGATTTTGCAATTCAGTGTTGAGTAAGATTTTTCTACATTTTCGTTTTTTACGCGCGAACTGCTGTATCTTAAGTTTATCTTAGTAATAATTTTTTTTTTAATGGGGTTTTGTTATTTTAATATGTACAACGTAAAAATATACTATTATGAATCACAACAAAAACAATGAAAATATGTTTCATCATATTTTCGTAGATCTGACTTTTTCGTTATGGTGCACGTACGTAGAAACTCGTTTTGTTTTTAAAAATGTTTAAAGAAAATTAAATAAGCTTGGTGTTTCCTGTTTATTACTTTTGGAAGATATCGATGAAGGTTCCTATAACCTTTTGTAGCTTTGGACGAAATTTCTACAGATTTTTTAAATTATCATACTTATAGTGTATTCCTATTGATGCAACTCTGATTTTTCATATTTATTGTAAGTAAACTGAAAGCCATATTTTTTTTAATTCAAAATATGGTGCAGGTCACATCTAGTTCTATCAAAATATAAATCTCATTTCACTAACAATTTTGAAGAACTAAAAATATAACAATATCACTAGTTAATGTTTGTGATTTATTAATATTTTCAAATTTTATGGAAAAATTATCCGAAAATCATTGAGAAATTATGAAATCTTTAAAAATTAAAAGATCAAAATCGATTTTGGCACCATTTGGCAGCAAAACGTGAATTTTTTTAGAAAAAGTGCACATTTCAATGTTCTCTTTAGAATCTCCATGATATTGTCAAAATTTGAAGCAGTAATAATAATTTGAAGCACAATGAAAGTATGTACATTGATCAAAAAATCACAAAGAAATTATGTAAGGATTATAGAGCATTCTGATGTTAAAAAAAATACAAATTATTTAGAATCTGATTCTTTGCATTAAATTGAACCAAGGGCAAAAATAGAAATTGATTTTAAAGTTTTTGAACAATTTAAACAATCAACATATTGTTGAACACCTTTAAAAATATTTCAAAATTCAAGGTTTTCAATTAGCACAATAGAGCAATAGAATATTTCAGAACCTTTCAAATACTTAAAATGGTCATTTCATGTTTTGCCCGGGTTGGATAACTTAGGTTAGCCTAAGCATAATTAATTTTTGCATAATTAAAACTTATTTCATCCTGTTTTTACTACATTGTCACTGGATGGCACGCACTTTTCTGTGTTATTTTGATCTTTGGTGTCTACTTTTTCTTCTTCATTTTGCTCATCTTCTTCATCATTGCCATCTTCATCCTCATCTTTATCATCATCTTCATCATCATCGTCTTTGTCTTCATCTTCTTCTAGGAGTTTTTTACGAGCAAGCTGAACTGCTTCCCACTCTCTGTAGTGACCTTTTCTTTTAGCTTCAAAAGCCTTTTTCCTTTCTGAATGTAAAAAAAGTAATATCATATTTAATTCAATACACTATATTGTAAGAAATTTTAGTTAATAAAATACCTTTCTCTTCTGGAGTATCTTCCTCTTCTTCTTCTTCACTGGATTCTTCAAAAATTCTTGGCTGTACATTTTTTTCTAGTCTAATAATTAATTCATATAATTAAATTGGGTATTTTATTCATGAAAAATTACATGCAGTTTTAAATGAACAATTATGAATATATTTAATTAATCTTACTTTGATGCTACAGCAGAAGAATCTATGAAGTCTCCTTCATTTTCAACACCCTCAAAATTAAAAGGTGTTTTGGGCTCCTCAATTTTCATGTGGCCATAATCTTTGTCAGCAGGATGCAATGTAGCAATAATGTTCATTTCATCCCATTTTGTTTCTTTTGATGCTCTGTATAATTAAGAAGAATCTCTTATTATTTTGAGTCAATTTGGGAGTTAATTTAAATTAAAGATAATCTATTTAATTTATTTTTTTTGCAAAAATTAAATGTAATCATTATTTAAATATCTGAGTCAAAAATATAACCCAGTACGAGTCAATGCATCCAAATAATTTGCACGATCGAGAAAAAACATCGATGGAGTCATCAGTTCATTATGCATTCAAAGAAAGAACTAATGAGTATAAACCTTGACACACCTCGAAAGCAATTGATAAACATAATAGAAATCGTGCAAACGAGTAGCATACCTGGGAGCCTCTTGATTATCAAAGCTACTGGATGTCTTGAGAATTCCTTTCGAGGGTCGTTTTCCAAGATTTTCAGCCATTTTTTGTCGTTCGTTGCTTTTGGTTCAGTCTATTAGTTCAGAACACACGTGTATCACTATGTTTATGTATAGACGTTTGATATGAGTCGAGTTAGTCGTCAGCGCGAAACGCACACTATGCCGAGCACAAGTACCTATCGCTAATATTCTCCACAAGACGCACGACGAATCTCGATCCCACGGCGCTCTATAAAGCGAGCGCGATCTGCAATTGGTATGCGATTATTCGAAAGAAGGATAATTTAAGTACAACGCTTTCACGGCTTTACCCGAAATGCTGCTTGGCGGGGGTTATACCTATACAGGCATATAATATACCTGTTACGTGCATAAGCAGCGCACCCCTCGTCGCCTTATCATATTATCATTCATCACGTTCTCACGCGATTTCGCGCGCGCTTCTCGCGTTCACGACACTTGATCCACTTTTCGCCGAGCCTCCAGAGCTGTAAAAACACTAGTGCGGGGGGATCGACTGTGTGCAGGCAACGAGGGTTGAAGGTACACGCAGAGCTCAATTACTGCTGTACAAAAGGAGGGAAAAAATAGGTCGGATCGTGCGAGGGGGTGGGATGACGGAGCGTGTGAGGTGCACGCGCTCGACTCTCGAGCTTTCGGAGTCGCGCCAATATCAGTAACGTACGTTATGACAAGAATGCCTAGGCGCACTGCAAGTCGTTGCTGCAATCGACAATCTATATACGTTATTAAGTATTTCCGAGTTATGATAGAAGGCGCCAGCCGTGCGCATCCGAGCCTCGTATACATGTGCATGTGCAGTTTGTAATTGGCGAGCCGTGGTTCGCGATACTGGTGTGGGTGGTGTATGCGCGCCGCGACTGCTAACGGCTAACCAGAGACGCGTCATGATACCGTATCGCGCACAGATTGACGTTGCAACTTGTGTAGCGCCAGTATACTATGTAAAATATCAAAATTTTGCAAAATGTAAAATTGTAACACCATGATTGATTGAAAACTTGAATGCCAGTACTGACATAGGCCTGCAGACATTTTTCACTTGATACTTCTGTCATTTCTCACTTCTAAATGTAAAGAATGATATAAGTATCTGAAAAATTTTGAACTTTATTGAACATTAGAATATTATTTAATGGATTGCAGGAATGAAAATTTGCTTTCGCGAAAATGTAATCTGACTTGAATTTTGACACAAAATCGGCTGGCATTCATATTCTCGGAACTCAATATAAGCAAGCATATCCATATAACACACTTACGCGTAGCATATGACAACACGTAGACTCATTACTCAACTGTATGATGGAGCCGCTCTGCGTGTAGTCTGCGTCAGCTTTTTTGCACCTCACCGATACTACTAACGATATGTAATTGTTGTTCTCCGAGTTATTACAGGTGTTCTGATCGATGTGTGACCATCACTGATTTTCCGTCTCATCTTTTTCTAACTCTGCGAGTTCATTTAAAGGCAAAGAAAAAATGACGAGTCTCAGAGAAATGCAAATAGGTAAACATACAAACTTGTTTGGTTAAATATCCATCGGCTTGGTTTGACTTATGGATCAATTTATACTTTTTCGATGCTTTTTTCAAGGATTTGTACTTAATTATTCAATTTCTATTCTTTGACGAACATTTTTTACCGTACCTTTTCTCTGTTGAAGTTGTGTATTACGCATAATTTATATGACGTATGGTCGGAACTTGATTAATGTAAACAATTTTTTCAATTGTTATTCAACTCGACATATATTAAGAAATAGGTTCAATTGTTAAAATCGTTTGTGATACTTCAAGTTCTTAATTGATTACTTTTTTTACAGCTGCACTGAAGCAGATGCTAAATTTGAATGATCCGCAACCTAGATCAGATGTTACAGTTCCAGTATGGAAAGTTTTAATTTACGATAGAATAGGTCAAGATATTATTTCACCTCTTATTTCAATAAAAGAACTTCGTGAGCTAGGTGTCACATTGCATTTGTAAGCATACGTTTAAACATTTAATAAGCAAAGTTCATTTAAATTTTTACATTTGTCTTATCATTTTTTATATCACAGACAACTCCATACAGACAGGGATCCTATTCCAGAAGTACCAGCTGTGTATTTTTGTGCGCCAACTGATGAAAATATTGGACGTATTGGCCAAGACTTACAAAATAAATTGTATGATGTTTATCATTTAAATTTTATTTCGCCTATAAATAGGTCTAAGATGGAAGATTTAGCCTCAGCTGCTTTAATGGCGGGAGCTGTAGCTAATATTCACAAAGTAAGATTAACATATAATTAAAAAACATCATTTTTTCTAAATAAGCTGATGTCAAATTTTCTTTTATAGGTATATGATCAGTATCTAAATTTCATTTCTTTGGAAGATGAACTTTTTATTCTCCGACATCAAAATAGCGATATTATATCTTATCATGGTAAAAAAAATTTAATTAAAGATTTTATCAAAGCAAATTAGCAAAGAAAATAAATTAAATTTGTATTTTGCAGCACTCAATCGTGGAGAAATAAAAGATACAGAAATGGATAGAATTATAGATATTATTGTTGATAGTTTATTCTCAGTTTTTGTGACATTGGGAACAATACCTGTTATTAGAAGTCCTAGGGGTAATGCAGCAGAAATGGTTGCTTCAAAACTCGATAAAAAATTACGAGAAAATACTTGGGATACAAGGAACACATTGTTTCAAGGTGAAGGTATTCGACCCCATAATCTTTTTAGGTAAGATAATTTTTTTTTGTAGTTCATTCAAACATCATTCCTATTAATATTTTTATATTTTCTTCAGTTCTGTTAGACCACTCCTGATTATCCTGGACAGAAGTGTTGATATGGCAACAGTATTTCATCATACTTGGACTTATCAAGCATTGGCACATGACGTTTTGGATCTTTCATTGAATCGTTTAGTTGTAGAAGAAAGTATAGGCAAATCAGCTAGTGGTGGTGCACGTTCTAAAACCCGTGCATGTGAACTTGATGATTCTGATAAATTTTGGGCAAGTCATAAAGGCAGTCCATTCCCAACAGTAGCTGAAGCTATTCAAGAACAGCTAGAACAATATCGTTCTCATGAACAGCAAGTCAAGAGACTAAAGAGTACAATGGTATACTTGGAAAACTATTATTAATTAAAGTAAATATTTATTACAAGTTTTGAGTTTTTTGACATATTTTTAGGGCATTGATAATGAAAGTGATGAAGCCATATCTATGATGACAGACACAACAGCCAAATTAACTAATGCAGTAAATTCATTACCACAGCTGTTGGAAATGAAACGTTTAATTGATATGCATACAACAATAGCAACAGGTAGATCTTTATTAAATGTAATGACGAAAATTGTTGCTCAAAATTTAATAAAATTCTGATTTTACAGGCATATTGAATTCAATAAAATCTCGACGGTTAGACACATTCTTTGAAATTGAAGAAAAAATTATGAGTAAACAAACACTGGATAAAAGCGTTTTAGATATCATCAATGACACAGAGTGTGGATTACCGGAAGATAAATTACGACTTTTTATAATTTATTATTTGTGTACCAATATGTCCGATGCCGAGTATAATAAACATGAGAATGCTTTGTCAAATATTGGATGTGATTTAAGTCCTCTAACTTATCTTCGAAGATGGAGGTAAAGTTTTTATTTTATTTGCAAATGTTTAACTTATTTTTCAAGTAAATAAAATATTAAATAAGAAACACTTGAATATTTTGCAGGAATTATACAAAAATTGCAGGAATCCAAAATAGTTATGAAGGTGGTGGAACAAAAACTGTTAGTATGTTCTCTAAACTAGTAAATCAAGGATCATCTTTTGTCATGGAAGGAGTTAAAAATCTCGTTGTTAAAAAACACGTAAGAATACTTATTCATCAGAGCATTCTTTTTTTATAACATACAATATTTAAAATTATTTTTGAATTTTAGAATTTACCAGTTACCAAAATTGTTGATGAGCTTGTAGATATGAGACAATCTGCTCAAACAGAAGATTATTGTTATTTTGATCCTAAGCAGTTGAAACATTCAGATCAGGTTCCAAAGAATAAAACAGTATTTCAAGATGCTATAGTTTTTATTGTAGGAGGTGGAAATTATATAGAATATCAAAATTTGATGGATTATGTAAAGGTATGTTTATTGAACACTTTTTTTAATTTAGAAAACACATAACGGGTAAACATGAACATTCAATATTTTACTCAAGATATACCCATTTTGTATCATACAACTTAATCTTAACAGTAACTATCAAAATTAAGATTTGAAACCGTAAATTTTTTTTAGCAAAAAGCTAATGGTGGTACAACAAAAAAAATTGTGTATGGTTCAACTACACTGACGAATGCTAAACAATTTCTCAAGCAATTGTCTCTACTTGGACAAGAAGGGCAATAATCTATTTATACAAGTGTAGATATATTCGCAAGAGATCTATATTTTTCACAATACTTCTGTATCCTATAAATCTTTATACTATAGATCCATTAGTTTTTATGCTGTTGAATATATACATTTCATTAAATGAATTTTATAATTATTTGTAAACTGTCAAATATTATAAATAATGAAGAAGTTGTAATATGTATAAAATTAAGAATTAAAAAAACGTTGTTAATTTAAAAATAGATGTTTATTCTAATTTTAAGATTCTAGATAAAATTAATCTTCATCTTTTAATTTTCGATTCATTGTTTCGCGACCAATAAAATCTCTCTTGGATTTTTTACAATGCACTTCATCATCATCAGAATCTGAACTATCTTCACTATCACTTGAGTTATCATAAGATCCTAATCCAGGTAATATTCCTACACATTTTAAAGCACCAGACTTGAATTCTGGATCATCTGAAGAAACAGTGATAACATTATTCTTGGTTGTTTGATTTGAGTTTTGGTTAGTAGTAATTATTCCATGATTATTCTCACTTTTTTGAGAATTATCTTCAGTTTTTTCACTATCAGATAATTTCCTTTTTTCACCTACTTTGGGAGGAGATCCTGCTTGTACACAATGTTAATTGTTAATAATAATTATTAAAATTATATATTTATGGACATAATGAAATCTTACCACCGCTTGATTTCATAGGTTTTTTAACTACACCTGCCAACAGCTTTAGTTGTGAATTTTTATTGCTGAAAATTTGTTAAATATATATAAGATTGAGGTAATTAATAACTCAAATCACATTTACCATGAATTTACCTGACTGTCACTCTATTAGTCAATTGGGGTTGCTTTAATTCTTGTTTTAATCGCGCATCTAAGCTTTTTTCTTGTAAAGAAGCAACTTTTTCTTTGAATTCACGCATTTCTTTTTCTTCTTCTAGGTGTTTTTTTCGCTCTTCATCCATTTTTTGTCTGTCTACTAGGTCTAAAAATTCCACTTCATCATCATCCAGACCTTTTATCATATTTTCTTAAAGAAACAAAACAATCATATCAATTGATTTGAAATATTTCAGAAAGCTTGTTTTTTTTTTTATCTTTAATCAATGTTTTAAGTTTCAAACTTAACTTCCAAAGTAGTTAAAAATTGATAAGTTATACTTAATTGAAATGGAAAATAAACGAAAATCGAACATACTTAGTTTGTGAGCTTCCTCATATTCAGCATCTTTTTTGTTTTTTTGCTCCTGCAACCTGTCAAAGAGACATCTTGGATCATACTGCTCCTCTGGAGCCTCTGAAAAAATTACACAAATACATTTGAAGTTAATATTTAACAATTGTTATTTATAGGAGAAAATTAATTTCAGAAAAATAGTAATTTAGCTTGTTTTCTAACCTGCGGGTTGATCAGCTGTTCGTACTCTTTCCCACTCTTCTTGACGTCTTTTGCGTTGTTCGGCAAGTTCAGTCGCAGAAATAAAACCACTGCTCATTTTTAAGATTATTTTTTCACTTCAACAATTAACTCAAAAATGACTGGCTATACGCGTTATTTGGTTCTTGAAAGCAACACGATCATTCAAGTTTATCTGTCTTCTGAACTAGATATTATAATAACATGAAGCATGACGTTAACTGTTAACATGCGAGACCTATCGGCGGGAAATTAAAATACTTTATTACTGGATAAGGGCGCCAAGTACATACTATATAACACTCGAAAGCTGTATGTGCTTGATGCTTGTGCAGTTTTCGTATGAATACTTTAGACACACAAGTGCTAACTAACATTTCTCTTTTTTTTTATTTCAATAGATTATAAATCAAAGTTTTATTTACACTAGTGGATAACTTGAATCATATGTCGATGAAAATTTAAAATTATGAGTTGACTGTTGTATTTAATTTTTTACTGCCGCTTTCAAAATAAATTGTTTTCTTAACAAGTGTTGATGCTTACTATTTATTCATTTTCATTGATAAAAAACTTGAAAGTAAAATAAAAAATATGTTCAGTCTTGAAAACAATTCAAGAATTTTAGAAATTGTTTGAAATGAGAACATGTTTTTTTACATTGAATTGATTCATTCTCAAAGCAAGAATTAATATTAATTAATAATCATTCAATAAATCTCATTGAATTATTCAATTCTTCCTAGTGTTTTTCATCATTTTTCAAAAAATTATGATGAGAATTTATTAAGTGTTCAGTAGTACTTGTTTCATACAAATGACAGGGTGACAGCAGCGGTCCTTTAGTGTCAAATGGGCAAATCGTTGGATAAATCTAAAATAATCTAAATCGTTGGATTAGTATCGTGCGGTCAAGTACCTCGTCCTATGGACGAATTAGACATTTACACGAGTGTCTACTGTTTATCTCTAGCATGGATCAGTGGCAAAATGTCATTGAAGGGCAATCAACCTTAATCTTATAGACACGACTTCCAAATGAGGTAAGGGTAATAAACATTTTAATATTTTTAAAGACACGCTAACCAAGACTTTGAATATTGTTCGCTATGTTTTGATTTTCCAAATTTATCTAATATTATTAAGTATAAACTGTATTAAACAAATATATGGCTTTCTATGTAATAACTTAAACAACCTATGTATTGCACAAGATAATTTTGAATGTTTAGTGTTAATATGGTCTTTATATGTCTCATAAAAAAAAGATGATTTGAAATCAATATTTATGGACTCAAAGGGGGCTTAAAATCGAAAAAAAAATTTATTTTCTAGTAGTATTTTCGACCCATTTCCAATGCATTTTTTAAGACTTAAAAATTTTAATTATTCACTGATATACAGCTGTTTCCGTGAGCCTATTTGTATACTTTGCATGTAAAATTTCTTTCTTTTGCGTTTTTTGGAGTTTTACGCCAGAAAATTTACAAAATGCACCTCGCTTGTCGTAACATTCAGAGCGTATCGATTTTTAGCCCCCTTTGAATCCTTAAAGGTCGCTTTAATTTTTTAGAGAAGTTCAGTAGGCAAATCAGTTGCTTGCAAAAATCTAACTCTGTGGATGCAGATTGCGACTACAAGCCAAAACATTTTGTTAGTTATAGAGAAATTTGGCGCATCTCTCATCACTATAGAGGAAAAGGAAAGGGCGAAGAAGTAATTTATTGTATTTATTGAAGAAGTACAATCAATACACGATTTAATTAAATAAAAAAAGTAAGATCTGACTACCAAATAGTGCACTTATCAGTTGGATTCATGCGCGAGTTTGCCGGACATTGAAAATCTTTGGCGAACGATCGGGAGTTCATAAGCATACCGATGGCTCGAAACTCATCGGGCGTATGATCTTCCAGCACGAAGTCGTCGAAAAGTCGCTCGTAGGTCTTTTTGCTGCACAAAAAGCTCATCGCCGTGATCCAGAACAACTGCTCAGGAGTGTAATCGAGTCCCGGCAATTTGTCCTCCTCCTTGTTCTTTTTTATCCACTTTTTGTAAGCGATGTGAGCCACTTTCAAGCCGCCGTTGTCTGCTATGTTGTCGTTCAGAGATCGAAATTCATCAACCTGTGGTCAACGTGGGGTGAGTGAAAAATCATCAATCAGGCTATATTTACCCACCCTCAAACCATTATCTTCGTCTTTGAAATTGTGATACTGTTTAGTGAGGCATTGGGTCAATTGAAAGTAGCTGCTTTCGGAAGCGGGTGACATCCATTTTTTCAACGAGCCCGTCTTATCGAGCTTGTAAGATTCCGTATCGAAGGCGTGCATCATTTCGTGGGCCACGATGAAACCAATGCTGCCGTATTTGGCGTAAGCTGGCCAGTCTGGATTGTAGATTGGTGGCTGTAGCATCGCCGCTAGAACAACTTTAACACATTGGCGTCAATTAAGGTCAATCAGCTAATCTATCTCCTCCTACTAACCAAATATATTCTGAGTTTTGTAGTAATAAGCGTTGACTCTGATGGATTCCGAGAGGACGGTCCACAACAGTCGGTTGGACGGTTTTCGCAGATTCGCCAGCGAATGCTCGTAGTGGAAACGCTGCAAGTTCAGGAAATTCTTCACTGCGTCGTTCGCGGACAGATTCAGCGACTTGGTGTAAGAATCAAGTTTTTGATCATTAATCATGTCGTTTGGATAGCCAATGACGTGACCCATGAACGTCACTTTGTCCACGGCTGCTTTTCGCGAATTCTGGTCGAGCCAGTCCGCCTGTATAATATTGAATACGAGTGAAAGTCTGAAGGATTATATTCATTACCAAAATTCAAACCTTTCCAATGACATCTTTAAATGAATCGGTGACATCGTTTACGATAATTTTCAAATCCTCTTTCGATAAGCTACTGGCATGCTTTTTGACGTACATCGAGCCAAGCCCAACCATCAAGCCGTTGCGATCGTCCGCCAGCAAATCGATACACTGCTCGTGCCTTAAAATCGTAATCGGGATATCAAATGCGAATCTACGACATTAGCACCCTTAAAAATTTGCTCTCACAGCTACCTTTTTATATTTTTAGTCGCCGAACTCCTGTCAGACTTTTGTATCATGAATTCGTGATATCTCATTCGAAATTTTTTCGTCAAATGAGGCACGAATTGTTCAACCATTTTCCAAATCAAATAGTTGGCCATGGCTCGTTTAGGAGTCGAGTGTAAAATGTGCTCGAGCGATATTAAATAATCCGGCTCCACAATGCGTAAATTTTTATCCAAGTCGATTTTCTCGATTGGTTCGGTCATGACTTGCAGGTATTGGTACAAGTTCAAGGATGGAATTTTTTTAGCAAGCTCTCCTACAGGAATATTATTGCCAGATAAGTCTGACGTAAATATTCCAGCTGCCTGAAATCGGTTATATTCTTCAAAATAATCCCAAAACCTTCAGAAAATGTTTGAACTCAGATTGATGTCTGTAATCGAAACATTTCCTTTGTTTTGTAGAATTTGAACAAAAAAACTTTATTTTTGGATTTAGAATTACTGGTCAAGACGAAATGAAAGTGCTTTATAATCATGACGAACTCTCATGTATCATATTCAGCAGAATCCAGATAATGAATACGATTTTTAATTTGTAACACTCACACTTGCGAAGGCTTTTTCGACCTCCAGGACTTTTCTCATTTGTACAACGGCGTTCGCCTCTTGAGCTCCAAACCAAGTCGCTATTTCTACCATGTATTGGTAATAGGCCTGAATTTTTTTACTGAGAAAACCTTGTCTGTAATCTTCCGAATGCACTGTAAGACGGGGGCTATCGATCTGACAAAAGGTGGTATTTACCATGAGTACATACAAATGAGCTAAAAATTTAACAGATAACATGATTAAAAGACGAAATCGTCTTGTTTCTTACGTAAAGTACATTGGTCGAGGTATCATTGATATCGCTGAAAACGAAAAGGTCCATAATGGCGTTGGGCCGTAAACCGATCCTACGCATTTGGTACAAAGTTTCCGAAACGTCGAATCCACTCGAGTTCCAGAAGTCACCCATCAGCACAGGCCATCCTCCGAGTTTGCGCGTATAATTCAACACACTCGCAATGCCTTTTTTCTCGATGCTAGCTGAAAATCCATTGAGCTGATATCTATAAACTATCCCAATATGACACTGGTTGATGTAATTACCTTCGTCCATACAGGCTTTGTAAAATTGCTTGACCAATTTGAAGGTCCTCGGCTCCTTTGAACTGATGCTTTCCTCGAGCATTTGGCCGAGCTCTTTGCGCACTTTCTCCTGCGTCAGACTGATATGGTCGACGACGTCCTGATTCTTTGAAATACGGGCAGTTTTGACGAAACCACCGCACGCGAAGCTGTAAAAATTTTCGCAAGGTTGCTTACTCGTGTCAATATTGCCCTTGACCAGCTTGGCTAAAATGTTTTTTGAAATTACATCACGATTATATTGCAATAATTTTTTTTCAATCTGGTACGGAACGTTACCTGCATCCTGGCAGCCAGTGGTTTGACATTCGCTTCCATTTGATGAAGCTATAGACAATTTCCGAACAGTTATCAACTCTTCTTTTATTAATATAATTATAATTTTAGTTTTTTATTTTCTTACCTGAAATTAAATAAAAATTCGTAAGTACTATCGTTGATTGAAAAATAATTGTTAATAGCTCGATTAGCTTCATTATCCGGTATAATAGTTTTGCATAAAATACGAAAAACGTACAAAGCACATTTGACGGTTGGATTTTCAAAACGTTTTGATTTAATTAGATGTAACGAATTGATTCAATGTAAAAATACCGATGTAACTCTCAGTCAACAGCATGCTTTAGTCATTAAAAGTTGCATTCACGAAGTTTTTCACCGATTTGCCAAGCTCGTTAATTTTTTAATACTTATTTTATAGATTTCTTTTCAAAAAAGCCTTCACTATGCTGTTGTCATTTTTTAACTCAACAGCACACATTTTAATCAAGAGGGAATGTTTGAAAACCGAATAATGGACAAAACTATCGTTTGAGCATCTTGGAATGAAAAATTTTCAGTATCGATGTAGCAACATTAAAAGAATAATCATTCGAGTTTAGCAAGGTATCGAACAATTCTATGATTTTGAGTATTCGTATTTTTTCCTTATACAGTTTTCCTTTTGAGTAACAACTACAAGATGAGAGGGTGGTACCGTTACAAAGCTACTAAATCCTACGCCAAGCCAAAATTCTAGTATAATTTATCGTAAAAAAATTTAAATCAATTAGTCGTCGAATTTGGACATGACTATAAAGAAAATGCAATTTAACACTTGTATATCTGAAGGATAAAATTGGGTAGCTGGTCGACGCAGCGATAGCCAGGCAAGTGCGCGCTATGACCTAAGCACGATCAACATTACACGATTGCCACGTATAATTAGACACGATACAGGAAGTTTCTAAGCATCTTCGATCTCGAGTCACAATGATTCATCTCGAAACTGTTGCGTTCTTGAGAAAAATAAAGAGAGGTATAAATAAAATTCTTATCGATCTTTGCCGCGCTGGAAAAGCTGTGCGCAATGGATAATCCGAGAAATTTTTTTGATCTAGGCTCGTTTTTCATTCGCACACCGATCCTCTTAATCTGCGATCTTCGAGCCAATCGTGTATATAGCGCGACGATCCGAACGTGTGCTCGAGCTCATTCGTCGAGTGCAGCGCACGGGTGCCTTTATTCAATATGCAGAATAAGCTATATTTATTGATTGTGTCGGTGATACTACTCCTACTATCTACTTGAACTACTACTACTACTACTACTACTACTATTGCGGCCGCTGCTGCTGCTGGGATCGCTGTGCATCAACGCCTTTGCAACGAGATCAAGTTAGAGAGCGTGACATCAACGATATATATACATAATTTATTGATAGAGCGCGTGGCGGTGTCACAACGGAGTTCCTTAATTATACGTTAATAGCAAGCTTATAAGTCGCCAGTACCGGAAGCCGAAGGATCAATTTTTTTTCAATCTTCGTGCCCGAAAGTTGGACATGAAAAAATCTCGTCGGCTCGAAGCAACAAGTACGACGTCGCGCGAGCTCCTGCATTGTTATTAAGTTGTGCAAAAGCGAGCGCTTTGACGCACATAGAAAATATGATCACGAGTGCGGTCTCCTTAACGTGCATCAATCTCCTGCTCTGTTTTCTGCGAGTTTCAGCGAGAGCTGCAACCTCTAGCCAGTCTCGTGAGTCTCATGAAATATATACACCTGTATCGTAGCAGATCGGATGTCAAGCTTTTTGCGCGAGGCGCAATTTCATCCAAACCAATTCATTTGTAATTGCAGTGTGCAGTACTTCGCCGGACCAGTGCCAGAGAAAATGCACGACCGCGGCATGTTTGGCCGAAGGTAAGAAAACTTGCGAATGCTTTACATAATACACGCGTCCTCTTCAATGGGATATCATTGAAGAAAATTATCCGAAATGTTGGTGAACCTTGTAGCTGCTCGCCTGATCGACATCATCGACGAGAGCGTCGATCCTTGCGACAACTTTTATCAATTCGTCTGCGGCAATTTCATGAAAAAGCAAAACATATCGGACGAGTCGATAACGATCAATCCGTTCAGTATAGCCCAGTCGAAGATACTGAGGGAGCTGTTTCGAGAACTTCGGGAAAGAGTCAAGCCCAACGAGCTGAGTGCCTTTAAAAAAGTCAAAATCTTTTATGAAAACTGCATCAACGTACGTGAGTATCCCAATTATGTATTCCACTTATTTTATACCTTATTCCGGCGGATATTAACAAATCTATTAACAAATCTCGTTTCTTTAAGGTCGCATCGAAAGAGATGGCACCGAGCCTTTTTTCAAGATTTTTAGGGCTTTTGGCGGTTGGCCGGTTTTACAAGACAAATCTCAATGGGATGAAAATACGTGGAACTGGTCAGAGAGTATTAATAAATTAGGGGAAAAGTTTATCTTGATATTTCCTGTTATCATTGCTGTTCAGCCGGATAATAGAAATTCGTCGAGAAACATTATTAAGGTTAGTAAAATTGTATAAGGTCTGTGGCTAAAAATTAATACGATTTTTTATCATTTTATTTATTTACTATTAACGGCTAATGTCTTCATGGCTTAGTTACTCAGTTTTCATGACGCACTCCTAGCAACATTTTTAGACAATTCAGATAACGATCTTTACAAGGCCTATCGTGATTTCATGATTAACGTTACAGTAAAACTAGGTGCTAATAGAGATTTCGCTAAACTGGAAATGCAAAAAGTTCTCGAGTTCGAAAAACAATTTTATCAAGTTAGTACTTTACATATATTTAATTGCCATTCCCTCAAGTGTTATTCATTACTACATTTATTTTGTAGCTTTCTAAATTAAAAAATGAAACAGAAACGGAAAGTTATATATCAATCAAAGATTTGTCGAACAAATATTCGGCGATTCCATGGTTAAAGGTGATTAACGACACACTCAGTGAAATAGTTATCGATGAAACTGAAATAATTAGTGTGGTCAATGCGGATTTTTTGCCAAAATTGGAAGACCTGCTCAAGACAACTCCGCAAAGAGTTATAGCTAATTATTTAGGTTGGCAAATTGTACGATCAATTTTGCCATTCAGTCCACGAGATTTCAGAAATTCGGTGCAAGAATTTCAGGCAAAAATCGATGGGGCCAAAAAAAGTATCGACTTTCCTTCCCAGTGTTTAAATGAAATTATGCAGCTATTTCCGATAGCTATAGGATCTATGTATATTAGGAGAAATTTCAATAAGCAAATGATATCTAATGTTTCTGATATGATTGAACACCTCAGAAGGTTAATCGGAATGAGTTTGCAGGCAGTAAAGTATTTGTAAACGTATTTCATTCTACATAAAATTTAATTCTGAAATAATATTTTTTCTACTTCAGGTTGATTGGATGGATGACAAAACTCGCACAGCAGCTTTGGAAAAGCTATCGTCTATGAATTTTTCAATTGGCTACGTCGAAGAATTGATGAACGATGTATTGATTGAGAATTACTACAAGGATCTTCAGATTCATCGTGGAAGTTCATTAGAGAGCGCTTTAAATGTCACGCGTTTCTTATACAGACACAATCAAAAAAAATTGAGAAAAAAAGCTAGGGATGTGTCCAATTGGACTTTCAATCAAAACGTCGCTTGGGTCAATGCTTTCTACACATTGCGGCGAAATACAATAGGTACACATACTTTCATTTTGTTGTGATTATTTACATAAAGCTGAAATATTTTTCCAGAAATTCCACTTGGATTTTTAAGGGCATTTTACCGATCGAATAGACCTCAATATTTAAATTATGGGTCAGTAGCTAGCTCGATAGCGCATGAAATATTTCACGGTTTCGATACCCATGGTCGAAAATATGATAAATATGGCAACGAAAATAATTGGTGGGACACTGCAACGGAAAAAGAATTCTTTAAAAAGACTGAATGTTTCATCGACCAGTACAACAATTTTACAGTCAAAGAAGTTGGACTCAATGTAATCCATTAAACTTACGACATTTTATATAAACTATAGGAAAATGCGTGAATTATACAGAAATTTTGTGCTGCAGGTAAACGGAGTAGTAACTCAAGCAGAAAACATTGCCGATAATGGTGGTTTCCGAGCTGCGTATTACGCTTATAACGATTACACCATCAGCAATAAGATTACCGAACCTGGTCTCGCAAACCTAGATTATACGCCCAAACAATTATTTTGGATAAGCGCAGCGAGTACTTGGTGCAGTAAAAAGCGGCCAGAGTATCTAAAAAATCTATTGTCCTCGGATACGCATAGTCCCGAAAATGCAAGAGTTATCATATCATTTTCCAATGTCAAAGAGTTTGCCCAAGATTTTAAATGCCCATTAGGCTCGAGAATGAATCCAGAAAAAAAATGTGTAATTTGGTAATCTGATATTTGCAGATTAATTCCTAAAACTATAAATTTTCAATGAAAATAAAAAAATTGCTATTGAAATCGTTTTAAATAATTTAAACTCATCTTAAGTGACGTAATATTTCGTCCCTTGATTGGTTTAACCTAAATTCATTTTCTACTAAACCAATTAAATGAAATAATCCCTTCCCAGATATAAAACAGTTTATTATTTATCTAAGTAAGTGAAAAATTTCCAAGTGCTTGAATGCTATTTTTCATGAGTTCCCAAGCTGAAAGTAACAATTTTATTTGATCGATTGAACATCATCGTCATAAGTAGTTTTTCTCCAATTAATTTATGAACTTTAATGATTGATTCAAATGTAATTCACATTTTTATGAATTGAAATTTGACCAAGACTGGTTATATTTATTTAATTATCCGTAGAGTTATAGATATTATAGATCCGTAGAGTAGAGTGAACATTTATAATAGTTATTGATAAAAATGCAATTTTTTAGTATTTTATTAATAATTGAAATCTTTGTTTAACTACATAGTACTGATATAATAATATGGTATACATGATAATTCAAAAAGGAATCATTTTTATTATTCGAAGTATTTGAAATCACCGCCTATTTTAGTCATTCTGTTCTGTCTGCAGTCATGCACGCTACTGTCTCTATATTTTTTGTGCGCGCGCGCATTGGTTAAGAGTCGACTCTGCCGTCGTCGTCAGCACGTGTAGCGGTGTGATATATTCTGATTCTCCATGTGTTTTATGCACATGCAAGGAATTTAAGATTCAATCTAATAATATTCAATTGATAAATTAATAAAATTCAATAAATTAATAAAATTCAATCTAATATAAGAATTTACGATCAATTTAATCATAAAAGAAAAAACAGTAATTATTTTTTCATAATGTCTGTCTTAAAAGTGAAACCAACCTTGAAAAAAGTGAGAATTTCCAAAAACAAGAAAAAATCATGGAAAAAAATAGATACACAAGATATAGACAGTCACTTACAAGAAAGTTTGTTGGAAGAAAGATTGGGTGGTTCTCTTTCTGCTAAAAAGGACTCAGAACTATTTTTTGATGATACCAAGCAAGAAAAAATTAGTAAAAAACAGTATAGGGATGCTTTAATTTACAGTCAACCAAAGTGTTTTAGCATTTTAACAGAGTATTCATCTGTTTCTGATCCACTTGTAAAGAGAAACAGGGTCAGAACACCTGAAGAGCGACAGAAGACTCTTAAAAAGAGATTGAAGAAAGAAGTGACATTAACTCAGAAAATAGCTACGCACAATAGATCTCTCGCAAATGAAAAAAGAGCTAATAGACCCAAAAGGGGAGATGTGGTTAACCATGATCTTTGGGATGTTCAACCTGCTGAAAAGATTCCTCAAGGTGAATGGTTGCAAAATATTACTGTAACTCATACTCTAGCAAATACTGGTCGTAAACTCAAAAGGGTTCCTACTTCTTTATTAAAGAAACCTTCGGCATTACCTGCTGTGAATGTATCACATCCAGGTACATCATATAATCCTGCTTATAAAGATCATCAAGATCTTTTGAAAAAACTTGCAGATGATGAACGAAAATTGATCAAAGAAGAAAAGCACTTGAACCGTGTTACTCATGCAATCTTCAAAAAGGTAATAAATGTTCAACAAAATGTTATCCCCAACAATTATTCTATATTAAATTTTCATGGAAAAAAATTTTCTTTAAATCGATATGATTATTTTATTAAACTATGTTTTATACTTAGTATAATCTTGTAGACTCTTGTATAATCTTAGAATGATTATGAAAAATGTTGTTATATAAGATCATCTTCAATGCAATAAAATCTAATGGCTAATTATATTCAGTCAAGTATAATTTTTTATGTATATTTTTTAGGTTCCAGTAACTGATGAGTTAGAACCTTTTATATTGGATCAAGATGAGGGAGAAGAAGAAGAAGAAGAAGATACGGAAACAGAAAATAATGAACAAATTGAAAAGAGATCGAAAGAGCGAAAGAAGAAAACACAAGCTCAACGTAACAGACAGAAGACAGAAAAACAGCTAAGACGCCAAAAATTGATTGAAAAATTAGAAAAAAAGAAAGTTGCAGATGTTTATCATTTATCACAAATAACAAACAAATTGAAAAAAATAGAAGAAAAAAATAAAATTCTCAAACAAAAGAGAGAAGAGGCAAAGAAAACAGAAAATCTTAAAACAAAGGTCTTGAGTAAAAAGAAATTTGAACCATTAGAACAAGAGTTTCAATTGAGCGAAGAACTCGTAGGAAGTTTAAGAAGTATCCAACCAGTGGGCAATATATTGAAAGATCGATTCAAATCTCTGCAACAACGTAATATTGTGGCACCAAGCTCTCTTGTTCTGTAAGTACAAATTTTTAATTTTAAATTAGAACAAAAAAAAAAAAAAAACTAGAAAGAAAATCTTGAACTAAAATATTGAAATTTTTTTTGTTACAGGAAAAAGGATAAGGCTAAGATCAAGAAATTTGTAAAAGCAGATCATAAAATTGATCAAAAACTAATCAACCAAGCAATAGGCAAGAAAGTTAAATAAATTAGTATTGTATAATTTATTGTTATTTTAGTGATTACGAGTACAATATAAGTTTGTATTTTTATTCAAAGTTTATTTTTTGCCATTTTTTTATTAAACCTCATATTTTCCAAATAATTAAATTTTCCTCATGAAAACAATTCATTTCTATTAATCAATCAATAAAATATTTAGTAAAAAAGGTAAGGGCAAATGTCATGGCTCTAAATTAGTCGAATCAGTGTTTTCATAGGAATGTTGATGTATGATCTCATGATATATTGGAGCCTTACAATATCATATTATATTTTTTATAAAATTCAGTCAAGAAATTTTTGATATAATAGAAAGTTGATTTTTATCCTTTTTGAAATTGGATTTTTATTCTTCTTTTTAAGAAATTTAAAAAAATGTTTTAGCAATGGATGTATCGTTGAAAATAATTTTTTATTGGATGTTTATTCAAATTCATCAATTATTTTATAGTTCTATATTTGACCTTGTATCAAACTTGTGGTTCATAACGGTAGTGATAAGTAATATCACATCAACCGTGGCAGTGATTGAATCAAAGTATGTACTTTTGAAAAGTACATTGAAAAATGAAAATCCTGATATGTTTAGACCTCTAGGTCCATTCCTCATGGATCTACAGGATCTCAAAGTTGGAATTTGATTTTTCCAATTTTATTCTGATTTCCTAGGGTGAATATGAAAAAATTATTGAAACATGATTTTTAATGTAAAATTTGATGAGGAATTCGTTAAAAATAATTCATAAGCTTCTGCTCAATCTAAAAGTGAAAATAGCATAAAAGTCAAAAAATAAATGTGTTCGTCTCCAGCGCTTAGGCCAACATTGTAATATGTTCATCAAAATACAACTTCTGATAAAGTTTGGTGATGGTTGAAACAATAGGAACCATTTGAGTGCACATTTAAGGTAAAAAAACATTGTTTTTCCTCATATTCCTTGCTTTTTTACTTTTAATATGCTCTCAAATCATTTCTATTGTTTCAACCATCACCAAACTTTATCAGAAGTTGTATTTTGATGAACATATTACAATGTTGGCCTAAGCGCTGGAGACGAACACATTTATTTTTTGACTTTTATGCTATTTTCACTTTTTAATTGAGCAGAAGCTTATGAATTATTTTTAACGAATTCCTCATCAAATTTTACATTAAAAATCATGTTTCAATAATTTTTTCATATTCACCCTAGGAAATCAGAATAAAATTGGAAAAATCAAATTCCAACTTTGAGATCCTGTAGATCCATGAGGGATGGACCTAGAGGTCTGAACATATCAGGATTTTCATTTTTCAATGTACTTTTCCAAATTAGATACTTTGTTTAAATTTCATTTTTTTGATTATCACAGTTTACGTGATATAGCCCATAAGTAAAATTAATCCTCTACAATGCAACTAAAATGTACAGAATTATATTAGGCAGTGGGGTAAAGAAAATCTCGATTTATTCAAAAAATCTGACATAAAAAGACATCACTGATCGATATTTATTTACATATAGATATAAATATACACAGCAAAATGGTTATAATAATTCAAATTAATATTATGGTAACAAATTCACAGCAGAGCTTATTCTTTGCGGTGTTACAGCTCAAGGCACATGTCCTAGATAAAAAAAATTAATATATTAATACTCTATAACGCGTAATAACCGCGTTAAGGTGGTGCATTCGTCACAATAACATTTACACATTCAATATAAAATATTTTAAGTACAAAATACTGAACAACCAAAGATTCACCGTCTACAGACTGGACGATTTAAAATCTATGTACAAATTCTTTTCTGCCTTTTTGACTTTTTTGCAGTATTTAGGAAATGCACAAACATCGGTGTAAAATAGCCTCGTCCAACTGGCACAGAAACGAAGCTGGTGAGGTTTGAGAACCAGTGGGAGAGAGGTATCTACCAAACGACACATTTTTTCACGGGATTCATTTTCGAGCCGAGAGGGCAATCAAAGTCCTTGGCGAAGTCCGGCACATTGGAGAGCGGACCGATGACTCGGAACTTGCTGGGGCTGTGCTCGTCCGTGAAGATGTTGAGTTTGAGCGACTCGGTGCGTTCCTTGGAGCACCAGGAATTGGCCGCCGAAACCCAGAACATCTGCTCGGGCGAGTAGTCGAGTCCTGGCAGGCGAGGCTCGGGCCCGTTTCGCTCGACCCACAGCTTGTATGCCATGTAAGCCTCTTTGATGCCGCCGTTGTCGGCGATATTCTCTCCCTGCGTGTTGATTCCATTGAGCTGTGGATCGACCAATTGACATGTGATTAAGGTTTGAAAGAAAACATCATGTAGAAAAATATAAGTCAAGGAGAGGACTTACTTTTAGTCCAACGCGATCGTCGATATAGTTTTCGTACTGATGAATTATACACTCGGCTTTTTTGAGGAACTTTTCCTTGGTTTGCGGGGCCCACCAGTGGTCGAGATTGCCGTTCTTGTCATATTGACTGCCTTGATCGTCGAAGCCGTGGGTTATCTCGTGGCCGATCACGAAGCCAATTGAGCCGTAGTTCATGTACTGCGGTCGGTCTTTGTTAAAGAATTGACCTTGCAAGATACCAGCCGGAAATTCTGAGGAAATTAATTCGCAGTTTCAACATTAATATTAAAAAACTTTAAGCTCGAGTATAATAATAGCTTATGAGTCGATGCAAGCATTTGCTGTATAAAGGTGCATAAATTGTTCTGAAATTTAATAATGAATAATCGAACGATTGATGAAACATTGGTTAGTATAAATCAACTGCTTTTTCTATTTCTATGATGAATGAAAAATATTTGTCGATGTTTTCAATCGCGTCACTTGAAACTTGAACTGGAGACAAAGGAACAAAGAAGCAGCTACAGCTGAATCGATATTAACGATCGAATAAGAAAAATACCGCGAGTAGTAAATGATCCATTTATGATAGGCATCCAAGAGGACGAGCCGTCCGGGCATTTTCAATCGGCGTTAAACTTACGCATGCTATTCTCGTTGGGCAGATAAAAAGCGTTGATGACCGCGGCGTCGCCGAAATCGACCCAGTCGGTCTTGTTCACAGGCTGTCGGAAGCGCTCGAGGCTGTAGTTGGACGCCACGAGATTGACGGCTATCAAATTGTCGAACAGGGCATCCTTGGAGATCTCGAGCTTTTCATAGTACTCCTCGAGCTTGGAATCGTCCAGCAGCTCGTCGGGATAGGCTATTAGATTTTCCATGGCGTCGATCTTCTCGATCGCGGCTAATCGGGTTCGCTCGTCCATCCAATCGACCTTCGGAATTCGAGTCAATGATTGATAACAAGACGATCGACTCGGCAGGAAATGAAAAATGTTTCTTAAGAATAATTACCTTCTCAATGATGACCCGGAACTGCTTTCGTATGTCCGCAACCATCTCCATGGCGTTATTTTTGGCATCTTCATCGAAGTACTTTCTCACGTACATTGCACCGACGCTTATCGGCAGTGCACTCGATACTAGACGAGTGCATTCCAGCCACCTAATTATCATACGGAATTTTAATGAAAATATACCAATATTAAATGAGGAGTAATTTGAAAGGTCGAAGCATCGATCTTGCTGACCTGGGCTCGCGCTCGGTCTCGCCGGAAACTCGCTCCCAGAAGAGCTGCTTCCTCTGTCGCAACTTGTCGGTCAGGTAGTCGACGTTGTCGCGAACGATTCGCCAGACGGCGTAGTTACCGATGACGCGCTTAGGTGTGCGGGCCAGCAGCTCCTCGAGCTGGCGGATAAAGTCCGGCTCCTTCACGACGATCAACTCGTCGGGGCTGACCGTGACGAGCGGCGACATGATCTTGTTGAAATATTCCAACCACGGTATGCTCGGGTATGTTTTGCTCATCTCGGACACCGGGGTTGGATTGTACTGCTTGAAAGAGTTGCGACGTTCTTCCTCTGGTTTGGACATCTGCATCGAGTAAAGAGGCAGATGGAATAAATATTGTTTTTTTTTTTTTTTTTTTTGAGTAATTAACAATCTCATTGACGGCATAACAAAGCGACTCTACTTACTTGAGCCAGCTGAAATTCAAAGTCAAGCACGTCGCCGAGCTCTCGGATGGCTCGTTTCTTGTCGGCTCCAAGAAGCACGGCGATGTCGACCATATAGTCATAGTACAGTTTTACGATCTCGTGTGACAAACCCTCCATCATGAATTCACGTGGTACCGACAGCCAGGCTTGATCTATCTACAGCATCGTTATATAGCATCGTTAAAAAAGAAAAACTAATTGAAAATTCACATTTCTTTGAAAAATAAATAAAAAAGTAAATGATGCGTTATATACTTACGGCGATCAAACGTCTCGTGTTATTTTTCGGATCGACGTCGAGTTCCATCGTTAAGAAGTAATTAACGGAGTAGCCGAGATTTTGATTTTGATAAACATATTCTTTCCAGTCGTGATCTTCGGCGTTCCAATCATCTAGTAGAACGGGCCATCCTCCAAGTATCCTCAAAACCTTCATCAGTGGCTCCAATCCAAGTTTTTCAATTTGGGCTGAAATCGAGAAAAGCTCATTATCTCGCGCTTATATAGCCAAGAATCATCGTGCGGTTGTTCGTCAAAGTCCGCTCGTCAGACTTACTTTGGTTCATGCAGCTCTGGTAGAAGGCGTTGGCCAGCCTGAACGGCTTGATGTCTTCGTCGGTGACGGCCTCGAGGCTCGCCCTCAATTGCCGCTGTAGATCGTCGTCTATCGACGTGAACATGTCGACGCTCTGCTGGTCGTCGGGGATCATCGTGTTCCTGATGAAATTTCCGCACGCGAACTCGTAAAAGTCGTCGCAGGGATCGACCGTGCGGTCCATGTTTGACAACATCACCGAGGCTATATTGCGGAAAAAATTCCATAAAAATTCTTATCGGTTTCCTTTCAAAATACCGATATAATAGCGCGAAACGGAGAAATATTAGCATAAGGCTCAATGCGGCATTATATTATTTACCGATAAAATTCGTAGATCAAAGCGACTGTATGGTTACAATCAAGCGATTGAGTACGCGTACAACAATATACAATGGAGCAACGTGAGGCGAATTTGTAACGTCTCGACTTTTTGTCAAGTACACGCTATATGCGCAGAGCTCCATATGGTAAAAGAGACAGAGAGAGATGCATAATTCATATAAGACAATTGTCAAACATACCTGTATGAATGCACGCCGGGCTCATGCATGGCCGTGCGCTGTTGTGGCTGTAGCTGCTCACTGCAAGAATAATAATCTCGCGTCATGTATCGGTTCATTTGAGATAATTATTGTTATGTATTGCTGTCAATCAATTAATCGATCGGCCAGAGGCTTATTATCAAAGTCAGCGTCGAGCGTAATAACGCTCAACAACTTAACATTATACATATCGGTCTCTGTTCAAGTTTTGTCAATTTCATTTTTTTCCCTCATCGATAACTATCATTTAGAGTAAAATAAATATTATCTCTGGAATCGGTATAGGCACACGCCTGCATTCATATAAGTGTAAATAATAAAGGCGTGCGCGAGCACTCGGAGCGTGCAATTGTTTCACTCGGGCCGGCGCGTGTTTCGCCATCGCTTGCAGAAGAGGACGACGAACCTTAGAAACGAGCGTTAACACATCTAAGAGCGATTCTTAAGGCTCGGGTCGACGACAAATATGTATCCATCCATCCATCGTCGTCGTCGTCGTCGTCGTCGTCATCGTCAGCGCTTGTGCACGGCGTTTGCCAATACTTGCAGAGAAGATCGATGGGCGCTTCCCTCTTTTTTTGTCGAGCTTCGTATAATACGTATCGACGAGAGGCGACGCGCCTGAAATTACAATGTCGAACCCGACGTCTTCCGAAAAGAAGAAAAAGAATTATGCAAAGGTTATATTCTCCGACGAAAAGCTCGAGAGCGGTTTATTATAGCCAAGCATCAATTACCTAGAGTCTTTGATCGCATGTTTAAATAGTTCGTTTTACTCTTTTACGCATGTGTGTGTATACTATAACTACCGGGCCGCGATATTGTGTGCACGAGAGAGCAGCAGCAGCCGTTTCGCGAGTCGTGGCTTTGCCAGCGCAATACTACCTACTATAGACCATGATTCAGCGATCGCCTTGAACCACATAATTAGCGATACCCGAGTTCGCTCCAAAACGTATCTAACGCAGCTCCGTATCCGCAGGTGTATTCAATTCCGAGACATTGTTTCTATATCTACCAAGAATTGGCCTTTATTTTATCAATATACAATAAAGCGCCGCTTTTCGGGCCGACTTTTATGATTGAATATTTCGCGCGCGTACGCGATAGACCCTCGCGACTATTCGAGCGCCGATCTTAAATCCGAACTAAGCGCTAAATCCAGCGCGTCTCGGAGTTTAAAAATACGATAATCAAGTTTATGCTCTAAAGGCGAGCCACGCATCACGTGAAGTTTATATTAATAAGGCCATTATCGTCATAGAGCCGTGCTATTTTTGAGGTATATATCGAAAATTAACGTGACGTCAATGAGCACACGCGAAGTATAACACGCAAGTGGTTTTTCTTTCTCTTCTTTCGCAAAAACTTCGATTTTCGACCGGAAAAATAACAATGAGCCCCGACTCAAAATTGCGATCTACAATCTTGTGATCTACAATTGTTTCGTCGTTGTATTGTAGTCATTTTTTGCGCCTGTTCTTGATGCGAACTGGTCGCGAGTCAAAATTTTTACACTTTTGCAGGAAAACAGATTGTAGCAACGATTGTGGATGTTAACATTAAATAATGATAATAATAACTTTTACGGACAATGTTGTTTTGTTATTTTTTTTCTCTCGTCATTTAGATTAAGCGATTATACAAGTGACGCATATTGTGTAACTAATAAAAACAGAAAATCTTATAAAAACACACAAAAATTTGAAGTTCGAATTCGAGCGCGTCACACAACTGTAAATCGATCGTACGGGGTATTAGAAATGGATCTTGTATTCGCTGAATCGATTTCAAAACAACAAACACGTAAATATAGGAAGGATTAGCGGTATTAAGAGCTAACTGAATGGCGCCCCTAAATTTTTGCCCCACCATATTTTTTGGCGATCGAACCGGTTTCAACCGATTTAATATATTTATGGAGTAATTGTTAAAGGCGTTGGATATTACGTTGGCAGGTGTGTCGTTAATTTATCTGAATGATGCAACCAAATATTAATTTCCTCGTTTTCGATAAGAATAATAACAGTCGAAGGTGTTGGTAATTTTAACGTCCGAATTAGTTGCAATTGGTCACACGTGTTTCGAATCTTTTTTTTTTTTTTGATTATTTCGGCACATACGCGCAGGCTGAATTTACGCTCAGATAGCCGCAAATGTAGTCGACAAAAAATTACCATTAACAATAATAATCACCTTTGGTACCGGTTGCAGTCGGGCAGTCTGGAGATTTGGACGCGACGACGCACAAACTGATTACCAAGGCGAAAGATACGAGGCCGGCGCAGATGATCATTATTATCAGGCCACGGTCCCGCGCCGAGAGGCCCGTCCACCAGGATGGCTCTCTGGAACAGAGAAATAAAAACAAGTCGAGTTTGTACCAGTGCAAGCAGCAATCGATGATACAATACAAACATGTAAATATACGAATTACTTCATCGGCGGCGCGGATGTATCGGGCAAAAGATGCCGGATTTTACGACTGCTTTAATAATTGTTATTGTTATTATCTAATCTGGCATTTTCATATAATATACGACAATATGTGTGGACATTAATGCTGCACGATCTTATATAGTAGTGAGCAATATTGTGTTTACTGGTTGGGTAAGATGCGACGTTACGTTGGCGCTCGTGCGACGTATTATATACATTATAAACCCGAGAGAGAGAGAGAGAGAGAAAAAGAGAGAATCATCAATGTAACATCGCGTGTGCTGCAATTCGTACGGCGTACAGATTCAGCGGTGACTTTTCTAAAATTGAAAATTAAAAATATACACTTTCCTCGGCCTATACACACAGCTGCAATTAGATATTCATTTTCCGCAGCTCCTCGGGTCGCCAAGACGAATAGAATAGAAAAAAAAAAAAAAACTACACATCATTGTACGAGATAAAGATTAGGTGCGCGGGAGTCTTGGAATAAAAAATATACACGCGTGGTTTTCTCGCTTCGCTTGATTGTGTTTTTTTTTCTTTTATTACCATCGTACGTCGTAGAGTAAAATTAAAAAAAAAATGTCCATGTGCATTGGAATATACGGCATAATTGGGACTGCATTTTCTGCGAGGGGTATATCGTACGTATGTGCCTTTTACCGCAATTTAATAAACTTGACGTGACCCGTGTGTTATTTTGCTTCTTGAAAATTACACGCTGATGCGTCGCGTTATGTACACGATGGGTTAACGAAACGCATATGCGCATGGCTTAGACTGTATCGCGATTTGTTGCACTACGAAAAAAAAAAAATAATAATAATTATAATAATATATAATTGATCGTATCGCATAGAAAAAGTCACACTGGTTTCTAGTTGGCTCGATTTTTTACATCAAAAAGTTACTACATCACAATACAATTGTTCAATTTTTTTAGTAGTTTTTTCAAACTGGCGAAAAGTCATCTGGGAAATGTTTTAATGATGGTTCGAATTAGTTTTGTAAAATTGACGAGATTTTAAATCAATGCACAACGTGTACCACGCACGATCGAGCACGATCGAAGAACAATCGAGACGCGAAGGTTAATTCAGCTCGACGATTTGCCGATCGCGACTCGACTCATGAGCGCACGCAAAGTCATTGAAAAAATAAAAAAAAAACGTGAATGAAAAACGGCGAAACAAATTAGCAAAAATTGGCGAAGGTTGAAATGCAAGAATGATATACCCACTTGTTGACTATTTGTTCGGTACTAGTCGACATGGTGATGATGTCGAGCGTGTGCGATCGCTGTGCAAGTCGTCTTTCGGAGTGAATTCGCGGGGCCAGAAGAGTCGAGTTCGTCAAAGTGCAATTTGGTCGAGTGCGTCGAGACAGGTGCGTATGCAGCCCTGATCCAAGTCAATCGGTATCACTATAAGGCTGCAGGACGAGCTAGGAAGGAAATTTCAGTGTCTCGGCGGCGGTCGCGGGTCTGCTCGAGTGCGGCGTCGGCCACTTTGGACATGGTCGTTATGCGGGCGCGGGAAAAGACAAACTGCAGCGTCTGCGTGCGTTGCGGTGCTGCGGCACTTTTTTCCAGCTATATACCTATACACTCGGCCGAGCTCTCGGAGCTGCTTGGCAATGCGTGTAGGTATATATCTATGTGACGTTGTCTTCGTCTGTTACACGCGTAAAAGTGTTGCCTCGCGACTAAACGCCGACTAGCGAGTCTCCTTCTTCCTCCCGCGCGCGACTCTCGCTCTCAGCCGTGCCGAGCTCTCCGCGCGCGACTTTATGTATATTAAAGCCCGACGATGGTGTTATGCGATGCGCTCGTTGCTGCTGCCTTCCACTTGGCCTATGCCTCTCGTATGGCAGCTCACACATATTATATGCTTAGAAACGCGTACACACGTGAAATATGTACGTACGTAGCAGGCGTATTTACCTGTATACAATGACTATTGTCATTGCGGGCCGCGATTCGCGCCTCTAATTATGCCGTTTCCTTGCGCTGCTATAAATGAATATCCTGTAGCGATCATTTCCTCAACAATTTTTACTCGAATTCTGATCGCAGTAAAAACTGTGCGGATACTCTCTTACAAGTTTGACAGAAAATCGAGCTTTTATTCGCTGTACGCGATCCAGTTTTTTTCACTTAAATTTATGGCGACCCCTGCGTGGGGTCTTGCGAATTTAATCGAGAGAATTAGTGAACTTTCTAAGTCACGATCTAAATAATTATTCAGCGGAAGTTCATTATAGCAAAAAAAAAAAAAAAAAAAAAACCAATCGAGTTCAGCACAATTGACTGACCTGTACAATATATTTAATGCTAAATCGTTAAAATTATGGATTTCACGTACCTCCTAATCATTGCGAACTTGATCTTTCGTAGCTGTAGTTTGCTCGATTAAAACAACACACAAGCGCCACGGATAAAGCTGTGTGCACGTATATACACACACACGTGCCGCGAGCAGCTAGCTGCTACAAGCGAGCGCGATCCAAACGAACTATTATTTATGGACAGGCTCGAGTCGATGGCGGAATTTGACTATATATACGAAATTAAGACGATCCGAGCCCATGCCGCTCGCGCGCGCTTTTACAGCTTAATTGTGATTGTCCATTATCGTATGTTGATCGAGTCTAACGTAATTAACTAGTCGCAAGGTATGCTTGTTGGCTCGGCGCACATCATTACTCACGCATAATCTTATAACGTAAAAAAAGTCCCGGACACGCGGTGGCTCGTGCGACATCGTTTTTTACTTGAATACCAATGTTTGCTTCTTTAATCTTTTGATCGAAAACGAAATCGAAAGAGGTGAGATAAACAATTTTGGAAATGCATACGGGTAAGCCGGTAGAGACAAAAAGTAATTCTTACTTGTTTTTATCGCTTTCGGGTTCGAGTCATTGTTTACGTCTTATAATGCACTCCAAGTGACGATCGACACGAATAATGCGTCCCGTACATTGCCTTTTCCATTTATGGTAGTGGCCGCTCCGAATTGTTGATTGGTCATTTTGCGAAAACAACAATGGTCTAATGATATTAGCCGCCACCTCGAGGATTATATTAATTGTAACGTCATTTGTCGGTTTCGTTATATATAGACGCGCAATTCAAACGATGCAGAATATGTATAGGTATTTATGAGTGCATTTGCGAGACAAGTCGTAAGTGAACTACTGCACTGGACGCGTAGTTGGGTCGTCGACTCGGCGCGCGGCATTAGCAATAATGCACGCCTATAAGCAAGATGTTGACTTGGTCGCTTGTGCACAAAGACTCTTGCTATCGTCCGTCCTCGTCTCTCTTTCGACGTATATGTGCACTAGACCACGTGCAGCTTTTCATCGCGATGTGCGTAGCTCGCAGCAGCCGCTTCGGGCCGATTGCATCTGGACTGCGTGTGTTTGCACCTAAATATTTTTTATCATGGAGACGGTGAGAGCGATTCGCCGTTGGAGGAAAAATTTGACCGTGGTCACTGATTATTAATCGATCGCTCACCAGAGACGATGGCAAAGAAAAACAAAATAAATACAAGGCAACATAATCCAAATATTTTTAGACTATGCTGCTATTCAATGTGGGCTTATACTTTGTTTTTTCCTTCTTTTTATTAAAAAATAATAACGTAGGTACATTTAAATATATTTATAACTAAATGTATTATAATCTATATAAACTCGCAATACTTTAATCATCGTATAATTACACAGATAATCCTTCAAAGAGTGCGTTGCCACATCTAAAATATATATAATCATATCGTTTCGCTACACATACATATAATAGAGAATACAATGTATTACATATATTTATAAGTACCTCAAGAATTACTTTTTTCTTAAAACACGCAATATTCGGTAAAGAAAAAAGCGTAAAATCATCCATGTGAAATTGACGCTTTTCTGTTATATTATTGACATTATTCAATATATATTTTGTTGAAATGTTAGGGGGAGTGTATCACATACACCTAAAATCGTATGATATCGCTTATCATGGCGAGACATATAATATTTTATCGTCTCTCATATGCACATTTAATGTTTTTTTAACACTGTAGACAGCTTTTTAAAAAACTACGTGAACATTTTACTCTGCATACGATGACCGCATGCATGACGTTAAAATTATGTAAATTTACAAATACTTTTTAAATGTTCCATGCCGGATTCAAACATTCTCAAATGTCCGACAAAAACAATAACGGGCACACGGAACCAAGACAATCGTCTCTTGTAACAATCTTATAGACTTAAAATATCTACCAACTCGTTAAATCTTAAACATTTAGGATTTTCTGTTTTTTTTTCGCTTCACTTTTACTATGCACCTATGCATACTTAGCAAACTACTCGGATGGTATTCGTCAATGTTTCATAGCGTTATGATTAAGTGGTCAAAATATATTACAATGAAAACCTCGTGAGATTTATTTATACTTCTCGCTTGTAAAATCCACCTATCTTTTTTAACAACTTTTGTCATTAAAATTTTGTCATTCTCTACAAGTGGATTTTTCAGCAACAGTGAACAAAATTTAACTTAACGATCAGCTGTTAATCATTTAAATGCGTTTGAGGTCGTAAATATTTGTTTTTCACTTTTTTTTTATTTAAATTTTATATGGTACGGTTCTAGGTACTTCCGGTTTTACGTTATTAGAAATAATTACCAGATAAACCATAGCCACGATTTCGTTTAAAGTTACTTCGACACTTGGTTTTTCAAGCTTGTGGATCTACACTGGCGATAATTAAAATCATAAATTGTTATAATAATCACATGGTCGTAAAAAAGTTCAAAAGTCATTGCGCAATAGTAGCACCATTTTTGGACAAATACTTGTTATATCAGCATTGGGTGCCGCACGTGTTTTCGATAACAACATAGATAAAACAACTTGAATTCTCTGATTAATGGATTTTCAAGAGGATAACCATTTAAATGTGGTTGATGATATGACAAAAATCGATTTAAATTGATAATAAAAAAAGTAAACAAAGGTTGTTTAAATTGATAAGAAAATCTTAAAATTATGTAAAATCAACAATCAAGCCGCTTGGACGTAAATCTCGCTTTTTCTCAATTTGGTGACGATGACTTTTTGCTTGGATTGATGTACACCTGCCTCGTATAAGTGTATAAGTGTACTCGACGATGTTGAGCTGAACTTTTTTACATAGACTTATCGGTGGTGGTCAAGTCTACTTGGAGCTTTCTACCATACGGAGCACTTGTGCACGGGGTTCATCTTCGATCCAAGCGGACAATTGAAATCTTTGGCGAACTCCTCCCTGTTGGACAGCGGGCCGATGACGCGGAACTCGCCCGGACTGTGCTGGCCTGTGGTGATGCGGTTTTTCAGGGACTCGGGCCGATAGACGCTGCACCACGTGTTGGCCGCCGAGATCCAGAACATTTGTTGATTGGTGAAGTTGAGGCCGGGCAGGCGTGGCTCCGCTCCGGTCTGCCTCAAGTACTCGTTATAGGCCAGGTAAGCCTCTTTGATGCCACCGTTGTCGGCGATGTTTTCGCCCTGAGTGTTGATTCCATTGAGCTGTGGATCGAGCAAAGACAATCGAGTTGTAAAAAATATTTCAAAGTGGTTCGCAACGAAATGGTCGAAAAGATCTTACGTTGAGACCAGCTTCGGCCGATGTGTAATTGCTGTACTGCTTGATGACGCAATCGGCGCGTTTGAGGTACTGCTCTTTGGTAGCCTTGGCCCACCACTCGGCAAGATTACCGTCTTTGTCGAACTGACTGCCCTGATCGTCAAAGCCGTGGGTGATTTCGTGGCCGATGACGAAGCCGATGGCTCCATAATTCATGTACTTGGGCCTGTCGTCGCTGAAGAAAGCTCCTTGCAGGATACCGGCAGGGAATTCTGTGTGCATCGACAAATTAATTTCAATCGCGAAAGATTCTCGGCGGTCATAGTGTACGGTGTTACTCACGAATGCTGTTCTCCGTTGACGAGTAAAAGGCATTGACGATGGCCGGTCTACCGTGGGACACCCAGTCGCTCTTGTTCACGGGCTTGCGCAGCAATCCGAAGACGTAGTCGTTGCCGAAGCGCGAGATGTTGAGCGCCGCCTCGAAGTAGTTGTCGGATGTGACCTCGAGCTTGCGGTAGAACTCGTCGAGCTTCTTGTCGTCGAGCAGCTCGTCCGGGTAGGCGATGTGGGTGCTCATGGACTCGGCCTTGTCGAGAGCCGCCTTCCTCGTGCCCTCGTCCATCCACTCGACTTCGTTCAGGATCTTTTTGAACTCCTGCCTGATGTTGTGCACCATCTCCACGGCGTTTTTCTTCGCGTTCTCGTTGAAGTACCTCTTCACGTAGAGAGCTCCGACGCCCAAGCTGAAGGATTTCGTCACGGCACCTACGCACTCCATCCATCGAGGCTCGCGTTCGGTTTTACCTAAGATATCAATTTTCATTCGGTTTATTTTAATTTTTTACCAGGTTGGTATGGATACAGATGCGTCTATTCATGTGTGCAATCACATTCACCGCGTGCGATACTTCATGATTCAACTTTCTCTTCGCAGGCATGAGTGAAGTTTAGCAGACAGTTTTAGACTTTTCATTCATAAGAGGAACGAATTTAACTTTAGCTGAAAGAAATACACTAGCTTACCAGTGAAAACAGTAACGTAGGCCAACTGCTTTTTGCGGATCTCGTCGTTCAAGTAAGTGACGGAGCTTCCCGCGGCTCTCCACAAAGCGTAATTGGCTTGGATGCGTTTCGGTGTTTGTTCGAGCAATTTTTCCAGCTTCGACACGAAATCCGGCACATTGACATTGACCACTTCGTCCTCGCCGATGCGCTGGGGTGCCAATAAGGTGTTGAAGTATTCCTTCCACGGAACCGTTGGGAATCTGCGCGTCATCTCGGACACGCTCATAAGGTTGTAAAGGGCTGTGGCATTGCGACGTTGTTCTTTGGGCAACGAAATCTGTGAATGTGTATCATAAAAATTTTGTTTCATCGCATCAACAATTGAATAATAATGAAAATTGATATAAAATTGTTCCAACAAAATAAAAATGAGATACTCACGTTTGCAAGTTTCATCTCAAATTGTAGGGACTCCATTAGCTCTTTTTTGGCTACGTTTACGTTTATATTGGGATTCAAAAACTCGGCGACGTCGACCATGTATTGGTAATAAGCCTTGACGATCTTATTGTCGAGTCCTTTACTCAGGTATTCGCGATTGAGACCCAAAACTGCCTGATCGATCTGCAATTACGAGAAAACAAATCGTATAATTTCTCTGTGGCGTGGAAGTTAATTGTTTTGGCAACGAAAGAGAATCGAGTTGAAAACTCACATCGATGATGCGTTTAGTGCTGTTCTTTAAATCGGACGTGACACTAATGTCGATGAAGTAGTCGTTGGCGAAACCAGCCTTGTAGAACTTGTAAACTGATTCCTTCCAGGAGAAATCACCGTCGCTCCACTCGTCGCCCATCAGTACGGGCCAACCACCCAGTTCCTTGAGGATTTTGTGAACTGTCTGCAGTCCTTGATTTTCTATCGCAGCTAGAAAAAAAAATATCAACGTCAAGCTCCTTGAAAGTATGACGTTCATGAATAAAGAGCAAGTCTGAAATTATTTTACTTTTGTTCATGCAGGCTTTATAAAAGTTCTTCGCGAGCTTGAAAGGCCTGGCCTCGTTAGGTGTGCTGGGCTCCTCGATGATGCTTCTAAGCTGCTTTTGCAGTTTGTCATCGATGATGGTGAATGTGTTGACGCCGGTCTTATCGTCGGGTATGATGGTGGATTTTAAAAATTTGCCGCACGTGAAACGATAGAAATCGTCGCATGGATCGACGTCTTGATCCATGTTCTCCAGGATCGACGAAGCTACAGTAGAAACAATTTAGTCGATATTATATTTTGATCATCGTAAAAAATATAATAGCTACAATTTTTCACCAACGCGATTTTGATTTATGTTTATCAATAAAATAGTTTTTCATTTTGCAAAAGAAATTAAATTTTTGCTTGGAAAGAAATTAAAAATAGCAACTTCGAAGATAGTGTATTACTAGGCATTTTTACGTGTACGAGATATGAAAAAGAAATAGCTTTTTCTGCGTCTATGCAAGAAATGATGACCTTGAAGACACCAATTTCCTCTTTGAAAAGTAAAATAGTCCTTATTTATATTAAAATAAACTCGTATACGGCATAGGTAGATATAAATATACGTAAACTATTTCATACCTGTGTGTATGCATCCGGGAGTGAAGCATATATTGGACTCAGCTGGCTTCTCAACGATTTGCACGTGCTTCTTCGAGTTGGCCCTTTGGCTTCCCAGCAGAGGTTCCGCTGCGGATGGTAGCATTTCCGCGTTAGCTGGCACTTTATGGCGGTTTTCGAGAAAACGGACATGAACGGCGATGACGGTGATTATGATTCAGAGATGGTAATGTTTCAAAGGCCGCACGAGAGATGGGTTTTGTGCAGACCAACGTAGGATTTTTATTCGATTTGCGAACGATTTATGAATCGACGGCCAAGCGTGAAAATCAATGATTTTATAAGATAAGTTTTTCTCCTCGTAATTTCATATCTTTCATAAAATTGAATTTAGTTTTTACGTAGCGTGGTAAAAGCAGGCATAGGTGTGTTATTAAAATCAAGATTATCATAATTTGAAATAGTTTTAATTTTTTAACATTTTTTAAAATTAATCCGATAGAGATAAAGTTTTCCAAAGAATTTAATCGTTCCGACCTTAAAGCGGAAGAAGCTTGTAGGTAAAACGTAGGTATTTTAATTAAGGCTTTTGATAGGGGTGTGCATTTTAATGTTCATGATCATGATAAATCGATCTATCAAAATGTTAGAGAGAGAAAGAGAAAGGCGAATGCTGATGAAGCCGCGTGTTATTAATTCAACGTGACCTACCTCTCATTGCAGTTTTGCAGGTTTCAGAATTCACGGCTATAACGACGAGGCCGATGGCGAGTCCAATTGCTGCCAGAACGGCGCAGACGGCGACGACCGTTAGTCCTCGCTCCAAGGAGGAGCGCCTCTTCCACCATGTCGGATTTCTGCAAAAAACATTAAATCCTTGTTATGAAGCATTCACAATCTCGCGCTACGAGAAAACTCGCTTTGGATACATTTTTCTCAAATTTCGGCAAGTATGAAAATAAACTGCATCATTAGCAGAGACCGTGGTTATACTAATATCAATGAAATCAATCAATTTTTTCAATTTTGCATGACGAAATTTACAGTGTAGCTATAAAATCTAAATTCATTGAATACCGCGCGTCGAATATATATATCTAAAATCGTAAATTTTGCCACTCTTGATTCAAACCTTTCTCGTGCATGAGGTCTTTGCGAGTAAAATTTCCGAGCAGTCAGAAGAATAAGCCATCGATCGATCGCCTTACGAGCCAGCGACGTTTGCACTTTTCCCTCTTTTTACGTTACATCTAAACCAAGGGTGAAATAATTTGTCCGTTCTGTATGAAGCGCCATATACTTATTTTATGATCGACTGAAATTTTTTACGATACTGTCAATTCCGCAGTGGCTGTGTACACACGAGCTCGCGTAACATTTGTGCTCCTCTCGCATTTGTGCAGTCGTAAAAAGCTGCAAACCGTATTGCTCGGCGCGCGCGCGCTCCAACGAGGTGTTACACGACCATTAATGGGCTATATTATAGAAATTCGGTGCCACGGCACAGCTATGGCTTTTTTTCATAAACGAGCGACCTTGGTTTATTGCCGCGCGACAGCGTACTTTATAATGTAGCTTATGCCCCGTATACTGCGCAGGCAGTTCCGACTTGCTGCACATGTAGTACTAGTCGGAGAAAAAAAAGTGGATGAAATATCGCTGTTACGGCGTCGCGCGTGTCTGTAACACGACTATTGTTTCGTCGATTCGCTGGACAAATGGATTGTCGCGCTGACTATCCTCGATCCATAATACACCATAAGCACTTTTAAGGTCATGCATAGATCATAAGTCGCATATATTATATTGCATCGAAGTGAAGAACCGTTGCAGATTTCGTTCGAGCTGGTATATAATATATATTGCTAGTCCGTTAAGCCTCGGGAACGTACGCGTGAGTGCTTGTAACGATCATCGATCGATCGCGAGACAAGATTGATATTTTAAAAATCAATAATTGCGCACGCGTACAGCGTGGATCCTTTAATAGGCGTCGTATATACTTGTACCGTTGACCAAACGAGGACAGTCGAATCGTTTATTGCAGAGGTGCCCAAGAGAAATCTTCATTTCGCGCGAGATCGTCTCTCTCGCAGCGCCAGTTAAATTCAATCGACGCGCTTGAAAATTTGACGAAAGAGTTTGCGCTGAAAAATACGTCCCTAATACACATGTGCGCTATCCTTTTAGCGCGACACAGCGATTAAAATTCAGCCCACGACTCGGTGACACAGTTTGGCACGGTTGGCGCGACACACGCGCTCTGCTCTCTTATCCGTCGTATCGTCGGGTGAAATCGGGTGTATACACACAATTATATCATATAGCTTTTCAAGCGTCGAGCCAAAATACAAAGTGGAACTTTTTTTGTTCTTTCGCCTTTTTATTTATTCGCGCGGCGAAAAGCTACGATAAGATATGGGCACGATGGTATATAGGTACACGGATTATTTGTAAAATTTTACGATTTACAAGCTCGACTCTTTGCGCGCACTGCGCCAAGTGCGATTCTATTGAAACAGGATACCGCGCCACGTATCGCTTGCTATGTGCACAAGCTCGAGTTTACGCGCGATCTTTTGATCCACATCGATATTGTGTGCATACGATATGCACCTATGCGTAATCCGTGATGTTTGCCATCTGCAACCTGTAAAATATTGCGATTCTTTTCATGCGACGTTCGCGACAAAAGAGTTTCTCGTTTCTCTGTAAAATGCACATTCGCTTCGATAGCTTTTCTCGCGCTCCTATGTACGAGCGCGCTCGGCAACACAATTCAGGGAATCAGTTGCTGCACCGAATATATAGCTTACAAAGTTCAAAAGCCGATTGTATTTAGAATCATCCAGTTACAACGATATCGGGCTGACATAGTGAAAAATCCGCCATCGATAGCGTTGACACGTAATACAGCTGCGTTCGATTATAATAGCTTATATCTTTGGTATACGTTCGCTCGCGTCATAGCGCACTAGAGATATAAGTAAAGTACGATTGACGCGGCACCAAGATAATCTTGCCCCGCGCGCATGCATAATATTATGGTATATTGACCTTTTGAACGCGTTTTGCGCACGGATCTTGTAGCACTGCCAACGGACACATAAAAACATGCCCGTATGAAATCGCGACCACGAACCGGTTTTTCGGACCAGGAGGAAAAATTCGTCGCGTTTGAATCATTCTTTGTATTACTAGTGGCACATTGTATTATAATATATACACCTATATTATAGTCAATTTGGAAAAATACGATATGATTCTTTGTTGGTGCATTTATAGACTCTTTGGATGCCTTGGGTCAACTAATGGTCCAAGCAATGTAGAATGCCGAGCTAATTGAGAGGGAGATGTGATTTTTCTTAATATCAAGTCAAACAGCGAGGATAACACATTTAAAGTAAACTCGATGGATGTCTAGATTTGTCGAATAAACTCGAGCTTCAACTAGATTTGACACTTACGTCTTACCCAAGTCGCGTCAGGTGCGTATGCAGAAATCAGGAGATTAATTTGACTGTCATCGGTGGCATAAATCAGGCGCAAATCACCTGTAAGTACTCGGCGCTTCGTCGCTCGGTCTTGAGTTTACGACGCGGTACTTACATGCATAACGGTACTTTGCACTTTTAAGAGCCGCGTCGAGTTATATAAACTCGTACGGACTACGGACTATATCACGCGTTTTATTTTTTCAAATAGCGTGGAAAATCATGTTTTAAAACTAAATAATTTTTCTCCTTAACATACGACTATAATACGTTAATATCACATTTAGAACGAGTTTGAAGTATAGAGACATTACACTGGAAGCGCACGTGACCTAATTATGTCGCGCAATACATAAACCTGTAATACGTGCAGCCGCATTCGTGCAAATCTTATCTAGTTTTAGAAAATATGTATCCGATGCGCTTGCCATAGAGTGCTTGAGCTTTAACCGATGCACTCGATCGTACAATAAAAAGAAGCCGTATTTAATACACGATCGTTTACCTGTCAAATGATGTCTGTCTGTCTGGCCTGCCGCCCGAAGCTTCCATCGTGACGCGGCAGCAAACTCGAGAGGTAAACGTACCCTTCTGATTTATGGCCAAAGCGAGAACGAGAGAGAATTTTGTATTGCACGTCCAAGCTTCGCTCGAGCTATATCGAGAGTGCAGAGCTTTTCCTGATAAGGCTATTGAAGCTGTAACTTCAGAGTAGCCTGATCCGTTCGAATCGTTGCTTACTTTTTTTATATGCAACGGTAATCGTTACATAATGCTATATGCTTGATTTACTTGCATCAATGATCGAGAGCCAACGATACGTATCTTTTATGTGATAAGGCCGATCGATTATTAACAAACACGTTAATTAAGAGCAATCAATCGATAGATTCTTATGCCCATGATAAAGTTGCAGTAAATTGGATAAAAATTAAGCTCATCCAAGTCGATAAGATTTACTCCCTGAGCACTGAAGAAAAGCAACTCATAGGTCAAATCTTACAGTTTTCGATTAAAATAAGTGACATTTTTCTTCGCGATCTATGGGATATTATTTTACCAGCTGAAAAAGGTAGAAACTATTGGCAGGCTCTAGTGCCATAGTTGCATCGTCAGCTGATTCGTTCCAGCATGTCGTTGTCGCCGTTTGGCGAATAGCCTCGAATCCCTCGCGTATGAAAAAGCTCGCAAGCTCGATCGGTTGCTGTGTTCCGTGCGTTGCAATCCGACCTATGGAACAAAGCGACATGATACGAACTTGGCAAAGAAAGTATCGTGTCCTCTTTTCCTTTTTTTTTGTCGTTGTTTTTGTTTTTACCAACATTTATATTTACTGCGTGTTTTGTTCGTAACTTGATCCTTGTTTTTACCCTATCGATACTTTTTCATATTTTTCTCTCTCGCTCTTTCGCGCTTTTATGAGGCTGAGCTTGGCTAGATGTATATACATACTCGAGCTTGTATATATACGCATCACGTGGTTTGACGCGCGCTGAACGGGTCAATTTTACTACGACGTTGCTTAGCTTTACTGCGCGTCAAAGTATCCATTATCGATGACTTATGTATCTCGAGAAAAACTCGAGAGGAAAAGAGAGAAAGAGATATTTATGGATTTGTCTATTTATCTAAATATTTTGTTTTTTTTCAAGAAACTGGAAATACCTGTCGGAAAAATATGTTCGTGGATCATAAATTTTATCTATTAAGCATTTCCCAAATATTTCTCGGGCGAAATAAGTGAACAACTACCACAAGTTTAAAATTTCGAATGTTTTGAGATTCAAGTGAGATAATCGAGCCGTGGTAGCCCAGCAAGAAAACAACTTCATTATCAACGCTCAAGTGGCATATTAACGAATGAGCTCGATAAAAGCTGCAGTACAATTACGTTATTCAACTATCTTGAAAATTACACATTCATCTCGACTATATTGTTTACATACATTTTTTCTAATATGTACGTCGAAGCGTAAGTAATTTCAAAATCGGACGATTTCATGCGTAACTAATATAACTTCCACTTCATGATCGAGACTTAACATTGTTATACGGCGTGCAATCTAAAAATATTTTTTTATATTTCATGCGTGCATTATCATAGCTGTACTTTCATGTTGCGCATCTGAATCATAGCGTACACAAGAATGTTCAGCTGAGCGCGTAATGAATGTCACGACGACGAATTCTGTGATTACAAGCGAATGTTTATCATATTATAAAACTGGAAAAAAGAAAAGACAAAATGTAATGCTGGATCAACTGTAACTAGAGCCTTTCGAGGTTTTGATTACTGCCAGAAAAAGCTTTACGATAGACTTGAGATCAAGTTTTTAACCAGGTGTAGCATACTTTTCTTTACG